CAATATACAAGGGGACGGAAAGACCGATTCCGATCCAAATGTAGGCCCAGAGGAGCGACTGAACCTGGAATTGACAGCTGAAGGAGCCCTACCTAGGTAAGAACTATTTTAACCTCTAATATCGTATATAATGCTAATCAACGCAGCCGGTTTCCCAGCGGCCAGCTGACAAAGAACAAACTTCAGCAGCAGAACCCTTCTAGCCGATACTACAGCTTCTTGCAGAGCTTGAACAGGATGATCCAAAGCTTGCCTTTCCAGTAGCTCGAATCTTGGGACTCTACCGACGACTTTGGGACTTATGTATGTCGAAACATACTGGCAGTGAGAAGCTCCGTCAAACCAACCAGGAGTTGAAGAGGGAGAATACATGATTGGAAAATGAAAAGGGGCTGCTTCAAGCTAATTATGACGAGCAGCTATCTTAGCTTGATTATCTAAATTAAGCATTGGAGGCGTCTCGCAGGCGATTGATCAGTATTCTCAATGACTGGGGGCAGTGCTCGGAAGGCTAAGTGGTAGGGCTGAAGGTGAACGTTTAAAGTAATGAATTAACCTTTGCTACTATATTCTGCTTAAATCTATTATTTGAAGGTTGAGAGATCCTGGATTCGCTATAGTTACTCTTAATGATCTATATCTTGTACGAAGGATATCCTAGTCGCTAGGAACCCAGTATAACTTATATATAACGTCAAGATATTGGCGAAAACTGCTTCTATTAGTAAATATTGTATTATAAAAATCAGAGTTATATAGGTTGAGCAACACACCATAGTAATGTGTGGTGATAAGGAAGATACATGCTCTTAAACAGTACTTTGCGGAAGCTGCCATCTTCCCAGACAGTTTCTATGGCCTTGTAAACTTTCTAATCTAGAAGATACGTCTTTGAACAATGATAGTGGTCTGTTTGATAGATCAGGTTAACTACAATCTGACGTAACGCCGTAGTTAGTAAGTATATATTGTAAGATGGGAAAGCTCGCTGGCAGTCTGTCAAGCAGACGGGTCGATCACAAGAGGACAAACCCACCACACTCGAAGAGTGCAGGAGAGAGAGTAGTAGACAAAGCGGTGCCCTACTGAGAAAACAGCATTCAGAGCATTCGAGCCCTTGCTCGAATGCTAGCAATCCGAAATAACGCAAATAACATTGGTGACCCGAAAGGTGGATGGATTGTGTAAGTTAACTATCGTCAAGGGCTTATATACTGTATAAAGGTAAGGCCTAAGGCCTACAACGTCACCTGACATCGCCAGAGCCATTCCCCCACTACAATATATATAAGTATTGATTACAGTAATATTCGAAATCAGATTTACCTTCACACTCTTCGACTTTAACTCCCAACCCCTAATCTGAAGCACGCTAACCCTGATAGCGTATATTCGTCGATCCCCCTTGTTCCTAGCATAGAAACTGTATTTTACATGACGCAGGTGGGACCATGTCCTTTGTAAATTACAGGAAACTGCTATACATCGATACCACTCCACCCCTCCTCTCCCTAAGCAACAGGATTCTTCACCTGTAGATGATTCTTGAGCGACCTCCTACACTAGGCTTGCAATATAGCCCCGAGACTTCCCCCCGGCAAGCTGTATCTCATCCGAGATGTGATGGAGAGCCAGTCACTAAACACCACTCAAATGGCAGAAGAGGCTGAGTACAGTAAAGGTCACGATCATAAATATTCGCAGAAACTTGCGGCAGCTCGGCAGCGTCCACGCACCCCCCAACTCATATAGGTCGGAAACCAACTGTAACGCCGCTAACTATCGACGCGCTCTGCGACTACCCGTCGGAAGAATCGGGCCTGTACCTCGATGTGATGGCTGTCTTCCTCTAGGATGAGTTTCGTATGATGATCACAACCTCTAGCATCAGAAGAGCCCTGGTGGCCAGTCGATACCGATATCTGGAGGGCCAACAGGATCCTTCACGGACAATTCGCGTTAAATGACTTATGGGTCCAAGAAGAGTAATGAAGTGAATAAATCTATCTTTAACAAGTGAAGCATCATTGGTTTTGTTGTAGTTCAGAGGAATTTATGGGGTTATGGTTATTTCAGAGGGAATAAAGGAGGCTACATATACAACGAGAGAATAAAGGTGATTTCAAATCATACCTGTTCATCGTATAATGCGTGTGGATTTTCTGAAATTCTTTTTATGTACCTTGACCTGTCTAGTCCGACTTCTTAGAGCATTCGCCGCTCTTCAATGTATAGAAAAATGTAAATATCCCTTAACAGATGAGCACCTGGCTTGGGAATATCCTATCCCGAGTCAGATACAGTAAATTTGACCTCACTTCCTTTTCGATTCTGTGTTCCTGTTCAATTTCCCCATCTCCAACCAGGTTCCGATCACCACCATAGTGAGTAGTATTCCACAAATGTAGACCTGAGGATGCCCGTCACCGAATTCGGGATCCATGGCCTTTGAACCGGGATAAAATAGGGCACTCAATTGAGTAATCCAATAGAGGCTTGCTAGCCATGCCCCTGTAGCGAGGGAGTCTCTTTCAAATATATGTTGAACGGCAGGAGGTGATGCAAACAGAGACTGAGGTTTTGGTCGATACAGGAAGTACAGAGTCGTGAGACCGAGAACCATGCCCATAGACATAGTTTGTCCATTGTGGAATTTCGCGTGAGGGGGCCATCGAGGGTTGAAAACATGAGTTTCATTCCAGTCGGCGAGATATCCACCGATCGACGTTGACAATGCAACGAGAGTAAGGAGGATGCGACCGGCCATAGTGAATGAGAATCAGAGGAGGATGCTTGCTTTGAAAGACACAATTTCGCAACTCTTTTAATTCAAAGAAGATTCCCCGTCGGAGTTATCTTAACGCCGCAGCGCGCTCGGTATATTTCGGATGCCGAAGGCTTCTGAATTCTGGATTGCAAGCTGTCTTTATTTTTCCGGCTTCGAAGAACTGTGAAGCTTCGCACGTCCGAGTCATGTACAGTTACGAATTCAAATGCGACTCATACACAAAAAATGGGACGCAAATCGCCAATACTGTATATAAGTCTGATCAAAACCCGCTTTGGTTTATTGGTTTCCGGGTTTGTTGATTGTCATCGTATCTCTATAACATGCTACAGCCTAGTCAGGGGTAGTGTTTGAAGTGTGAGCTTGAACCCCGGAATCCACTATCAGCTACTTTCTGTAACACTGGTGCGCAAAAGCCGCTCGCGATATTTGCTTCGAGCGCTTGTTTGGATCGACCCCTTGCTTGGTTTCTTTGCAAGAAAGATTCTATTAAATTCCAAGAATGATTACGGTATTATAACAATGACCCACCCATAGTAACAAGGGAATACAATACCACTAGATTAGCGTGTTTCAAAGTGGGGTTCGGGAATAAAAGTCTAAGAGTGTAGAGGTAAATCTGATTTCGAATATTACTGTAACACCTACCTTCGCTCTCTCGCTTTTAAATTTAATTCTATAGATTTTCATAATATTAAGTGCTTCTTTGAACGCGCCCAGGAAATCTTTACATATTGCTTCTTGCGCTTGATAGCGTTTACTAGATGTAAACCTAACTGATGAGAGGATTCGTACTTGCTTGATTAGCGTAGACTTTCCAGACCGACAATTACCTAGGCATAAAGTTGGAGTTCTCTACGCCGATTATACAGTCTAACGAGTTGATCTACTGACAACAACGACATCGATTGGATCTTGAGTGGATTTTCTCCTACGCTTAATATGACAGTCGTTTTTAAGGCTGTGCCGGGTCTGCCTGTTGTCTGTCTGCTCAGTGATGGCTCTAGAGCGCAGCCAGGTGCTGGGCTTTGAAGTTTGCATAATTGTTCGAATGGCCCACTCTGCGGGTAGATGATCAACTGATTTTCATGTTGAAAAACTGTTGTTGTTAGAACTACTTACTCTTGGTAAGCATAGACATAATAACACTATTGGCGACAGTGCTAAGTATAGAGTAAGTAAGTAGTATTTCATCAAAGGCTAGTATACCAGGGAGCTAGGTGTTCCCCAGACCCCTCAGCCCCACAGCTGTAATAGTACTAAGGGGCTGGCTAGTAACCAGTTGACTAGGCAAGTGATAGGGAGAAAATGCTGTTATTCGTAGGTAACAATGAAACTGATTCTTGAAGAACCTTCAAAGAATCAGGTGACTATCGACTGCTTGATATAACAAAGAGTCCGGAGCTTAATCAGGGATCGGATATGAATCCCAGTCGAATCGATATCGTCAAGTCCTCGTTCTATCCGGTGCTGCCGGCGGAATCTAATCCTGCCAGATCTGTATTGCGATCTTATCAGATATCTGATAGGAATATGCCGGATGCTTCTAGGCCTAGAGGAGACTGCGGACTGCTGTCAACTCGATATCCCGTGACAACAACAGTGCTTAAGTGAATTGCTTTTTGATGGCCTACTCAGCTTCAGTTTCTTAAGGTATTCTTTTCTATTCTTAGTACTGGTCTGTCTTTAACAGACAAAATAGTAATATAGTGCTAAAAAATAAAAAAAATAAGAAATACAGACTTATATTCACTATATAGCGCTATAGGTTTTGCTCTGATCTTCTAGAGAATACTGCTATATTATATAGTAGACAGATGACTTGTTTTATATTTGGAGGGATTTAGATTTGAAAGTTAAGAGTAGATGTATCCTAGATCCTTTGAGATATTTTTGAATATAATGCTGCTTCTAGTATTTAGGTTACTAGAATTAATGTTTAGGATGGTTATAGATTCATTACGCACCTATATTAACGTAAGTTATGATTCTATTAATAAAGGATCTCTTAGTTACTACTATGTAATCCAGGCCTTCTCCTACTTATATATAGAATGGTATCCATAAACTGTAACGAAGCAAAATATTGTTGAAAAGGAAAAGTAGAATGAAATATACGTGTACTATTGCAAGACTAAATGGAATCAAGACCAGCCGGCTATACAGGCGAGACTTTTTTTTTTATAGCTGAAAGCTCTCAGTGACGGTCACTTTAAACCCCCGAATCCTTGATCATTTGCCAAAGATTCACCACGCTGTTATTTTCCCACCCCTGATAGCGAATATTATCAAGAATACTAGTCAAGAGAGCACGGTCGCTGCACGCAATTGACAGCTCCCCATCTTGAGCAAGCATACGCTCGGCCACTTTCTGATACGCCAATCGTTGGGCGCGATGTTTGATGGTATTTCGAATCTCAAAATACAGCCATCGCCGACAGCTTGCCAGAAACTTGATCCGTTCAAATGCAGGCAGTCCATCCAGTTCATCCGTCGAATCGCCAGCAGGACCGCCTCGCGTGAACACCCGCTGTTCTATCTCGCTGGCCGTCAGCTCATACGCCTTATTTTGCACCAGTGTCGCCAGCTCGATGGCCGATATGGGACTTGTCGCCTTCAACATTCGACCTGTGGTCAAGTGCTGAAGCGCACGCTGCGCCAGGAGATAGTCCGCAATGTGCTCGGCCAAAGTATCGGTGAGGGATTCGTAGGTATGCTTTTTCTTCCCATTTTGTACCGTTTCTATCTCAGCCGTAAATAGCACGGTGAGAAGCTCGCTGAAGATGACCCCGTCTGAGTATAGAGGGTTGGGCTCTGCGGTGTGCATCTTTGGGCTCCGGATCAAGGCTGTGAGCTTGGATGGTAGTTTGATGAGATCTGTGAAGTACTTAGACCCGTATAACTCGGGGGCCACGGACGCTGCAGAAAGATGGGCAAAGTCATGGAGATCCCACAGTACAGAGGGTTGGTCCAGCAGCCGGATGCTTTCTCCTTCATAATCCTTTGCCCGAACCGCGATGTGGTTGATGCCAATTGCTGATATAGCAGTTGGGGGAATAAGTTTGGTCTGGTAATCGACATTTAAATCCGAACTGTTAACAAGCCGATGGACGCCATAATTTATTGCCCTGTTGGAGTTACTATCGCACGAGAGAAAGCCGTTGATTCTATTGAAGAGCTGGCGGTTGGACTCTGTTATCGACAGAAACTCTTCTCGGCACTCCCAGCGAGCAGCGAAGTATAAGACTCCATACTTGTGGACAGATATCGCTGCCACCCACAGCCGTTCATCTTGGTCTATCGAGGAGAGTAGCGAGTGATTATCTTGCCTCTCCAAGAGAATCTTGCACCCTTCTAAGATATACTTAAGAAGGGCACCCTTCACGGCTTTGACATGGAGCCGAATTCTTGCCGCATTATCGAAATGGGGATATGGAGGGGTTCGGCCATCTAACCACTCTGTCGATGGATCATAGGAAGGATGGAGGTTTTCAAAGAGATGTAGTGTCGCCCTGGGCGATATGCAATGAGGTTGCAGCCCATCGTTGTATGTAGGCTCCGTCGGTGGGTCTTTGAGATATCGGTGCAGGAGATTTTGCAAGACTTGCGTGATAGCGTACATGGTGTAGTTAATCCAGAAATCCGGCGAAGCTAGGCCCCCTTTTTTGCTCTGCAGGCGAGGACTGCCCGATAATATCCGCTGCGCTTGGATTTAATATACATTTTAGGATTAGGGCTGGGAACGATATCCCAGTACTTTATTGCTTCATTTTAGCCGTTTCCCCGGCTTACAATCTCACGCGAGGTTGCGCGGCTTAGCCGGTGATATGTTTCAGCGCATGAGGCCTCGATGCATGGGCTTATCCCATTTTGCATTGGCCAATCCGCTTCTTGCCCCCCCCCTGCGTGCAGGGATTATTATGTGGCATGCATGAAAGTTCCAAGGAACAGGTCGAAGCTAGTCACAGCACGAGTAAATCAGATCAAATTTGTCCCCTTGAGGAATTATGAGTGAGCTTTGTTAATGACTTCAGACACCGCGGTAGTCGGATGCAATTCGTTTGGATTCCATACACTCATTTCTATCTGGCAGACCACGACTCTTGATATTGAGGCCCTAAAGGAACAGGACATGCCTACTGCTTCCTGCGTGATCACTCCGAGAACGGAGATCTCACGTATACCACCTTGTCCTCTGCAGTTCGGCCCACGTGTACTTAAATACGATATTTATATTAATATCATTCAGCTCTATAATCGTGAACCGAGTCAGCTGACCCAAAAAGGAATATGGCCCATGAACAACCGCCCCTGTTCTGCAGGTCTTTGGCTCGCTCCGTCCGAGCTGCATTTGTGATTGGCGGGCCATGTAATGCCTGCGCGATGTAACATCAGCCTCTCTGAGCTTTAGGCTTTTAAGGCCCACAAAAGAGAGACGGGGATCTTCTCAATATTATTGGTATGTTTTCCTGATGTTTGTCTGTGGGGAAGAAGAAGCCCACTTGTGGCTACTCTAGCCGTGTTGCACGGAGTCCGGTGGTCCGGCCCGGGCCTGTTCTTGCTGAGAGCTTGACAGCTCGCAGCATCCCTTGCGGCATGATGGGCCTCCTGCCTGCCCCTGGGAGCCCGATCTGTCCACCGTAGATCACCACGAGAGCCTCAAAAATTACCTGGGTCTACGATCGGAGCCAAAATATCTTGGAGTGCTATGCAGTATAACTAACTTCGCAGTAGCCCCAGCGGTCTGCGGGTGCCTGAACGCTAACGGGAGCGCCGCTCACTTACTTTGCCCGCTTTAAACCCGATCCACTGCACCCGCATACTTCACGGATCTGGAACCAAGAAATAGGAAACTAAACCGTAAGATAACTAAAATAACTAAGATAACTTGGCTGCGAGCCCAGGGTAGCCTCTGCTGATCCCGCACTGTTTAGTCTTCTCTTGGCGGCGGCTTATCTCTTTTTTTACAATCTTCTTTCCCCTTGACTCATTCTCTTAGCAAATCTCAATTGAGAGTTCCTCCTGCCCATGGCGTCCCTTGAGTCGATTGAGTCGAAAGGCACAGTCGCGGTCTCCGGAGGCCAGGCAACGGAGCCAGAGGAGCTGGTCGATCGTGGAGCCCGCGCCTGGACAGTCGTCCTGGGAGCTTGGTGCTGTCTCTTCTGCGGCTTTGGCTGGGTGAATGGTGAGTTCCCTTCTGCGATTCCCTTGTGTGCCGGATTCGCCCCCATTTGCCTGTTTCGAACTCGCAGATAACCTAATGCAGTCCTTGTTACGACCCGTCAGCCATCGGCATCTTTCAAGAGTATTACCAAAACCACCAATTACGCTCATACTCGTCCTCGAGCATCGCCTGGATTCTATCCTTGGAACCGTTTGTCCTCTTTGCAGCCGGACTGGTCATTGGCAGAGTGAGTTCTGCTCCGAACTTCCCAGAACGAGGAGTGTTCAGAACTCCCAGTGAAGGGGTGAATAGTCACTAATCCTCACGGTCTCGCCAGGTATTCGATAATCATGGACCCAAGTGGCTGCTGCCCATCGGGACTTTCCTGCATGTCTTCGGGCTGATGATGACCTCGATTTCCAAGGAGTACTACCAATTCTTCCTTGCCCAAGGGATCTGCAGCCCGCTAGGAGCCAGCTTGGTCTTCTCTCCCGCGCTCTCCTGTGTCGCCACCTGGTTCGACAAACGCCGTGCCCTGGCCTTTGGTGTCGTATCCAGCGGCTCCTCGCTGGGCGGCGTCGTGTTTCCAACGTTGCTCTCGCGGCTCTTGCCTACGATTGGTTTTGGATGGACGCTGCGTATCGCTGCCTTCATTATTCTTGCCCTTCTGATCATCGCCAATCTGACGGTCCGGTCGAGAATTGCGCCGGTCCCGCGGCCCGTCAAGTTCAGCGATTACACGAGTCCGTTCTCCGAGGTCCCGTTTGTCCTGCTCATGCTGGCGTCCTGTTGTGGATTCTTTGCCATGTTTGTGCCAATCAGTTATATCGTGCTGGAAGCCCAACAAGATGGAGTTGACCGCGACCTCGCTGGGTATCTCTTGACTATACTGAATGCCGCCAGGTGAGTAACAGCCAGTACTGGTCGATCCCTCCTTTCTCCTGTTCACGTTCAGATAATACGAGTGATTTGGCTAATTCTTTGTCTTTCTGCCTGGGCTTAAAGTCTCCCGGGCCGAATTCTACCGGGCTACCTCGGCGACAAACTGGGACGCTTCAATGTCATGATCGCCATGTGCTCCCTGTCCGCGGTCGTGATTCTAGCTCTGTGGCTTCCGGGCACGCTACTTTCGCCCGGCAGTGTAGCGGTCTATGTTATCTTCAGCATGCTGTATGGATTTGCCTCTGGTGCGTTTGTGGGCATGGTCCCGGCACTGCTGAGCCAGATTTCGCCCGATGTGACCAAGATCGGGGTTCGACAGGGTGTTTTGTTTACCTGTATCAGTATCGCCTCGCTGACGGGTAGTCCCATTGCGGGCGCCATCTTAAACAGCCAGGACGGCACCTATTGGGGATTACAGGTCTTTGCTGGGGCCATGATGACTGCCGGGGTGCTTTTCTTCGTGGCTGGAAGGATAGTTCTCGCGGGCCCCTCGATGGCGAAAAAGGTTTAAAAACTGCACTGTTCATTTTGCAAAAAATAAAAGACTCTATTTATACAAAGCTATCACATAGTTGGGCCATATTCACATCTAAACTTGTCAAGCCTTTGGGGTCGTGAGTGGTCCACCGGATGGAAACGTTGTTATAGATCTATCGCATGCCATTAGCCCTAGCTTAGAACCCTCTACCACACAGCCCACGTAGATTATTCCCCTCGTTCGCTTGGTATAATTGGATTCGCACTCACATTCGTCCACTCGGGATGATGCCGATGTTCCTTCGCAGCCTCTGCCACCTTGTTCATGAACGCCTTATTGAATCGAACCAGTCAGCATAGAAACCATATCAAGGGCAAGAAGCAAAAGAAACCTCCACACTCACCCACGCCTTATTAAACCCCGCGAACTGAAAGTCTCGCTGAATCGCCAATCCCTCACTCTCCAACCGCCATGCCCCGCCATTCTCAACCAGCAAAGCCTCCACCCCCACCATCACCCGCGATACATCTTCTCCTGCTGCTACAACCGGTCCCTCCGCCTCAACCATTCTCCCCCCGTAGATCTTATCCCCAATATCACCATGTGTATACGGTACTAGATATCCCCGCTCATCACATCGCTCCGCCCGCTGCCCCACAACTACATACTCCACGCCCGGACACGCCGCCACCCGCTCCAGCGCATCCGGCGCCGCATAGCAGCAGCACACCACCATGGACGGAGTACCACTGCTGAGTGCACACAACTCCGCGCACAGCTGCACGATCGTGTCGCCCGTCGCGACGACCGTGTCCAGCACGACGAGCCGGCCGTCGTCATGCGCCGCCGGGAACGGGCGCCGGCCGAGCCACTCGACGACCACGTCGGCGGTGCCTTTGGTCTTGCTGCAGCGGGCGAGGATGCTGGAGGAGAGTGGGAGGTTGGGCTGTGCGGCGACGAGCATGGGGAGAGCGCCGCGGAGGATGGGGATTAGGGTTGTGGGGGTGTGGGCGAGGGCTGGGTCGTGGGTGTGTGCTGTTGTGAGAATTTGGTGGGTGAGAGCGTGGATGGTGTCTTGCATTATTTTTGGGGTTGTGGAAGGGGCGCAAAAGGTTGCCATTAGGGCTGTGAGGGCTGGGGTTGAGGCGACTTCGATAATGGGGGCAGGGCCCTTGGAGTCGGTGATGAGTGTCATTGTAGTTGTAGTTGTGTGGTTGATTGCGTATCTGCGGCGAGAGGAATTGGTGAAGATCTGGGGTTATTAAGGTCTTGGAGAGTTTGAGATGGCGCGCATCTTTATTGAAATCTGGGGCCAGGCTGAGTCTGTATGTGTGTTCAGGATGGGTATGCATACATCGGCTGCGATGGGGCTTACCAGGTTGTTGACCGTAGTTTACCATGGTTCACTATCTTGTCCCGCAGTGGACGGTCCGGTGGGTCTCTGGTCTTCTCAAGGGGAACTCCACAAGATCTCCGAAATTACTTGCTGATTGCGGGCCCAGAGGGATTCATGGTCAAACAGTATGGTCATGCAGGGAGAGGCTGCTAGGATTAGGTTAGACTGTTAGTCACTGACCTTTTACGCCGCGGAGGTCTCGCAAGGTCACATTTTTTTAGCTGCATTGTTTCATGCAACCCTCTTCGGCGCTAAGCAGATCCCTGTCGTTTTATTTGCTTTTTTTTGTTTATCTGGCTTCTTATTTTTCGGTCTTCAGCTCTATCGCTCTATCACGTGCGGGGTTCGCTTCACATGCGACTTTCCATGATGGCTTCAGAGAGACTGACCATTCCTTGAAACCCACATCTGATCTCCTGCTTTTCAAGTCTTGGCGTGAATTGTCCTCCCATCTCTTCAATTGCTCTCCAATTGCACTTCAATTGTGCCCGCTGTCACCACTGCCGCCACTATGACCACCCTCGCCATCTTCGACTTCGACGGCACCCTCTTCGACACCCACGAGTCTATTTCACAAACCATCAAATTGACCTTCGACGCCCTCCTCCCCGCCCAAGTTCCTCCGCAAGACTCCATCCACCGCCTCATCGCCAGCGGCGCTGGCCTGGCTGACACCTTCCAAGCCCTCCACCCCGACCCCGCCGCATTCACCCCCGCCGTAGAAGTCCAATGGATCGACCAATACCGCGCCCTCTATGCCACCCACGGCCAAACCCTCGTTAAAGCCTTTCCAGGCGCCCAAGCCCTCCTCGCTACCCTTACATCCCGCCAGATCCCCATCGCCATTGTGAGCAACAAGGGCGTGGCAGCCGTTAAGACCGCCCTCGAGCGCAATGGTCTCGCTGGCGCCGTGCCGGACGACCTGATCATCGGCGACAAGACGCCCGGCGCGAAGCGCAAGCCCGACCCGGCCAGTTTCGTGGACGTCCTGCTGCCCGTGCTGCGTGAGAACTACAGGCTTGGCGCCGTGGACCCGGCGTCTGTGCTGGTGGTGGGCGATACGCTGGCGGATGTACAGTTTGCGCGCAATATAGGGAGTAAGGTGTGTTGGTGCCGGTTTGGGTATGGGGATTCGGCGGCGTGTCTGGCGGCGGGGCCGGATTTTGTGGTGGATTCGTTGGCCGAGGTGGCGGGGATTGTTAATTAAGGAGTGACTTCATGTGTTAGGGTCGCATTTTGGGGATAGGTTGCAGAGTATGGGTGAGTTGGCGAGATTGAAGGGGCCTTGCGGTTTTGGCTTGGTCGACTTTGGCATTTCGTTGAATATTCTTTGTTAAAAGCTTTGTTATAGAGGCTGTGATGCGGGGCTGGTCTCGGGCCGGGAGCGGATCGCCTTCGCGGGCCGATAACCTTGTCGTTCTTGAGCCGCGTTTCAGTGCTCTGTCGCCTATAGTAGTGGCGGAACGACCATGGGTGAGCCATGGCTATGTGTTAATATCAGCCATGTGTAAAAAATTTTGCAATTCCCACCTATTCTGCACGTTGCCCTCCACTGTCATTCCTAAATCAGCTGAAATTGATGAATCTCGCGTTGCCGAGGCCTGTGAAACCGCCCATGCCACCAAAAAGCCGAATATATCTTGTATTGCACGCGATTTTGGGATTCCCTGTATGCGAATACGGAATGAGCCAAAATCTCTCCATTCTTGAGCGAGAGAAGTATCTGGTCGACCACACTAGTAGCACGGCTTTGCGAAGCTGCCGGCCGCATTATCGGAGAATCTGTAGGAATTGCTGTGTGTTGATTTTGATATTCTCCATACGTTTCCCGCCATAATTCCATGACTGACTCGTCCTCGGTTGTAGAGATCTCTTCTTGGCTTAGTACTTCTATTTACTTTCAATCTTTGCTGGTAGTTCCTGACTTGTAAATTCCTCGCTAGGTTTGGTCTTCGTTAGTTTAGGCTTCCCATGTCATGGCTGCATCTGCACTGGTTCACACGTTTACCTCCCATACTTTCCTCTCTTCTATTATACAGCTCTCTGCAACTTAGTCCCACGCCTTACATCATTTATTTGCGATAGAGCATTAATAGCGCAGTCGGGACACCGGCTGAAGTACTTAGCTTCATGGTTTACTTGATTGTTACGCTACTAAAATTAAAATAAATCTAATCGGCTTGGGCTGCTGTTTTACGTACTTTTAAACATGTCATGGCCATGCAGTCACAGCGGCTCATACTCCTGCTAGGCCCGATACCTTCGATTATTCATTCCCTCATGAAAAGCCAGAGAACCGGGTTAGCTTTTTGGAGATATTTTTATCTCGATGTTTCCCTCCTCTTGATACTACGCAAGAACCATGCACTCCCCCCGAAACCACTGCGGAATCGACCTAAAGCGAGCATCTGTCCCGAGGAACGTGCTAAACCCACAAATGGTGTTGAAGACAAGATAGAACATGTTGGCCATTTCGGTTAATTTTGAACTAGGCCATGTAGCCCCATCATTTTCCACTTAACGCGGGCGGGTACTATTTTTCGAAAAAAAAAAGAAAAAAAAAAAAGAAAAGAAAAACAGTTGAGGCTTGCAATTTTGACAACAAATCGGCAAGCAAGAAAGCTGCCTGATTACCCGTAAAACAAACGCTTAGACTGGTGTCACAAATATGCATGTTCGGCGCTCAATTTATCATCACTTTGTGGTATATTGTTCAACATACCATCCTTGTTCCATGCCACCCCAACCCCTCTTTGAAATACGGCCTTTGAAGCCGTATTTGGGCATTCGCGCCTGAAATTCAGTATTTGACCGAATGAGTGCTTGACAGGCATATTTGAAATATTTGCATTAAATTCCAAGACCCGAGTGTAAAGCAGGTGAGGCTATACCAGCAGTATCCTTCGAAAGTCCTTGAGTATCTTTAGCGCTTCTCGGCCTCATAGGAAAAGGGCAAGAGATCGCTTATCGAGTCCCTTCAAATCGTTCGATATCTGGGAAGGATTTATCCTAGCCCAGTAATTAGATATTTAAAGGCACCCTGATTTCAAATTCGTCCGATGGCCCCTCTTTAAAATTAGCCGCCATAACCCCGGCATACAACGATAAGCTTTGGCCAAGGATATTTATAAAATGCCACTGGGTATTGTGTTGGAAGAAACGAGACCAAATTGCAAGAACCCCTAACCCTAATTCCCTGGGGCCGCTGTGTCGTGTTATGGGTGATTCGTCATCAAAGTCAATTGAGTCATATGCTTCCTCAACAACCAGTGATGTCCAGCGTAGTATACGTCGTTCCTTTGCTAGAATAGGTCATTTGCATAGTGTCAGAGAATTACGTCACAGGTAGTGAGAGTGAGGACTGGTAATTGAACTCACCATTTAGATTAGGCTCTCTAGTGACCGCCAGTTGGAATAGCCACTTGCTGAGTAGCACCACGCACTCAAAGCTTGACAACGCGTGGCGAACACTCCAGAAAAAAGCTTGGCTGCGAGCTACATAGTCCAGGCCAAGGCGAACCGGGATGCTGAAAGAATGTATCGCGTAAATAAGCGCAGAGATGATACTTCCGCTGTTTCTCAGCGGTGGGGACCTCCCCAGTGCCTCAGCGATAATAGATGGATCTCGCGTTTCCAGCTGTCTGAAAGGACCCAGATTTAAATTGAGACGTGAGTAAGCCAAGCAAAGCATTGAACTCGATGTAAACGGCACCGGGCCATTTTCGTTGGCGGGATCAATATTGGACTCCGGAGCTTGTTGCCACATTGTGGTCCAAGAGCGTAAAGCGTGCCTATTATAATACGGTACAAAGTCTTACAGTTAGTAAAGCAATTGCGAAAAGTGAACTCCATAAAGGATGTAATTTCGAAGAAAGCTTTTAGGGGCAAAAAAGCCACGAGGGGAAGTCACTCACTCAAGCCTGTTTGACTCGACCTCCGGAAACTCCGTGTAGTCATCGTTGATATCCAGTCCTAGTTCACGAATAATGTGGATTCGTTGAATTAAGCCGTGAAGAAGATAATAGTTTCCCAATGGAGACGGCACGGGACTGAGAGCCGGTGCGGAAGCCGAATTACGCAACAGAAGAGACAAAGCATCATGGTAGAAAAGCTGATCCGCACCAGCGACTCGGTAGGCTTCCAACCAGTCCATCGCATTTGAAGCGTTCCATACTCTCGTAGGACATGGTAAACGGAGCTTGACCTCATGATTTCGAATGGGAGGATAATTATTGTAAGCAATGCTATACATGTCAACAAACGAAAAGGCGGCCAATTTCGTTCGCCGAATGGATTCGCTTTTTGCCCAGCGCAGCCAGTCCATGTGCTCAGTGGTCGAAGGCTGGTGGATCTCTTGTAGACCCGATCGCCGTAGACAGCCTACCAGCAGGCTCCGAAGGTGCAACGCTTCTTTAAGCATCGTAGTGTCCTGCCAAGTCCCAACACCCATTAGGATGAGCAGACAGCGTATGACACCCAAATCATCATCCATGCCGAGCAAGTCGCCAGGTGCATCAGTAGGATTTCGCCCGATAAACCAAGAGGCCCCAGTCACATCATCCAAGTGATGTCTCTGTGACACAATAGCTTTGGCGGCTTTGAAGAACTTGGTTGAATTTTGATGTTCAAACCGATATTGTGCCCCTGCAGACATTATGGCGAGAATTAACTCCAGAGGATGATCGGTGAGTCGAAATGTAGGCAGGTGAATGAACAGTAGGTGGGAATGAAATCCTTCGAAGAACGCAGCAAGGTATCGGGACAACGTGTGCCTGGAGGGAATTAGAAAGCCGGGTGTGATGGCCCGGTGTTCCTCCAGTGAGACTTGGATTTGTTCGCGCTGAGCCTCATCCACCCAGAAAAATGCGTCCTGGCCGTGGAACTGGCGGGAAACTGGACATTGTGGCAGGTGAGTACCAATTCTGTGTATGGCCAGGAAGGAAGCACATACCCATTTCCTGATACGAGTGAAGGCATTGCTCCTTTGACGGAACGCTCGGAAGCCAGGGTTGAAAAGGAGAATCGTCGCCCTCCTTCACATTTGCTTCACGGTCTTTCGCCAGATTGTTGTTATTTCCTTCGCTCGGGGTAATGTCACCGGCGATTTCCATGCTAGCCGAGCCCCATTCTTCTGGAAATCCCAAAAACCATAAAAAGTTGGCAAATTCATCGAAAGGATAGAGTTCCTCCCGGGACGGGTCTGATATTTCATCTGGCCAGAGTTAGATATTGATGCGCTACAAACAGGTCCCTGTCGCTAACTCACGTAGAACACGGATTTCAGAGTGCATCTCATTATCATTTATTATTTCCCGAAAAGGGGCATTTTCATTTTCCTGGGTGTTTATTGTTGAGGCTGGCGTGTGACTAAATATTTGACGGGGTGATACGGCGTATGCAGCAGGAGCTTCTGTGCCATTGATCTCTTGCGAGGCCTGTAACTGCGACGGCGAGTAGAATACGAAGGGATCACGTGTCCTAGTAGCATTGTGTGGGATAGACGAAAAAGTCTCACGGAAAGGTTGCTGTACGGTTTCAAGATCTTCTAGGTAAGGTGGTTGTGGATGGTGCAGCCTGACATGGCGTGAGAGCAGATCGCGGCGGGTGAAGCTTGCACCGCAGTCACAGCCGTACGGCCTTTCTTGCGTGTCTAGTTCTAAAGTCAATCCCTGAGTCTGCAAGAGCCCCTGTGGCCAGCCAAGAGGGAGCAGCCTCACGGATGCGGCGATGGCGATCAAGATGCTCCTTTCTTCTGAACGAGCGACCACACCGTTCGCAGCAGTTCGCTTTCCTTCGGGGCGGCATAGCTTACACACCATCCACCTCTCCAATCATGCATGAAAAATTATTCTTCAGGCCAAAGTGTGACAGCCAAATTCAGGGTTGCGTGGTGGGTTGTAGGCTGTAATTTGGGAAGTTGGAGACGAAGGAGTTGGAGACGAAGGAGTTGGAGGCTTATTACCGAAAGCAGAAGCGATTGAGTGGCCAGTGAGTCAGCTCTATCCGGTCTGCTTCCCCAATTAGTTACCCCACAGCTGACCATACAGTGGGTTCTGGATTCTCTTAATACCAATCCGCCATGCAGCCTATCTTGGTCTTTATTTGTCGGGGTAAAATGGCCGCTCGGCTACATGCAACGTCTAAATGACACAACCATGTGGCGTTTTCAGGCTTGTATATCCGCCCACGACAAATCACAAAAAATATCACAAAATCCTACGAGAACAATTTAAAAGAACGAAATACGCAATGCGTATATTTATTTTATGCATTTCGAAACCTTGGATATCTACTTGGAAGTTCTAGGAAGAGTCGCCCCCGGAGGAGGAAGATTTTTAGCCTTGAAGTCATCACAAATTTCCTCCATAGTCACAAACTCAACTCCGTCGTGGGATTTGAAATAATCAATAAGTCTGTAGTATAATTAGCTTCCATAGTTTGGCCAAGGTGGAGTAGAAATCACCTCTCGTGCATGAGAACAACCTGAGGCCGGCCCGAAACATCAGGGTGGATAGAGATCGGGAAAATAAATTCATCATATTCCCGGTAGAAATAATCAAACTGGTCGCGCCAGAGGTCCTCGACATCGCGTGGGTTCACAAACCCGTGGCTATTGGCCGCCGCCTTGATAAACATCATGGGGGGGAAGATCATCCAGATACCAATTGCCTGGAATCTCCACTAGTCCAGTGGTTTGGCCCATGACCATTGGCTTCATCCACTCCGCGGCATTTTTGGAGTAATCAATTTTTGTCCATGAGTCTCCCGTGCGGAGATAGTATGCTTGGCAATCATGGTGGCTCAAGCTATGGTCGTATTCAATATTGTGGTCGAGCAGAAGTTGGGCGCCTTCCGTACTTGTTTCCCACCTGATTGAGGCCGAGTCAGTTTACCGATATCTTGTGCGGAATTGGGGAAAAAGGATGTACCATGGTGCGACACTTCCGCGTGGCGGTCTACCAGCAAAGTCTGTGATGAGCTTGTAAGTCTTTTCCAGCACGTCTCGCTGTTGTTCGATGGTCATATCTGCCGGGTTCTCGTGCGTATAACCATGTAAACCGATCTCATGACCAGCGTCTCGCACGGCAGCCATCTCCTCGGGGAACGACTCGAGTGTATGCCCAGGAATGAACCAAGTCGATTTGATGTTGTATTTGGCAAATAATTTGAGCATTCTTTCTGTTCCTACAGTGGCAGCCCACACTCCTAACAAGAAGAAAAAATGCACGGGTAAGAGATTTTCCTCTATGCGAACTGTTTGGGAGGATTATTGAAGTTCTTACCTCGACTGATATCGTTGGCGGAATCTTCCCCGCCATAGGAACCGAGCCAACCAGCGACTGCATCAACGTCAACGCCGTAGCTGATCAGAACGCGCTTTTTACCCATTCTGCGTGATGAAACGAGGGATCCCGGGTTGAGAATATAGAGAAGAGGAGACAAGCGACCACTGCAGTCTTCTGTGTGCTGAAAAGAAGGTATCAGGTGAGCCAGAAGCAACCTTTAAGTAGAGGAGAATTACATCAACCCCGCGGCAATGGAGATGCTGCGATAAAAACTCCAATTTCGGTTCTCATAGATGAGGCGAGGACTAAGGATCAAGAGCTAGAGAGAGCTGCGCACGTTCCTTTTTTCCTGGGGAAAACCAAGCGCCCCGCTTTGTTGGGGTAGTTACCTTCTTCGGTCCTCTCCAAGTCGGCTACCTTATCGGAGAGATCGGTAAATTTACCCTGGAAGCAACACGTCGATAATGACACAGAAATAATAGTTTTAAGATAATGACTTGCGTCCCATCTACGACCAATTAGAATTTCAAATATTCTATATGGCCTGAGATATATATGTGAGTGGGGAAAACATCCATAGCCCTAGAGAGATCAAGTCAATAGAGCAGAAAGGGCTCTTGCTTTTTATCTTTAATCCATTCTACAGATAGTGATATTTGTATTAAAGGTTTATATCCTCGCTCTTCAGTATCATACATGATATGAGCCAATGGCTACATAGTGTATCTTGCGCAAAAATACTTTCAAATGGATAGATACAGAAACAAGTAATTTCAGCGTGCCACACCGAATCTTGTGAAAAGAGGATCATTCAGCAGCCGACCTAAACAGCTCTCTTCAACGCCCACTAGAATCTCTATACCACCATCGGGTAAGACAGGGAAGACAACTTGGAGTCCATTGATGCAGCCAACATGAGGTGTCCTTATGGCGTCAATTGTCCCAAGTAGGGGTCCCCATGTCAGATCATATATTTTGAAATTGATCCAGGAGGTCAAAATGCAATTCTTCCCAGGGACATCCAAGAATGCAGTCGGAACCAGCCTATCGACATCCTCAACTTTCTCCACAAGACTCACAATATCATCGCTAAACTGATCATCGGCCCGAAGAACAGCTTTGCGAATCTGTACCGCAAGGTCGGCAATATTCGGAGTGCTCAGCATTTTACGGATAGGTGCCGACACTGCAACATACTCAAGGAAGCATCCCAAGGTCTCTGGATGTATTTGGGGACTTGTTCGCAGTCTTCCATCAATGGCAATATTGAATATAGAGACAGGGTCTCCTTCCAGAGATTCCAATGGTGACTGCACCGCCATCACCGTGCGCCAGAGTAGCGCGGAAAGGGCATCATTGGTAGATATCCATTCTTGGTCCGATTGCTCAGTGGCATTACTTGGAGAAGCCTCTGCCTTAAGAGCTTCCAATGATTCCGGGGAGAAGTAGAAAACCTGCCCCCGATGATGCGGCGACACCATTTTAGGTGGCGCTCCAGGTGGCGTGAATGGGAGAAGAGTCCATTCTGGATGATCTTCAATATTTCCCTTATTGCGACCCGAAGATTTCATTACTAATTCTCGGTCTTTGCAGATAGCGTCCGCAAGCTGGACGGGTTGAGGAATATCAAGTCCCTGGGCGCGACGGCATTCCTCTGCCCAAACCTTAGTCCAGGTATGAAAGGACGTGCCATCGCCAGCCATATGCAAGATGCACCACGAAAGTACCAAGCCTCCCTGAATAAAGTTGGCCTGGATCAAAGATATGGGGAGCCTTTCCCCAGGTGAAGGCCACACAGATCTCGGGCAAAATGTATCGGCATCGAAAGACGAGACGGGGAAGGACTTTGACTTCAATTCCGCATACGTGGGCTGATAAGAGCTGCGTAAATCCTTGACAGCTATGTGTGTGCCGCTACCTTTTTCCATCAACTGGAATTTCATTACTCCTTTCTGCGTTGTATCGGTATCGGGAATTGCCTCGCAAGCAACTTCTGGGATTCTCTGGGAAAGAGCGTCATACCCGGCCTTGAGGACCCTTGCAACTTCATCAATGTCGTAGTTCGCTGCTAACTCGAAAGGAAAAACATAACGCAAGTAACCTTTGGGTCCAATCCGCTCCAGTTGAGTCAGTTGGAAGACTTCCCGTGTATCAGAAATGGTTGTGATAGAACCCATATTGATTGGATTTATTTGTTGCGGCGGAGTAGGGAGAGAGTGAAATTGAAATGGAATTGACCACTGGTTCCCTGGCCCCAAAATTTCCGGGGGGGGGGGTTGCCAACTACATATTATCCATCTGGTCTTCGCCCAGTTGTCCGCCTCACGGTGGAGCCCACGTCTCGGGATTTGGTACAAATATGATAGTAAACTTTCGGCATTTGTACCATTTCTCCAATTTTTTATGCAGCAGGTTCTAGCCATACTAGGATTCCGGTAATTCCCAAGGAATTGTTGGATTGGGTTCTAGCAGGACGCGAAGGAAGCGCTAAGTATGTCTCCAAGAAGATCGCTGCGTTATCTTGGGGGCTAGTGTAAGACCATGGAAGTTAATTGGCGGCCCCCGGTAGTCAACCGCTGTGCGAGGGCGCTCTTGCTTCCTTCACGGTGGGGCCATCGGGATTTTCATGTATTTATGGCCCATTCAACGGGATTCGTTTCGAACTTGCATGATTCTTCACGGCAAGCGGCACTCGGCATGTTAGTTTGCGGATTTCTGCCACGAGTGAGCTGGCCCGCTTACCCCTTATCTGACGGCTGTCAAAAAAAAACTGTAATTAAGATCGGCCTGGATTCCCGCGAGTGCTTTTATTTTAAACTAGATTAAACGGCATGCTTTTCTGCTGAAACTCTCTTCGACTTTATCGTATATCCTTTTGCGCTTGCGGGGAAGCCAATATTGCGATGGCAGTCGACCCAGCAATTCTTGCCGTCTTCGGGCCGATCCCCGCGGGCGTTGACCTTACGGACAGTGATGTGAACGTAAATAATGGAGCTGTCATTGCAATGCTCTGTTTATCTACGGTCGCTGTCATTTTACGCTTTGTAGCTCGGGTGACCCTTCGGAATGCGCTCATGGCTGATGACTGGGCAATCATAATCGCGCTGGTGAGTTATCTCTTCAACTTCATCAAACTCATTTGTTCACTGGGAATTGACCTTGGAATTTCAAAAGGCCTGTATAGGTGCTACGACTGGTATCAGTGTCGCAGGTGAGAAGGCAATTTCTTACAACTTCATTCCTTGATCTTTGATTAAAACCCTTTTTTGAATCTAGGGAGTGGCACCGGTTCTGGACGACATATCTGGGCGGTCAGCCTGGATGAACTGATGCAATTATACAAAGTAAGTTTAGCCACCTGACCTCAATGGATATTTTACTATAAAGAGGTTGATTTTAATGTCACTATCGACCTGAATTAGCTTCTGTTCTCATATACCTTCCTCTACGCCTCCTCATGTACTTGGACCAGGATATCCATCCTCTTTTTCTACAGACGTATCTTTTCACCCCTGGAGATTTACTTGAAAGTGGCATTAGCAATTGCGGGATTCCTCGCAATTTCATACCCAATCGTTATTTGGGTCACTATGAGCACGGCCTGTAAGCCTGTCTCCTATTTCTGGACACAGTTCAGCGGCACGGAGGGGAAATGTATCGACGTGAACAAATTTTTCCTTGCCCTGGGGATTATCAATATGATAAATGATATTATCATTCTGGTAATCCCATTTCCGCGGATCATTCGACTGCAAATGAGTGCGAGGAAGAAGATTGCAATTTGTGCAATTATGGCTGTCGGGATCTTGTGGGTCTATTTCTTGTTTCCTGTCCGGGCCTTCGAAATATGGAGCTAATACATTCTCATAGCGCCTGCGTCGCCAGCATCGTGCGTATTTACTATCTCCATGTGTTTTCAAACGCTATTGATGTCACTTGGCTTATGGGTCCCGTATTCATCTGGTCTACCATCGAGCCATCAGTTGCAATGGTTTGTGCTTGTCTGCCCCATCTTGCTCCACTCGCCCGGCTTGCTCGGCAAACAATATTCTCCAGCCTTCATTCGCACAAATCAAAAACTGGAGACTCATGGAGACCACCCCACTCTCTCACCAGGCCAGACCAAGAACCTCAGAGGAAGATCATTTTTGGCAGTTCCGGAGTAAAATTCGACTACGGACTGGCTCAGATGAGGAGAGACGCTAATGACGATGAAATTGGGCTCACTAATTATGTGACCTCAAACCCTAATCATACCAAGAATTCCTCTGTTGAATCGGTTTCGGAGGACTACCATCGGGGCCATACAATCACAGTCCAGTCAAGCTTTGCCCAGGCAACAACGTCAAGACCACCTTCTTGAAGAAGGCATTGGTCAATGACCACTCAAAAAACCCTTACCAGTCTATCACCTTTGCTTTTTAGATAATATTCCATGCAGAAGCCATAAAATGTACTTAATACTATGTAACAAGTCATTCATGGATCTATACTGAAAATCTTTGGATGTCATTTTATTATCTTACTACCTCTAGTAGTAGTATGCATCCAAATAGTATATTATTATGGGGCTTGATACGCTGTACAAAATGTTTAAACTAGAAACTTGGAAGAGGATACTAGTAGTCACGGTTTCTTGGAAGGGATGAAAAAGTGGACCAGAGTATAAATTAACTCTGTTTTCATATTTTTATCCGACGGGTGTTGAGGTGCTGATGCCTCGGGCATCCCTGTGTGTCATGTTTTGGCTGTATTTGTTGCCTTAGCACCTAGGCATCATTTTGGTAACGTATTCGGTAAGCGAGTGACGCATGTAAGCGAGTGACGCACCTACCCACCTACTTTCTACTTTAAGCCTATTTTTCAACCAAATCGCCGTCTTATTCATTGAATTTATCTAATTGGATATGTATTTTTCTTATGCCCTATCTCGCTGCATTTTCCACATTTTGGTAGACGCCGTTGTGCTGGTGCTGGTGCTGTTTGAATAGGCCGTGCTGGAGGTACTGGGGGTGGTGCGAGAGGCTGTTGAATAGCCTCTTAGGCTTGTATAAGCTGCTAGGCTTCTTAAACTGATAGGCTACCCTCGTGAGCTATACGTCTAGCTTTACAAGCATACTTTTGTCTCTGTATAGCGTTTACAGCATATAGTTGCTTGTTTTCTTCCTCTAATAATATACCGTTATATATTACAATTTAGCAGCCTTTGATTAGCTGATTTAAAGCAGCTTATAATAGTGATAGCGGGCTTTTTAAGCATCATTATAAGAAAGCTTTAATCGATGATGCTTGCTTTATAAGCTCGTGGATATTTATAGGTATTTTTGGGCTAAATTCGCTTGACCGGCTATTTAGACGGATAGTTGGTATAGGGGTTTGAGGCTGAATATTTAGCTTTAAAAGAACTCGATCTAGGTCCACTGGTACTAAGCCAGCTGCTGCAAAGCTATTTTAAATAATCTCTGATTTAAATACCTCTGTATATGCTTACAGGTATATTGTAAGAAATTTGAGTTTATTGATATAGTTGATACTAAGCCGCATTTTTTGGTCGATGAAGTTTCTATATAAGCGTTTCAGAACCGCAAAACATCCGATATTAAGCGGTTATAAAAGATGTAATGAATATACTAGTATACAGATTAGAATAATATTATTTTGAGTATAAATTTCATTAAACTGTGGTGTTAAATAACTTCTGTGACTATTAAGTACTAGAAGTCAATATCGACCTTACATACGAGTATTTGTCGATAGAATAAAGAGTTCTTAAAGTCATCGAATCCTGATTTTGTCTGTTGTCTATCTATTTGCGCTAGTTTCGAAACGCTAATCTCTAGGAAGATTTTCGCTCTAAGTAAGATTAAATAGCTTTACTTTGAAAATAATAACTGGCGGAAGCGCCTACCCAGAAGCACTAATCAACTTGATTGCGGTTACCTACTCCCGATTCCCTGGTTATAAAACTGATCTCTGACTATAATATTCTGCTCTGGTAATAACTTTTACAGTTGCAGTTAGACCCATCGCAAAGCCAGTCTTATCGAAGTTATAGATATCCTCAGAAAGGATACCATACTCAGTAATTATACGCTGAACAGTATTAAACCACTCTTGAATAATCTTTGGATCCTCTTGTTGTGCTCTTTTATAGTTATACCGTCGTGAAAAGCAAGCTTTTAGCTCTGAATGGCGTTATATGAAGTTATAGACCCATTTTTCGCCAACGGTCTGGGTAGAGGTCGAACCACACTTTGCCAGTAAAAGATTTGCCATTTATCGTACTATAACAGGTCTAGGAGCCGATCTGCGTGAATCCATAGATAATATCCATTTTTTTAGCGATTCCTCTTCTGTTTGGGTCAATTTATAACTGTTGGCGCGAGTTTCAGTGCGATATATCGTGCTATGTAGTCGACGTCGGAGCATAGCTTCTGATACGTTAAATCGACGCGCTGCTTCCCGTACAGCTAGAATTTCTTTATTTTGAATAGCTTTGATAGCTAACAGGATACGGCCCTCTTGTTCTCTTTGATTTTGGCCTGATTGGGAGCGGATGGGTGGCATTGTGGGTAGTCAAAAAAGATAGGTTGCGACGCGGTCGCGTTTTTTGATGAGGTGCGTCACTCGCTTACATGCGTCACTCGCTTACCGAATACGTTATTATTTAGACATCCATCTAAATCTAGCTGCTGTGTGAGCTTGTCTCATCTCAGCCTTTTCATGGAGTATCTTGCTCAGCTTCAAGCCGCGTTCAGTACTCAACTTGAGGGCATTCGTACATTGATCAGCTCACTCTAAGGCCAGAGCGTCATGGTTCGTCAGGACCAGCAAGTGCAAGCCAAACCACTCAAACCGCACGCTCAGCCTCTCCGAGCCCTTCAATCTCAACCTTGACAAACTAAACGCCCGAACTACCTAGGTTTCGTATCCGGACCCTGGGAAGTTCACTGACACAAGTGTCAGGTTCGACTCATGGGATGCTGCCATACTAGTACGTGGTACCCAGGTAAACTTGCCATCGAGGCGCACTGGGGATATATAATAGAGAAACTAAGAGTGTACTGCCCAGGTAGGAGATTCTATCTAATTCAAGTTAGAATCCGTGAAGGGTACGTTCCTGAGGCAATGCAAGCGTGAGTCGGGTTTAAAGGCTCTGACCCATCAGTGGGTCGTCCACTGACAGCCAAGGAGCTATGTGGATTCGCCAAGGTTCAAGTTGTAGAACGAGTACTCGTACTTGATCCCTGTGCAGAAACAACGGCGATCACCTTCGTAGCTCCGCAATAATTAATTTATTCGGTTCATAGTACGACTGTTTCACGGGTGACGGGTCCATGCTCCATGCTATCGAACATTTAATACTTTATTGACGCTGCGAAGGGGATTCGTATTCGAAACAAGATCGAGTGGTAGGCATGATTGAGTAATAAACCAATTCTGAGATCTTGCTGATGTATCAAATTCTTGTCCATTAACTTCATTTTATCAATTTCTCGTTGTTCTTTTCTTTCTTTCTTTCTCAAATAGCGGCTAAAAGCCGAGCCTTCATGATGTGATTCTTCTTACGAGTAATATTCATTATCCACTTTTAGCCTAGCAGAATATGATGTTTCTTCACAGGTCATATGTATGCAGAAATTAATTGCTGTGACATAATCCTCCGCAGATCGCAAAGCCAAAGCTAACCGTACTAGGAATGTGGCCGGGCCCCGAAATCCACCACGACCCGCCCAGCAGAAATCTGACAAACGAAACAACGACCTGGAACAGGGAAAGCCTAAATTTGGAATATAATCTTGATGTCCGATAGCTTACGCCTTTGAATCCTTCCCGATGACACCCCCTCATCTTGTCGACTACAAGGCCCCCGTGCTGTTGATGTAACCAATGAAAAAGGAACAATCTATCCTTTTCGCCCCGGCCCCCAATTTCCAGCAACACGGCTGTAACAGTTTCGCCCCGTGCCATGAGTTACTTGCAGAAAATGGGGCTGCAGGATCGCTTTATGATGAAAACAGTGCAGGATTGCGATGATCTCGGCCGTCCCGGGGCCCAAGAACTGGGGCAGACTTTCCGTGTCGCTTGCACGTTCCTTCGGCCTCGGGCCATATATCATCGATTGCCCCGGACCAAAATCTGTTTCTATGACACCCCACAAATGGTCAGTGGTCATAAAGACCTGGCATGAAAGACCTAACTGTTGAGGATGTCCTAGGTCCGCCGCCGGTCGGCATGGACCTATCTGAGGACCGAGCTCCCAAGGACAATGCAGTTGTTATTGCTCTATGTGTTTTTGCGGTGGTAAGTGTAGCTCTGAGATTCATTGCCAGATTAAGGGGACCCAGGCCCCGACCTGAGCTGGATGACTGGTTGATTGCAGTTGCTCTTGTTAGTCGTTTTTCTCCCGACCATGGACTAATTAGCTTACTGACCTCTCTAAACAGATTCCCTTAATGACCCTCCTCGCTGCATCAGTTCTTGCATCAAAATGGGGAATGGGAAAGCACATCTGGGCGGCAAGTATGCAAAGAATAGTGGAAATGAAAAGGGTAGGATTGCACCCCCGAAAACCTCAACTTGTATCTATGCTGACCTATTCTGAGTAGCTTTTATTTGCTTGGATATTCGTTTATATTTTCGAACTCTTCATTATCAAAACTTCGATCTTGATGTTTTATCGACGGATATTTGGAATAAACTGGATGATCTGGACATGTCTCATACTTTCGGTACTCTGGCTTCTTGGAAGTATGATCGCACTCCTCGCTTGCCCAGACCCGATCCCTTATTTTTGGAACGAGTCCGTTGATCCTACTGCTGGGAGATTTCGATACAACTTCCATAATTACTATATCGGTAATGCAGCAGGCAATGTTGCCAGTGACGTGCTGATCCTACTCGTTCCATTCCCGATCGTCTGGCGATTAAAGATGCGGGTCACTCAAAAGATAATGGTATCTAGTGTCCTTCTACTGGGTATCTTGTAAGTTCAAAGCCAAGCCTTGTTGAGAGATAACTGCTAATATCTACAGTGTATGTGTAGCCAGCGCGGTGCGCCTGCACTTTGTCATGTATCTCAACTCACCAGATCTTACGTGGGCTATGAGCGACGTTTACGTCTGGTCTGACGTGGAGCCTTGTCTTGGTATAATCTGTGCTAGTCTTCCGGCCGTGCAGCCGCTTGTTCGATCGGTGATGAAAATGGAAAGTTTGCTTTGTCTGCGCCAACGATTGAATATCGGCAAGCCACCATCTCATAGCCGGATGAGCAGTAGCCACAGGCTCCACAAGCGAAGCAGCAATAGCAGCAATACAAGCAGTCACCTAACCCATGTGGATAGTTTCGATGGGAAAGGGGAGCCTAGCTTCCGCCCGGATGATGACGAGGCCAGGTTGACAACGGTCGTCACTCATATTGAATCTGAGCCCAGACAAAGGGCGAACTTGGAGGAGCTGTTAGGTCCAGGTTTTATTCGAGTGCAACATGATGTCGAGATTAGTGTGGCCTAGTATCGAGACCAATTTTATTGACTAATAATTTCCATGCTGTGGTTGCTTTATCCAATGAATCTAAATCAAGTTCGACTTAAGATATTGAAAATAACCCTGCCTAGTTTCACGATCTTCCGCTTGAGGTGCTGAAGGATCGACATGCGTGGCTTCCTTGAAGACTTAATGCTGCGACTCAATAAGGAAACTCGCCGGTGGCCCTAAATAACTTTCCCGAACTCCCCCAAGATCCAGGACGATTTTCTCCAAAAGAAGGTTCGGATGGTTTAGCCGCAGGCGAAGGACATGGTCCCCACTCTCAAGATCATGAAAATCATGGTTCCTTCGCCAGACGCAATCCATGACAGAGTCGAGCCAGCCCTCGGCCGGTAATCTATTTGGTACACGGGGGTCGGGGAGAAGATAATGTGATGTAGTTTGCTGATCATCGATAACAATATCGTAAGACATTCGGTGTGCTGGGTCGATCTCAAGAGTCATGTTAAAATAGAGGGTAATGGTGGCTTGCGTGGAATGCGAAAAGGTATAAATAGGATAATCAAGGAAGGAAATACTGCCATTTATTGAACTTGAATTGCCAATTGTGACAGCCCCTTCATTTTCTCGGCCAAGCTCGGGGTGATGCTGGTATGGCTCTTTGGTTCCCAGCCCCGAAGCAGGAATGGCGACACAGCCATCTGATTCGACGAAGCCAGAAAAACATTCCGGGACCCGCCGGCCATGAATAGGGAGATGAACATGTTCAAAGTCACCCTCTTTCGATGAAATGTTGATCAGAACCTTCTCATCAAATTCGGTCGGTACTTTCTCCCAATCAATCGTAATTGCGATGCGTGAATCGTCGCCATCGGGGTCAAGAACTCCATCACTTTGCGAAAGATGAATCCAGGAGTAAGGCACTGAGCAGCTCCAGTGAATGGTTTGCGTGCCTCGAGTGAATATGTCGAACCACCTTTTTGCAGGTCCATATCGACTCATCAAGGAGAGAGTTAGACCTGGGACGAGATCGCGCCGGCTAGGGTGCGTGCGTTCGCTTTCCTCGTTGATTCGCCCAGGTCGAACACCTTCGTGCCCCTCCACAGCTACTCCCATCTGACCGACAATGATGTTGCTGTTTTGACCACGCTGGACGTATGCTAAGCCGAAAATAGCATCCCTATATGGAGCGTGCCAGCTATCGCCGTAACCCATGTGCGCTTGGCACATCATATAATTCCATTTGCCATCCAGAAGTGAATGGAATTCCTGGGATAGCTTGAAATCTGCATCAAAAAGATCCAGGGCTTGTCGCAAAAGTTTATTGGCTGTGTTTCGTCGCTGGCGAGCATAAAGCTGGTTACGGGCTTGGACGACACGAAGCTGGGTGAAGATGAAGCTGGATTTGACAGGATGAACCACGAGCTCCCAAATTGCTGCCTTTTGTTCTGTTGGAACGGTCTCGTAAAGACGTTCTGAAGCTAAAGCTAGTGCTTGCCATCGTACTGAAATATTGTCAGCTTCATTATAGTGAAGCAAAGAAAATGTTTCTGGGTCAATGTGCTCGTGTTTACGGAGGCGAACAAGACGATCGTACTCGTGCCAAATAGGGACAATGACCTTGCTCAAATCTCCACAAAAGCAATCCGTAGCAAAATTATCTAGGAATTCAGGAATGCTGTCGCGACGCACGAAGTTGATGTTCCAAGCCATCGACATTGCGAATGTCAGGGGTACTTCGATCGGCTTTATGTCGCCGATGTTGAACACCCATATTTTTCGAGCATTCCGCTGGTAAGCTTCGTTTAGTTGATGATAAATTTTCCCCTGTTATATTACGTCGTTAGCAAATGCTAGTTCGTAGTAAGTACCCAGATGGTTTCCCATCACGGAGCTTCAAATAAACATACCAGTGAGTTTGAATTGATCCACTTATAGCTTCGAGGCGCACCAACGTACTCGAAATGATAATATATCTGTTTCACATGTAAGCAAGGTTCACAGGAGTCAAGAAATTTATTACTTACACCTGCACCCCCCAGCTCTTGACTTCTCGGATCCAGAAGGGAGACGGCGTAGAGTCCCAAAATTGTCGTCGGCGAACAAGAGTGTCACATCATCAGGGACCGCAAATTCACCCGCTTGATATAAGTCCTGGACCTCTTTGTATAGAGCGAGGACTTGTGGAACAGCATCCTCTCTACCGTGTACCTCCTTGAACAGTGTCCGCTGCTGTTCGAGTACATCTCGGACCACGGCGCCAGGGTCTTTTGTAACCATGCCCTTATCGTATTCCCCTCTAATTCCCATTGTGAAATATGATTCCAGACCCTTTGCGCGTGTAACGCCTTTGCGAAAAAACTCGATAATCTCCTCTCTATGGGTTGTCCAATTCCACGTGCCATCCGAGCGGCCCTCTTCGAACCACTCTGTTGTAGCTCGCTGCATCGGCTCGTGATGGGAAGTTGAGACACAGATGCCATATTCGTCTGCAAGGCGCTGATTTTCTGGATCATCGAGAAAGAAGACTGCTCCTGGGTTTGGGTACCCTGGCCACATGGCGGGCCACATGAAATTTGCCTTTAGCCGAAGCAGGAGCTCGTAGACATTCTTGTAAAAATCCGAGTTGTACCCTCCAAACTTTTCCAATACCCATCCAGTCAGCGCTGGAGCCTCATCATTGATAAATATACCACGGTATTGAATGCTTGGCTCGCCGTGGGTGGTTTGAATAGGAAGGGCGAAGATCTCGGTGTGAAACTTCGGGGGAACATCTGCCCACCAATACCATCTTCATCAATATTCGCAGTTAGCAATTGCTAATGCAATTTTAAGGGTGGCATTTTCTCTTCATAACTCACGGGGAAACTCCGATCTGGCTAGATAGTGTGTATGCGCCAAAAATGGCACCTCGCTTGTCGCTTCCAGCAATCACCAGCGACCTTTCACAGCCAGGAAAGGGGCTCTCGACGACTGCGGTGCTGAACGACTCCCATTTCCCACGAATTGAACTGCTATCAATTTTTCCCGACTCTTCGAGCACTTGGAGGATCCAACATGAATCAATCGAGCCGATAATAATCGCGTTTGATCCTTTCAGCTCCAGAAATCCGGCCTGGCCCTCGTCCGCGACTTGAAAGGGATTGGCATCGCCCTTGGTGACTCGACCGAAATCCTCAGCAAGCGCCCGAGATGCATGGTGGACTCCCTTGAAATCGTTGGAGCCGGTGAAAATCGTCGCTCCAACGAGGTCGAAAAGCTCGGACGAGCTGTCAAAAGTGACCAACTGTTCCTCAAACATAATATGATGTCAACAAGGAACAAGCACCAGCTGTAATGATGGCGGGTGATCGTGTTTCTGCTCACCAGGACCCCGCGTATCCCCGCCCTCGCAAACATCATTATTCCGAGCGGCCGACTAGCTAATCCTCCCCCTGCGGCTAGCAGGAGCTAGACGTGGGATGATGCGTCTCTCGGTTCTTGCTCGCCCGAGCAGGCCCCATAGTGGATCCAACCCCCGGGAGCTTGCGGCCATATCGTTTGCCGGTCCATCAATCAGCGGTCCTCTAGTGTTGCCGATGCCACTCAATAGCCTTCCCTTGCCTGATTTCCCACTCGCAAAACCGGCCATACAGTCTCAAAACACCGACGCCATGCCCGGTACATATCGCTGGGCGTGGGGGGTGAATCCCCACGGGGGAAGGAATGATGAAGTCCCGAGCTACGGAGATTGCCGATCCATCCCCGCATTCCCAGAAAGCCAAACTGCCTATTTGCTGGGGGGAATATAGGGGCTTGTCGCTCTGCCCTTTGATGAAATCTCCTCGAGAAGATTTTCAGTTCATCTTGTTACCATGCCGGACAAAATAGATAACCAGGAAATCGAAAATGCCGCGGGTGTCGGCATCCATGATGAAGCCCCCGACAAGAACCTCACCAACTACAACTTGGTCGATAGGGAGGTTGCCAAGTACGCCACCGATGGAGCTATCGAGATTGACGAAGCCACAAATAAGCGCCTGAAGAAAATGATCGATAAGCGGATTTTAGTGGTGATGATGATTACATACTTGATCCAAACGATCGATAAGGGGGCACTGGCCTTTGCCTCGATCATGGGAATCAAAGAAGACGCACATTTACAGGGGAATCAGGTTGGTTCATCAATAAAAAGTTACAAGAAGTAGCCATTGCGACCGAGTGGCTGACAGTCAGCAGTATCAATGGTTGACGACCATCGTCTACCTGGCAATCCTTTGTGTCGAATTTCCGGTATGCCTGCCAAAATAAATACGATGGCCAAATACTTATGGAAAATAGGAAAACTGGATCATCCAGAGGGTGCCAATTGCCAAATGGCTGTCCTTGAATATTTTCTTGTGGGGTATATGTATCGCGCTGATTTCAGCCATGCGGAGTTTCACTGGCCTAATCATCTTGCGTGCTTTCATGGGTGCCTTTGAAGCAGCATGCCAGCCAACATTTGTGATTTTAAGTTCCACATGGTACAAGCGTGAAGAGCAAGGTAGCGTCATTAACCTCTGGTACGTTAACTTGAAACATGCTAGTGGAAATATGAAGTGCCCGATCACTGATAATCCTAGGTTCATGATGAACGGAATCCAGAACATCATTGGTGGTCTTTTAGCCTTTGCATTTTCCTTTGTCCCCTCGAACTCGCCAGTGAAGTCATGGGAGGGTCTTTTTATGACTTATGGCATTATTACTGTTATTTGGGCGACTTTTGTCTTTTTCTGGATGCCCGATTCCCCCATGCGCGCCAAATGTTGGTCGGAAGAGGATAAACAATTGATGGTTGAGCGAGTACGACAAAACCAGACCGGCCTGCAGAACCGTGTTTTCCCAAAAAGAACAAGTCTGGGACGCTCTTACAGACCCTCAACGTATGTGATCCATCAGCCTTCTCTCAAGCGAACTTTGCTAACTGAATTTAGTCTATGCTTTCGCTGTTATTCAAATGGTCAGTGCCCTTCCCAGTGGGGGAATTGGGGCCTACGTCAATATCATCATCAACTCGTTCGGATTCAGTACCTGGGAGAGTCAGCTTCTGACCATGGTCGTCGGTGCTGTTGTCGCAATTGCCATGATCACATCGGCATATCTTGATCGCCGCTTCGGAAACACGATTATCATCATGATATCCTCCGTGATCCCGTCGATTATCGGTGTGTCCATTCTGATCGGGGTTCCATTTTCACCCGATAAGCGAGTCGGCATGCTAATCGCATACTGGCTGTTCTACTCGTTTTTTGCTGTATCCTCCCTTTCTTTGGCCCTTCTTTCTCGAAATGTGGCCGGGCAGACCAAGAAGTCTATCCTTATTGCTTCGAACTTTGTCTTCTGGGCGGCAGGAAACTCAATTGGGCCACAGGTCTTCCGTGACAAAGATGCCCCGCGGTATTATCTTGCGTTCTCGATTCTCCTAGGATGCTTTGGAGTTATGATTATCACTCTATGCTTTTTGCGAGTATGGTACTCTATGCAGAATCGGAAGCGTGATGCCAAGATTGCTTCTGGGGAGGTGGTTCCCGATGTTAGCTTCACGCATGGATTTGAGGATATCACCGATCGGGAAAACCCACATTTCAGATATTCATACTAAACTCCGAAGCCCTATGTGATTTTTTGAGATACAACAAGAAGCAGCTATTAGAATGGAGGAGATTGGATTTGCGTATTGAAAAATATGGATCAATTAAATATATTTATACACACCAACCTTGAAACCGACAACATTCACCGTTTTTCTCTTTATTCTCTAGACTGCTTCAGACTGTCATCATCATGCCCTTTCACGTTCAAAGTCGATTGGATACTACTAGCTACTAGTAGTACGCATTCTTCTGGTAATTGAAACAGTGGAAGTTCTCAGGTATCGCGATCGACTACGAGTCAAATAGGGGCAGAGATATTATTCGCCTACGTGATGGGACGTTGTAGAAAACATTGCCGCTTAAGCGTATGACATTCGGGATCTTGTTTCCGTGGATGAAGCCCAAGCGCCAGATAAATAGACTTCATAGACAAGCTCACAATTTGGCATGATTTGGATTTTTAACCCGAGCAGCTGGCTCCGTGGTAGCCACTTGGCATGGTACATTCATGCTGATTTTGCTTACACTTTGAAAGTCAGCGTACGTTGAACTTATTTCTCGCTCAAGTAGCGATCTTACAAGGTGCGGCGCTAAACACCGCTGAATTTTCCAATGTCCACCACTAAAGGAATAACATGCCTGCGTGCGAGTCAAACAATGCTGAGATGTACGAGTAGTCAGATTATGTTGTTTCCCCATAACCGAAATTTGTAAAGTAATCCTAATATGTTTTCTCTCATACCCCGTGATAGATCTTTTGACTGCCAGGGATTTCTTCTGGTTCTATGGTTGTTTCTATTGGAGAGGCATTGAGTGTAGCCAAAAGAAGATGAAATGTAGTCCAGGTGACGAAATTCATGTTCAAGTTGGGATACCCTGCAAGGCATATAATTCCAAGATTCCAGCAAATACCCAAATGTTATACTTTTGCTCCTGTCAGTTTGGCATTTATATTTCTAGCTTTAGGTTTCCATGGACACCATAATGGAGAGCTTGTGATAGCGACGCGGAGAATGTAACCTTCGAACCGAACTCTAATGAGATGCCTCCGAACGGGTACTTTATATCCCCGGGCGATTTTTCGCTAGGAAGCGGGAACATCGAGAAGGTTTTGATCTTTTGAATTTCCCGAGGAATCACGAGAAGCCATTTTTTGATGATACCTCAACTTGAAGAATGATCTAATATGCTTCTAAAATCATAGATCATTCCAGTGAGGTAAATTGAAGCTAGCCCCCAGTCCTTGCGTAGTTTACCGTTTAAGGCCGCGATACAGGCCATGAATAAAAATGCTTGATTCATTTCTAATCCTGACTGGTTCGTAGCGCAAAAAAAACTAACCAGGTAAAATAACAAATATTCCGATAAATCAATGCCTCTACACAATATAATGCCGAGCATCGAGACCCTACAAACAAAGGCTTCAAATCATAAAAAAAAAGAGGTTGGTTGACGTTGGAAATCATCGCGGGGTCGAAGACAAAAAAATCCGTACGATGGCGAAGAAGACCGAGGATAGAAAGTGTGCATTTTATGGTGAAGACATGGGATCTTTGCATTGTTGGCTATCGGCAAGAAAAATATCGACAACATCAAATTCATAGGTCTTCGCTTCTAGTAAGACAAGAAAGTTCTAACAGGGTCACAGAGAATAGTCGTATAATGATTAAGAACGCGTAATTTATCCACAGGTCAAGTAACCGAAACTCTAAGCAAGAACGATGGGAAGATCATACACTCCGTCCCAATTGCACACCTTTGAGGGGTACTCGGCTCCGGTATTCTCGCACTTCCACTTGTCACCGTTGATCTCGCCGGGGGCGAATGCCTTAGAGTTGACAACAGAGACATTCAACTTGATATCCTCAATGTCGTAAAGAGATGGGAAGTTCACTTGGTAATTAGGGTTCGAGCAGTTAAACTTATAAGCTCCAGACATGCCGCCAGACCTGCAGGACATTACTATTCGAATTTACTTTGGAAAGAATCATCCCTGCGGGCCGTATAGTAATTTGGAACAGGTAGACTAATGCTGTCAACATACCAGGCAGAGGAGCAAGATGTGTCCACATTGTTGTTTGGATCATTCAAATCAAAATTGACGATGCGATACGCCGGTAGTGATTGGTCGTAAAGGCTTGCAGTCAGTTTAGTGAGCTGGAAGGCCTTCAGGTCGCGCCCAACGTTGGAGGGAGCAGCAATGGTGGCGCCAGTAAGAGCGAGAAAGGTAGTAGTGATGCTTGAGGTCTTCATTTTGAGTCTCTTGGGTGACTAAAACAGAACAGTAGATAGTTTCGAGGAGATTGCTTTTGTAGATATGGAATTAAATTGTCTTTGAAAGGTTGGTGGACTGAAGTGTTCGGTCACGTATCCAGGTCCCCTTTATATCCAAAAATATGTCTATTCTCATCTCAGACTCTAACACATGATTAATACTTGGCAATGTCTCAGCTAGAGGTCATAAAGCCAAGAAGATCTTGTCACCTGGGATTCTATGGTGCCGAATTGAACAAGCCAATAGTTTTCAAGGAAAGGTAGTTGACTGAGACAAACTGCGAGAGCTTGGCTGGCCGCCTTATGGAAGCACTGGATAGCTCTTTAAATAAATTGAACATAATTGGTGGGTATTTTGAGGACGATCCTAGATCGTCGATCTATCACTGTTCCATTCAAATTCAAGTTCCGAGTCGAGTCCATAATGGTTGGGCCGTTTACGAGGTGTTCCACATTTCTCTCAGGCGTCCAACTGTACACTGCCTGGCCTTATTCTTAGGCCCTCCCATGGTAGCCTGGATAATATTCCTCATTCTCCCTCTTTCCTTCTTTCACCTGCATAGTTCAAGAAGGAGGTATTCACATATTAATATGCTTCGTAGTTTTCATTCTCTTCTCCATACTAGCATCAATATTCCAACCAGCAACAACTCATCCACCTTAAGACTGATTGAGGGAGGGAATCAGATCCACCAACCTAGTATACATCCCTTTCTTCTATAAATACTTTTGGAATTTACATGCTTCATACCTCAGCGGCGTCCCGATAAAGGAGGCCATGGACTTGGGTCCTGAGACCTTCCGAATCTCGGCGGAGTTCGAGTTGAATTGGTATTTTCGTGAACTGGAATTATTGTACAATTAACTCCCACTCGACCTCACATGGCTCCTTCCAATAGTCCGTCCCACTGTTCACAAACCCAAGCTTTTGCAAAACCTTGGCACTGCGCTCGTTGTCTCGCTCTGTTTCGGCAATGAATCTCTTCACGCCCCTCTTTTCAATAGACCAGTGCATAATCGCCTCGGCAGCTTCTTTCGCTATTCCACTGCCCCAAAACTTGGAGGAAACACCATACCGGATTTCCACCATTTCCTGCCATGGTGGGAGGGCCGGGTCTCCTACCTCTCGAGGCGGAAGGGATGTGGTTGACGCGTCGCGAATACCAGCGTAGCCAGCCCACTCAATACTACCAAGGTTCTCGAAATTTGAGCCAGCAAGCACATCGAAGTTTTCTTTGTCAATTATCGAAATTTGAGACGGGTCTTGATCGGATTGAACTGTCTCACGCAGGCCCACTGCAAAGTCGCCGATTGCATATCTCCGCCAAGACCGACCGATATCGCGCGTTTCGATTACGTCGCGTGTTTCATCATCGGTCCATTTTTTTACGGGAAATTGACTCCCGAAGCCCATTTCACAGAAGCTTGCGTCTGCGTGTAGTGCAGCGTAAAGTTGGCGGTAAGGTTTTAGTGAAACCGCGATCGGCGTGGGTACAATGATTAACCTGGGCGTCGTAATGGCGAAGGGCTGAATAACATCATTTGAGTTTGTGGAAGCCATTTCAGGGATATTGCTGCATGTGTTTTTCTTCCTATAGCTAGCAAAAGGGTGGGATGGCGTAGATTTTAAGGGAGACGTGATAAGATTGACTACAGAAATTTAAGCGGTCGGGGTCCATAAGCGGATTAGTGCAAATTTTCCCATATGGAACTCTTCCACCTGGAAGGTTCTGACGTTAAAAATAGTTCAAGTTTTATGCAGCATTTTTGTTATTGAACCCTGGCGGGTGAAGGTATAATTTGCAAATATTACGAGGAGAAAAAGATTTATTATATGACAGGAATATAGACTTGAAGAAAATAAAGCTAAAGTGCAATCTTATGCAGCATCGGCGATGATCACCTCGGCTGCCTTTTCACTGATCATGTAAATTGGGAGAGCAACATAATAACCCGGAATTTTGGGGAAGACAGAGGCATCGACAACGCGCAGGCCATCAACTCCTCGAACACGGAAATCGGCATCAAGCACAGCCTGGGGGTCTCCATCTTCCCCAATCGCAGCAGTGCAGCAGGCATGATGCCCCCAGGCCTCTCGCCGGATAAAGTCCTTCATATCAGCCTCGGAAGTGACATTAGGGCCGGGCCAGACTTCATCAAATCCGCCGTCGAGAGGAATCAAGTCATCGAAGATTGTGCGGGAAAACTCCATGGCTTCATAGACTGCCTGGACATCCTTTTCATCGGCGTCATTAGCGGTCACGCCCGTATCGAATGAATTGAAATTAATGATAGGCATGTCACGAGGATCAGTCGACCTTAATTCGACTGTACCAGCATTATTGCGGCTGCGAGCCTTCAGTGTAATCCAGGTCCAATGCTGAGCGTCTTTGAGACCCTCGTAAGAGTAGTTCGGATAATAACCCGGGAAGTTCACGGGAGCTCCCGAGACGAAAAGATCAGGTTCATCGTCGGCAACGGAAGATTTGCGGATGATAGCAATGGCAATGCCGTTGGTGGTATATGTTCCTTTGAATAGAGGGTCGTTCTCCCACTGTTCCAGACAAGGATCCGGCATGGTATACATGAACGTGCACTTGGAAGTGAGAACGAAATCGGTGGGCGACTTTCCAACGACGCCAGTCTCGTACCTGTCCTGCATGTTGGAGCCAACGCCGGGAAGGTCCACAAGTGTTGAGATACCGAATTTAGATAATTCTGCCCGTGGACCAATACCACTAAGCTTCAACAACTGTGGGGTATTGAAAGAGCCAGCGGAGAGAATGACTTCGCGTTTGGCACTGACGCTCCCTGGCTTGCCGTTGGAACCAGTCGGAGAGGCACGAGGGTCTGCACGGTAAAGACTTTGTCCAAGAAGATAATCGACCCCAACCGCTCGCGGCTTGGCCCCATCGGTGTTAAATCGGACATTGGTAACCAGTGTATTTAGTTGAATGTCAAGATGATATTTGCGAGAGCCATCATCATTCACAGCATTGACGGTTTTCATCAAGAACTCCCGTGGACCTGTTCGCTTGTACTCGGGAACGTCAACAGCCAGAGGGACTTGATAAGGGCCTGTGTCATAGTCACGGGTTGGGGAGGGATTGTTCAGGTCGCGAAGCAGAACACCGGCAAGACCAGTAACCGTGGTGATCAGCTTGCCCAGCAAGGACTGACCCGCAGCAGTCGCGCCAGCGAGAATGAGAGAAAGAAGTTTCTGATCTTCGATCACAAGTCGCAAGTCAGTAAGACTTGTTGTGAGCCACCCGTCAAATCCGTGTCCCACCAGACTGCTCGGGAGATATCGGTTACGCTCGAGTCTTGTGAAGTATTGTCGCATATTTGATGCAGACCAAGAATCGTTGCCAGTGAGACTTGCCAGTTGCTCCCAGTCATTTTCATACGGATAAATTGTTCTACCAAATCTCAATTAGTATTAAATCTTTCATAAGCGCTACTATAAGATTAGTTTCCAGACTTACATCATCGCATTATGAGCTGCGCAGCCACCCAGAGTGCCAGCTCGAGGGTACAAGATTCCCAAGGGGTCTGATCCCGTCGGCGGGTTAGGACCGACATGAAGATCCCCGGAAGGAGTTCTATAAGTCATTTTGGAGTCTTCCTCCTGGCGTGTCAAATTCGAATAGTGATTGACAAAGTAGTCCCACCTCATCGGCTCATATTCTGTTGACTGGAGCTGCAAAGCAGGCACCATTTGTCTGGTGGCGTTTCCTTGATCATCCCCTGCATCCAGAAGAAGGACCTTGAATCCGGCAATGGCTAATCTTGCTGCAAGAGGACCGCCACCTGGGCCTGATCCAACGACAACATAGTCATATTCAGAGGTGGCTCCCTCAGCCGCCGTTTGGTTTGTTGATCGTCTCTGGCTGTCATGATATTGGTGGTTCGGCCTATGAGTACTGCTAGTGTATTAGCCTTGCCTTCCGATATAGTTGTAGTGGAATTGAGCTTCTCATCAAAGAACATACGAAGCCTGGACAGCCGATAGGGCTGATAATAGCCCTAAAGCTAGGGAGAGACGCATGGCCGGCAACAAAGAAAGAAAGAAAAGGGCAAAAAGCAGGTCGAAAATGAAGTAAAGAGTGAATTGCAGTGAGAGAAAAATCCGAAATGAGAGGGAATTTAGGTTTATATGACTTTATTATAGAGCCGTGACACCTCTCCCACGGGGGGGTTTCAACGGCTTTCCCACATCATTCGGAATTTACAGTATTGATCGTCATTCTATTTATGCTTGACATTATCTCCTCAATGCCTAATGATCCAGGGGAAAGGATAGCTCCGTAACATACTGCGAAAGAGTCCTAGTGTCTCTATAACCGGCCAACTGAGCGCAAATTCCCGGCTCTATCGCACTGACCTATGGAGCAGTTTTGCAAGTGTCAGGAGAACAGACAACAAGCTACGGAATACAGGCGACGAAACTCGGGACAGTCATGTCAATTTTCATTTAGGGGGCTTCAGTTTGGATAGAGATCCCCATTCTCACGAGCATTCCCCGATAATTTGACTACACTAAGGCCATTTGACAACCGTTTAACGCTGATCACTTAGCTTCTGGCGCCACTAAATTAACGGTGGGCCCAACTTGTCCAGATTATACATACTTTCCACGTTGTTGATCAAGCTCCGTTTAAGGATGTTGTTGACAGGCCGGGTCTGCTGCTTTAGGTATAGCTGTTAATATTAGTGCCATGGAGGCCCTTATGCTTTGGAAGGATTTTCTGAGTTGAGACAGGTGGATACGGAGAGTGGGGCATTTGGCCGGTTGTTTCCCACGTTCATCCCCGGGCCAAGAGGTCCTTGCCATGCAAAGTGGTGGATACCTAAGCCGCAGGGTGAGACGGGACCCGTGTTCCGGTGCTTTGAGACCCATTGGGTTACTATATTCAGTCGGGAGAAGAAAGTACCTTTCCGAGCCAGGGGACGCAGGTGCGACTAATCCTTTTCGCCTGGCCCCTCCCTTTCTAGAAAATTAGCACTATATGTGACATTTTTTATTTGTTTTTCTTTTCGAAATCAAAGGAAATGGAAAATGTATAGCTTTCATAGTATTATGTTATTGATGATTTGACATGACCCAGAGAGTCCTTTCATGATTTGTTTGAGAAAAGAAATGGTATATCAATAAGTGGGCTGACCACCAATATTGACTGAAATGATGGACTGGAGAATATAGACGATTTGAAAGAAAGTAGAAGAGGATAGAACATTGAAGCATAAACATACTGATTTCCATCCAAAAGAATATAAATCATGCTCGCCAAGTATCAAACATGACGATCTTGATGTAAATTAGCTTGACTGGAATTTTCCATATCATCCAGTGGATGGAAGTTTCTGGAGTCACTTTTGCTTTGGACTTGAAAGCTGTTCTGAACATGAATTGAGTTTTCAAGCCGAGAACCGTTTCCTCGAGAATGAGAATTCATGCCGTATGACTTGGTGTGTTCAGTATCTCCGAAAAGTTTCGGAGAAACACGCCGAAGTAAAGAGCGAATTGCGGGCAGACAGGCACAAATGACACCAACGTCGCATTCAATCGTGCTCCAATAACCGATACCCACATAGTCCCCTATTCTTCATCAGTATATTTCCCCAATCTGGAAGGATACACTCTGGTACTTACAAGTTAGGTTCTCGGTCGATGCGAAATGTATGAGGGAGTTCAAGCGAAGGATGCTGACGAGTGTAACGCTGGGATTGAGATTTAGCATTTGCATGAGGGTTTGATGGGCTCAAAATCACGTACAAGATACCAAGGCTGAACATGCACATAACAAAAGCCTTCTTTCGCAAGGAAAGGTTTAAGTTCCAGAGTTGCCGCAGTGGCAAAACCATGACAATCACATCGAAAAGCATGTTGATTGCCGCCGCCGCCCAGCCCTGCGCATTGATATGGTTGCACTTATAATCACCTTCGCCGTCCCAGTGAAGCCATGCGCCAGGGAGTGGGCTGCACTGGAATACTGAAATCAAGACAAAGACAATCAGGTAACAGACATTGAGCCCAATGACAACATAGGTCACATTCCGGAATTGCCGTTCAGGAAAAATGCGAAGATAGAAGCAACATATCGAAATTTTAGTCATAGGTAATATGCTGAGATATATCAACTCATCCCAGAAATAAAGCTGTACTTGATTAGAACAACAATGACTTTAAATGCAGCCTGGGAAACTCACATAAAGAATGTGGGTGACATTGTCAAAAGGGAGTGTCCACATATCTCTCCCCAGGCCAGTGTCTGCCACTTTAGAAAGGTCAGCAAACAAACCATCACAATAGGTTAATAAACCAGAATCTTACAAACAGCTGAAAGTGCCGATAGTGGGATGACGAGCGCCTGGAGATAGTAAGCCAAGATGTCGCATAAATATCAACACTAGTGGAGTTACGCCGCACCATTGTTAGAGCCATAGTCCAGTCATCCCAGCCAAAGGTACCACCACAACATCTCAAACGCGCTATCATGCGAAGTATAAAAGCAACAAGAGCGATGATGCCACCTGCGACTCCAGCATAAGAAACAATTTTCGTTCGATCTCGTACGGGGGCGTCGCATGCCATCGTAGTGACATTTTTGGTAGCTTAAACATCAGCACCCTTGTCTCAATATGACCAGTTAATTACTTACTCAAAGATTGACGAATGGTGCAACTAGCGACGACACAACTCTCTAGAGCTGCCGTGTATTTAGCATCCGTACAGAGACATTTCTGATCGGTAGGTGCACATGAGGCTTCTGATAAAGAAGATTTCATGCACAGCAGCTTTTGAATGTCAGCTCCTCAAGTACCAACAGGGCTCAAGATCGCAAAGATGAATCCTTCTTACCGCACATGGTGGTAGACTGGCCGTCAATTGCGCCGCGCTGGACGCGCTGGACGCGCTGGCGATCACAGTGGCGGGCAGGATAGCCACAACCAGGAGAATACCACCTAGAAAACGCATTTTAAGGCTGAGGAGATAATACTCATTTGTGAAACAAGGTTGATGCGGAAAGCACAGCTTTGAAAAGGTAAGAACACTGAGGGAAGAAGACCAATCTCGTCCACAGTCACTCCTTAGTCAGAACAGGGGGTCTACGGAGCAAAAAATATTTATTCAGAGTCTTTACTAGTTCAGAAATTATGGCAAAATAGCCTCCAGCGATTTTCAACTGGAGATTAGTTCTCCGATCTTGCAGGCTAGGCGTGTTCGAGCCATCTGCACGGGATTCCTTAGTGGTGTATCTTTGTCGATCGTTTCAAATTGCAGCAGAAAAAAACGGACTCGCAGTCTACAGCTGAGTGTCTAGGTGTTCAAATGGACGCACAGACAACTTCACCGATGTCAACAAGTTACTAGGGTAAAATTCCGTTCGGTAGTTGGTTCATGAATCAATTACGATCTGCACCCTTCACGGATTGCATTCGTTCTGGTTCCTGTCCAGTTTCATATGCCCCTGGAGTTTGCGGACATGTGCCGCTTCCAAATTGCAAAAGTCGGAAAAAATAACCCTAGGCGCGGCTCCACGAGTAAGCCAAAAGTTTAATGAGCCGCGATCTGCGCTCGGGATTTTTGACATTGCACTCCACTTTGAAAAAGGTACATCCCGGGATACGAGACCACAGCAAGCGCCACCAAGCGGGAACAAACCCAATGACTATACCGGCCGTTGTGGCTCGAACCTTGAATCCCCGCTTACTTCTCCACAGATTGGGGTTCCAGATATCCTCCTTCCTCTCCGAGGCATGATCGCTTTGACAATGGCCCTTGTACCTTCTCTTTCCTAAAAGTTGAAAACAGAGGATGATCAGCGCTGTCATACCGTTGAAGTGCCCACAAGGGTACCCTAGGGTACTCCCGGACTTCCCCCGGCTGGACCTCGCTGTCCAAAAAAGGAAAAAAAAAAAGAGAAAAAAAGAAAAAGGGGCTCATCATCCAATTTGGCAGAATAGACAATTCACCTACAACAATGAATTTAGATTCTATATATTGCATCAGAATTGCCATGAGACCCTTGTAGACGATCTCAGCGAGGAAATTTCTTTAGCGCGAGATGCCATATTCCTCAACCTAGAGAAGCAATTTGTTGCCGGCGTTAAGTGGGGCGGGCACCTTTTTACGCGAAATAGCTGTAACGCCTGTGCATTATCTATTCCCATATGGGTTGCTGGGGGTTATGCATAATTTGGCCATGTGTTAGCATGTGGAAGAACATGTTCTTGAAGTCCATTCAGGGGTCGGCAATTAATAACCCACCATTTAATTTACAGCCGGGTAAACTGTGATTTCGTATCTAAGCGGCTATTCCGCATTTTCTGGAACAATCCCCTATTACAACCATTTCCCTGCCATCCCTTCTGAGTTGCGTTGAGAAACTGAGAAAGTGGGTAAATTCATCATGCGGATTTTCACTCCTGGGCAGCTGCTATGGCAGTCATCGCTCATTGCTGCTGCGTCCGGTTTTCCGGACCTCCATAGTGGTTCTTCCACTCATCAAGGACTGCATAAGAAGTGTCCTTTTGCGGACATTCCAGAAAATGCAGCAATTAAACATGACAAGAGGTTCTTGTTTGATTCCATGAAGTCTCCCATTGACAGTAGGTGTGAGAAAAAAACGGCAGCACGATCATACTTATAACATGTGAAATTAGTTACTGGTGACCATGAGTTTCAACCGCCTAACTTTGAGAACGGCGACCAGCGTGGGCCTTGTCCGGGACTAAATGCGCTTGCAAACCATGCCTACATCCCTAGAAGTGGAATAGTTTCGGTAAGTTTGATCCTTCTCAGCTGAGTGGGTTCATCCTTTGCTAAGAGCATCGAAGTTTGGAAATGTGATTACAGCAATCAATGAAGGTAAATGTGAAACCTTATGCGCATGATAATGCAGGTAAAACTGACCTCAAATCTACAGTGTACGGTATGGGTGTTGATCTGGCGACTATTCTCGCGATTATGGGCACCGTTTGGACTGGAGACCCACTGTCGCTGGATCCCAGCTTTTCAATCGGCGGTCGCGATACTGGGGTCAACAATTTGCTAAACAATCTTGGGGGTCTTCTCGGTATGCTTAACATGAACTGGGACCTCTTAACAATGACGCTTACCAAAATTATCTCTAGGTGATCCTCAAGGCTTGATTGGCTCCCACAACTTCATCGAAGCCGATTCCTCTAACACACGAGATGACCTTTATGTCACCGGCAACAGCCATACCCTGAATATGGACAAGTTCATGGCCTTCTACAACATGTCTACGGATGGTACCTTTGGCATGGATCTCATGGCAGAGCGTGCAAAGAATCGCTTCCATGAGACAATCCAGACAAATCCAAACTTTTACTATGGTCCTGTTACCGGACTCATTGCACGGAACGCAGGTTACCTCTTCTCAGCACGAATGTTCCGCAATCATTCTCGTGAAAATCCAGAGGGGGTTCTGAGTAAGTACATGCTTTCCGAGTTTGATCTCCCGGCGTCTTAGAAAGCTTCCTAACTGTGTTCTAGCCAAGAGTCATGTCCGCAACTTCTATGCGATCTACGGGGATGAGGGCAATTTTACATACCGTGAGGGGTGGGAGCGGATTCCTGAAAATTGGTACAAAACGCCCATTGATTATGGTCTTGTTCAACTCAACCTGGACACAATCGCATGGATTGCCAAATACCCCGAGCTTGGAAGGTAAGACGCCCATTGAAGGCTTTTTATCCACGCCGAAACTGATCTCTGTATTCACAGCGTTGGCGGCAATTTGGGCAAGGTTAACAGTTTTGCTGGTGTTGATCTTGCAGATTTGACTGGTGGTGTCTTCAACCTGACTAATCTCCTAGAGGGCAACAACTTACTGTGCTTCGTTTTCGAAGTGTTGAAGTTCGCTAGCCCAAATGCACTGTCTGGGCTGTACAAGACGCTGGCAGAACCCCTGGAGTTCGTCACAAATGTAGTTACAGAGCCTTTACTAAACTTGACATGCCCAGCATTCAAGGATCTTCAGATGGGTGGCAAGCCAATCTGGGAAGCACTTAAAGATGATTTTTCAGGTGCCATGAAGGGTAATGGTGCTTTCTAAGTACGGTATCATGGCTTTCAGGTACTTCCAGCTGCGAATAAAACACATGAAACATTTCGTTTGCAATCTGCCATATAGCACTATTTATAATCCAGTTTTCCTTGCCAGAAGAAAAAACATAATACATACAATAGTTCAAGTTCTGAACTCTCCTTGATAGCGAAATATAGCCCTGGAGATAAAGTAGTACTAATCGTGTGCCGTCGGGTTACTATTTAAGATATCTTCATGATTTCTAGTAGGAGCAAGGCTACTCACTACATATATGAGGGGAGCCGCGACTCAACTGCACCAGGAGACATACAGCTTCAATGAGGTGGGTGCTCGTGAGGCCCATCTGGGCATAATAGACACCTGGTCATCTCATGGCGGAACACAGCTCTGGAGGAAGATAGAACTTGAAAGGCTTCTCTGGCAACGATAGTATAGAAAGCGACTCGGAGGTTCCCAGTGGATAGTTACTAGGTACGATTAGTAAGCAGGTATTACTAGGATGGATCTCGTGAATAAATATATTTGAGATGAAGTCGGCCTTCCGAGGTTGGTAAAGGCCAAGTAGTAGCTGGTGAAACAGTACTACACTGCTGACAGTGGAAGCGACGCGTCAAAACGCGCAAAACTTGAACCCAGCGTACGGGAAAACTCTAAGCATTCAGACGAAAAAGGAGGATCAATAACCGGGAAGGAATGACATGGATGAGTAGTGATGTTCAAGCGTGATGTCGCAGGCACTCCGAACCTGAGGTATTCAGGCATCAAGGCCGCTGTGCTATCCATCAAGCTTCTTTCTAGAGTCTTCTCGCTCCTTACAAGTCACCATATTTTCATCCATTTCATCCATCCATCATCTACTAGGCAAATCATCCTCCAAGTTCAAGGTCCTCTCATTTGCATCTCTACTTTCGACATCACTAAATCCTCCTTGACGGATTGTTCCCACGTGTATGCGACTCGCAAGATCGTTAATTCATCGTGCCACTTGCCCACAATTTGCATGCTAGCTGGCAACTTAATATTCGGATCCTCCTGGGCGGGAACAAATCCAATCGGTACTGCAAGTGCTGGATGTCCCGTAGCATTGAAGGCACATGTGTTGTCTATTAATCCCTGTGCTGCTTCAAGTTGAGCAATTGGTGTTGCATCTGGACTAGGAAGTCGACTTGCGCATGATAGGGTGGTGGGCATCACTATCACATCAACAGAAGAGAATGCCTCGTCATATTTGTCCTTCAGCTTGCGCAATATGTTGACAGTCTTTGGATAAACGGTTGTGTGATGTTTCCAGGCAAACTCGCCACTGAGAAGACCTTCTTTACACATCACACTCATCTGAATGAAGGTTAATGGTGACCGACTAAACAGATTCGGCATTTTTCTGCAGATGCAGAACTTACTTTGCTCACGGCTTCAGGTGTATAAGGGAGGCGTTTCTTTTCAAAGAGGTCCGTCAACATCACCTGTCGTCGACCCGTTGCCTGGCCCAACATTCCCATATGATTTCCCATCTTGCTGAGTATACTGTACAATTTTTGCCCATGCGAGTGCAGAGGGATGCTAATATCCTGTACCTTAGCTCCTAATTTCTCAAATATATCAACAGCATCTCTGAATTTCGACAAAACATCCGAGTTTATCTTGTTCGGCATGCCTTCTTTCAAAACTCCAATTCGCAGGCCTTGAAGACCAAAATCACCCTGTTTCAGCAAATCCGAATAATGAGGAACGTCTCCTGGAGGCGGGATTCCAGACCCCGACCGATCATCCAAACCATCTGCCCCAGCAATAGCTTCCAGCAAGAGCGCAGTGTCAAGAACTGTATTTGCGATCGGCCCAACATAATCCAAGCTAGCATCATTGCTCGCGATACCAGTATACGGCACTAGCCCTGTTGTCGGTTTGAATCCATACAGGCCTGTCAACGCGGCGGGAATTCGTATACTACCGCCTTGATCGCATCCAATGCCCAAGTCTGCTGCACCACTTGCCACAATGGCTGCCGTGCCCGAACTGCTGCCACCAACTGAATATCCCCGCGCGTAGGGGTTGTGCACTGGGCCTGTCGCAGCGGTCGCGCTGACTGCCCCACGCGACAAATTCTCACACACGGCTTTGCCAGTAATTACCCCGCCAGCATCGATGATGCGCGATACGACGGTCGCGTCGGTATGTGGGACCCAGTCGCGAAATGTGTCTGTGCCGAGTAAACATGGCACGCCCGCGACGCAGATATTGTCTTTCAGACAGACCGTTTTTCCATTTAAAATTTTATGATTTGGGGAATCGGATGAAAGCTCGAATCGCCAGGCCCATGCTCCCAGAGGGTTGTCTTCTTGTTTTGGATAGTGGATATTCCGTCGGGGATTCTTGGTCGTGTCAGGTTCAGGCTGGTAGTCTGATTTATTAGTTAATTGTCAGTCAAAGATGTAGACACATGCGAGAATATGAGGGAGATATCGGCCTTGCCTTCCATCGCTTCGATAGATTCTATTGCCTTCTCTGTGCGTAACAGAAAAGCCTCATAGTCTGCTATCTCATCATCAGGAATATCCATGGACAGCTTTTGTGCTAGCGAGAGCATTTCTGCCTGGGTCGCCATGGTTGGAGCTGAATGGTGGCCGCTTGGGATATTTCAAATTATCTCAGGACTGTTCTTGCTCGACTTTCGTGCCCCGTTGCTTCAAGTTCTTTCATACAGGGCCCTCGGGGGAGATTCGGCACCGGCCGATAGTAATTAAGTAGGAACCTTGGAATTGGTTTTGGTTATATACCCCCGCACCAATCTCCGGATTCGCCGTGGCGAACGATGCTCCGAGTCGGCTCAAATGCTGACTCGCCGATGACCCCAAGTCCAACTTTGGGGTAAAGCGGGGCCTTGAGCCCTGGGGGAGGGGGGGGATCAAATTACCAAGCTTACTCGTGTAGATTAGCGATGTAAAAAAAATAAGTGACAGAAGCCTGTTTAGGTCATGGAAAGGATGCCACTATCGAATCGAACGTAAAGAGAAGGCGAAAACCATCGAAGCAAGAACTGAAGCTATCTAACAATGGACTAGCACAAACGACAAAAGAAAAGATGTGAGATAATTCAGCGGCATGCAGAAAAATCCATAAATTTGGAGCAATACAAAGCTACTGATGCAAACTACATCCCTAAAAGCACCACGATCAGAGAGAACGGCTATAGATCTCATCCCCTCGTCCGCACATAGACCCAAGTATAATAGCCCAAAGTCCCAACCACCCCCATGAGCGACATGAATGTGAGCGATACTCCAGTAATAATACCCTGCTCAAAGTAACCAATCTTGAAACCGGCTCTTTGCTTCGTCGAAGGAAGTGGGGAAATAGCTTCGCGCCAAAGGGCATCTGATTTGAGCGTGGCATTGTTTTCCAGAATCGTTCTAGTGGTGTATGCGCTGGCTGGAGCGTTTATTAGTTGCGGGCGTGGCTTTTGGAAGGAGTTCGGTGAATAGCGTGTTTGGGGGCTGTAGGGTGTGCCCCGAGGGAGAGTAGGGCCGACTTCAATTTTGTTAGTATGATATGTCTTCTAAAATTTGGAGGGAGAGTGGTGGAGGGGCTATCAAACGCACTTAGCATGTGGCTGGGAACGTGATTGACCCAAGAGATATCAGCATCGATAAATTGTGTCAGATACTTTGCTGAAGCTGGGGCTGCGAAGGCATAGGTTGCTGCGAGCGTTTCTGATCTGTTTTGTGTTAGTGTACTTTCGATTTTCTTTCTCTCAAGGAAACATACGCATTAATGTCGATGGCATCATCGAGACTGGTGACAGTATGCACTAGTAGAACTTTCTCATCGACCTTCTTCTTGAGCAAGGGTGATTTCCTGGTTGGTCAGCATTTTTGATCTTTCTATCTCAGTGGCACATTCATCTCTTACCGATCTTGAACCTCGACCACGCCCCAATTACTACCAGACACAAGAATCCGTGCACTGCGCTCTTTGTGAATGGAGTCTAGGAGCCCCGATCGTCGAGATGATGATTGCTGCTGTCTAGCCTCGCCATTTTCACCTGCAAGGTAGCGGGAGGCATGTTGGATGACAGCCTCGACGAATGGCTTCATGGCAAACTCGTTCACGAGAACCACATCCGGAGCGTACGCCGAACGTCCACCGAATGCAAACCGCGCAGCCACCAATGCTTCAGCAGCTTCATTGATTTTGGCAGTGCGGTCAACAACAGCTACCGTTCTGGATGATGCGGGCGAAATCATCCCATTTGGGGCATCGGATGGGATCTGTGAAACAAGCAAGGCTTTATTCATGAACGACGAGTCCGGTCTCTGCGAGACAATTGTGAATGTGTCGTGGTCCAGAGCATCTGAAAGGAGCTTTCGCAAAAGGCCAGGAAGGGTCATTGTAGTTTGCGGTAACTTTCAAAGTCAGTATTCAGCCCATTGAGATAGCATTGATGTCGATCCAGTCAACTCACTTCCAAAACGATACAATTTCCGGCCACCAGCGCGGCTGTCAGAGCAGAAATCACCGAATAAAAAAGCGTATGCGTCGTCGGGGTGATATACACAATACCCACTCCGCGGGAAGCATCAGCGCTATCCTTTCCATTCTTGATGCGATATTCAGCTTCAAGATCCTTGCTCAGACTGAGCGAGACATAATGCGCCCGCAGCTCTTGCAAGGCCAGTACGACCTCTGCGCGCACCTCCTGGCGCGTATGATACGAGTCTAAGCAGATAGCATCTTGGATCTCCGCGATATTTTCAACCAATGTAGATTGTAGACGATGGAACTGTGATTGACGATACCGCGTGTTTTCTGCGCGGCCGTCGATGTTGGCGGCGACGATGCGCGGAAGGTCCATGGTGAGGATAATGATGGAATAAGCTGGAAATGCAAAGTAGAACAAAATTAAAAAAATTGAATGGAAAAAAAAGGGAATTCAATAAAAAGAGAAACTGAAGCTAAAGAAGAGGATCCAATTTACCCCAGTACTTTAGCTCCGCCCGCAGCCATCGCCTCGGAGCTCTCATCCAACTTCCATTCGGGATGTGGGGGAGAAAGGGGGGCGCGTGGGGGATTACGCTACAATCAGCTTTAGATAATCTGTCAGCGGAGATAATAGTTGCCCCGTGGCGCGACGGATAATAATTTTAGACCAGGTCTTCTCTAGGGGACCCCTACTTTCGCAAGTTCATCCGTTCTCAAAATATCTTATGGTTTGAGCCTACTCATCATGTCGACAACCACCACCACAACCACTGCAAACACGCTCACCGTCTTGGCCGATTATGAAGTGCATCATAGCGGATCTCAACAGCCTGCTCAGCAATCTGAGCCGGTAACTTCCTCTCAACCGGCCGACTGGCCAACAGATCACCGTCGCGTGCCAGCATATCGTCCTGTGCAACAGAATCTGAGCTATGCCGAACGTCCAGCGGGGAATGGCCACCCTGCGGAGTATGCTTTCATTCAAATCATGCTTCACGGTGTCTGGTTGAATGCGGTAGGTAGTGTTCTTTTCCAAAGTCAAACGTTTACATTCTGATCGAGATAGTCCGTCGCGCGACTCTGGCGCTTTACTGGGGGAAGAATCAACGATAAAATATTCCATTACGATGTGGGCGGGGAGTGGTAGACAGCCAGCAAGCGGGGTGCTACGTGTAGTATGAAGTTCAACTTATATTATTTGTCTTAAGTTCTCGGGTTACATGCGAAGTCATTTGTTTCTTTCAAGCTTTCTTATTTCTTATCTTTTTATTCTATTTTCCAGGTTGCTCACAGCCTGTTGAACAATATCGTTTCAAATCCAGTTCATCTATGCTATGAGAAACAAGACAAACGTACTACCTAGATAATATTCAATCCCTCTATGTGAGAAGAAGCAATGCCCTTGGGATGATCCAGATATCGTTCCTCAACAACAAAGTCCAAACTCGAATCAAGTACTAGCCCTAACACCAATACCATCAACAACCTCCCCAAGATCCAACCCCCCCAATCTTCATCGGCTGCGCCGGCGAAAGAACATACAACATCCTCCCCCACTGAGGAATCCTCTCCCCATCCACAACAACATCTGGGGTAACATTTCTCCACGCATGATTAGTGCCCCTCTGCACAGCAACATCACCACGCTTAAGCAGTCTCGTCTCGCCAGAGTCCAGCACAAGCTCGACCTCTCCCTCCAACACAACGCCATAGTCCAACGAGACGGTCCGGTGCATCGGACTCAACGCTCCAGGGGGCATGTCCACGATTCGACACACGTTGCCGGTGGAAATTGTTATTCCGGGCGGAGTTGTCAGGTAGGCGTTGTACTCTTCAACGTCGGTGTTGTTGTCTAGTTGGGCGGGGAAGTGAGAAGATGTGTAGGCTAGACTGAAGTCTGCGCCGTCGGCGATTGATTGCACTGGCATTTCTTCTGAGAGATCGGTTGAGAAGATTGCTTTGCCGGACTCATCGTGGGTTGTGATGAAGCGGTTTAGTGGGCGGACGTTTTTGGGGGTGCGAGTTGTCATGGTGTCGGTGGTTTCAAGTTGTGGCTCAGGTGCTTTGGGGTAAGCGGGGGTCACTGGCAGGTTTGATGATATGAAGAGTGGTGATTTGAACTTCAATGCCCAGGTGATGAGTGGGTTTACATCTCTACTCGCCGTACATCTATATCCTTGACCCCTCATTTCGGGACCACTTTCGACCACATCGGGTACCATGGAGTTATGGGTGTCGGAGATAGGAAGCCCGGATCTTCAAGTCTCGGATTTATCATGCAGGGTCGTATAATTATGGAGTACCGCAGGGAGCTTTGTGGGGTCGAGCCGAGTGGACAAGGGTGGCTTTTACGCGTTCAAGTTTGCTTTCTACTTGGCAGGGGTCGGGGTAGTCTTCGTATTGCGCAGTACAACTTGCCAAAGTCAAGCTCAAGTTCAATTTTTTATAGAAAATACTAATAAATTTCAAACTCGGCTCAACCTTGGAAGCAATAGAATACGATAGAATAAAATAATCTTGAACAAAAACTACCAAAATCCATTGAATCTATGAACTCGTTTCTATTACCAACATCTCCTCTTGGGCACCTCTTCCCCACTCACGGAATAATAGGAAGAGTAACATAATTCTCCCCAATCCCAAAATGAATATGGTTCTGACCATCGAATCGTTCAACCGACCGATCAACCGACGAATTATGCAAAAAGATCCCAGACCCCTGCGTATCGCCACTAGAAACCTCAAGAACAATACTTCCCCCCTTCTCAACAACAACATTTGTAGGCCAAACCTCCACATCAACCGGGTAAACCTCACCAGGAAGAACAGGCAACACATCACTAGAACAGTAATCGCGGTGTGGCAAATATTCCCGATGCCGCACATGCTTCTCATTCACCTTCCTCATGCTCACGCGTAACCAACCCTTGCAAAGAGGTACGGGGTCACCGGCTGTACCGGTGTAGAAGACCTCCTTTCCAGCAGGTGAAATGTGGCGCAACGTCACGAAGAGGTCAAGATCTTGCGGTGTAGTGGAGCCGGCGTTAGCGCTCATTGAGACGTTAAGGTGTGTGACGATGTGGCCTGTGATTTCAGTTTCTTTCTCGAATGGCGCGGTTTTGAATTGGACGACGGAGGGATTCTCGATCGTGCCCAGAGCCGCGTATGAGATTTTGCTGCTCTTTTTCTCGATCGGTGCGTGGCTCAGCAGCTCGCGGGATGAAGTTAGATGGAATTTCGTATACTGGGTTCTTGCGATAGGCCACTCGTGCTCAATGCGTCGGGGGAATGTCTTCTCTGCTTCCGCGTTGTTGAATCCCACATCGCCTTTGCGGAGGAGGATGTCGACTTTGGGAGCTTTGCCGGTCGACCAGCCGGCGCGGTCGTCATCTTTCAAGAATGCGTCAAGGAAACTGCGTTGAACCTCGACTTCTTCCGAATAGTAGAAGGGGAGATCGTGGCGGCCGGCGATGAAGCGGAGGTATTTTAGTTCCGAGCCTGCTTGTGTCCATCCTTCGATGTTGCCGCGGAGGTGGAGGAGGATTCCGCCCCAGTTTGCGACTGAGAGGAGAGGGACTTGGATGTCTGACATGCTATACTCCTTAGAGGCATAGTACAGGTCGTCGCGGAATTTATTCTCTGCGTTATCGATCGTCTGATCTTGGCGATTTTCAATGAGTTCTTCTTCAGACAGATCGCCCTCGATTGTATCGGGGCCCCAGTTTCGCGCTGCTCGGCCGGGGAGTCCGTACTGGTTACTCACGACCTGGCGATCCCACCAGAACTTGATGAACGAGTTGGCCAGGATTCCACCGTGTCGGCATCGATCGCGGTAATAGTCTGACATGCCTTCCCAGGGAATGATACAAGAGAGTCCCTTCGGTTGCCGCGCTGCAACCCGCCATTGACTACCGGCGTAATAACTGATTCCCAGTAGACCGACCTTTCCAGAAGACCAAGGTTGCTCGGCAGCCCATTCTACCACGTCAAAGAAGGCTTCGCTCGTGCCCCGGGACATGGTGTCGAGCTTGCCGACCGACTGTCCGGTACCACGCTCATCGGCACGCACGACTGCATAGCCCTGGCTGGTCCAATACTTTGGGTCGGGGGTTTCCCAGGACGAATGCTCGGAGCGTTGCTCGGGGTTGACCTCGCTGTAGCTCTGGGGATGGAAGTCCTTGTAAGGAATATCCTTTCCATAGGGTCCATATGTTACCAGGACGGGGACCTTTTCTGAGCCCTTGGGGCGATAGACATTGACGCGGACGACGCCTGATTCGTCTTTCAGGGAAATGGAAACATTCTGCTCGTAGATGTAGGGGAAGGACGATTCGTCGCGGGTGGTGATATCTTTGATTTCGTTCGGCATGTTGATGTACCTGTTGAACTTGAAAGATTGAGCAAATATGAGAACAGGAAATTTGATTGAGAAAAGAATCCTGTCTCATATACCAAAAAAAAGATGAACTTATGGACCTACGTACCTGCTCGTCCCCGCTCGGGGAGGTATACGACTCCCCGCGCATGTGGAGCCGAAATGGCATCCGAAGCATCACCGGACATTGTAGCGACCGCGAACCCGAAGGATAGAGAGGGGGGAGAGGGGCACGCGGAACGACGGAGGAATGAAAGAGAGCAAGGGTTAAATCTTCAAGCATAAATAAATATTTTTCTCCTCCAGTGTGGGCAACCGTCAAATTCCTCCCATCTAGTACCAGCAGATCGAAATGACCGAACGAATCGAAAACTCTGGACTTCGCGTGCTAATTGTCGGTGCTGGCATCGGCGGGTTGACAGCTGCAGTTGCGCTGCGACAGCAAGGACATCATGTTGAGGTCTGTTGTTTTGAGTTTCTTACAGATAGTTGCCAGTGGTGCAGGTGCAATGAGTATATCTAGCTACGCGATACTGACTGCATATCTCAGATCTTCGAGCGTTCCCGCTTCGCCAATGAAATTGGTGCTGCGATTCACCTTTGTCCAAATGCCAATGGTGTTCTTCTTCGACTGGGCATCGATGCGTTGAAATTCGGCGGAGTAGAGACCGAGAAGGTAAGCCAAGTCATCCTTGCTGGAAGAAGGGACCCCACGTTGACCATATAGCTTCGTGAATATACTCCAGCTGGCGAGCCAGTCCACATCACGAATGTGAAGCAGCAGGCGGGTTTCTGGAGACACGTAAGTCAATTCCTTATTCCTTCACTTCAGAGCTAAATTGACAAGATGCAGAGCTGGCTTCTAGTTCATCGCGCACAATTCCACGAAGGCCTTAAAGCAGCAGCCCAGGCCCCGGGCCCCGGCATTCCAGCCATCCTACACACTGCAAGCAAAGTCGTTGATGTTGACCCACACAAAGCAACTGTCACCCTTGAAAATGGCGAGGTGCACACGGGAGACGTGGTTGTCGGAGCAGATGGTGTACACTCACTCACACGAACCAAGCTGACCCAGGCAAAGGGCATCAAGCCGTCTAGCTCGGGCAAGAATGCGTTCCGGTTCTTGATGACTCGTCAGCAGGCGCTCGATGACCCCGAGACAAACAGCATCGCACGAGACATGGGCGCAGTTGACATGTGGGATGGAGCAGATCGACGGGTTGTCATCTATCCATGTGCGAACAACGAGCTGCTCAACTTTGTCTGTATTCACCCAGACTCTTTGACGGCGATCGAGGCCGACGGCGATGAGTATAATCAGCAGATTAGCAAGAATGCTCTTCTGGAGGTGTATAAGGATTTCAGCCCACAGGTTCTCCGGTTGTTGGAGAAGGCGGATCCGGCGACGCTGAAGTTGTGGCCACTGCTGGATATGCCCACTCTACCTGAGTGGGTGGAGGATCGATTGGTCGGGATTGGCGATGCGGTTCACCCTTTCTTGCCATACCGAGCATCAGGTGGCGCGATGGCCATTGAAGATGCGGCCTCACTCAGTGTGATGTTGCCTCGCGGTATCGCGGCTGCCGATGTGCCCGATAGACTGAAGGTCTATCAAAAAGCTCGCCACGAACGTGTAACCACCATCCAAGAAATGACGCGCCAGTCGGTCAATTTGCTACCGCTAGATAAAAGTAAGTATTTCATCGTTTTCCATCTAAATGATCTTTGCTGACTCAATAGCCATCATGATGGTCGGCTACATCAACGGGCATGACGAATTCGACCATTCCGCTCAGGTCTTGCGCAAGTATCTCTGGGCTAAAAACCCACACATGTATTGGCGCCAGCCAATCGTCTTTGGCCCCATGCCTGGCCCCCGACAGGACTGGTATGGCAATGACCGCGCGGCGAAATCCTTGGAGGCAACCTTCCAAACGGCCTCGATCAAATTCAAGACCAGTCGCACGCTTCTACAGAATCTCTTCCCGAATGACCGGTACAGCTTCATCTCGCCTAGCACAGTTGCACGGGCCAGTTTCTCACAGACTACACTGAACGGCATGGACTGGCTGGGCGGTGGTGGATACCGACACATTGGACTGTATATCCATGGTGTGCAATACAAGAAGGAGAATGGCGAGGTACTCAAGGGGACATATATGCCTATTCTATTTGAGAGCCTTGCAGATCCCATCGTGTCGGGTCGTGAGGAGCTCGGCATGCCGAAGCTATACACAGCGATTGATATTCATGAGCGGCATAGCTCTTATCGTCTGCAAACCAGCTGGCAGGGTGCTGTGTGGGGCCACTTCGAGCTTGAGGATCTACAAGACCAGGATACGGGCGCGGACAAAGGTACGATTGGAGGGGAAGACGATGACGGAATCTTGGTATATCGGTATATGCCCAAGGTTGGCCGAGACACAAAGGGTGAGGCGGCAGAGGAATACCCGGTCTTTGTTCCGCATGCGCAGGAGTCCAAGGTCGTGCCATCCAAGGTCACGCGGGTGCGCCGGAGCAAGAGCGCCAAGGTGAACATCGATGGGCTAAATTGGGATGCACTGCCCACGCTGCACCATGTTGTGTCTCGACTTGCGGAGATCCCTATCGATGAGGTGATCGAAGCGAAGATCACCGAGGGGTTGGGGGTGCCGGATGTGTCGAGCGCACAGCGCATTGAGTAGTTCTGTTGTAGGCATTGCATAATTCACTATGATCGAAGATGTATTTCATTTACTCCGATGGGGCCATGCCTTCGCGTTAGTTTTAGTGTGCTAAATTCAATAAGACCATCGACCCCTTCGTGATGGTGTGTCAAAATGCTTGGTACTCGTCCTTTTGTAAGCTATAACTCTTGGCATGGCCGTTTCTTCCGACGCGCCTCCTCAATAGGGTCAACTAGTGCTCTGCGGAAACGAGGGCATGGCTACATTGGGTGAACTGCAGCAAAACCATGTTGGCATTTCAGCAGGTGGATGCTTTCGGTGTCTGCGCCAGCAAAGTAGTTGAATAAGCGGAGCGCTTGAGTACGACCTGGGCGTGGACATGAACGTGTGCATGAGGCAGCAGGGATGAAGTGTACGGACTCGACTCTTGCATGTGAATAATATTCTCCTGTGCCGCACGAGTCTCCAGTAATAGCCTCCGTCCGAATGTATGAACAAATTTGTTTGCCCAGGAGAACTTAGCCGCATCCCCCGCATGTACTCGGCGATGGGCCGATGATCGAGGGGTATCTCAGCCACGCAGCCACGCCGCCACGCAGTCATCCCGCCACGAGGGGCCGTTGTGAGGCTGTCGACGCATCTCGTCGATCCGTGCGGGAAAGCCGTAGATGACCCGATCCACACGGTCAGCACTGAGCGATGAATGGGCCATTCAAGAGGGGGCAGTGGTGTGTAGAGCCAGTGCGGGGTGTTGTTGCCAGCTATCAGTGGTCACCCCTTCCGACAGTCCTCGTTGATCATCTGTGCTGCGGAGCTGTTGCGCGCGGAAGCGAGTACGGAGTACATATCAAGTGGGTATCAAGTGGACTATTTAGTATTTAAGGAACCGGTTGAAGTGAGTACGCGTACTCGTAATTGGGGCCAGCCAGGCATAGGCAGCAAGTCAGACAATCCTGAGTTCTATTCACAGTGGGGAATTGGTTTCTCCTGTGGCGTATGAAAGCTGCTCATTGTGTGTGTGTGTGTGTGTGTGTGTGTGTGTGTGTCTTCGTACAAATGACAGAGGGGGGTCATCTTGTTGGTTGCGCTAGTGTGATAAGCCGGCGAACCTTGGTGAAACCGGAGGATCCGCGGCTGCCTTGGGAGCTGCAGGTGAGTCTAGAACTGGTAATGTCGGGATAGTAGTGTAGGTTAATGGCCGGTGCTAGTGTAGGGGAGAAATGAGGTGGGTAGGAGAGAGGGAGAGGGAGAGGAAAGGAAGGACAGAAGAGAAGAGAAGAAGAAGAAAAAAGAAGAAGTCATATGTTGTTGTGTTGTTGTGTTGTTGACGGAAGTCACGAAGTGGAGGAAGCAGTAAGGAAGGTGCGGGTGGCAGTTTGGGGTTGGGGTTGTCCGCACCTTCCTTGCTTGGTCTTCCTTCTTCCATCACCTTCACTTTGTTACTCTTATTAAGCACAAGCACATCTTCCTCTCTTCCACTTCCTCTTTCTCCCTACACTTACCCTCTCTGATATATCTCCCCCCCTTCCCCCCTCCCCCCCCTCCTTCCTCCCCTCGGTTGATCTCTTCCCCTCCATTCCACCACTCCTCCCCGCACCGAGAGGGTTATCAACAGTGCACACCATGTACGTCCCCGAGCCTCATGAGCTATCAGCTATCAGCTACCTGCTACCAGCTAGCTCCCACTCCATCCACAGATCACTAACTCTACTCAGGCGGATCACCGTAAGCGTCATCCGCCCTGAGCAGGCCGACTCCGACATCATCACCCTTGAAGTCGGAGGTGACATGTCCATCGAGCTGCTCAAAGCTATCGTCGAAAGCGAAACCGCCGTTCCCCCCGAAGCTCAACAACTCGTCTATAACAACCAGCTCCTGCAAAGCCCCTCGCAAACCCTCGACTCCATCGGCATCGGCGAGGGCGATATGCTCGGCGTCCACGTCACCCTCCGCGGCGCAGGTCCCAGTGCGGGTCGCCCTCCTCAGCCTCCCACAGCTCCCTCCGCTGGTCCCAGTTCCTCCATGGCCCCGCGCCAGGCACCACCGCGACCCGGCATGCCTGACCCGGAGACCATCCGCCTTCATATCCTCGGTGACCCGCGTGTGCGCGAGGCGGTCCGAAGACAGAACCCGGACCTCGCTGCTGCGGCAGATAACGCGGCGCGTTTCCGGGAAGTCCTTCTCTCACAGCAGCAAAATGAGGCTCGACAGGAGGCGGAGAAAGAGGCGAGGATTGCAATGTTGAACTCAGATCCGTTCAATCCGGAGAACCAGCGAGAGATAGAGGAAATTATCCGCCAGAACGCTGTGACGGAGAACTTGCATAATGCCATGGAGCACCACCCAGAATGTATGTCATCCAGTCTCTATCCACCCCTCAAACTCCCCTATCCCACCCTTATTGCGTTATCTACCTCTGCCCTACGAACCACGGGATATCCCGGGATCGACAAGATCCAAGATTATGCCATGCTATGTTATGCCACGCGATGCAAGAGCTAACAAAACAACTGCAGCATTCGGCCGTGTGACAATGCTCTACATCCCCGTCGAAGTCAACGGCCACCGTCTCAACGCATTCGTCGACTCCGGCGCCCAGGTCACAATCATGTCTCCCGAATGCGCAGTCGCTTGCAACATCATGCGCCTCGTCGACCGCCGCTACGGCGGTATCGCCAAGGGCGTAGGAACCGCCCCGATCCTGGGCCGAGTACACTCGGCTCAGATCAGGATCGGCGAGATGTTCCTGCCATGCTCCTTCACCGTCATGGAGGGTAAGCAGATCGATTTGCTACTCGGACTGGACATGTTGCGCCGCCACCAAGCCTGTATCGATCTCCAGCGTGGCGCCCTTATCATCCAAGACCAGGCTGTCCCGTTCCTCGGCGAGGGCGATATCCCCAAGCACCTCACGGAGGAATTCGAAGACGAACCGACGGTCAAGGGTTCCGATGGTGCAGAAGTCGGCGCTCGCACGGGTGCAGTGACGCATCAGGCGGGTCGTGAGGGTGGAGGCGCATCTGCGTCTACGTCTACGCCTGCACCTGCACCTGCAGCTGCGTCATCATCTGCTCCCGCGCCACGGATCAATATCCGGCCTGCGGCATCACGCTGGCCGGCAGACTCGATTGCGAAGATTACCGAGTTGGGGTTCACGCGGGAGGAGGCTATGCGTGCGCTGGATGCCGCAAATGGGGACCTAGATGGTGCCATTGGATTTCTAATCTGATGTGATGCATCGCAACGCAGCGCAGCGTTGCGTCTCGGATCGGATCTAATTCTTATCTCTAGACCTGTTCCCACGGTATGATATATTACCCCTGAGGTATAGATCAGGCTTGACTGAACCTGCACTGGAGAGGGCTAGGCAGACTGGGCTGAGCTGAGCTGGGCTCGGCTCGGCTCGGCTGGACTAGGCATTGCTTTCATTGGCGTTGGTGGATGAATTGTGATTTAGCGGGATTTCATTGACCATTGCACGCAACGTGTACGATAGGTGTGTGTCTAGGATATCTTAAACGATTCACATTTTGCTTCTATGCCGTGGTCAAGTGGGCGTGGGCGTGGCGTGGGCTTTTCTGCCTGTGGCTTTTTGTAATTGTAGTTGTAGAGGTACAGGTACATAGTGATACATTATTAGATTAGATGAGATATCAATTATGAGATATCCCATCATTCCCGCTTAATCTGGGTCTGGGCCTTGGAATTAGGCATGAGTTGAGCCCGTAACCGAAGAATCGAATCAATGGCCATATACGCGCCTATTTGACCCGGGGCCGATTAGCAATGATCCAATCCAATCCACTCCACTCGCGAGACGGTACAATGTGCTACTGTATGGTTTGAACTTGAACATACCCAATGCCACATAAGGCCCATAAAGCGCGGTAATATTTTGTTTCTCGGCCGTGCTCCTATCCTCCCACGCCCAGACTTCAACGAGACAAGTGAGTGACGTAATAAAGGCCTGAACGCCGAAGATGAGGAGGTGGACTGGGATGAGGGGGTGTTCTACATATATATCCAGCATGATTAGCGCACTTTTCTCAATGCTTGGGAAGCCTCGCTCGGCTCAGCTGCACTCACCCTTCAACAACCCCCACACAGCCCACAAACTAGCCGGCACATGGTACAGCACTTCCATCCAGATAAATGCGCTGAACCATGCTGGCGTGGGGGGTTCGAAGAATTTGTCGCGGTAGGTGTTGACGTAGAATGTGCGTAGGGTTGTTGAGAGGGAGGTTACGGCCCAGGAGGGTTGGAGTGGGGCGGTGTCGATTAGGTAGATTACTGGGATGTGGGTTGTGAAAAATATTAGGTATGCGATATCTCTTTTGCGGAGCATGGTGGTGGTGTGGTGGGGTGGAGGAACAGTGTAGGAATGGTGTTGGTGTTGGAGTTGGAGTGAGAAGGGAGCTTTTGAGAATGTTAGTGGGGAGCGGTCAGGTGAGCGGGGCGGCGATCGGTGGTATGTTTGCTTTTTCGAATCGATAGCTTATTTTAGTGGATCGATAGTACCTGGGCAGAGTACGAGTAGGAGCAGGAGTACAAGTACAGAGTACTCCGTATACTCATAGACATAGCATACTCGTACGATGTATCTGCATACTAGTATCCTCATACTATTATACTCGTAGTGAGTATGTACTCGGGATACCCAAAATGGGGAACCAGCGGAGAACGGGCCGGACCTTGGCCAGAACCACGGTTGGTCTCTACAACTACACACACATTGGGTATACTTCAACTTGTAACCTCCTCCTAGGGTACCCGGTATGGATATCATTGAGTACCTTGTGGATCACCAGGATACACATAGAGTAGTATTCCGTATACATACCTCGCATACTAATGCCCCAATTACATCATACGATGCACTCCTATCGGCTCCTCTGCAACCGACCTCGTACAACGCAGCATAGAGGATCAGGGCAGACCGCATCTTTGACGTCGCTCCAATGATGATCTCTCCGCAATCTGGCATTGGCAGAGCTCTGGAGTTGGCACTTTAGGAACAAACTTCCCGGGTCCATCCCGACTTCCTCCCGACTCCATCGTATCCACTTCAGGAGAGACCGTTTTCTTACCTTTCCACCTCGCTCTCTCTTCCTTTGTCTTCTTTTCTTGGCTCAGCGTACCAGCACAAGGGTTAGTCTAGGAACTAGGAACTCGGTCCGATTCGTTGGCCCACTCTTAGATCACGGCAGATAATGCAATTGCCATCCCACCCGCCTTATGCCCGCATGTCTCTTCCCAGTTCATTCGGAATCCATGCGCGGGATTCCGCTCGCCTACAATGAAGCGGTGTGTGTCGCAACCCTTGTGGCAACCCACTATCGAGCCTATCGAGTGTATCCAAGGGGTGCCCCAGGGTGGAGGGGGGGGGGAAACACTATCACCGCCACCAATCGCCAATCACTCTTCACGCCCTTCTTCCCCCTCCCCCCTCTTACCCCTGAAATTGGGCAAATGTGCGATCCGGGATGTGGTAAATTGGGTGGAAATTAGCGCATCGGTCTGGAAGAATGGCTCATGTACTCGTTCGTACTCCGTAATCTACAAACGACTTGCCCACCGATGATGCAGCTCCTATCCACAATTCGGCTCCTTCACTCCACTCCACCAGACAACGGGACACGCCGGGATGTCAGTGGTGTTAATCGCCTTGATCTGATTTTTTAGAGCACGTTTTTTTGGGGGGCCCCGCTGACCGCTCCTCTCCGACCGAACGCCCCCTAGTGGTCCCAATGCTCCACCCCCTGTCCAGAAGGTATCTATCCTCTTCGTCGGTGACCACTCGGAGATGAAAGGGCACGAGCTAGTGTTTGAAGGATGCAACTAGAACCTTGGAGCTTCGATATCGGGCCATGTCCTTGCGCTATCTGACGCGATCTCCATAAGCTTGTCCTCTATTCTATATAAGACGAACAGGTGTCGGATCAGATAACTCCCGTCTCCATCTTTTTTTTTTGCTTTTTCTACTCCACTACAGCTATACACCACACCACAGCTTGCATGCCCTTAGCCGCAACCTTGGTTGGAACGAAATAGCAAAGATGCCCTCCTCAACAGCCCCCCTCATCCGTGCTTCCAACAAAGCAAATGCACACAAACCTGAAATCCCAATTAGTTACGACATTAACATCCCCTACGTCGACGTCGAAAAACAATCCAAAATCAAAACCCCATACCCTCAATACCTCCCCACCTGGGATCCAATCTGGTTCGACCCCCTCCCACCATTTGAATACAACGACCCAGCCCTCCGCGCAGCAAAGCACAAACCAAACCTCCTCCCATCAACCAACACAGCCATAAAATTAAACCACATCCAACCAAACATCGGCACAGTCGTCGAAGGAATCCAACTAAACACCCTATCCGACAAAGCCAAAGATGAACTCGCCCTCCTCATCTCAGAGCGCAAAGTTCTCGCATTCCCAGACCAAAACCTAATCGACGACGGTCCAGACGCTCAAGAATCCTTCATGCGCTACTTCGGTAAACCAAACTACCAGCCCGTTTCAGGCACTATTCGAAACCACCCAGCGTTTCACGTTATCCACCGCGACGGTAACCGCGAGGAAATCGCCCGCTTCCTCGAAGCTCGCACCACGACAACACTCTGGCACCAGGATGTCAGTTACGAGATCCAGCCACCGGGCTATGTCATGCTGGGCCTTCTTCAGGGACCCGATGTCGGCGGTGACACGGTCTTCAGCGCAACGGATATGGCGTATAAACGACTCAGTCCAACATTGCGGGGTTTTCTGGATACACTGAAAGCAGTGCATTCTTCGGCAAAAATGATTAATCATACGAAATTGACTGGTGGTCTTGTGCGCAAGGATGCGGTGGATAGTGTCCACCCGCTTGTTAGGGTTCACCCTGTGACTGGGGAGAAGTGTTTGTTCCTGAATCAGGAATTTATTACGAAAATCCCCGGTCTCAAGGAGCCTGAGACGAAGTGGATGTTGGATTTCCTTATGAATCATATTATTACCGGTCACGATTTTCAGGCTAGAGTGAGATGGCAGCCGAGGACTATTGTTATGTTTGATAATCGGTCGACGACTCGTGAGTTTCCCCCCCTCCCCCCGGTTGTTTGGTTCTATCTGTATACTGACTGCTACTGTGCTGCCTTTTCAGACTCCGCTATTGTGGATTACTTGGATGATGAGTACGGTGCCAAGGCGCGTCATATCTTCCGCCTTATTGCGCTGGGCGAGAAGCCGATTCCAGTTTATGACGAGTTTGACGAGTGAAAAATCTGAAAAGTGTCACGGTTTCTTCTTGGGTCTGCGTTATTTGATAGACGGTTTTTTTTCTTTGGTGTCTGGTTTAGAATGCGTGCTAGATAGTTTCGGTTATACTTAATTTTATCTCTCTCTCTCTCCGAGTCTCTCGCTCTCCATCCATCCATCCATCTCACTGGTTTTCTCGTAGTACACGAACGATACAATGACAAAAAGTACAAACAGAATATCCACATCATTTTTATCAGATGGCCCACTTTACCCACGCTGCTGCCTTTCTGAAATCCTTGGCTTGGTAGGAAGTGGATTCAATTGATAGAATTTGGTCATTGATTCGCGTCGGTTTGCTTTAACCAGAAATGATCAGCGTGAGAACTTGGACTGAACTTGCGACTTTCCAATAAGAAGGATAGGATCTAGGTTCCGTGTGGCGTACTATGTCCAGGTGCCCAAGGTAATCTGCACCTTCCAACCCGACTGCATCTACTATTTCGTACTAGTATCTCTACAAACTTGAACTACACCTGGGCACAGTACTAATACTACTAGTTAGTAGCCTACAACACCCTAAACTTGAGGAACTCAAACTGAATAGATATACACTGTCATATTACCATGTGAAAATCTTTTTAAGCTTCGTGACAAAGCCCGGGGGAAAGCAAAAGGGTGAATCGCAATGCCTATTACCATCCAACAACGCCCGGCCCGGGGCACTAGAACACAAACATGCACAACGGACCACCAACAACCAAACCATACATAAAAAAGAAAGGCACTATCGTCAAAAATCCATTTCCTACATTCCGTCTCAGCCCAGCCCAGTTCAGTTCAGTCTATCACATCACCTGTAGTGATAAGACATGACAAGATGGGACAAGACAAGCAAGACAAACCCACCGGATAGCATCGGCTTCGGCTTCGCTTCTCATCACTCAACCCAGCGTGCGATCCTTCCAATGCACATAACCCCTGCAGCACTAGCGTGGGGGCCAGGCCAAGGCGACTCGAAAGTGAAAGTCAAAGTAATCTGCAAGATTGAACCGGGCCGAGGAACCCAACTAGACCAGTCTACCTTTGGCTAGACCTAAGCCAAAAGATCCGAAATGGCCGCACGTAACTTCTCACTTAACTCCCGTACCTCGGCAGCATTATGAGGACTCTGTTGCATGAGCAATAAAGTTTCCGACACACGCTCAGCCGCAGCCTCGGATCCAAAAACCATTCCGCCCAACTGGGCGCTATCGTTAAACCACCCTTGCAACAAATACACCAAATCGGCCGCGATGTATCGGCGATTAGCGCCTTGGAAGGGCGCTTCGTCTGTGTAGTACATTGCTTCCAGTACGGCGTAAAGGGACTCGAACGCTACGCCCAGATCGAGGAATAGGTCGATTACCCAGTGCGTGGTGGGTGAGTTGGCAAATGAGTTGGTGGAGGAAGAAGTGGTGCCGCGTTGGTGTTCGAGAGAGTAGCGTTCTAGAATTGGGAGGAGTTCGCGGACTGGGAAGACGGTTTCGGACATTCGGAGGCGGGAGCCTAGACTGCGGATTTTTTCAATTATGGCTTCGTAGGGCTGCGGTGAGCCTGCTTGTTGGGTGCTGGTGTGCAGGTCTTGGATTAGGTGTTGCCAGGTGGCTTTGATGTCGGCTGCGTTGCGGTAGTCTGCTAGGTAAAAGATCTGCAAGCAGATGTCATAGTAACTAGCGGAGTCGGCGTATTGGTTGAAGAGCTAGATTAATGGGGGCGGACGGTTAGTGACTGAACTACCGAGAGAAAAACATGCACGAGCGGGTGGTCTGGACTCGTTCGAGTGGGTTTGCTGCTTACCGTACTAATATCCATCACCGGGCCGTCCACGTCCTTTAGGACTTCCGCTTTACGATCGCCCGCAATCCGAGTGTCATCCTTTAGTCTTTGCAAAAGATCGTCTTGAATATTGGCCACGTCAATCAGGTTTCCGATCTCCTGCAGCAGACGCTGTCGAGACTGACGTCCGACATCGGGGGTAAAGGTTGATGCATTAGCTCGGGCGCGGCCGAGGTACTCGATCCGCTTGCTCAATGGCAAATTGAACGCACTCTGAGCCAATTGGAATTGAACCTTGGCAGCCTCGAAGAAACGTTGTGACTGGGCGTAGTATCGCCATAATAGATCAGCATGGGCGATGTCGTCGGTAGACTTGCGCTCGAGATATGTCACCACGAACGCAGATTGGGTCTGCAGCAAGCGGTCGCTCCAGCCCTGTTCTAAATACCAGTCGTACAGGCTGGTCAGGAAGACTTCGTCTTGAGAGCCGGAAATCACGCCATAAGCCTCGTTCTTCCGCTTGGCGATCTGGGTTAGTTGGCCGTCGATGACACCGGGATCGTTGGCGGTGAGCGTGTCAACGGCTACCATCACCTTAGACACGAGGTCGTAACATTGCTTGCGGAAGTAGAAGTGCTCCCTGCGGGGGTCCTGTGGGGATGTGAGCGGGTGTACGCCGAAGGCTCTGGGGGGGCATAGGCACCTGTGCGGGACGGCCGTCCATGATCCAAGAGAGCGCGAGGTTGGCTTTATCGGAGACACCGGCGACGTTGAGACATAGTTGGATCGCACCTGTTTGCGTTAGAGTTAGTATGATCACACCAATGATGTTAGATCCTGGAATGTAAACTCACCAGCAAAGAATTCATTATTGATATAGATATCCACGGCCGAGACCAAATAGTCCATGGGAAGGTTTTCGGCCACCTCCAGGAAAAGCTTGAGACTCTCATTCAAGAGGTTTCGGCCCAAGTCCGAGTTGGCTCCAGCCTCCGATGCACGCTTGAGCAGCTCTTGCGCCTTGAAAATCACCACGTCCTCGGTGCTGCAGAAGCTGCCACAGCGACGTCGAAGCGCATCCGCAATAGTCTCAACGTTGGAGCCCTTGGCGATGTTGCGATTCACAATACCCTTGACTAGCTCCTTGGCGATCTCGTGGCCCTTGCCGGTGCTGAACAGCTCCTCGAAGGTGAGTTTCAGGAATCGATCCTTCGACTCGGCCGGAAGTGTGGCAACGATCTCGTCAACACGCTCATCAAACAGAACCTGGACAAAGGACAGGCCTTCTATAGTGTGTGAGACCAGCTGCACAAGTGAGTGAACGGCACGATGCTCGGCCTGCAGTTCAACCACCGCCGCCTTGGACTCCGCCCGAGCAAGTGCATCAGGCCCGCTAAGACCCTCAATGAAGCTGCGGTTGACCTTGAAGAATTCCTGCAGCGATGAGAGGCTTTGCTGGACAGTCTGAAGCTTGGCATTTGGCACAGAGGCGGAGACTGTGATAGCACCGTTGGGGGCTTTGCCAACCGTAGCAATCTCCTTCTTCCATATCGACCGGAGGAGACGCGAGATGTAGAGAGCAATACCCTGGTGGCGGGGCGAAGGCGTCACGTCATCGATAGTGAGAGCAGTGTTGTCGCTAATATCCTGGTTCGGTGTGGGCTTGCCACCGAATCCAACAAAGATCTTGCGGGCAAATTCCAACACGTCCGGATCGCTGATTGTCGTCAAACGCTGGTCGGATGAAATCTCCATGCCCTGTCCACAAGCAACTGCTAGAGCCGTCGCAAGAGTTTCCGCTCGACCGAATCCGAGACTGAATTGCTTCAGAACCTCGTCCAGGCCGTCATGGCTGAGGCTGCCGCTACGTGCGAGCGAGGCAAAGATATCTACCGGGCGTCGTCGGCGGATGACATAAATTCCAGTATTAGTCAAGATTGCAACCTCGGCAGCAGGATAGTCAAACTGGACGGCCATCTCGTTACCGAATCCACCAGCTGTAGCTGGAAGAGGCGCCGAGCAAAGTCCAATATCTTCGGCTCTGCCACCGAGACTCATCCAGATAGCCGACTCGGGTGCTTGAGCTGCAGTCGAGCTCTCGTGAGGCCGGGCGAGTCGGCCAGAATCGGGAGAGGAGATAAACAATGTGTCCTCCTTTTGTGTAGCATCCTTGCAGGTGAAGCAGAAGAAATAACCCGGGGGGAAATCTAGTCGCCATGCGAGTGGGTGTGAGAGATTGAATTGCTCCACGAGTAGCGGGGGTCTGAATTCGGTTGCCATTGGCATCTCTAGAAATCGTCGTTATATCCACTGGCGGAGTCTTGATATGCTGCGCCTGCATGCTGGTCGGGGCATTGGTTCCAGTCGGTTCATTCCAGGAGTACGCACTAGTAGCACTGAGGAAAATGCGGTAACCAGTAGCCGTAGTCGCAACCAAATGGTATCGAGACGCCTCCGCTGCAGGGACCGGGCTGATAGCGACGATCTTCACCTTCTGGTTCAGGGTTTCGTGGGATGCGATTGTATGTCCGATATTAGCGTAAATATCAGACGCTTTCTTAGTGATAGCCAGCTTCAAGGTACCATCGGATTTCATGTGAAGCACTCGGATTGTCGATTCCGAAGAAAGAGTGTACAGCAATTTCCGGCCTTCATCCACGACCATCTGCTCCATGTGCTCGTGAGAGACGATCTGCGCTAGGTTGGACAAGCTTGCCGAGGGGGCGAAAGCCGATAATCGGGAGAGCGTGCGGTTGACCTTGGCGCAGCGACTCTGGAACCAGCGTTCCTCTTGTTGGTAGGTGAGTTCGTACACGTGGTTGTCGGAGGTGCCTCCAAAGAAAATACGACCGTCCGAATCCGACGAAGTGATAACGTTAACATCCATGCCGCGAATGGAGACTGACATCTTCGTCTCGAAGAGGGAAACTGTGGATGCTCCGCTTGGTGTCTTCTCACAGCTCATACCCAGCAAAATCATCTCAGCGGTCGTCGATACCACCAGCAGGTGAGTAACTCCCGGTAAGAAAACTCCCGGGCGCGGTTTAACCAGCTTGACCGCATTGATGCTGTTCGGTTGTTCCTCAAAGCCCACCAGGGAAGGGTTCGGGTGTGTGAAATCCCACAGGTAGAGCGCGTGGTCGATAGCCACCCACGCGTGGTTGATCTCGGCGAACAGCCCCATGCTTGTCGAGACTTGGGCGCGATTGTATTGATCGAAGATCATATCGGGGATGTTGTATGTTTTGACTTTCTGGAAGGGGGCCCATGATTGGGTGATGGGGATATCATAATCGGACGAGAATCCCTCTGTTTCAAGTTAGCTGGGGATACATCGGAGGGCAGAGAAAAGGTCCGACTTACGCGACAGATAGCTGTCCAAGTCAGGATACCGAGCTTCTTGGGCCAATGTGTTGTTGATCGTGTGCGCCCCGCGCTCTTCAACGGTCAAGGCCCGATTGGATATCTGGGTGACCGCCGGAGCCATCCTGGGCAACGGGGTCTGAGTCTGGACCTGGGCCTGGGCATGGGCCTGAGCAGGGACCGGTCGAGATTGCGGAGCAGAAGGTACATTTTGAGTCGGAGCTGGAGTCTGAAGAAAGGCTCCAGGAAGGGGTCTCTGGGGTGTCCCCGGAGGGAGGTTCATTCGCAGGTTCGGATACGACATGATACAGCTAGAGAGCTGAGCAGGGAGGAGGGAGAGCTCCCCGCTAGTGGTAGGAAGAAAAGAGGAAGCTTCCTAAAGGAAAGAATCAAAGCTCCCTCCAGTTCGGATGGTGAGGTGGAAGGTGTGGGTGGAGGAGGATGATTGCGGCGGAGGGAATTGAGGCAGTTGCAGTTGCAGTCTTTTGCGAAAAGCGCGAATCAACAATTGGAGGTGCACGGACCACCCGAGGATCTTCCGCCTTCACAATTCAATTTATTCAGCATTTACATTTACCTTTTACACAAACACAATTGATAGTCATTACTATATCCATACACAATGTCTTTTCACTTTGCTCGTCTATCTGCGCGACCCCTGCGCTCCATGCGCTTGGTGCGCTGGAACTCCACAGCCAGTCCCGCCACGCCGCCGCTGATGGTTACTCTGCGAACGGATCTGAAGACTGCCATGCGAGCCAAGGACACTTCCAGGTGAGACTTCCCTGTATCTGTGTGTTATGGGAGAGGTGGGAGAAAGGCTTTTTCCTAATTCATCACTACTCTTCCAGACTCAATGTCCTCCGTGCCGTCATCTCCGAATACAACAACAGCCAAAAGACCTCTTCCCGATCCAAACAGACATCCAATTGCTCTCACTCCTTCAAAAACGCGCAACCGCTTCCAAAGAAGCCGCTCAAGAATTTGCCGCAGCTGAGAGACCCGATCTGAAGGAAAAGGAGGACGCGCAGGTCGCTGTTCTGGAGGAGTATGCCAGCCAGGTTGAGACCATGTCTGCGGAGGAAATGCAAGCCATTGTGACCAAGGAGATTGCTGCCATCAAGGAGGCTGGAACCAAGTTGAACAAAGGACTGATCCTGAAGGCTCTATTTGCGCCCAATGGTCCTCTGGATGGCAAGCCTGTCAACCGGAATGAAGTTGCCAAGCTGGTCAACGAGGCCGTTTCCGCCTAAGTTTGACCTGGGTGGATTGGATTGCGATTTACAATACTGTTACCATAATGTACCATAAAGTGTTACCATAGTCTTATTATTAAATAGATATCCCCTCTCAATACTACGTTTGTGTGGCTTGTCCAATCCGAAAAATGCGATTAATGCTGGATATTATGAATATTCAATTTAGATAGATGCTCAAGAGAAGAAGAAAGCAGCACCACCAAGCGAAGTCGCCAGCACGCCAAACCACCACCAACGATCCGGATTAATCAATTCCTCCTTAATCACGAGGTGAAGCTCGGGATTGGATAGAGCTCGCTTCTTGCTCTTGCTCTTGTCCTTGCTATCTGCTGTCGGCATAGGGTTGAGGGTGTTGGTGGGCAGCATCTTTGGGGGTCGATATGCTAGGAACATAGGATGCATGATATTGCCAGTAGACTGGGTCAGGTCGAGTCGAGGCACTTTATGATACGCATCGAGAGAGACGGAGAAGGACTGTGTCTTGTGTTAGTAGGTTTTTTCTCTTTACTGTATTGGTGGTGGTGATTCAAGTTACCTTGATTAATTCGGTGTTGTTGTATCGAGTATAGCTCGCGGTGTTTTTCTTGCAGGGCTCGGAGAGTAACTGTCGGCCATCGCTGGCAATTGGATGGAGTATCATGGAACCATTGGCTGAAACGGAATAGCTTCCATGTTGGAATTGCATGATGCCGGAGGGACAGGATGGGTCGGTGGCTGAGAGTGTTAGCAGTGAAGTAGATACTAGACAGTATGTACTACTAAGTACTCACGATTCGCGATGGCGCGGTAGAAAGCCTGTTCATAGTGGCCTTTGCCGTCAAAAGAGTAGGAAATACCGGTCAAATTGGGCTCGAGAAATTTGTCGTTAATCGGATCGTAGAAGCCCTGGGTTTTGTCAGAAGTGCTTGATTGTTGGTTGTTGTGGTTGTAAAAGTCATACCGGACCAGTAAAGACTTGCTTCGATTTGGTTGTCCACGTCCCCACCAAATCCTCCGCCCTCAACGCCGCGGCCGTACAAACTAGAAGCGCCCACAGGAAAATCATTGTCGTTATCTCAACTTTCGGTTCACGAAGAAGAGAAGAGACACATTTCACTGGGAGTATCCATCCCTTCTTCACGGGATCAACAAGGGACCAAGACACCAAGGGACACACTCCAGGCATTCCACACCCTACCCTACCCTACAGTAGGGTAGTCACCGGTCCCACTCTTATCAATTATCGTCAGGAATCTACCCTAAACCAGAGAGAGTAATCCTCTCCCCCCTCCCTTCCCTTTCCCGCGGCAATTGGATTATACCGTACATCATTAGGAACATGGCCTTCCAAACAGCAAAGCGGGATCTGCGCAAGCGGATGCGCGGGGTCTTTGAGAATCTCTCATCGGCTTCCATTATCCAGCAATGTGAGTCTTTTCGTTCGGGGGAGGCGTGACGGGCGTGGTAGTTAAAGTCATGTCATATTTCTTGACTCACTCACACTATGTCATAGCGATCTCCGCCACAACCAGGTTTCTATCCCTGGCCGAGTATCAAAATGCAAAGAGTATAGCCGTTTATCTGTCCATGCCGGCCGGTGAACTATCGACCCGCAATATCGTTCAAGATGCTTTACAGAGCGGGAAGAACGTATACATCCCATACATCCACAAAGTCGACCAACTGTCGATCATGGATATGCTAGCTCTGAACTCCATGGCCGAGTTTGAATCTCTCCAGCCCGACAAATGGGGTATTCCCACGCTACAGTCTACGCAAGTACCTGGGCGCCGCAATTGTTTCGAGGCCACCGGATTAGATCTCATTGTCATGCCGGGCATGGCCTTTGATCAAGGATTCCGTCGATTGGGTCATGGGAAAGGGTATTATGATCATTTTCTAACACGGTATTCTAAATGGAGCAACAAGATGCCATTCCTCGGTAAGAGACAACCCCACCAAACAACTCAAGGCCATGACGAAAGATGATGATGGGGCTTGAAAAGAAAAGCCCCCGATATTTTTTGTGTCCCCGCGAAGAAAAGTGAAGCTTAAAACTTGAGAAACTGATAACTGAAACTCCGCTAGTTGCCCTGTCTCTCCAGGAGCAGTTGCTCGCCGAGGAAATTCCCGTCGTGGATCATGACTGGTTTATCGATGCGGTCGTGGTGGGTGATGGGCGGTATCTGGACCGCAGGTCGTAACCTTATCAAGCAAGTGATACGGATAAGGGAAGTGAGGTGCTAGGTTGATGGCATCAAACGGCCTGGATCAGCGACACGTTGTCACCCTTGAGCAGGATTTGGCCTGGAAGTGAAAAATATTAGCATGACTCAATTATTTACTGCAGTAGCAGTTAAGCTGCGACCTGCGAACTGCAATCTGCAATCTGCAATCCGTGAACTGATGGTGTGCATACCAAGCGGCCTCCGCTTCTCCTCCTCTGTCTTTGTAGCCTGGCGCACCTCGACCGCTTCGTCGATGACGAGGTTCATGAATTCATCGAAACCCTAGATACTGCGCATTAGTCAAGGTGCTCAATGCAGATACTTGGAAGCTCCTTCTTAGCACCAGGCCCAGGTGCACATACCCGAATCTTGCCCTCAATGCGGAAGGCCAACTGCTCATACAGCCAGATTGAAACTGTGTTGCGCTTCTGGAGGAGACTGAAAATAAAGTGGATCGGCGCCAAAAGCGTCTTGCGGGGAGCCATGATTGCGAGTGAAGGGAGAAATGAATCGCAGTCAAGTCAAGTCGCAGTCGCGTAGGCAAGTCCGACTTGAGAGGGCGACACCGTAAAACTCATGGCACGTGACTATTTTCACCATGTGGAACCTGATTGGCCGTGGCATCTGACCGCCTTGTTTATTGATGCCTGACTTCCCAGGCCCTCAGGCGTCAAGGTTACACATCACGGGCGGCACCACCAACATCCCACCTTCCTCTCTCTTGCGATTTGATTCTCCTTTGAACCACCCTTTCACCTTTCCTTTTTTTCCTTTTTTTCTAAGGTCTGGGCTTACAATTATCACCGACTGTCTGATATACGCCCACGCCCCTTCTTTTCCTTCCTCCCTCCCTCCTTTCCCTTCATCATGGCCGACAAGGAAAGTGGGCAGGCATTTGCCCCGGTCCTAGCGGCCGTCGCGACTATGCAAGGGAATGTGCCTAGGTCCGAGAAGACCCAAGCCCACGAATTCCTAGAGAAGTTCCAGAAATCTGTATGTCCAATCTCAAAGCCAATCATCCAACCACCATATTTTACCCCCTCAATGCTAACCTTCACGCGTCGCAGATCGAAGCCTGGCAAACAACCCACTCTCTATTACAGTCGCCCGATGTTCCCGTTGAAGCTAAGTTGTTCGCCGCAACGACATTGAAAGGAAAGGTGAGACAAAGCGAACGGAAGAAAAGCAGCGCGGAGACAAATATGATACTGTCGATAAGGACGCCAGCTATGCGCGGGGCTAACTCACAAGCTAGATTGTTTTTGATCTCGACCAACTTCCCCCCCGATGCCGTCGTCGCCCTCCGAGATTCCGTCCTCAATCTGCTGGTGGCTTTTGCTTCCGGCCCGCGCCCAATTCAGACTCAGCTATGTGTATGTTTGGCAAGCTTGGCGATCCAGATGCTCGCATGGAAGGATGTCCTGGCAACTGTGGGCTCCGCATTGGGCAGCAGTGCGGGGGACTGTGTGTTGGAGTTTTTGAAGATTCTGCCGGAAGAAGTGACCGAGGGCCGCAAGATCAATCTCAGCGAGGATGAGCTCATTCAGAGGACTAAGGAATTGCTGGAAGATAATGCCGAACAGGTGATGCAGTTGTTGATCGGATATTCCCAGTCTTCGCCAACGGCCGCCACAAACCCGCGTCTGCTCGATTGCATCACTTCATGGCTGCGCGAGATCCCCGCTTCCCAGGTTGTCGAGTCGCCTCTCATGGATGTCATTTTGAAAGCATTGGACAATGACGTGTCTTTCGATGCTGGCGTCGACTGCATGTGCACTCTCTACCGTGACACCCGCGATGTCAACGAATCGCTTCCCGTAATCCAGGCCCTGTACCCCCGCCTCATGGCCCTGCGACCGAAGATTGCTGAGAATGCCGAGGCGGAGGATCTCGAGGCGTTCAAGGGTATCACGAGGATGTTTGCTGAGGCTGGTGAGGCTTGGGCGGTTCTTATTGCACGCCTTCCGGGCGAGTTCCGCGGCTTGGTGGAGGCGGTTCTGGAGTGCGCTGCGCGTGATTGGGAGCGCGATGCTATTTCTTTGACCTTTATCTTTTGGTATGAGTTGAAGCAGTACATCACGCTTGAGCGTTATCCCGAAGCCAGAGTCAGCCTGCAAGATATCTTCTCCCAGCTGGTGGACATCATGGTGAAGCATCTCGAGTTCCCCAAACCAGAGGATGATGAGACCGATCTGTTTGCCGGTGATCGTGAGCAAGAAGAAAAGTTCCGTCAGTTCCGTCATCAAATGGGGGATGTTCTGAAGGACTGCTGTGCCGTCGTTGGCGTGCCCGACTGCCTGGGCAAGATCTACCAGCTCATTCAACAATGGGTGGCCAATTATGGTTCGCAGGCCAGCGACAACCACGTTCCTAATTGGCAGGCGCTAGAAGCACCACTTTTCGGCCTACGGGCTATGGGCCGTATGGTGGATCCCGAGGAAAACACCGTGTTGGGCCAGCTGGTTCCTTTGATCGTACAGATTCCCAACCAGGAGAAGATCCGATTCCAGGCTATTATGGCCCTTGCTCGTTACACCGAATGGACAGCACTGCACCCCGAGACCCTCGAGGCTCAGCTCAACTACGTTATCTCCGGATTCAACCACACTTCGCCAGAGGTCATCCAGGCCTCAGCACTGGCATTCAAGTTCTTGGGCACAGATTGCCAAAAGCTCCTTGGTGGCCATATCAACCAGCTCCACACATTCTTCGAGTCAGTGCTGGACAAACTCAAGCCTACCAGTCAAGAAGAGGTTACCGAGGGCGTCGCAGCCGTCGTCTCCGTACAGCCTCGCGAGAAGATCTATGAGTCGTTCAAGATGTTCTGTGATCCAATTATGGCTCGGATCATGAACCTTGCCAACAATGCTCAGGATGAAGAAGGCCAACGTGCGGTTGCGGATCACTTGCAGCTGATCACCATCTTTGTGCAGGTGGTGACGCCAATCTGTGCCCCCGGTGAGGAGAACCCTGCCGTGAAGTACTGCGGCGAAATCCTCCCCATCATGACTACGATCGTTATGAACTTTACCTCCTCTACCCCTATTTTGGAACGCGTTTGCCGATGCTGGCGCTACATGGTTATCTCTTATCGCACCGCCATGACTCCGCTATTGCCTACTCTCGCCCAAAGTATCGCCAGTGGCTTTGAGGCGTCTCGCGAGGGATGCTTCTTGTGGGCCACCGATGCCGTGGTGCGCGAGTTCTCTGATGGTGCCGAGTTTGTGGATCAAGCAACAAGCAATGCGGTCTACCAATTCTACGAGCAACAAGCAGTTGCGTTCCTCCGAATTATGAACGACCTGCCACCAGAGAATCTTCCTGACGGTAAGCCCCTCCCCCTTGTCTCTTCCTGATAATCTTAAGCTAACCTATCCCCTCTAGTTATTGAGGATTTCTTCCGACTGTCCTCCGACGCCGTCCGCTACTACCCCAAAATGTACATTGGCTCAAGCCTTGCTGTGCCCACCTTCTCCGCGGCTCTCAGTGCCCTCACTCTCCAGCAGACGGACCCTCTTATCGCCACACTTCACTATTACCGGGACCTCTTCGGCTTCGCCTTTGAGAAGCCAATGGTTTCTGGATTTACCAGCCCCGAGGGTGAACCCTACCAAACTCCACCAGAGGTTATGGAGGCCGTCAAAAATCTCGTTCTCTCGCACGGCGAGCTGCTCTCCCAGCGCATTTTGACCGGCATGATGTTCACATTCCCTGGCGACTGCTTCCCTGATGCGTCAGGCATCATGATGACCATGTTCCAACTGCTCCCTCAAGAGACAGGTGCCTGGTTACAGACTACCCTGCAGATGTTGCCACCTGGTTCCATGAAGGGAGGCGAAGCCGAGCGTCTGCTTAAGAGTATCGCCGATAAAGTGCAATCTGGCGAGACCCGCAAGATCCGCGTTCTCCTTCAGGGTGAGTTTCTTTCTCTCCCGTATAAGATATCCGTTTAACTAACCCTCTTTAGACTTCACCAACTCCTACCGCCGCCGCAACGTTGCACCCCGTGACGGACTGGGCCGTCTCGAGGCAACCCGCTTCCGATTCAGCGGATGAGGATGAACCCTCTGTATATTTTCTTCTCTTCTTCCCTTCTCCTCCTTTGTGTTTTAGGGAGTCGTTTCGCCTCGTCGCATCGCGTCTCGTCTCGTCTCGCCCGGGGACAAACCCAAAAAAGGAACCCACCCCTTCCTCCGAGCATTTGCACATCAGGTGTTATGTTATTCCCATTTTCCTCTTTCTCTAACGCGCCATGTATGTATGATGGCAACGAATTCCGGTGGTCTAGTGATGATGATTATGATCCGACGCCGACGCGCAGTACCCAGCTGGCTGTTGGCTGCCAGATGAGATCGAATTGGACCGGATTGAATTTGACTGGTCTGGTCTGATCTGATCTGATCCGATCGGGTTTCATCATGCTCGGGGCTGGTCTGGTCTGGTCTGGCTCGGCACGACTTCCCAGGTGCGGGATTCCTCGAGAATCGATTCCCTATTATTGTCTAGTCACGCACTATGCACCGTGATGATAGGTAGAGAATATTATGACGTGAATCGTCAATGTTTATGTCAATGTTTATGTGGACTTGCCTTCATAGTAGGTAATTATAGTAAACTCGAGGAATGTATACGGTAGATTCAAGTTGGTAGTAACGTCTGAAGGTTTGATTTACACCTGGGCAGTTGTCCAGATCATACCCCGCTCTAACAAAAACTACCATTGTTACATTTAAAATCCAATATCAAAATCAGTCTTCGTAAATCGTCCAGGCATACACAGTACCATCTATACAAAACCAAATTCTAACACTGGCATATATACAGCCCCGACAAACGCACGCCTCCTCCAGGACTCCTCCCATCTACCCCGGAGACACTCATCCCTGAAGGCTCTGATTTCCTCAAAAAATAGGCATACTCACACGATCCCCATAATCAACATTCCCCTCCAAACTCTCAATCCTCTCCCCACACGTCCCAAAAACCCGATCCCAAATCCTAGTCTGCTTCCCATAATTCATACTCTTCCTCCACCCCTTCCGATGATGCAAATCATGATCCTCAATAACAAGATCCATCCCCAACCACCTCAACACCTCCGCCAAGGGATTCGGAACAGTAGCATGAATCCTAAGCCCACTATGACCCGCAACTTCCGCAAAAAGAACATATAATTGACAAACATGCCACTCATAAAATCCCATCGGAAATCGCAATCCGTACTTCATCGTTATCCACGCCAGTAGCGGGATCCCCGCAATGTCGAAAAACTCCTGGATCGAGTCTGCGTATATGGTTAAGAGGGGGTTTGGATGTTTGGTCAGATGGTGCGTGCGGTGGTATTTCCATAATGGTGAGACGTCGTGCATTAATCGGTGATACCAGTAGAACCAGAAGTCGACAGCGATGCTGTATAAGGATATTTCGAAGAAGAGTCGGACCGGATGATGAAGGAGTGATAGGAGGGGATTTGAAAAATCTTCCGTGTCCGTATTGTTATATGTGAGCCAAGTCGTAAAGGCCGGTCTCAAGAACCCGGCCAAAAATACTGATAGTAGTGTTTTGCCGACTCCCGCGTCTGGAACCCCGTCACGGGCGTGTTTGTCGCCGTCAAGATAGCCGTATTTATGCCCCAATTCGCGCATCGAGCGTAATTGGCGGAAGGCGAAGAATCGAGAGGCTTGGTAGTAAAAAATAAATGCTATTATTGGGTGAAAGGGGATATTGGTGAAATAAAGCCAGAGCTGGTGTATGGCTAATGGGATGCTGGCATGGATTAAGATCCAGCGGTGTGATTGCCAGTCTGGGAGATGGGGGAGTTTGTCGGTTTTTGCGTGCACGGGGACGGGGCGGGATAGGTCTTCGTGGAAGACGTTGGCGTGGTTGAGGATTTTGTGTGGGATGCCCCATTGGCTTTTGTCTGTTCGCCAGGTTGATTTCATTGAGTCTTTTGGGTTGCTCATTTTGGCGGTTGTGCCAGGGAGTTTTTGCCCTGTTCCCAGCCTGGATGTATACTACTAGTAATAGTAGTAGATGGTAGTAGATGTAAAGTGGAAGGCGAAGGCACCAGCCTGTGGGGTAGAGGTAGAGGGCCTCATCTTTTATAATAAGTATTAACTAGACTCTGTTCAGAATATGAAAATTGGGGTTCGGCAGGTTGGCGCGGTTCAGAGAGACCTCGGTTCATGTGTATGGGAGTGACTCGTTTTTGAGGTTCTTCAGGCTGATGGTTGACAGGGCTGGCAATGTTCCTATTGGTCATTCGCAGAGGTTACTGTTTACGAATTAGACCGAGATCTCAATTTGGGGATGATCTACTCTGTACATGCTGGAATCTGCGGATCGTTGAGGATGCAGGTAACCTTAAGCTTGTCAGTGGGCAGTAAATCTGATAGTAGTGATTAGCAATGACAGCATACTATTAATCTGCCCAGGGGGACTTCATATCGCATCACTACTAGGAGTCTGTCGATACTCGTAGTACTCGGTACGAGTATCCTGGAAATATCCGCTCTTCTTATAGTAAAGATCGACGTTGCAGCCCTAGTGTGCCTGAATATTAAGGTGTCCGTCGTCACTGCCAAGGTTGTGACTGACAGATGCCAGATGTGTTGAATATGGGGTATCTACTCTTTAAAAAGATGAAATCTAAGTCATTATCTAGGTAGTAATTCTTAGTGTGAAATTGGAAGTTGTCATCTTTCAAGTTGGCCGTACTACTAGTAGTAGTAGTACCAGTAAGTTGCAGTACTACTATAAATGCCGATGTTTCTTATTATATATATGCCCAGTCCACAAGTGATATCCTCGTATCAACTGCCAGCCACACAACTTGTACACACTAAGGATTCATTATTAGAAATGTCTAAAATACTACTACTAGTAACTGAATATACCTAGGTACTAAATATATCACAATACTATCCCCACCTAATACTAATACTGTATACTCTATACTACTACTGTGCATCCCCAGACTCGGCAACCCCACCTGCGCGTCTCCGCACTCCCCGGAGAACTTTGTTCCTCGCGCTCACACCTCACTCCTCCACCTCCACTTCACCTTGACCTCACTTCACCTCGCCTCAACTTATTACCTACTAAGGTCTCGGTGCCTCCCAGCAACTACATCCAGGGATTCATTGTCGGCTGTCTCCCGCTCTCCCGCTCTCCTCCCATCACTGTATCCTGTGGTGTCCGGTGATCATCCGGGCTATGGCACCCAATGGTGCTGTCTGCAGTTAACCCAGACCTCATGGAGGATGATCAACCCTCCAAGCGGCGCCGTCGCAGCCGTCGCGCCCCCTCAGATCGAAAGTTCGAGTGTACCCATGAAGGCTGTGGCAAGAGTTACTCGCGCGCCGAACATCTCTACCGGCACCAGCTCAACCGTACGTTCGCAAAGAAGCTCCCCCTCCTCTCTCTTCACTGCTGACCATACCAGACACACCCAAGCAAATCTTCCGCTGCGACTTCCCCAACTGCTACCGATCTTTCGTCCGACAAGACCTCTGCGTTCGCCATCGCGAACGCCACACCACCCGCGGCTCCCAACTGCAAAAGCGCGACTCCTTCGCCGATTCCCACGATGAGCCCTCCAAAGCCCTCATCTCGACCTCCTCCCCCTCCTCCCCTTCAATGACCCCTGCAGATTACTCTTTCATGACCGAGCCACCCACCACAAACTCCAAATCCCCACCAACATCCACCTCCTACCCGCTCTCCACAGGCATCGACACAGCCGGCATCCCGGTCTCGGGATACACAGATTTCCCCGGTGTCGTCAGTCAGCCAGACACAATGCTCGAATTCGAGTCCATGTCAAACTCATACCCGATCTTCGGCGGCGAGACATATAACCGCTCGCCTTTCGCCATGGCAGATGACTTCGCAGCGTGGTTATTCAGTGAACCAATGGCGCCGCTAGGCTACGGCATGATGCCCTTCGTTCAAAACCAGCACCAAAACCAATTCTACGTTAACGAACCCAACTACAATAATTTCTGCACGGTCATCCCGCAGCACCCGATGAGTGTGACGTCGATTTTAGACTCCAATTCATTACCCGCCATCATCTCCGAGGAAAAACGCCAGGAATTACTCCACCTCATGGCAACTCGCTTCAACGAAGCAGCCTACTCCGCCGACACAAAGCGCAAAGACGCCCTAATGGACGGCGACCTCAACAGCGATCGACACGTCCTCAGCTTGCGCATGATGCAAGCCTACATCGGATCATATTGGTACCACTTCCACACGCAAATGCCAATCCTGCACCAACCGACCTTCGCCGCAGACCGCACCCCGAATTTACTCCTACTAGTGATTATGGCGATCGGGGCTGCATCACTAGACAAGAACCACGGCCAAGCGACGACAGAAACTGCGGCCGAATTGGCAAATTTCATCGCGTGGCATTTACGCTGGGAACTCTTCATGGATGCGGATTTCCGTCCCCCCGCGAGACTTTGGGTCTTCCAGGCCCTTCTTTTACTAGAGGTTTTTGAAAAGACATTTTCTACGCGCGCCCTTCATGAACGTGCGCACATTCACCACGATACCACGCTTACGCTTATGCGACGTGGTAGTTCGCTTATTGGTCGTGCTTCGTTTGATTCGCCCGATACGAAGGAGGAAGATGAGTCGTGGGCTCATTGGATAAAAGCGGAGGCTACGCGGCGTGTGGCTTTCGCTGCGTTTGTGCTCGACTCAACCCATGCGACTATGTTCGGGCACTCGGCTAAAATGGTTGCGCATGAGTTGAGACTTCCGCTTCCGTGTGACGAGGCACTTTGGGCGGCGACTAGTGCTGCGGAGGTTGCTAGGGTTCAATCCAGCTTGCAGTCCCATGGTGTGAGGCCGGTTATGTTTCTTGATGGACTTAAGCGGACGTTGAATGGTCAGCCTGTGCGGACGAATTCATTTGGCCGGATCATTCTCATGGCTGGATTGTTGAGTGTGAGCTGGCATTTGAATCAGAGAGATCTGCAGGTTAGTTCGCTGGGCGTCGGACAGACGCTCGGTGGTCGGGATAAATGGCGAACGTCCCTTCTTCGAGCCTTTGATAATTGGCGTCGGGATTTCGACGAGGCGCTTGGTCCGGCGACTTCGACCGAGTCCGAGACTAGGGATGTGTTGCATGGTCTTGCGCATATGGCGTCTCATGTGGATATTGTTGATCTTCAGATCTTTGCAGGCGCGGGTCGATTGATGGGTCGATCTATTACGGCGCGCGATTACAGCACCGCGCGTGAGAAGACGGAGCGTTGGGCTACGAAGGCGTCGGCCCGTGATGCTACCTTTTACGCATTGAAGTTCCTACACGCTTGTTTCTCGGTGTCGAGTCCGGATCCCGCACTGCGGTCGGCGGAGTATAATGCTCGTGAGGATTATTTACTTAATCGGCCGTGGGTGATGTATTTTGCTGCATTGGTGGTGTGGACGTATGGGTTTGCGTTGGATGGGCCATTACGTCCGCCGCCGGTGCTGGTGACTCCGATCGATTGTCGAGCTGATATGCAGACCTTCTTGGCGAGGGTTGGTTCTGTTCGCGAACCGAATGATCTGGAGGGGATGGAGGGTAGGAATCGGTGTTTGGGACTGTTGATGATTCTGCGAGATTCGTTTTCGAGGCCGCGGTGGGAGTTGCTGGGGGAGGCGGCGGCGCTGCTGGACAGCTGCATTGCGAAATTGAGGTCTTAGGACTGTGTGGAGTATATATGAGTATGAGCCTGAGTAATTAAATAACTACTATCACTGTGATTGTCTATAGTATCCCATCTACGCTAGACTAGGCTGGGCTGTGGGCACTTTGTATACGCTAGTTGTTGCCCGCGCAACGGCCGATCGTCTTCATCTCGCCCAAATCCACCATCCACACCACTCTCATCCTCACTCATTCACCCTAATCCCCCATTCCAATCTCCAAATCGGAACCAGATCTAGTTTACTCCGGAATCGAACGTTACATCCATCCCATCATGGTGAGTGTTGACGCATTGCCTCTTCGGCTGACTTTCCCCGCCCCCGACTGAACCAGTTAACCTTCATCCCTGGATTGCCCTGCCTTTGCCCCTCGCACCACAACACTCTCCAACACAACACTCCCCCCTTCAACTCTACCCTCAACTCAACTCTACTCCCACACATACACCACAACATGGCTAACAGGAACGAGGCCTCCACAAACTACAAAGAGGCTTTCTCCCTCTTCGACCGCCGCGGTACCGGTCTCGTCGCTAAGGACCTGCTCGGCGACCTCCTGCGCGCCTGCGGCCAGAATCCCACCAAGGCTGAGATTGGCGATTTGGAAGGATCCATCGGGGGTGACTGTACGTACCGCTCCATCACACTGTACTGCACTGCACTGCAACTGGCAGTGGCAGTCAAACGAGACGGGGAACCATTACTGACAACTGTTATTATCCACAGTCGACTTCGACTCCTTCCTGAAAGTTCTCAACCGACCCGGCGGCTTCCGTGATCCCGGCGAACCAGAGGAATACTGTGAAGGTTTCAAGGTGTTTGATAAGGAGTTGACCGGCGAGATTGGTCAGGGACAGTTGAAATATAGTGAGTCACGACATGTGTCTGCGAACGCGCTGCACTGCACTGCGCTTCGCTGCTACGAGGGCGCAGAAGCAAAGCGATAAAGTAAGAATGGATAAACTAACAGCCTATTTCTCCCTCCAGTCCTGACAAACCTCGGCGAACCCCTCACTGAAGCGGAATTCGAGGAACTGGCCAAGGCCACTAATATGGGCGAGAAGGTCCAGTACGAGGATCTTGTTAAGACTATTCTGGCGAACTAGGCTGGCTGTGCTTGCCTAGTCAATGCTAGTTTTCTCGTCTGATCTGATCGATACCCTGACTTTGCCTTGCGCTGTGCTGTGCCGTGCTGCACTGCGCTCCGCTCCGCTGCGCTCCTCTTCTCTTCTCTGTGCCTACGCTTTTACCACACATTGTTTCCTTTCACCTTACTATTTCCCTTTCACGAGTTACGCATGGATATGGATTGTTTTCTTTTTGGGCGTCTCTCCGGTCATTTTTGATCTGCCCAGGGTGTTTTGATCTGGTCTTGTCTTGTCATGTCTTGTCTTATCCTGTATTGATAAATGCCAGTGCGCTGTGATGCGATGCGATTCAAATAAGATCGGATTTTTATAACTAGATCCTCGGTATATCTCTACCTATATCCTCTATCCCTGCGCCATGGGATACTCGTAGTATCGTAGGATACTATTTACTCCGCCCAAACCCTCCACTCCATCTCCCCAACACCCCCACTCTTCTCCCCCATCTCCCCCGTCTCAACAACAGCCCCTGGCAAAATATAAACAGCCGGCGGCCTCTCCTCTTCGGCTGTTTCTCCCTCTCCCTCTCCGTCCCCTTCCCCTTCTTCAATTTCCACGTTGGCTTTCGCTTTGCTCGCTGTTTGCCCGCCCCAATGCACTTTATCAAGATAATACCCCACAACAACCCGACACCGTCCACACCGTAATAGAATTCTCTTCTCAATCCCGTCTTCGCGGCGTATTAGCGTTGCGCGGCGGTCGGGAACTGTTGTTGAGAGGAGGACGGTTGTGTGTTTTGTTGTGGAGGCATCGGTATCGGCATCGGTTTCTTGGGGGAGTGTTGCTTCCAGAGGCAGGATTATGGCTTTGTCTTTGCTTTCGCCGGTTCGACGGGGGAGGGAGTTTAGGGTGCGGGTTGTTGCTAGTAAGAGGTGGTTGCAGAATTGGCAGTGTTGGGTGAGGATTTTGTGGCGGGGGATGTCGGTGGGATTGGTGGGTGGGGAGGACATTGTGGTTTATTGATTAGATGTAGATGTATAGCGACTGAGATGGGATGGATGAGAAGGTATTCCAAGCTCGAGAGGGTTCAAGGTCGAGCTCGTCGGTGGTGTTGGAGCTTGTCGAAGTTAAGGTTGAGATTGAGATTGAGCTTTGAGCTTTGCGCTTGGGGGTGGTGGTGTGTTGTGGAGGCGGAGTGGTGAGGATGGCTTGACCTGAGCTTGGAAACTTGAGGTTCTTTCGTCTGTGGTATTGCGCAGGGGGTCGAATAGGGTCCTGCTTGTTGGAATGAGGAATTGGGGTGGAGGCAAGTTAAAGATTTGACGATTGGTGGGGAGTTTAGGGTGGAGAGCGGTGACTCCGAGTCTTTCTACATGGGATTACATGGGATATAATGTCATCTGCTTCGCTGAATCTACACTACACCTGCGGGCAGGTATTCTTTTCTTTCCATATGTGACACGCCTAGGTTTGCAGAAATTACAGCACTCACACACGAGACTAGTCATTTCTACACCTACAGAGCCGACTTCTTATGATGAATCGTCCGATCAAAGATCCATGGCATCTACCACCTCACGTTAACTATTTGCTGTTTTGAAGTCCGCTACCTATTGCTAATGGAACTCAAGATGGGAGACCCGGAGAAAATCCTGATAATATTTATGCTCAGTCTTTATTGTAAGGCTATCGAATGGAAGCTTCTATCGAAATAATTCTACTTAGTTAAGCATGTGCTTAGGAACCTTGAAATGGCACTTCTTGATGTCTCCGAGTCTTAGATGACACTTGCTCTGTGGCAAAATTTATATGCTCATGTTAATAATTTTTATTATGGATGAGTTGAATATTGACGGGGAGAGGAATTTTAGAAGACGAGTTGACCTGTTATGCCAAGGTTGTGGAGTCGCAGGGCCTCTATTCATGTCTTTAGGTCCTCTGGTGGGTCGGAGATTCGGAGATGGCCCACCTGATGCGTTAAAAATCATACTGTACTCATGGGTCTCTACTAGTAAATACCAATTATTCCTTTTTATTTTCCTTATTCGTAGTAAAGCCCAATTGATATCAAATCGCAGAGCTCAGCTCAATTCTTTTTAAAGTATGTGCCAACATTCACCAGCTCCACCAAGTCGGAATCTTGGCGAGATAGAGGCTCCTGACTAGAGGATGCCTTGATATTCCCCCCCAATTGAGAGATTCTTGGAGCGCGTCGGACGCTGCAGCCCCTGACTTCTATCATAGGTTTCCGATTTGACCTGATGCGTGTTTTGAATGCCAAAACAGGTATAGAGAAGGCTATTAAACAACCGGCGAATTGCCGGCATACTGACACAGATAACTGCTGTGTAGCTTTCGATGAGTGACCAGTATGCAACTGGTACATAATCATCTGTGGTCATATATCAGCAAGTTTGATCATCTTAATCTCCAGCCTTGAAGGATATCTCATACAGGTTGCATTGGTTGTATGGGCAAATGTCACCACTGACTTAAGGCGAATGATGCTTACAATGGTGATGCTAAAATTGACCAAATTTTGTCAGTAGTCTGTTCGCATAGCTAGTAAAGTAGACTCACAAAAATCCCGTGCAAAACATAAGCATGACTAAAACCTTCTTCATTGGTCTAAGGTTCAGCTTCATGATTTCGTGGAGAGGCAAGGCCATGACGGTCACATCGAGAACGATATTGATCACTGCGCACGCAATTCCAAAGGCATTGAAATCGAGACAACTACCCTTTGTTTCACCTGTCCAGGAGGTCCAGATGTACGACACAGGTAAACAGTTGAAACAAATTCCGAAGAAAAAGGCGAAGAAAAAAGCGACCACTATTCCCATCACGATGTATATCGCATTTCGAAGGCCGAAATTCGGGAAAATATGGAGATAGAGATTGAGGAAGGCCATCTTGATAGAGGTAATCGCGCCAACATAGAGCATCTCAACGATCCAATTGTACTAGAGAAAATTGTGAGCTTTCGTAACAGGTGTTAGATGCTACGTAGACGGACCTTCAGGATAAGGGTAATATTTGAGAAAGATATTGTCCAGATATCTCGTCCGTAGCCGGCATCAATCACTTGATTCGAAAAATTAGTACCAGGAAGTAATGTACATCGACAACCGCGGAATACTCACTGAAGAATTCCAGTATACCCATCCCAACACTGAAAAGCTACGAGAGTCAACAGAAGCCATCATGATTGCTTGAGGATAAGTTCTTACTAGTCCAAACATCACAAAGATGTCTTCTAGACCAAAATGTTTGCGGAACTCCAGACTTCGAATAAAGGTTGCAACAATTGCTGACCCCCCCCAAACACCGAATTTGTGATGATGATGACATTGGCCTTGTTGCGGATTGGGCTATGGCACATGGTACTCGTAGTGTTTGCCGTAGCTTAGTTGATAGATCAGCAAAGTTTATCATATTTTCCCGGTCCTAAAATGAGCGGTAACCTACTTAGACTATCCTTGACGGTGCAGGTCATTTGCACACAAGCTGTCAAATTGGCTTGCAGCAAAGCATCTGCGCAGATACAAGTGGTATTGGTCAAAGTGCAGGGCGAATCTTCAATTCCAATAGCCATGCACTCTGTCTAAAGTTGAATATTAGCACAATTCAAAACCACGGACTAGAATTAATCTCACTGCGCAGGATGGCATATCTGATGCATTAGCTATTGCTGCCAAAAGCAGCGCGATGGGCATAATGGTCCCCTTTCTGTGGCATCGCAGGTTCATTGTCGCTAGATGTAAGTAGTCATCGCCACAAGGAAGAGAAGAGGAATCTGTCCACAGAGCATCAGCTTAATGAGCCTTTAGCCCCGTTCCCGGGGGGTGATATATTTCAAGATGTCTTGGCATCGAGAATCAGATCCTCTTCCGCCACGGATTCAACCGAGCGAATCTCTACTATTCTTGCGGGCAACACCCCAAGGACCTAAGGGCAACGCTAGGATCACGTAGTAATCAATTTTAATTGGTGGTCAGGTCTTTTGGTCCTTTGGCCCCATTTTAGCCTGACCGGGGTATGGCCGCCCTTCTTTTACTGTTGTCCCAGCCATTCTGTGCGCCTTGCATGAACCTTCAAGCTCTGTACTGGACCCAAATACTCATGCGCATCGATGATACGATTTGGAATTCACAAGGCTGTTCTTTGTCAAGTTTTGGGCAGACGAAGCGTGCCATTTTTGCCGGTTATTTCCATAAATTCTCGCAAGGCTCGCCGCCCAAGACACTAGCCCCCCCCCACTAATTAAGGGCCGACTCAGCCAAGCGTCCCAAGCCCCTCAATAAAAACGAACCGGTTAAATTGATGCAAATGACCATGCAACCCCTGCATAAACGGTGTGTTCCAGGGGTCAGACCTAACCTGTCATTGCGTTTTATCATGATATCCGGGGGGGAATAGCTGGGTCTATATGTGACCCCCGTAAATTGGTAGGCAAATTTGTAGGCAAATTTGTAGGTAGTGTTATGGAGACGCGTTCAGAAAACCACGCGTTGATGACTTAGTAGCTAGTGGAGCGTGTATACCCAATAGAATGTCAATAGATTTTAGTCTCGCGATCAATTGGCTAAAATAATACACTAATGATACCGTGCTAATTGTGCTTCCCGGGGACGGACGAGGGGATAACGATACAAAGAAAGAAACAATTCAATCAGAGCCAAGAGATTACTACGAATGCGTACGTCTAGTGTGGGCCCCGCTTATAAAGGATACGATTACTCGGGTCAAACTTGACATGGGTTGAAAAATCTCTCTCCTACAGTCTATTATCTACCAGTTGTTCGGATTCACAATGGGAATTTTCGAAATATTCGACTGGAAACTAACAGTCTACGACTTGTTGAACGGCCTCAGCCTTTTGCTTGCTACCTATTGGACTGGATGGATTGTTTACACGCGTGTGTTCCACCCACTCGCACGATTTCCAGGTCCATTCTGGGCCTCTGTGTCACGAGCCTGGATTGTGCGCTCCGTGATTCGCGGCAATCCCCACGAAACTCAGAGGCTGCTTCATGCACGGTATGGTACGATATTCTCCACCCAGTTCAAGCTTGTGCTCTTTTAAGCGTTGTTGACCAGGCCATGTTGTGCGAATTGCCCCAAATGAGCTTTCGATAAGCGACCCCGAGGCTATCAAAATCATCTATGGAGTGAATTCAGGCTTTATAAAGGTCAGCAAATAAGAAGAGAAGAGGGGGAAAGAAATGCTCAAGAAAGGAAACTGACATTTCGGTAGAGCGATTTCTATCTGGCTTTTCGTGCACCATATAGTGAGATATCTTTTTCAGAAGTATGAGTATTGCTGACCAGAACTAAAATAATTTGCTCAACAGCCAGATATCCAGATCATTTTACATCAACAGATGAAAAAGTCCATGCTCAGCGGCGCCGCATCGTGAACGGCGTGTATACTATGCAGAGCATTCTTCAGTCAGAGCCCTACCTCAATAAATGCACAGAAGTTTTACTACAGCAACTTGAAGATGTTGCAGACGCCAAAACTTCCATTGACCTGCTCGAGTGGACACGAATGTGAGCAATACTATTAATTTAATTATTATCGATATCTAACAGTAGAGTAGGTACGCTTACGATGTTATTGGCGAGCTTTACTTCAGCAAAATGTTCGGTTTAATGAAAGCAAGAGGCGACCATCTTGGGATAATGAAGTCCACTGATACACTGATTCCGGCCATGGCCATTTCAGCTGTTATGCCATCATACCTCCGATCTTTCTTCATGCTTGTTGGGGTGTTGTTTGCCGAGACCCGCAAGGCCCTGTCTGCCTTGGATGACCTAGCGACCGCAGCTGGCTCTGCTGTTCAGAGCCATGTTCAAGCGTCGAGTTCTGATGAAAGTGTAATTCGACGTACTGATATTATATCTAAAGTATTTAACATTCATCGAGATCAGGGTGAGAAGCTTGATTTCCAGATCGATGATGTGAAGCTCGAGGCTTTCGGAGGATAGTAAGTTTGATTGATACCCGCAGCAAGAATCGAGAAAACTGAGAACATTTTAGTTTCGCTGGGAGTGATACAACGGCAATTCACCTGTCCACAACTTTATACTATATCTTGAAGAACCCGGGAGTCTACGCAGCCCTCAACAACGAGATTGCTCAAGCTACACAGCGTGGCGAGTTGAGCTTTCCGCATATATCGTACCACGAAGCGAGCAAACTGCCTTATTTGAGCGCGTGTGTTAAGGAAGGTGCTCGCTTGCATCCTAGCGTGGCACTTACAATGCCTCGAAAAGTACCATCAAATGGTTGCAGTATTTCGGGGCAGTGGATTCCCGGCGGAGTCCGTGTGGGAATTAACCCGACTGTCGTGCAACTCGACAAAACAGTCTTTGGAGACGATGCGGAGGAATACAACCCAGATCGATGGCTGAAGCCAGATGCCGATAAGATGAATAAATACATTCTCCAGGTAAGTTAATCCAACTAAAGTTTAGAACGTGTGTTGACCGTCTTGGTTACAGTTTGGAGCAGGGTCAAGAATGTGTATGGGAAAGAATGTAAGTGCAATCACTCTGCCATAAAATATAGGCTCTAGGTTGACCGTTGATCAGATATCGCTGTGCGAACTTTATAAGGTAATCCCCGAGATGCTTCGTTCGTACCGCCTTGAATTATCAAACCCAGAGAAGGATCTAGAGACCAGCGGGTTTTGGTTCTACAAGCCAGCGCCTATGCACATCCGCGTCTATCGAAAGTAATGGAGAAAACATGTTAAAACGTCTGGAAAACCAAATGACCACTCTGACTTGAGGGGCATATTTCTTACAGTCATCAGCTCGTGATTCTCAATTATTGATCCCAATTTTATTCTTCATCCGCACATATTTGTGAAACCATGTTACAGCATGTCCCTGCCATCATGACTGCATCACTTCACTTTCGTGAGACGCTCGATAACCTATATTTTTAGCCGCCAGGGAAGCATCTGTATTAGGAAAATAGTATGGACAGTATTCCTTACTAATTTAGAATTTCTTTAGGACTTGCAACTTGATCGCCTAAGCTTCTAGCGACCCGATGCCGTAGTTAGCTTATTCTCCGTTCCGCTGATATTCATTTGTCTTCAAGTTATTGCGAGATTGTATAATATTTAATTCAATACCCCGTGGTGATTCCTGATCTTAATTGAGCAGGTAGAAACAGAGACAGAACTTGAAAGTTTTTAACAGTACTAATTGTTGGTACTGAAAATGAGAAAGCGGACAGCTATAACCTTAAAATAATAAGCGGTAATTCCGGCACAATTTCTTATCTGGGAACGACGCATGGGATTTCTGAGTAGGGCGTGCAAAGGGGTCTTTGCTTAGATTTGGCGAGGCTCATGCTCCACCCCCGATAAGCTCCCCCGCAATAGCCCCCAACTTGGAGGCCCTCATCACCGGAACACGCCGTCAGCTCGCTTCCCCGCACAGACGCCACACGTTGCATCGCTTGCCCAGGCGCTGGAGTTTGCCCGGCCATGAAATGTAAGATTTTTCTTAGCTTGCTCATCATTCTGCTAGGTTAGTGGTGCTGATGTCTTCACAAACGACTAGCGCGAGCTTCTTGCCGGCTGGTAGGACTGGCCATGCATGTGTGCAATGCCGACAGAGGTGCGTGTCCTTAATGCAGGAACAACTTTTTCGTTCGCTTATATCTTCCATAGGAAGCAAAAATGTGGAGGGTTCACCTATGGAATCAAGTGTCGACCATGCACCACTCGCAAAGTCAAATGTAGCTTCGATGAAGAGGTCAAGGATCCACGACACTATCCATATCTCCGCCTACGATCGTCTAAGTCACCCCCTATTCGACGAGAGAGGAATTTTGTGCAGCATGAGCCCGAAGATGCCGGTACGATGGCCCGGGAATCGTTGTCCCTGAGCCCCCTGCAAAGTGACCCCATATCCACATCATTACCAACGGTGCTTGTCAATGAGACGGCTTCCTCAAACGATGACGGTCTGCCGCAACAAGTGGAAATGTTGAAATCACGGCAAGTGTCCCCTGTGAAGAGCTTGGATATATTGCTAATTGATATTATAGTCTCGCTGAGCTAGAGAAACATTTTACTAATACCCAACACGACCGTTCTGACAGCATGAACACCCCGCGGTCTCTTGCTGCCGCATCACTACGAAGGCCTTCGGAGCCTTCTCAACCACAGGGAATTTATCGGTCGCCTCCTTCAAACTACATTAATGTGGGATCTTTCTCCAATTCGGATACCCACAGCCTGTGTAGTCCACAAGCTCCTGCTACCACCGATGGGCCCTTGAAAACACTCAATAATTTCCAAGAGGATGAAACGGTCGAGGTTGAAACGCATGATCCTATCACGAGATCGAACATAACGGAAGGGGAGGCATATGTAATGCTGAGACTGCAGGTATCCCAACCACGCTGACTACAGAGAATGAGGCTTACCGTGACAGCTACTTTTCGAGCTGTCATCCGAATGCGCCTTTCCTTGATATCGGCTTTGATTCCGATGTTGAAAGGCTGCGTTCCGACAGTACACTGCTTTTCCTCGCCATACTATCCGTCGGCGCGCGATTTTGGAGTGCCTCTTCTAAGTATCAAATCTTCCACAACGAGCATAAGCTTTGACTAATGCAATGCAGGACTGTATGCTGGTTACATCCTCGATATGCCGACATAGTCCGTCTTCTTGATGCGGAGCTGATGAGAGTCACATTGCGGCCCCGACCGGATGATCAAAAACTAGAGACCGTTCAAGCCCTCCTACTCTGCGCACATTGGATGCCATTTGATGTCTCCGACACGGGCAAACGCTACAGATCTAGGTTTTCCGAAATGGGTGCATGGCAATGTCTGGGGCTGGCCATTAGATGGGCTACGTCCCTTGCCCTGGAGCGAAGCTGTTATTTGAGCTTCCAGCAACCACAGACAGCCACCCGGTTAGACGTACGGCGCTTTCGAACAATGCTATATCTTGTCGAGAGTGATCATTAGTAAGGAACTCGGTAGATGAATTTCGTACTTTGCTAATTTTCCTGCAGTTTGGCATTATCTGCCCGAAGACCATCCTACCTCAATCCTACTCCGTTGAAAGAAGTACTCGAAAATTTCCTCCATGCCGACTTTGTTCAGACCACAGACATCCGGCTAGCATCTCTATTCAGAGTAGCCTGTGGTGCCCACTCCACCGGTTGCCGACCATCAACTATCGAAAGTGTCGAGGCGTTTGACAAAGATGTGGAGTTAATTGAGCGACAATTCCTGTCGAGTCTAGGGAACAAGTCAATAGATACCCTGAGCCAACATTTTCCATTCACATCGCTCCGATGGTATCGGCTCTCATACGTTTGCGCATTCCTTGACGCTACAGATATAACTCAACGAACAGGGGAAGCCTTGACTTGGGCAATTGATTGGGCTAGTCAGATTCTATTCCACCTCTCAAGACCACGATATATGAGGGTTGATAGTGACACGCCAGAAAATGTTCAGCTGGAGCCTGATCCAAGTGTTGTTGATGTGATGTCCTTCGCGATTGATCATTATTTCGTGGTAATTGCCTACGCCTCCTTCGTGCTGGTCAACAGCTGGCTTAGTAACTTGATGGACTGTAAGTGACTCCCAGAATGCGAACGGCAATGGACGAATGACTGATAGACCTACTTAGTCAACCTCCGACCACATATCACGCGATCAGATGGTGCTCTTAGTGAAACGGCTTCAACCTCTCTGCTCTTCCGCCTTGTTGATGTCGCAGCTCGTACCCTCGAAGCAGCCAGTCCCCCCGAAGGCCATCTTGCCCGCCGATATGTCCCTCTGCTTCGGGGAATGGCGGGAATAATCTCCTCCAGCGAAACGCAGATTCATGGTTCTAGTTGCCAGAATATGAGCATGGCTACGGGAACCCTGGATCCATCAGAACAATTGCAAAGCAATTTGGGAGGAGATCTGTGGGAAATGTGGCAACAAGCGGGGCTAGAACCTATTATCTGGCCGGGGCCTCTGGATGGGGTTTACGAAGCATGATAATGAGAATGTACGAATAGTTTGAACCTTCTGTATAGCCTACCGGCGGTGCTGGCCGCCAGATTCTTCCATAATAGGGCAAATAGATATGGGTGTGGGGACTACGGAATGCGGGGAAACGGTCATAGTCCGATATCGCCGTCGCATCGGGGAAGCCGATGGGCTATCACTGGGCCCATTTCCTAGAGACACGGCCGTTGAAGAATAGAATATGGAGAGACGAAGATAAGAGGCCTGCTCAAAGGCGAGTACGTCATCACAGAATTGAGAGGAGGTCAATGAATTTCTGGCCTATCTATACACAACCATCTAAATCGAGGACAATAACCCTCGCAATAAAAATTTGGTACATACAACCTCCCGAGGTCCTACTTTCTTTCAGCTTCAACCATCTCACCTAGCTTGAGCTGCGTCAGCAATGAGAGCTCATCATACACGTTCCACTCATCAACGATCTTTCCGTTGCGATAGTGATAATGGGTCATGCCCATGACCTGCAAACGCCGTCCAGTAGGCTTTCCGAGCTCACTCAGGATACCGAATCCCAGATGGTGACCCTCCATTATCCAACGCACGGCAACCTTGACGCCTCCCTCTTCACATGGGGTGGATAAAATGTGCTGGGGCATATAGGCCGCATCGGGAATAGACCCAACAAGGCCAAGATGCTGGTGCAAGACAGCTGCAGGACCGTACAGCTCACTCATCTTGGGACCATGATACTGCGCATTTGGAGCATAGACCTTCTCGATACGGCCAAACATGCGGCAGTTGAATACATCATGCAACCACTCCAAAGTCTCCTTTTCAATCTCATTGTTGGCGATCGAAGTGTCGCATTTTGTCTCTGGAGGCTGTTGTCCAAGGATACGACGGTTCTCGCCAATATCGATGTTCTCGAGACCCTTGTCGAAGAGGGCCTTGGCAGCGTCGTATGCGAAAGTATGTGGGTCGAGTCCGAGTTGCTTGATGATTGCCATGTTGTCGGCGACAACCCACTCGCGGTAGATCTTGTTGCGGTAAATCATGCAGTCTGCAATGGTGCGCGAGACAAATGTCTTGCCGGTTGCGGGGCCAAAGTGCCCGTATTGAGTGTGTCGACCGGCTCCGGTGACCAGGTGGGAGGTGTAGAACCCTTCCTTGTCATCGCCATTCCAGAGAACTTGTGTGGCCATGCCGCGTCGCTCGGGTAGGGAGACTAGTCGTTGAATGGTATCGCGAACGACGGATTCACGATCATAGACTGTGCCCATCGTTCCGTAAAGCACGCAGTTGTGAGTGTAGTGAGTGTAGATAAGACCAATGTCTCGCTCATCCCAAATGCGATGCGTGCAACGAACGATGTAGTCGACGATATCGGTGTAGATGTCGTCGAAGCCTTCCATGGAATGGGCGCGTGATCGCTTGGTGGGTGCAAGATCGGGGTAGTCATGACGCTCTACCTGGAGAGCGGAAGAGGTTCCCTTGGATTGCTTGGATTGGGAGTCTTGATGGAAGCCATTGTTAAGGGGCGACTCGCCCTCTGCGATGGTGGATGGAGCCATGGTGATAGTATGAAGTCGTGTTGGAAGTGAGGGAGATCGTATCTTGGAAGCAAGATCTGGTGCCTCTTTATGACGGCCAAGACGAAACGAGGGATTTCGTGAGTGTGGGGTGAGTATTGATCGTCTGATAGTGTAAGGCGTGTTTATTCAATGCAACTCTGGTTCATCGGGTTCGCCGTCGGTAATATCGGCGACGCCCCGGGGAACCCGAAGGCTTGAGCGCATCGCACTAGTCTGTGATCAGAAACCTATCCATGTGTTAGGTTGGAGAATGAGATACCGATAACAATTCGAGGAATCTTATTGAGCAAAAACCACGGCCCAAAAGTTAAACCGTCCTCTTAGAGCCGGTATGATAACTACCACTAGCCACCATAATGGGATTCCTTACTCGAACATCGATTTAAAAAACATATTTTCAAGTCTGAAATCACTTAGTGGATTGTTTATCAGTAGCAGCTCCCAGACAAAGTTAAGATATGAATATTCAATATGAAGTCGTAGCATGATGATTGGAATCTGCATAATTTCGTTCGAACATGAATTATATGAAGCCGTCTCATACTTAGATCATTCCTCACCAAAGTATTTCCACAGTATACTACACATGAGAAGTATTCCTGGCGTTGTGAGAGTCATTCTTTGTGCCATATGCGAATGAGGCGCTATCATCCGAGGACGTTTCGGCACTCTTGAATTGAACTTGCATCTCCTCTTCTATAGGCGCAACGGCACGACCAGCCGCATCATGCGAAGCATCCCATTCGGCAAGATTCTCGTTAGGAACCTTTCTGAGTTGATTACTTTGAGCTCCATCATCCAAATGGATGAGTTCCTGTCGTAGTTTGTAGCCCTTCCATTTCGGAAGTAGGAAGGCCCACAACCAGTAATAAGCGCCACATGCAAGGAGACTATATTGTCTTATCAGCAAGGAAGATCTCAAGAGTTCGCGCCAAATTTGAGTCGGTTGGCTTACATTCCGATGCCGACCACGGCATATGTTGCATACCAAAAGCTGACATCTCCAGCATACTGACCTCCCGACGGCGGATACCAGGGCATCACTAAAAGGTATAATTGAACGAGAATATTGAAAAATATAACAATATTCCAGGCTTTGAACTCGGGTTCAGGAAGATTAGCCTTTTTTCGGCGCCACCGAACAACGTAGATACCAAGAGCCATTGCCAGGTTAAAGACGGCATCGGGAATGGTGCGTAGATCGTTGACTAGTTTAAAGTTAGTTTATCCGGGCGCATGATCGGCTTTCATAGGGTAGAACAGCCAAAACATACCGAATGTGAAGGCGTCTCCAGCAGGGACTGCTAGGATCATCAATGCAGTCAAAGACCAAATGACAGCATATGGACCTAGGGTAGTGCCGAAGGGCTTAGTTGAAACCCAAAACCAAGTCCAGGGTAGAACTCCCTGCCGGCCACATTCTCTTAGCCGCCGAGAGAGTCCAATTATCACAGCTATCATATTACCGAATGAGGCCAGGGCAATGAGAAAATTGAGGCCACGAACTGCGCCACTATCGCCGAAGACCTTTGAAAAGAACAAGCTAGCAGTCGTCAAATCGGAGTTTTCTAGCTCGTCTTTGGGAACTAAAAATCAATTTTCGATCAATGACACGAGCTAAGCGAAAAGAAGGTAGCCTAGCACTTACCAGCAGCAAAAAATGCAATATTTGCAAACATGTAAAGAACATAAACCGTTGTAAGAGCAGCCGTTGCGTAGATCTTGAGAGACCTGACGGGGTTCTTTTCATCGATAATGTTAGCTTTTGCTGAAAAGCCCCAAGAGTTACTAGTCATCATACCTTGACTTCATTGGCGACATTGAATGCATTATTGTAACCACCATAGGAGAAGATAATGCGATACAAGGCGGTGGTAAAACCATACGCTGTAGCTGTAGAGCTCCCTGAAAACGGATCTTGAAAATTTGCCGTTGGATTCTCAACTCTGGTATTTCCTCCCAAGACAACAAAACCGGTGACTATGATGAAGAGGATGGTGCAAATTTTAACGATTCCGACCGCATTCGAGAACCAGTAGGCGTATTTCGTATTGAAAACCAGTGCTAACCCATGTTAGTATGGGGGTCAGCGAATTGAAGGAATGAGAGAAACACACTCAAGGTAGCAAGGCTGTAGCAGGCCAATGCCGTGCCTTTGATTTGCCAGTTAGTGCCGGTGTGCCCGGAAATGGCGATTAGATATTTGGCCATTACTGTTACAATTACCCATTAGTGACATGTCCCAGGCCGGCTAAAAAGGATCGGCTCACCTGTAGCATTGGCACTTCCGAATGAAAGAATGACACTCTGGACTGCAAAGGTAGTCGGAAAAAGCCATCTTGGAATTGGGTACGCTTGTTCCAGGAATACGACTTCTGACCCGGATCGACTAGGAAAGTACGCTGTAAATTCGAGATAGACGGCCCCCAAGGTCAAGCATAGCTAGGGAAGGAAAAAGAATCTTGTTAGTCAACGCTTCTTCTGGTCTCCTGGTTGATGTATGACACGTACCAAATAGCCTAACGTCCACCAAATCAGACTGACACCGATTGAGCCTGTTCCGGATAGGATCGATGATGCTGGGTCATGTTAATCGACATGTCCGCAGATGGAATTTTTGTGTCACACAAACGTGTTGAATAAATACCAGCACCAATCATCATCGTGATATTCAGCAATGTGATTGTCACTGGGCCGACAGAGTACCCCAGCGGTGACTGGCGTTCAACTGGAGCGCCAGAAGCGTCTTGGTATGTGGGCGGCGCATTGTTGCCTCCTCTTTCGCTGATATACTGGCCTCCAGTGGTTGAGACACGCTCACCTTGCCCTTCAGTCACAGTTCCATCCCCCGATGGACGTTTACTAAAAGGTTGTCGCCAGGTCATCGCGGTTAAGGATCATGAGACCGTGGAAAATGGTTAGTCCAGTCAAGCTGAGGTTGTGCGTGACCGGCAATTGGAAAACTTGACGGAGGAGGTAAGCAAATCGGAATCTTCCAAAGTTGGAATAGTTGTCAGTCCTAAAGAGAATTGACAACTGGCCGCACCGTCACCCAGGCACTTATATATCATTTTGCAGGCACTGAAGAGTTTCTATTGCCGACTTGGCGCATGCCCATTAATGCATTCCTTCCAATCGTAGTTCAATCGCGTTTTTCTCATCTGGTTCATTTTCTTGGCATTATTACATATTTATCATCTAATTCAGTACATACGCCTTCCTTAAATCTAAAACGGAGGTTTTCTAACGAACAACCATTCCATCATTGGAGAGACTGATGATACAACCACGACGCCGGCCCGGGATTGAGTGGGGCCGATTGGCCAGGGCCATAATCGAAGTTATGTACGGAGTAACCACGGAGTAAATGGGACATACCGTCTGTCGTCTAGAGCTGTGTCTGAAATCCGCCTCAAAAGAAAAGCTTTTGTGAAGTACCTTCGCTACAAATGTGGAGGCGATGGCGTAATGCTGGATTGCTCATTACTAAGGCAGGAGCTCGAGATGGAGAGATGATTTTTAAGAACGTCCACCATGATAGGATTTTCTAGCCGAGCTAGATCCTGCAATTGCATTACCTTGAATAATATGTATTATACTATTGGTTTATATGAGCTACAGATGTGTGAAAAATCGAGACGGGGAAGATAAAAGTTTCTCTGCATTTGAAACTTGTAACAAAGGTACAGGCGCCAAGTGGGCTAGGTGTCAAAAATGTCATTTGTAGCAATAATGGTGTATTATTGGTGATCTCTTGCGCTCACCCTTCTGCGGAGTATTTTAAAATCTTTCATTATAGCAGTGGTCGCTGGGAAAATATTGCCCAAGTGACGATAACCTTGGAAACGTACATAAAAGCAAAACAGTTCGCACAATCTGATTCTCTTGGACCTCGGGATCGAATGTGACTCGGAACCGACTCTCCACTCTTCAAAATCCTACATTTCTCATCATGGGAAGGAATTCCTCTCCTTACCTTGGGATACATCGTATATAGGCAAGACAATAGCAACAGCTAAATTTAGGCCCTTTTGGCTTTCTCCGAAATACTCCGATTATGACGAGGAAATGCCTCGTATGATTAGGCCCATCAGCAAGTGTGATGAGCGACTGACTGGTCGGGACTTAAGACCATCGAATCAATCTACCAAATATCCGTTGGTTTAGTCTTTTGCCTAGATGATGATTTGAACATGTGGTATTGAATAAAAATCTGGCTGGTTCGAGGAAATATCACGCCATCTCCAGCTGCTGGACTTTTAACCTCAATAGGGGTTGATGGTACGTAAAAATTCGAACCTTGGCGTATTTTCAGACATCGTTTCAAGAAATGGACATATTATATACACAAGTGGTTCCACTTAATCGAAGAGATATCGCAAAAAGCCTTTCAACGTGGCAGAATATATGAGCAATAGAGTCTAGCTCATTGCTTAGAATGTTGGGTGTTGGGTGTTGAGGGTTTACAACGTGTAGACGAAGTCGTGATTTTCAATATCAGTAAGATCAAGGAATCTGTAGGGTTGAATTAGCGCTGTGAAGAGGGTAACTTGAAAAAGTACCGGGCGATGGAAACCCATGGACTTACTCCTGATTCTCTAGTCTCACATAGCCGGGCGCGGATGTGATGTTAGCCTTGCGACTGTTCTCTCTCTTATACCACCACCAGATAAATAGCAAAATAAACAGGCAGATACCCCAACATGCGATGATGGTAATCTCTGCCGAAACATAGCGGGGGGCATCCTCGGGTCGGAATGTGAGCGGGCCTGTCAGGATTAAAATAAGCGCCACGAACTTGAAATTGCAAGGAACTATGAACATACCGATGATATTTCCGACGCAGTAGCCAATGAGGTATAGCGCCGCGACTGTGGTCTTCTTGGTGTAGCCAGCAACATTGGATGAGATCAATGATAACAGGGCTACAAAAGAAGTAGGGAAGGCCTGTGTAAGGTAATATCCGACCAGTCGACCAACATTATTCTCAATCGGAAGAGCAACAATAAGAATTATTCCTAAGGTCGCGGTGAAAAGACCACCAAGACTAGTAAGAATTCGCTGGCCGGTCTTATCGCCAATGTAACCGTTCAGAAGCAGTGCCACGATTTCCACAGCACCAGCAGGTGTTCCATAGAGCAAACTCTCTACTTCGGTATATCCAAAGCTAGTGATCTAAAAAGAAAGGGCATATTGTTAGTCGTACCTGAAGAAATCGAAGATCAAGGACAGGAAATGCCGGTGATAAGGAAAACATACCAATTGGCTAAAAAAGTTTGTAATGCCGCCATTCGGAATATCCGCAATGAGGGCGAAAAAGAAGAACGCCCAGGTCATTGGGTCCAAAAGAGCTTCTTTAACCTGATACCACTTGAAGTTTTTATTACCAATACCTTGTTGGTTGATTCGCACACGGGCAACCGCCAGAATACGATCCTCCTTTGACAACCAACGTGCATTGAGCTGACTGTCTGGGACAATCCAGAGGAACAGTAAGCCCAAGGTAATGGTAAGACATCCGGTAAACAAGAAAACAATTTTCCAAGGTTCGATCGAGGTGCCATGCTTTGCCGCTCCAACAGCGATTCCGTAGGCGACAAGGCCTCCCAAAATTTGACCCCAGCCGTTGAAGCTGTACCAGAGGTTTACTCGTCTGCCCTGCTCATTGCGGGTATACCACTGTGTTGCTTTAGTAAAGGGAAGCTCCCGCTTTAAAAGCAGATAATGTGAAGGGGTTGTGTACCTGAGAGGTTAAAAGCGCAAATCCTGGTGTCACTGCCGCTTCAAATACACCTAGCAAGAAACGAATAGCAACGGCGCCGGGGTAGTTTTTCGCAGCAGCAAAACAGCTAAGAATAGCTCCCCATACCACGATGCAAGAGCCGGAATATTTTCCGAGTGGTAAGCGTTGCAGCAACCGACTCGTAGGATACTCCCATGCAAGATATCCTGACCATATATCAGCAAAGGCAAGTCACCACAGGTATTCCGACTGGGCAATTCTTACCAAAATAGAAAATACTGCCGAGCCACGAGTACTGATCTCCAACTAGTCCTAGGTCCTCCTTTATACCCATGATGCTGGCATATGACAAAGTGGTTTCTGTTCACCACATTAGCTGTGGATATCAGATGCACGGGCCAACTGCGTCACTCACTATCGAGGAAATTCATCCCGTAGACACAGCACATCACAGGCATGATGTGCCAGTCAATTTTTCGTAATAAACGACGGTTCGTTGCCTCATCAAGCTCAATTGCCTCGCCTTGCATGTGTTCAAAGACCTTCATGGCCTCATCCGCATCGTTGGCATGCTTGACGAGCGTAGGGTCAACATTTTTCATGGATAGCTCAATGTCCACGCCAGTGGAATTGGCTCGAGTGTCGTCTTCCCTCGCCATGGTGAAGTTGCACAGCAAGTTGCTTTAGAAAAGGAAAGAGAAACCTGAAGGGGGATGGAATTCTTGCTGGGAAAATATCATGGAAAATAATTGGAAAGGGTCCAGATATATTATCCCAGATCTCGGGTGTGTGCAATGATTAACAGCAAGCTAACTCAAGGGGGATTGCGCGAAAAGGACATGCGGTGAAAATAGCTCAGGACCTCGGGTGAGGGGACAAGTCTCATATCATCTCATATCGCGGGGTGGTGCACTAGCATCACAAGTTCGCTGGTGGAGCCGTGCTTCATTGGATGTACCGTGGGTCCACGTTAGTTTTGCTCGTAGGATCGTGCCGATGGGGCGTCGTTTGCAGAGTACACTCGGTAAGATATCCAATTAAAAGCAAGATTTTCCATGGAAAAAGATTAGAGCGTTTGATCGGGAATTGAGTGGCCAATTCGAGGACTGGGATAATTTAGGCTCGGTCGCATGGTGGTTATCAAATTGTCATGGAGTCGGCGACCACGGGTCAATTAGGCTTGTTTCCCCGCCACATCTACCGAGGGCCCCCACACTACTTCGCTTAACCTGAAAATCCCCCTCTTCTATGAGTCATATAATCATCTAATTCGATCTTATCGTAGTGATTGATACGTTCACTTTATCTCATTGAGAAACTAGACCCTACTCTTGACTGACCGAGATATCGTTATGAAATGAACAGATAGTTAAGACTTAATGCCAATACTCTTGTGTGAAGCTTCTCCGGAATGTTTCCGAGAGACTAGGTTTTGATTGGCACGCAATGCCGAGAGGCTCATTTTGGGAATTGAGTGTCCTGGGGTTCCTGGGGCATACCTATATTTGCTCCAATAAGCAGCTGTTCGTACTAAACAGACGTGAAAGGAATGCGGGGAAGGGGTCTTTCGTTGGCTTGCCAAGATACTAGTTGCATCTCCACAGCTTGGCTTCGGCTTACTCTACTCCAGGGCTGAAAGCCGTGGTGTAAATCACATAATGTAAAAACTAGCTTCCCACGTAACTTTGGATTCACCGCGGGAAACTTCATTGCCGGAATAATACCCACCAGGGTATACATCTTTGCCTGGAATCGATGAATGCTTTAAATGAAAGCCAAGGAATTCGATATTCTGATCTTGGGTCTTTCTTTTGGCTAGACCTGCTGTCTTGAACTAAATTGTAAAGTACCCTGCGAATAATAAAGTTGCAGTAATATAGCGACAATGAATTCACCACCTGGGTAATATTCTAGTATATCAATCTCATCTGGGACAGACCAGGTCCCAACTTGAAGCTTAACAATTGGATCAGATGTTCCACATGGTCAGCTAGTACATCTGTCTGTTCCTCATTTCGATAGGGAGGAAACACATCAGGAACGATGAGAGCCAAATCCCACCCGCTCCAAGCCAAAGAACACCAGATCTACCCTCGGCGATATACTTCTGCCCAGCAAACGGAGCGACGATTCCGGCAACCCGACCAAGACAAGACAGCATGCCACTCGCACTCGCACGATATGAGGTGTCGAACATTTCTGGCGCCGAGGCGTAAAGTACGGCGTTGAAATACTTTGATTGGTTAGCCTGCAGACGGGATTATGAGGTGGGAACTTACACTTTGCATGATGTACTCCAACGCGTTTAGGCCGACATATCCAGGGGTGTCTTTGACCTGAGTGTACATCGCCATTGAGACGCCCTGGAGTGCAGCAGAGATAACAAGCGACCATTTTCGACCGATCAGGGGGAGTTGAACGGAAAACAAGGCTAGGACGGCTCCGATTACACCGGGAAGGTAAATGTAGACATATTCCCGGTATGTTTCAGACACATTGCTTGCACCGCTGTCGACATTGTTGTTTAGCAAAACAATGGGAAGAAAGTAGCCGGCCAGATTGAAGGACCAATAATTTCCCTGCTAGACTTTAGTAAACGAAATATTGGTTCGGAAATGATGACTGACCATGTAGGCGAGGGCGAGGAGGATGAAAGTAAAACACTCGAGCTTCTTCATGAATAACCCGCGAAGGAACCCGAGGCTCTTGAACATGCCCATAACAACACCCTTTGCATCCGCGGAGGTGGTTTGTTCGTTCGAATCTATGCCTGTCTCACGGTCAATCCGCATGAAGTCATCCATTGTCAATGTGGGCCTCGGGGCCCCATTAAATTTGGCAATCTTGTCGAGCACATCGATAGCGTCTTGCTCGCGACCCTTGCCGACAAGAAACTTTGGCGATTCGTAAAATCTGAAGAAGAAGAATCGCGCGCCAAATAGAGCGAATGTCATGGCCCCAATCACGATCACCTCGTATCTCCAACCCATATTGCTAGAGACAGTGCAACATGCCTCGCCGGGGCTGACGGCATTGCACGCGGGAAGACCCACGTCGCATCGATATTTCGCAGCGGTACCATAGGCGATGGCGGACGCCACAACTACTCCGATCGGTTGCCACATTCCAAGTAAGAAAACCAGATATCGGCGATTCTGCGGGAGAAATTCAAGGGCAATTGTCGCGTCGATGGGGATGTTACCACCGAGGCCGATGCAGCAGAGAAAGTAGATACCGCAGATGGCGCCATAGTTAAACTTGCTTGCAGCCTGAAGGGGTGAGAAAGGGATGATTTGTGGAGTTTGAGAGCAATGACATACCAAAAGCATTCCAAAAACAGAGGTAATGAGACAAGAAAGGTTGAACGCCCATTTGCGACCGATGATATCGGTGATGATCCCAAATCCGAGAGCGCCGATTCTATGCCCTGTCAATTGATTTGTCCACATTCTGGCGAGGGTTACTTACGCTAGACCAATATTGGAACAAGTGAATATGAGACCTTGCTGTCCAGCTGGAACACCCATCTCTTGACTGTAGGTGGATGTGAGTGATAGTGTCTTTCGGAGAAGCGATCCAACTTACAAAATTGCAGTAGCCAGTAGCCCAACACCCTGCGCCCAGGCCAGGTCGACAAAATAACCAAATCCACAAAGAAACCAAATACATTTTTGGTATTTCCCGAAGCCGAACTTGTCAATCTCTCTGATTTTGTCAGCATGTTCCCGACTCTATCATAAGGAATCATTGTGATGACTGACGCGTTGATCAAGGCAGCCTTGCGTTCAAAAGGAGTGAGTTCCTGAACAGCAGTACCTGCTATCACATCGCCCATGGAGACATGATTACTACCTGGAGCGCCGTTTTCCTTATCAGAATGGTTGTCCTGGCCGAGGGTATTTTTCTCCGAAATATGATCCGAAGTAGACATATTGGAGATGGATGATATTTCCAGAACTCTGGACACAGCAGCTGTCAAATATTGTCAGATATCTCAAGTCAACTCCATTACCTCAAGTTCTACTATAAACAGGGTATCGGTATCTACTGAGGGGTTGCGGGACCCCTCATCGCGACCGATGAAACCTTTCGGCAAACCCTATCTTCATCGGCTTCCCCGAAATCATCGCGTGGCCATTCAGTTAGATCTGTTGTGGAGCCATGGCGTTAACAGCGGTAACGGCGGGTTTGAAACGTGCTGGAGTGGTTGATAGATGCAGGAACAATAACTATTACCTTCGTTGCTCGGTCTTACTTTGTACTTGGTGGTCCAGCGGCCGCGACTTGCTTCATCTTGAGACGACCGCAAAGCGTATCGCCTCAATTGCAGCGACATGACGAAGACACCGCAATACCAAGAGAAACCACGATGGGAGAGCATTGCTCGTGATAAAAAAGCGAGTCGCGATGCGGAAATTCCGCTAGATTGGAAATTAAAGCCAGATCAAGTTCCCGACGACCAGCTCAATGTCATCAATGTTCCCTACGAGTGTGGAATTTTGACAACTAAAGAGCAGGAGATCACGAACTCGAGTGCTAGAAGTCTGATTGAGAGGATTCTAAGTTGCGAGTATACATCATATGAGGTGCGTCCTGAAAAAATGGTGTGATTCCACCATTGGAACAAACGCTAATTCTCTTGAAGGTTACACTTGCCTTCTGCAAACGCGCGGCGATCGCACAACAACTTGTACGATTTTTTACCACATATTCTAGCTTCCCAATGGAATCAATTTGAATCTAACAACAAGCAGGTAAATTGCCTTTCGGAAATTTTCTTCGAGAACGCGCTCGAGGTAGCCAAGTCCCTGGATGCAGAATATGAAGAATCGGGAATCGCACGCGGTCCACTTCACGGACTTCCCGTCTCGCTCAAAGATTGTTTTCAAGTCGAAGGGACAGATGCAGCGATAGGTTATACTGCACTGGTGAATCAGCCAACCTCAAGAGAAGATGAATCAGAGATCACGAAGATAATGCGACAAAGCGGGGCCATTCTATTTTGCAAGACAAATGTGCCAACTGCGTTGATGTCTGGAGAGGTGAGTTGTATCAAAGGCCAAAAGGCAATACCGACAGGAAGCTGATATACCAGACATTCAATGCAATCTACGGCTACACCTCGAACCCCTATAATCGCAACCTCTCTAGCGGAGGCTCATCCGGCGGCGAAAGCGCTTTGTTGGCGCTTCGTGGGTCTCCTTTGGGAGTTGGAACTGATGTAGGAGGCTCGGTCCGAATACCTGCTTCTTTCTGCGGTCTTTACTCCTTGAAACCATCCTTCGGTCGATTTCCAACATCTTGGATCCGTGATAGTCTCAACGGTCAAGAGGCGGTGCGCAACGCAGTTGGACCTATGGGAAATTCCTTGGAGGACATTGAGATGTGGTGCAAGACAGTGGTGAACAGTCAGCCGCATCTACGTGCAGATCCGGATTGCTTGCCTATTCCGTGGCGACAACCTGAGATACCCAAGAAGCTTTGTTTTGGTGAGACCACGATCGATAAACATGCGCACGCAAAAGTTCAATAACGAAATTCTGACTTTCCAGGGCTCCTACTTGATGATGGTATTATGAAGCCACTCCCTCCTGTTACGAGGGCTTTAATCCAGACAAAGACGGCGCTAGAAGCCGCCGGGCATGCGGTTATTGAATTCAGCATGTAAGCTTCCATAGTAATGGCACCCCAAAGATCAGTTCGGTAGCTAATATAAGCCAGTGATGAGCCTCTGTTTCTGGATTCTCTCAAATTCGCTCTTTACCGGTCAGCTGCTGCAGATAGCCTACAGGAGGTCCTTAGAAAGACGGGAGAGCCGTGGCCGCAGGGCTATGAAATACTTGGTGATATGGCCAGCGATGAAAATTTTCCAAAGGCAACGGTGTCCGACCTGTGGAAGGCACAGGCCAAGAGAACTGCATATTCGAAACAGATATTGCAGAAATGGGCAGCCACAAAGAATTCAACAGAGACAGGGAGGGAGATCGATGCACTGATTATGCCATGCTCGCCGTGGCCAGCATCTTCAAGGTATGGACTGAAGCATGATCAACCATTTTGCTGGATATATGACTAACGACCACAGACATGGATTCATATATGATAACTATACCAGCCTCTGGAATATTCTTGATTACTGTGCAACAACCGTGCCAGTAACGCATGTATGTTTGGACAGTGATAAAGCCTCGAACTTCAAATCTCGGAACAAACTGGAAGGCAATGTTTGGAAAGATTGTACGTTCTCCAACTATCTTGACTTTGTCAGAAGCTCACAAATTACAGATACACCAGAAGATATGGCTGCCTGCCCAGTTGCAATTCAGGTGGTTGGGCAGCGGCTGCACGAGGAATATTTACTAGGAGTCACCAGGTCACTGCAACTTTGCTTAGAGATCTCAAATACAAAATAGTCCTCCATATTAAAGGAATCTTTTATCGATGATGTTTAAGCGGAATTGTAAGAAATTTTATTTTTCTCCATTTGTGGTAAAACTTGAAGTATTTCTCAAAAGAAAACATAGGGTAACCATAATTCTGCGATCTTGTCCTGATTTGATTTTAGGACGGAGATCAGTAGCCGTATCAAGAACTGTCAGAGTCGTCCTTGACCACCCTTACTTGGTCACAAATATATTGCACAACATGGGGTATCTCAATATCATCCATCTCCAGAAAAACGCCAAGCTTTCCCGCTTCCTCGTGATGCTTAGCATCGAAAGGATCGCAATGTGAAAGAATTCTTATCATTCGTTCATACCAAACCTGCTGCAGGAAATCCATCAAGGGAAGCCCGTAGGCATCAAACTGAGATTCAAATTCAGCCACAAGCCTCTCGAGGTATTCTGCTTGATCTCTCTGCTCCTCCATAATCTCAAGAAGATCGCATTCCTCTCTGCCATGTAGCCAGGGTACCCCATCTTCAATCTCGATGCAGCAGGTATGGCTGAGCCCTAGCCCGTCAAAGGTAAGGCTCCTTATAATTGAGCGACACGCCTGGGAACTTGACTGATTGTAATTGATGAGGGATTGGAGAAAATTTCGAAAGACCGCGGCCATGTGAGTGATATCTTTGGATACCCCATAGTAGTAGCAATGTTTGATTCCAACCCGGGTAGCTACGGATAATGTAGTACATCCACCAACAGAACACGGACAGGAACAGGCATCCTTGAATGATGTGGATAGTAAATGGTCCAAGATTTGGTGGAAAGGGGTTGGATCAAAATGGTTGCCATGAAAAAAGCCCCGAAATATACGCACACCCAAAGTCGCACTTAGTATATGAGTCACTGTCATGTTCGATCTAGGAAGCCTTTCCATAGGATTCGCGCCTTTGGAAATAAGCCAAGTAATCTGCTCCAGGGAGTGACCATGGTGTCGCGAGCAGTAGAGCTCTAGTGGCGTATAGCCTTGTGGAGGTCGTTGAGTTACGTCGGTAAATCCAAGCTCGTATGCTTTCTTCAAGATATCCAACGGTGCTGCCTCACAGTGAAGGAATTCGCCCTCAACCGCCGTCAGAGAATGAGCCACGTCAATTCCCTTCCTCATCAAGGCAGCGCAGATTCGATAAGCCTGCGTGTCGGGAAGACCAGTTTCTCCCTTTCTGATCTCGGAGAGCTCAGAGGGATGGAATCTTGCGTTCGCTAGCTCCAATAGACTATTACGTCGTTTGGCAAGTTCGTGCAGAAAGACAACTTTCAGTTTATTCGATTCAATTTCAGTCCTGGAAATGTCACTGGCCGAAAACATGTATCCCGCTTCGAGTAAAATCTTGCATGAGTCGACATATTTGTCAATTTCGCTATCTTCATCGGTGATCGCTCGGAATCCGCAGTGGTAGAGTATAGGTATATGTGTGTTTGATCCTTCTTCCAGCAGCAGTCTTACTCCCGCTGGCCAACCCATTGCCAACTGAAGCAAAGAAACGCCGTGTATTTCATTCTTTGGCCATCCTTTATTTGACCTGATTATTTCTTGCAGGTCTTCATATGACTCTCGAAGAACTGCCATGTATGCAGCTGGAAGGTTTATGCCTGCAGTATGAGTTAGCAGCTTGCTGAGGAAAAACCCCGACTAGATTCTTACAATCCTCATCCCTTCGCTGAATTTCCTGCATGTTTCTTTTTGCAATCCACGAATCTGGGGGCCGGTTTATTGGACCCTCCATTTCTACGATATGCGGGATGAACTTGAGCTCCTCTTCGGTCAAAAGATATGCGCTGCATAAGGCTCGAGACACAGAAAGGGGACCGTCATATTCAAGGGTAGAGCCGCAGCTGAGCATGTATTTGATGAATTTACAGACAGACTGGAAGGCCACACGTTCATAGATACGAAACAAGAAAATTGGGACCTGTCATGATACTAGTAAGTGCCGTACCTCTTGTTCCGGGGGGGGGGGGGTTGCCCACATATATTAGGGGAAAATTCAAACCTGAGGCTGTTCGCACTACGTCGTTAGGCGTAGCATTCCCTACCGAGAAGGCATATTTCGATCGCTGAATAAAATCGTCGACACCGTCCAAAAACCATCTGTAATCCATCATTTCATGGTACATTGCGCCTGACCAGCTCTTAGAGTCAACAACAGCAGAAAATTTCAGCGATGGAGCAATTGAAAATCCACCAGATCCAGAAGAAAGAGAGAAAGTCCCGGTAACAAGGAACCCCAGCCAAGTACTGTGATATGCATAGCGTTTTTTTACCTGCTTGGCCCGAAACTTCCCTTGAGCTCGAGGAAATGGTACTAGCCAGCTATCGTCGCTAAGCTGATCACACAATTGTTTGACTCGGGACGGTGGTTGTTGGAGGACACTTTGAAGAGAGGAGTTTGTGAGGGCAAGCTGGAGCGTTCTCTAAAAGCGATTTAGTAGATTCTTTCTGTAGGGGAGTCAACACTCGTACAATTTCGTCCAGAAGGTGGTCTTGCTTAGCATCGAAGCTATCCTGCTTCAACTCAAATCTGTGTATATTTCGCGCCGTAGAGCTTTTCCCCGATCGCATACTACATCAGTATCATGTCAAAACAGGCGAGAAGGGAGTGCGAACTTACATGGCCAATGCCGTCCGTAGAGTCGCCTGCATACCATCCAGACAATCCCCGATTTCGAAGAGCGCTTCCTTCTTCAATGGATAGATGACCTTTTTCAAAGTAGATCTAGCCTTTCCTTGTAAACTTTCTGTTGCAACTGGCTTGTATTGCTCGATCTTCGTATGCAGCTTCTCCACGTTCGCCTTAAGACCAAGCGCCTGGACCTCGAGGTCATTCGCAAAATCAGGTGAATCATCCCTCGTCTCTTCGATCAGTTCGCGTAACTGTTTCAGCGACGTGCGAATGTTCTCGGCTTTGCTGGCAAGATTTTGGATGTTATCGTTTTGGCCCCGCACGGCTTGCGTATAGCTGACGATCTTACTGCAAACCTGCAGCCCGAGAGAGATGACCCCGACAGCGCTTCCGGCAACTGAGAAGGGGTCGGACATTGTGTACCTAGTAGCTGTGTCTGGAGCACCGGAAAGAAAGTAAATAGCAAAGAGAGTCTGGCGGGAGGTGGGAGCTCGAGGGCTCTGAAGATCAAATTGGAGGAGGCTGTGCTTGGGGCTGAAATGCATGCGTTGGCATAGCCGTGTTTGCTTTTGAATCTCTACCGCTGCGCGAGTAAAGTTCGTCTGGCTTTATTGATTGGTCGCGCCACCCCTGTAGTTTGTCTTGTTAAGCGCCCAGAATGCACAACGCATTCTGGTGCACTTTCAACTTTAAGGTTACAGTTGGATGAAGCCAAGTCTGCCCTGGGTCATTAGTAATATGTTTCCTGGTAGGCTGGGAACCTCAGAACGATGAAAGTGCTGACGATATGCGGATGTCTAGAGATATCTAAGAGGAAGCAACAGAAGGCACCAACATCTCCCAAGGAACTACTAGTACTTTTCCATACTTGGATGATATACCAATTTGGCCAAGGAATACGCAAAGCAATGCATTGAACTATATCTATACTAATCTAACCAAGTAACAAACAAGGAAAGACATCACATCCAAGTTATACCAGGCCATGCAAAGCATGTAGTAAGTACTGCTCCACCTAAGCAAGACCAAGCTCCTTATAGAAAGCAGTAGTCTCAGGCTCGCGACCGAGGAATTGCGTCAGGGTGGTCATTTCATCCTGCGAACCGCCCTTCTCGAGGACTTGGTATCGGTACCTGCGACCGGCGGCCTTGTTCATGGGATCGTCTTTGAAGATGGTATAGAACATGTCTGTTGAGTAGACTTGGGAACTATTCGAGTACGGTGGTTAGTAATTTTCAAGATATTTTGTTTGTTGAGAGCAACACCGGGAAACTGGGGTCCCTGGATCAACTTACCTCAGATAACCGTAGTAACCGGCATCATAACCACCAATTAAATGGCCAAAGGTAGCCTCGCCGTGACCCCACTCGTCGCCAGCGCCCAGAGCCTCAGGACCATCCATTTGGGTGATTTCCTTGCGGAGGCGGTTGTATGTTGCTGAAACAGGCAGGGCTTCGATAGCGGCGTGGCTGGCTGGTTCATGGACGCTCATGTCGAAAATTCCGAAGTGTAGTTGACGAAGGTTGAAGAGCGCGTCGTTGACGTGCTTGGTACGGATGAGGTTGTTAATGACTTCATCCGGGATCTGAGCAGCCGGGGCGGGGGCCGAGGCGTCCTTTCCTGCGCGCCCTTGTGCTTCTTGCCAGCCCTTCAGGTAGGCTGGGGACAGGGTTGCGTAGTGGGTGCTCAAGGCGCGCAGTTGGGATGGTGTCCAGCACCAGTTCTCTAGCATCTGTGAGGGGGCTTCGACGAAGTCGCGGACTGTGTTTGTGCCGTGGAAGCGGGAGTAGATTGTCTTTGAGACGAGGTCGTGGATTCCGTGGCCCAGTTCGTGGAAGAGGGTTACTACTTCGTCGTGTTTTAGGAGGGAGGGTCTCTTGGGTGTGGGCTTGGTGAAGTTGCAGACTAGGGCTGTGGCGGGGAAGCGGCGGTTACCGGTGGCGTCGATGAAGCCGGGCTGCAGGTTGAAGTTGGCGGCATGGCCATACTTGCCCTCGCGGGGAAGAGATCCAGGTAAAGATATCCGACGAATCCATTGCCCTCGCCTTCGTCGTTCCAAACGCTGAAGACTTGTACATCCTCGTGCCAGACGATATCATCTCCCTTGCCCGTGGGTGCAAGAGCCGCGCGGTCCTCGCCTACAATCTCAACGAACTCCAGGCCGAACAGCTCCTCAAAGATCTTCAGCATACCCTGGATGGTAGTTTGCAGAGGGAAGTACTCGGCAATAAGCTGCTGGTCCAACGAGAAATCCCGCTCCAACATCAATCGGTCGTAGAAGCGGTGGTCCCAGAGGTAATATTGTTCATCGGACTTAGGGTCCAGGGTCTTCTTCAGCTCCATGAGTGTGTTGATCTCGGACTTTCCACCGGCTGTCAGGCGGGAGCGCAGGTCACCAAGGAACTTGTTGACTGTCTCGGGTGTCTTGGCCATCTTGTCTTCAATGCGGAAGGCAGCGTGGCTGGGGTAGCCGAGCAGGCGGGCAGCCTCGTCGCGGAGAACGATAGCTTCGCGGAACAGAGGCACGTTCTGGTTACACTTGTTCTCATTTGCAACCATCACCTGCTTGCGGATCTCGGACTTCTTGGCGTACTTCATAGTAGGGAAGAGATCGGGGTATTTGAAGGTGAGCCAGACCTTGCCGTCGTTCTCACCTTCGCCTTTCTTGAGTCCGGAGAGGACGTCTTCGGGAACACCGTCCAATTGCTCGGGGGTGAACCAGATACCGCCATTCTCCTCGTTCAGGTTCTTCTGGAACTCGATGCTCAATTGACTGAGGCGTTTCTTGATCTCCTTGAATCTGGCGCGCTCAGGGCCGTCGGGAAGACCCAGACCGTTGCGAATGAAGTCCTTGTGTTCTTTCTCGAGCAGACGGCGGGATTCAGGCTCCAGAGGCTCGTTCTTGTTTAGCGCTTCGGCGACGAGCTTGAAGATGTCTTCGCGCATCGCGGATTCGATGAAGAACTCATCCATAAGCTCTTCCGCCTTGGATGAGGCGTCCCGCAACTTCTGGTCCACTGATACGGCTTGATAGAAGCCTAAGATGTGTGCTTCCAATGCCATAACGTTCTCATCTTGGGACAGGGGACCAAGGACATTGGCGAAGGTGGCATTATTAGCTTGAACGGAGCCGACGACCTGGTCCTGGACGCCGCGAGAGGTCTTGATGATGCGCTCTGCGTCGGCAACGACGGATTGAGGGGTAGCTGTGAAGGTGGGCGGGGCCTGCGGTGGACGCCGAAGGTGAGCGGGGGCCATGGTGGAGGTGGTCAGGTATCGGGGATAGCTATAGCTGTTTGTTCGGAGGTGGCCCAGCACTGATGAGAGGCGGGTGGGGAGACGGAGGAAGGGCGCCACGATGACGGCGACGAGGAGGATAAGAAGGTGGTGGCGAGCGGTGAAGGCAATGATGGCGGGGGTGGATGAAGAAGCGTGAGTGGCTGTGAGAGATATGCAAGATGGAGGAGGTCCAACCAACGTGAGACGAAGCCGATGGAAGGTGATGCGGGTCAGGTGATGCCCCGCAAGTTGCACGAGCACAGCAGAGCAGCAGACAGCATGGATATCCATGTATCTCTATGGATGTCCCAAAGACTAGTCCAACTACAGAGTATGTATGGTCTACGATAGAGGAAATGGTATGATAAATAATGGTCGTTTCTAGTTCATGGCAAAATTATCTATGTGAGAGCGCTTTTCGAAAAAGACAGACAAAAATAATCAAGAAAAGATAACTCCGTGAAACACCGTCCAGCCACTCGGATGCAAAGCAAAATGAATCATCGACATAATAAGCACGCTCAAGCGGCATCCGCAGTGGGGACGGGCTCGGGGATCTTGGTAACCTGGGCACCAGCCCGGATGATACGCTGGCCACTCTCGTCACGAACGTACTCGGTGTTCTCCTTGTGAGAACGCTTCCAGATCTCAACTTCACAGCCACCGCGAATCACACCCACCCGCATGGTGGAGAGCAGGTTGTGAGCAGCGTTGGAGTGGTAGTAGATACCACCGTTGAACATGGCGGTGGCATCCTTGCCAATACCGGAGCTGATCATGGCCTTGCCACCGGGGTGATCCTTGATGAAATCGGTCACGTCGTGGACAACACCAGCGATGGCAACCAGGCCACGGCCGTTCTTGGATTGCTCGACATAGTCGTCCCACTCCATGACGGGGAGCTGCTCGAGAGGAGTACCCCAGTCCAGCTTGGAGCGCTTCTGGTCGATCTTCTTCTGAAGCTGCTGGATACGGCCCTTCTCGATCTCGTTGGCACGGAACTGCTTGAGATCATAGGCGAGACCCAACTGCTTCCAGGACCAGATGGTCCACTTGGTGGGGTCATACTGGTGCCACTCAATGGCATTGCGGTAGTCGGAGGGGAACTCGTGGTGGAAGTTGTGGTATCCCTCACCCAGGGTAACCAGGGCAGTGATAACGTGGTCACGGGGAGAGTTGCGGTCGTCGAAGGGCTGGTCACCGAGCCAGTGAGCGAGAGAGTTGACGCAGAAGGTAGCCTGTTGGACGAAGAAGATGCGAAGGATACCGGCGTAGACGAAACCACCAAGCCAGTCACCCCATCCGAGACCAGCCACGAGCATAGGGAAGATGAGTCCCATGCCCAAGACGACCTTGAGGTAGTGACGGTGCTGCCAGATAACGACGGGGTCCTCATTCAGATCGGAGATATCGGTACGGCCGATGCGCTTAGGGTTCTGCTTCATGACCATCCAGCCAAGGTGAGAGTACCAGAAACCCTTGCGGACGGAGTAGGGGTCCTTCTCGGTGTCGGTGTAACGGTGGTGAGCACGGTGGCCGCGAGCCCACCAGCGAATGGAGCCCTCAACGGCACCGCCGCCGACCAGGGCGAGCCAGATGCGAAGGGGGAGACTGGCGGAGTAGGAGCAGTGAGCCCAGAGACGGTGATATCCTGTAAGATATGAGTTAGTATCAAATCCTTCCATAATGAGCTTTCTCCCTGCTAATCATTGCTTACCTGCTGTGATACCCAGACCGGTGAAGAAGTAGTACACGACGGCCCAGACGGCAGTCTTCAGGTACAGAGGAGTCCAGAAAGCTTGGACGCAGCCCATGGCGGGAATACCGAGAATGAGGTAGACATTCAGCCAGTTGACATGCTTGTACCAGTTGTTGCGAGTCAACGGAGTATCGGCGATGTGCACCTTCTTGGTGTCAGGGGCCCGAGGGCGAGAGGACTCAGCCTTGGTGGACATGATGTCTCTCTGTGATTCACTTTTCTCTTTCCCTCAGTGATGAAGATGAAAGACGGAAAGGAAGTGAGGGAAAAAAAAAGAAGTATGAGAAGGGAGTGGCGTGGGCCAGGGCCGGGCGATGGCTTTTTTTATATGGGGGGGCCCACTTAGGACCAACGTTGGGGGAGAGGAAGGGTTTGATCGCCAACGGATTATGGGGAAGCTTGGAGGAAGACGAATCAACACAAATGCAAAAGGGAGAAACAGGAATCACAAGATCCCTCGGCAGAGAAACGGAAGAAGTCGACCGGCCGATCAAGAAAGAAAACGAAGCAGAAGAAAAGGAAAAAGGGAGAAGGACGAATGAGCGAGCGTGTTCAGCCGGTTCCTGAGGTGGCGTGCCTTCCTTTCTCGTTGAGGCGCCCCAACACTTTTCGCTTAGTCACTATCATACCACACCACCCACCAACATAGCACACTGCACATAGTGTTACAGTATTGACATGGTGCCATATACATCATGGCATGGACCAATTGTACGATTGGATTAATATTAGCCCAACATTTCTACTCTGTACAAGAGTATAGAGTACCCTAACGCTGTACTGTAGTACTGCCCCAAGTGGTCCTGCATGAACTGCACGTGACTGGTGTTGCAGCTTATCATTCTTATCAGGGCTCCGCAAACGGATGGGATGGGACCAGGGATACATCCAGGACTCTGGAGGTGAATACAGATGAGATAGTATTCTTACACAAGTACTCTGTTCTCTGTGTACATACTCTCTACTCCATTCTACACTCTCAAATCAGTTCTTCTGGCTCGGCCACTTCCCGCTTTGTCCCATCCCTTTTGTCTTCCGCCCCTGCGTCAGCAGCCCTATGGTGGCAAACAATACGAAAATACCAAACTCAACATCCCTAGCCCTTCCGATCGGGGTGTTTCCCAGCGTCATGATGGACAGTGAAGCCAAGGCAAATGACCTGAATGCTTCAATGAATGAGGTCATGTCAAAATCATCCAGTATCCTCATGCTGATCGCATGTGCAAGAGGCCCTATCCGCAGTATGTAGTTAGTTACCACAGTAGTTACTCAGTACGAAGTAGGACTAGTTCACTGGAAATGTTGGGGTTCGGCGGCGGGTCTGCCGAGGCTGATCTAGGCCTAGTCACGTGTGTGCAAGTCACGTTGTGGGTCTCGTTCACCCAAGTCACGTGCGGTGGGAGAGCTGAGATAAGCTGCTGAGATAAGCCGGCAGGTGGGGCGAACCAGGAAATCACCGAACCCGTCAAGATCAACTCTTTATTGACTTCGCTGGTATAGACCCCATCACCCCACACCGATCTCTGGGCGCCCCATCTGTACAACATGGTCTTGACTCTGACCTTCTGGACCATGTTGTTTCTCAGTTGATAAATCTCCGCCTCTTTGATCGCTTCCGACCTTTCCGGTCACTTCGCTCTTCTTGTCGTGGCTCTCTCACACCGCCTCGGTGCGGAGAAAAAAACCGCCTTCGGTTTTCAGCCTCTTGCTAGCTGAGGAGACCTATCAACCATACCGGCTATCCCGAAATCCAATCAGAGCTCATATTGTCACCCTCTCGGCTGATATTCCAGAGACCGCTCCCGGAATCGTCAAATCTCTGCATCCCAGGACCATTCTGCTCTTGTTTACTCGCATATCTTCCAGCATTTCGATTTTCAAGCGTTAACTGGCTGGTCTCGTTTCTCATTTCTCGTCTCAGCAACCGCCTCCTCTTGATTATTCTATATCCCTGTATTCCCACATATCTCATCCACTTGTCTTTTTTTGTTATGGCCGTGATTGCATCCCCGACCTCCGCTGTCCGAAGATATATATTCCATGGTCCGACCAAATCCTCCTCCACAACTAAAATCACAAATTTAAAGGCCCCTGATAGTCTCGACAACCCCTGGGGATGACCATCATGTCCTCCCAGAGGTCCGCGGATATATTCCGCGCCCTCCCAGTGGAGCTCATGATCGAAATTCTGCAGTATATCGATGATTTCTACAGCCTCGTGAGCCTGACCAAAGCCTCACCACACGCCGAATCTGTATGCGCGACATACGCCCTCCCAATCTTAAATCGCCTCACGAAATGGTATTCTCTTTTTCACTGCCCCTACAGCTACCGCGATCAAGGCATCCCAATGCCCATTCGTGGTATATTTCGTTGTCTCGCTCTCATGCTGAGCGAACCACCATCCGATATCGAATCTGTGAGGCGCCATTTTGAATACACGCAAGACTGCCCCTGGAGCGTGGTCCCAATTCCGCTCTGCCCCAAGAGAGCTGCCACAGTAGCATTTGAACTGATTCGCATCGCCGGTCGTATTCAGCGTCTTGCATGCATGTGTCTTCTCACCATGGTCGGCAACCTCCATTGCGCAGTTTCTAGCTCCAAACTTCTCGGCCCACAACGTGCGACACATTTCATCCCGTTTGGCTGGGTCGAGGAATATAGAGTCTATCAAGCACTCTGGAATCTTCAGCTTTATTCCACATACATCCATTATACGCAGAGTAAATGGGGCTGGTCAGATGAGGAGGTCCAGGCGTTGAGTATTGAGATCCCTTGGCAGTTCGCGTCAAAGGGTGCCTTGGATGAAGAGATTCCATCCGTGACGACTGTTCTCAACCAGTTGGGCCTTATATCGAAACAAATATCCCACCTGCCCTTATTCGACTTTGATGATATGGAGGAGATATTGGACCACAGCGGATACCCCTCATCATGTGCATGGTCACCACCGCCTGTCCCTGAACTAAAATGTTTCCCGGGTGGACGTGACCTCTGGGGCCAAAGCTCCCAGATTGCTCTCGTAGAATTATCAAGATGCACAGAGCTATGGCGATTTATGACCGACCGTACTCCAAATACGACTCGCCCGTTGGAACCGGCGGTAACTTTTCGGATGGATGGACCCGAGCGACCTTTTTTCCAAGGGATGGGTCTATTCATCTGGGACGAATGGCGTATGTGCGCAGTGGGTCTTTTCTACCCTGAGACCCTCAAAAGGGAATCTGGCCTTCCGCGTGGACCGGATGGAAAACCGATTGATCTAAAGCCGTTTTTGGACAACTTCGATTCATGGAACCAAAAAGTCATTTACGAACGCTGGTGGTCTTTGCTAGGGGAATATCCGGATTTGTTGGATTTTGTCCCGCGAGACCCTTTCAAACCTCCATTTCCTCCATTTCCTTGCAAGCATTGGATGTTTAATCGGGAGCGGCGGCTCGCTGCTAGTCCCAGCGAAAGTCAAGGTTTGATTCCTCCATGGGTCAGTCGAATCGCATCGTCGCCGGGAAGGGTGTTGAGCACCCCCTTCGTCTGTTACAACGTTCATGTCACTTAGGTGCGCCCTTGTGGAAATATTTATTTAATTCCTTGTCGAAATGGGATTGGGCGTGTCTTTTAGTTGTTGATATTGGAAACCTCTAAAGCTAGTAGACTGCGACACTGTAGGTCTCACATGTTGTAGCTTGCCGGATTGCCTTCTAAGATTGGCATTTCTTAGTAAGTCCAATGTGTATTATGGTTGGTATACCACAAGATACACAAGAACTAGCAGATTCCAGTAGCAAATGTAGTACCCGAGGGAACGAATGCCCTTCGACATCTGTTCCGATACCATGAGCTGGTCCCAACTTGAAACAAAGGAAATACATGACCCAATTCGGCCTTGTACTGTGAGACATCGTATACCCCGAAGCCTGCGGAATTTCTCTCTGCCACCTTTTCTGACGAAATTTAATTGAGCCCATTGTCTATAATTCCTTTCATTTGTGGATGCCTATTTTTTTTCTCAGCCACAGGTCCACGTTGGCCTTTCTCTAAAGCGTCATGACAAAGATTCAAATTTGATATATTCACCATATGAAGTAATTTAGCGGGCTCCCGCATGCGCTAGAGCTTCAATTAGGTCATTAAATTGTCATTAAATCCCTTTATTTGCTTCTATCTATCAATCTGCGCTTTGTCGGCCTGACCTCGTCGACGCCCTCCAAAGTGGTATATCAAAACAATGCCCAGCATACTCTACTTGTCCGACAAGGAGATCTCGACATCCATTCTTCGAATCAGGGTCTCATTGTCTATATCAAGTCCTTTATTCTCATTCATTAAGAGTGTAGCTTCTCGGGGCTCTCGAGAATACTATAAAAGGCCGGCATTTGTCTCTATAATCATCCTCCACTTTCTATCATACCAACGAGTCGCATGCTTCCACCCATTGATTACTATATACTACTAGTATCAGTACTAATATAAGTTATCTATATATTTTAGCCACTATGTCGGCTTCAGGTTACACCACCGCTGCTCAGCCGCTCATCCACGACCTCGAGGAGTCTATCCTCGACCTCTCCGTCGAGAAGATACGACCCAGCTTTCTAGCAGCTGAGTACGGCGTCGACCCATCTGCTCATCTCGACACTCATGCAGTGTTGTATTTGCTAACTGCAGATGGGAACTCGATAGAGCTGAATATGGGCTCCCCTTCCGCGCTTACCGACATGGGAAGGATGATAATCGGTCAAAGAACCTTTAGGAGGCATCGGCATTGCTTTAAGCATTGGAGTCTCGTTGTCCGTCCGGGTCTGACGGTTCGTGATATTCTTCGGGCCATTCAAGAAGAACGACGACATATTTACCAGTTTCATCGTAGTGGTCTTGGGTGCCGATACTGGGTGCGAACGGTGATTAATGACTTTCGAGAACACGGCTTCTTTTATTTGACGCAGAATCGCCCTTTGCGCAGATTTATGAAGGGTGTGGGGTACTCATATCCTCGTGGCCAGGCGCCGGAGAAATCCCCTATTGTGAGAGGGAGATTTCTGTAGGAGGTGTCGGTTTGATGAAGTGAGATCTCATACTTTTAGGCAGGCACTTTAAGTAGTCTTGGATCTCGTTTGGGGCTGTGAGTAAATGTTATTATTTAGTTTCTGCTTTTATAATATACGTCATTAGGAATTACAGCACCTTTTACCACTTGATAATAAGGAATTGTGAGATCTCATTATTATGTCCATCCGGATATTAAGATGGAGTTTTCCATTTTCAGGCAAGTTTGAAGCTCAAACTTGAAGCGAGTTGTAGTAACTTATAGTCAGTAATAGGAAAGGAATGTGGTGAGTATTCGACCGGGATCATGATAATCAACCGAGGGGCATGCGCGGTTGGTAGAGCATAGTGAACACCCGGAATCGCATGGCGATGGTGTTGTGAGGATCTCCTCGAAGAGGAGAGACTAGAAGAGGAGAAGATGGTACCATTCCCGAAATCCTAGAACTAATGGATTACGAACCCTATAGGACTATTATCAAAGTCGCAAAATTATGTTCAACTAGTGCCTACCGAAGTAACGACGCGAGCTTGATTCAACGAGCTGAGACGCTATATGAGCACGGCACCAACCGAGCAAATTTCATGCGTGGAGAGGTTGGGTGTTACCAGTGGCAGGGCTTGGGACTGAACGCGACTCTTTCAGGAATTCAGGCAGCATTTTTATATGCACAGTTACAGGCAACAGACGTGATAAATAATTACTGCGTACATGTTTGGCACCGCTACCAGGTTGCTCTGGCGCCCTTGGAGCAAAGGAAGAAAATCAAACTGCCTCCTACAAGTTTGATCGAATGCCGTGCTGGAATAGGCAAAAGTAGGGTACTTCAAGATCTGAGTGAAACATCCGCAATATTTAGTCCACGGGTACAAACTAGTAGTAGACCTATTTAGAAGCGATTATCAAGCCCTGGAGAGGTTGATCGCATTTAAACGGAGGTGGTCATTTTCGCAGATTGCTATTACCAGATCTCCTGTACTCACGCGGTTATGCCACAGTCTATTCCAGCCTATTGATCTCTCATACTCACTAGTATGGCTACTAGTACTTCTAAAGTTCCTCACCCAGATGGTATGCACTAAACTTTCTTTGATATTCATGGCTATCTAAAGCATGTAGTGAAAGCCATCTAGCCCCTCGATCATGATTTCTCCACGGGCAGCCCGGTCGTTAGCTTTGTGGAAGCGGATTATCATTGCAACCGAAATAACTATAGTCAATGCGCAGCACCTATCGATTAATATTGTTAGCGAAAGTCCGGCACAAATGGAAGAAGGTAAAAACAACGCACACGAGACAGGCGTAAAAGCCAGGCATGTATTGAGGTGCGTCTTGAGAGCGGAAAATCAGCGATCCTGCGATACCGCCCACGCCCCCAGCTCCTATGATGCTGGCGCTACAAAATGTCTGCTTCCATTTTCCCCGGATGTTATTGGTCTGCCACGTAATTATAGCGGGCAGATTTGAATGCGTTCCTCCTGCTATCAGAAAGATTCCAAAATATTGAACCCAGGGACTTTTCACCCAAGCTAGAACGCAGATTCCCACTGCAGCCTGAAAGCCGTTGTAGATTATTATCAGACCTCGCGACTTGATTTTGCCGCCAAGCCATCCCTGGAAACACATCTGGAGACACGCGAATATGTAGGGCGGGGTGTTTAAGGCTTGGCACGCAATGAGACTGAACCCCAGCTGTTCCTGTAGGATGATTGGCATAAAGAAGGAAATTGCATAAATCACCGTACTCATGCACCTTGAATATTTGTTAGCAGTAGAAACTGTGATGTGGGAGGTGACCAGCTTCTTACAGATAGCTGAGCTCAAAGCCCCAAATGTTGATATCCAGAGCGGGCCTGAAAAACTTTTTGAACTCAAACGAGTCATCCTCGTAGCTATCATTTCGCTGATGGCCAATACTTTCGATCACATAGTGTGCCTCTCTCTCTGTGAGAAATTTCCACGCATCGTGGGCATCCGCGGGCATATTCACTATTAATGCGAATCCTATAAAAGATATAGCACAGGTTAACAGACCCTCCATTATAAATAACCATCGCCACGCATTGAGTCCCTCAATGCCTTTCATTTGTGAGAATGCGCATGCAAGTAGCCCCGAGAAGGCAGCGCCGAATAAGCTGATAGTATAGAATGAGGAATATCTGGTCTGAATGTCGGCTGGAAAAATCTATAAGTATCTGACCATCAAAGTGCCAAAGATTATCTTACCTCGCGTATACCACTGTGAAATTGTATAGACCGCACCAGGAAACAGCCCTGCCTCAAATGCACCGAGGAGCAACCGAAGAGCGACCATCGCTCGCCAGTCATGAACAAAGCCAAAGCACTAACTCAGAGGTCAATAATGCTCGAATCGCACATAGTTGGAGAGGTGTCTGAATACCATCATAACTACTCCCCATAGAAGGGTAATGGTGGGAAGAAAGATCCGTGGTCCGAATTTGCGCACGACAATCGTCGCAGGCATTTGAAAGATGACATAGGTAATAAAAAAGACGAGAAGAATAAGGGACTATACTGTCAGTTCTGCATACCTTGTCTATATCACTGTACTCACATAGCGCTCGCCCTTGCTCAAATCTAGATCCTTGGTCATACTTCAATGAAATGCGGTATTAGAGTTGAGATATGAAGCCATTTGAGTACGGAGCACAGGGTGATTACTTACCCGGAAATTGCCGCATTTCCCACATTAGCTCTATCCAAGAAACTGGCTGCCATCATGAGACCAAGAGGAAAGACGATACGGAAATCGACCTTGCGTGTTATTTTGCGTCGCTCGACACGAGAGTAGCCTTGAAGGCTGCGAGCTTCTTCTGGATCATCAGAAGAGCCTTCCATCCCGACAAACTTTGTGTCGTCATATTTGGTTTTAGAACTAGTATCGGAGCGAGCCATGCTAAATGTATGCTTTCTGATTCGTTTTGGTAAGAATAACTTTCTCGGAATAAGGAAAACTTTCGTGAGGACAACCAAGTTGGATGTTTATATCTGAGAGGGGGCTTCCTTAGACAATGGAAAAAATGACGAATGGCATAATTTGAATATCCAGTCATAATTCATACCGTCTGCTAGTCAAACTTCGGTAGGAATCTGTCTTGGAAAGGTTCGGTATATGAAGCGGGGTACCGAAGGTTCGGCAATGCCGAAAGACCCCTGGACCGAACCCGGAATCCTGCTTCGAGTCCAGTATCCTTGGTTCAAAAGGCACATGAGATCTACCCAAGCAGATTCCAGTTGGATATATAGATTATCTCTTCATGCTCCAAGATTGAGCCTATTTTCAGAGTATTTGTTTTTCAATTTACGAAATATTCAGTCATATTCGATCATCCCTCCTCGCCACCATGGCCCCTGTCGACAATACAAATTCCGCTTCTTTCTCGGACGGAGAAGATTTTGAGAATGCCTCCCGGGGATTCATTGATTCTCTAAAGCCTTGCACTATCCGCGCTCGTGACGGCAATGTCGTATGGGATAATGACCAATATTGCTTTCTCGAGGACAAATGCCCTGGGACGGTCAATCCAAGTCTCTGGCGACAGGCTCAACTTTGTTACAAGCAGGGGCTTTTTGAGGTTGCTAGAGGCATCTATCAAGTCAGGGGGTTTGATCTTTCAAACATGACCGTGGTAGAGGGCCAGCAAGGAGTCATTGTGATCGACCCACTTATCTCGGCTGAATGTGCCGCAGCAGCTCTAGCATTATATCGCCAACATCGTGGAAATCGGAAGGTCACTGGTCTGATATATTCACACTCACATGCGGATCATTTTGGGGGTGCAGCGGGTGTGCTTCCATCTTACGGTCACGCCAACGGATCGCTTAGTAATGAACCCGTGTCCATTCCAATTCTTGCACCTGAGCACTTTATGGATGAAGCCATCAGCGAAAATATATTCGCGGGACCAGCAATGCGCAGACGCGCAGCGTTTATGTTCGGCAATCGCCTGGTTAAAGGCTCCCAAGGCCAGGTTAGCTCCGGGCTTGGCCTGACCAGTTCCAGTGGCACCACTGGGCTCATCCCACCAAATGTGGATATCAAACTGACAGGGGAGGAGCATGTTTTGGATGGAGTGAGAATCGTGTTTCAAATGGTTCCGGGCACAGAAGCACCAGCAGAGATCAATCTCTATTTTCCAGAGCAACGGGCCCTCTGCATCTCGGAATGCGCTACTCATTGTATGCACAATATAGGTACACTCAGGGGCGCTCAAGTACGGGATGCAAAGGCGTGGTCTAAATACCTCGACGAATCTTTGACACTGTTTGGAAATAAATCTGATGTTTTGTTTGCAAGCCATCATTGGCCAACTTGGGGCCAGGAGAAGCTCGTTCGGCTCATATCAGAGCAGCGTGATCTATACGCCTACCTTCATGACCAGACATGCCGAATGATGAATCTTGGGCTCACAGGAATCCAAATTGCAGAAAGGCTGGAGTTGCCTACGTCCCTTCAGAAGGCCTGGCATATCAAAGGATATTACGGCTCCCTTAGCCACAATGTGAAAGCCATATACCAGCGCTACATGACCTGGTTCGACGGCAATGCGGCCCACCTGTGGCAGCATCCACCTGAAAGTGAAGCAGCGCGATATGTTGACTGTATGGGGGGCGTCGAAAATGTTGTTAGAAAGGCCCTAGAGTATCGTGACAACGGTGACCTCCGCTTTGCGGCCACTTTACTCGACCACGCGTTTTTCACGGAGCCTACACCCGCGGTGAGAGACGCCTCAGCATCCGTATTTGAGAGGCTAGGCTATGGGGCAGAGAATGCCATATGGCGCAATTTCTATCTTACCCGCGCTCAAGACATCCGCAATAAGGTCGAATTCCATCTTTCGAAGCCCGCAGAAGTGCAACCAATAAATCCATTGCTCTCAGTGGCCGACTGGCTGGATTGTATTTCCATCCAATTGGATGGCAGTCAGGTCAATGGCGAGAAGATCACCATTGAAATATTAATGCCTGATGAGAAATGTCGCTGGACATTATCCTTGAGCAATGGCGCTTTAATTTATCGGGAACAGCCAATTGAACAGGCATCTCCTCTACGAGCAGATTTAATCCTGAAGTTGAACAAAGGCCAGCTGGCTGATGTCCTTCAAGGTGATCTTCAGGTAATTGAACAGGCCGAGGGGGATCTGAGAGTCCTATCCAAGCTTCTAGGGTTCTTGTCTATTGGGATCAGAGGAAGACCAAGGTTATAGAAGGATATGGATCATTTGGTGATCTTCTGGTCGATTATACGAGCAAGGAAATTAATCACTATGGAGCTCAGGCCACCTCAGACGATTGAGAAGTCAGTTTCAACTAGGTCTCTTCTTCAGAATCTCCACCTCGTAGTGGGATTGATGTGAATGATAACTACCAATGCGCCTTGGGTCTTCAATTGCCGAGAATGATCTCTACAGTGTTATAAGCCTCGTACATTTCATACGGTATCTGAAACGAACATACTATCTCTAGTTAACCATCGTAAATGGTTTCTCATGCCCCGAAATGTCCTATTTCGCCCATTTAATGCTTGTTCTAGTTAGTGCATGCGTGGTGTTTCTGGTTGTTGGTGTTTGATCACTGTGATCCGCTAGTCTGCCTCAAGTTACAAGATTGCCATCGTGCTGTTCCAATTTCAGTAGATAGATTCACCATGTAAACCATGAGATATAATTTCTCTTTTCCCCGCACGATCTAATCTGCAAAATATCGCCTTAATCAAGTTAGATTCCGCCAAATTCATTGTGGGGTTATGAATATTCGCCAAGACACACGGTTTACGTAACCTACCCTTTCCCCACGGTTTGCTCGCATGCCCCCTGCCAAAATATGCCAACAACGTGCATGGCCTGCAGATAGTTACATATGGCAGATTTATATTTGTCTAACTGATCTCATCATGCCCTCTTCCGATGGTCTCAGTAAAAGGGCCCGCGAAAGGGCGAAAATTGTCTGCCTCCACTGTCACGCACGGAAGGAATGTCATTCACCCCTCCTGGCATGTGGCGAAACTAACAACCTGACAGGTACGATGTGATCTTCAAGAACAAGAAGATGATGCTTGCAGCCATTGTAAAAGACGTGGCCAAGACTGCAAGTAAGAGCTTGTGGTTATGATACCATTGACATTGTGTTGAAGGCTCACCTTTGTCTAGGCGGCACGGTAGTTGGGGTGGCCGAATGACACGTTCCCGGACTTTGCATTCACAGACAGCGAGCCCTATTACAGTAGCTTCATACTCAAATGACGGTTCTACTGAATCATTATGCCCTGGCCAGCCTAGTCAGAGTCAAGATACCCATCATCAAACTATCCGACAGCAGCCTGACCAGCCTGGCTATATAGGAGAGCAATCTCTTATGTCTTCTTCTTCATCGATTTCTGTACCGGCAATATTGGATACAGGTTCCTTTTCGCAACACATCCACGATGAGATACTTAAAATTACCAGTGCGATGTCTCTCCCATCTCGATCAAAAATCCAGGTCTTCACAGAAACATATTTTACCCATCTTTACCACGTGGCACCTGTCATTGATCGGGCAGATTTGGCGGTTGAACAGCCTTCTGCTTTACTAGAATTGGCAATTTGCTTAATCGGATCCCAGCTCCGATACCCTAGGGACCAACCCCCGACACTTTTGAGCGAGTCATATTACCTCAAGATCAAGACTCTCATTTATGCAAAACACGAACAGGATAAACTTGCTATTCTGAAAACGCTTTGCATCTTATGCTTCTGGGTTATAACTCCACCTGTGGTGGTGAGCCTTGATTCCTCCTACCACTGGCTCGGCGTAGCCGTCCGACTCGCATATCAAATGGGCCTTCATCGGGAATCGAGTTATCTAAAATTATCCAACCCAGGAGCTGCCCGTCGTTTGGTGTGGTTCATTTTCGTGAGTTCCGCCTCAAACACCGTGAACTGTTCTAACTTCATCTTTAGTGCGCAGATAAATTGCAGGCGGCGGCATTTGGACGTCCTATCTTCATATCATCTCATAGCATAAACGTGCGACCGTTAGAGGTTGAAGATTTTGAATTTCCAGATGCCAAATCTGAGACATTTATTCAATTCACGAACCTAAATAAACTCCTCGAAAAGATTGTGGAGTTTCAGGACCGCAAGGCCGAGGTCTCTTATGAACAAGTGCGTACCATCCATTCCAGAGGTCTTAGGAGGTGATATGCCTAGTGAACTATGTGTTACTCCAGTTTAACGTCATAATTGAAATATGCTAATTAAAAGACCATATGCAGGGATTCTGGATTCTCAGCTCTTTGGAACAATGGATTGCAAACCTTCCAAGTAACTTAAACCTTCACAATGATTCTGGTCGCAGAGAATATTGTCGAGGTATCGCAGAATTACATATCCACTACTTCACCTGCGTCATCTTATTCATTCATTTATACGGACATGTCATTAATCCATCCATGATGGCCGATACATCTCTGGTGGCATCATCCTGCATGGCGTGTTTGTACGATGAAATTGATGACCATGATGAGATTAACTACCTCACGCCAGTTCATAATTGGTCATTGATGGTGGGGTGTATCCCGCAAATTCACAGACTTGGAGACATTGAACTACTTTCCGGAGAACATGACTTGTGCAATACGGAGCTAGGGATCTTCGTCACTGCACTAAGATGCATGCGTCTGAAATGGCCACCTGCAAATAACATATTATCGACTCTCGACCGCCTCCGCACATCTAAATTTCATCCGGTGCTACCCGAGGATCAACCAAAAGTTGCCCGGCCGCGGGTGGTTCTGGAGGGCTTGTTCCCCTTTCCAAAGGACATGTGTCCCAGAATGGAAATGATGAATCCGGATTCAGTCGAACAAAGCAATGGAATTCAAGGCGGGGTAACTCCTATAGTTGATGGATCTATGGACTGGATCTTCGACGAATTCAACCTAGATTATTTGGATATTCCATTTCTCGGCTGAATCTCATGATGAAACGATGCGCGAGTGATCAAAGTGTCTTATTTACAACATCTTCACATTTAGAAGGGCACGGAGGGAACACAATGTACATCACACCAAAAACAAAAATAATTACGAAAATTTATCACTTATTACGAAGTGAAACACTGGGATGAGCTGAGAGATAGGGGTTACATTCTTCTAATATCGATTATGAGGCAGGCTAATTATGGCAGTGATGCCACTCAAATGACACTCGCCATGATCAACAACGTGAACAACGACGATCTAACCCTGCTTCCACAGCAAAGAGGCATGATAGATCTCTTCATGGTTCTCTATGGGTCTTTCAGGTGGGATGACGTCGCTGCAAAAACGAGAGTAAGAGATCGCGCTGTACGAGTGAATCGTAGGTTACAAATACCGATTCAGCAAAAAATACCAATGCTTCCAAGCCTACGAATAAATACTCTAGAAATGGCTGCGCTTTCGCGAATGCTCTGATCCAGAACACAGCCAGCTGGAACTTCTGCGTCGAGAGCATGTGGGTCCTCGACCCTCATGTCCCTTCTAGTGTTCAAGCCGGTGAGTATGATCCAACAATTTCCTCTAATTAAAATGTTTAGCATCATGAATCCATCCCTGAATAATGATACGTGTAGAGTTTTGGTCGATCAAGGACTTACCAGCTGGTCCTCGTAAGCAAAAGGTGTCTAAGTCTTTTTGTACGATACCAGACGGTTACTCGGCTGGATTTGGTGGTGGACAAGCTGAAGCGGTCACGCTGACAGCCGAACATACTCAGGGTAATCCTAATTGGATTACATTTTGTGGCGGGGTGTGGTAAGTGTTGAAATATCAGACACACATCTGGTATCAACCTAACAATAAAGCAGCAGCCCTGAGCAACGCTGATTTCCTTGAGAATATGATCTTTAACACACCAGAGATACTCGAGCATGATTTTACCCACGGGAAAGGCCAATTGGGCGAATATTATGGAAAAGAGCCAATTCGTCCAAGTCCAAGTCTACAAAAACCTACATACATCTCACTCACCGCCTCCGCTAATCAATTGAAAGGGGCAGGTGGGACAGATAGGGAAGGGGGGGGTTGGGGGATTAGGGGGTTGAGGTAGAACTAACCGCGGACTCGGCCAAGCGCCTCTTTTCATTGCTTTTTTTCAAGGCTGGGTCTTTTTAGTACTTTTTGGTCGCCATATTTTTTTCATCTATTCCAGTTCCAACATTTGGACAAATAATGGCATAATACTAAATATCAGGCTTGGGGAAAAAATCGAAGGTTACTAATTGGCGCGTCATTGTGTACAAAATATCGACGTTTGTTCGACCGACAGGGGAATGGGCGTGGGCCAGGTGGCTTGGAAGGATCGACGAAGGATCGAATGAACTGTCAGTTACATCCACATCATATCCAGTACATTTTACCGCCCCAGTAATGTCGGTGCCTAGCGAGCTCCATGAAATACATCACAATTCCTAGAAACCCGTTGGGGGGGTTTATAGTGCTGGACGTTTCTCTCCCACGGCGCCTTACACCAGGTTCCCCTCAAACCTGTTTGGAAAGCTGCCAAGATCCTCAAAGCTCAGCGAGTCTCTCAAAATGAATCATCTGCGTGACACCTTGCTCAGCCCCTCGCCCCAAGGCCTCGACGAAATCCAGGGGGATGACGGCATTGCTCATGATCGCGAGGACGTACGAAAGTCCATTGTGCGCGGTGAATTCCAGGAGCTCCGCGGAGCAGCCTTTTACAATCGAACCTGGATCATAACCGAACGTTACTGCAATAGCGGTGATGGCGTGGATTCCCTCGTCGGGTACATCCATCATATTTGGTACACATACTACCAGCTCAGTCGCCATACATCTCACGAAACAGCCGACCACAACAGTCTTGTCCTTGACATCATCCGAATTCAGGGGCAAGGCCCGCTGAGCAGACCTGTCCGCGGAAATTATGGAATTGATATCGCGCGAACCGTCGAGGGCACGTTGTGGAATGACCTGCCGTTCTTGGTGACCGATATGACTGAGGTTTGGATGACCGACTTCGCAACAATGGCGGGCACTCAACGCGTCAATTTCGCATCTTTCTTAGCCAAGTTGGCATCAACGCGCGTCAGTAAGGATCGGATGTGTGTGATCGCCATCCTCATCTTCCGTTACACGTTCGAGACCCCCCAAGAAGTTTACCCTTTCGACGAGCCGGATGACGAAGATCTAGGAAGAAGCCTCAAGGATCTCCAGGTTCAGCATTTATTGCCATCCGTATTCACGTGGATTAAAGAGGCAGGAAAGAATCTCCTTCTACTCTCAGAAGTCTCGTGGAATGACTGCCCGAGCGCCATTGGTAATCACGGCCCGTTGCTCATTGAGTCCGAGTTTGGGAAGCGGTCCTCGACTGGATTGACCCCATGGAGATGGATGTTCTGGCTTAAGCGACTCCACGAGTTCCGAGATCAAGCTAAGAAAGTCGGAGAGAAGCGTGTGGAGGAGCTTTGCGACGATTCTATTTCTCAGATGTTTTCAGATGTGAAAGATAGGAACTCCGAGGTTCTAAGAGCTTATAAGGCTGGCGGGGAGGGCATTCAAAAGGAAAGTCATTTGACGCGCCTGAAGAAGATTTTAGATGGCGAAGACTCTGATGATGGCGAGATCTTTGAGGACGACGAGGACAACAACGGCAGTTGACCATCTTTGAATATGACCGGCACTCCCTTTCGTACTTTCGCATCTTCAACCTGAGTATCTTGATTTAGCTGATATGAAAATCGCGCTTTTCGTCCACGTATAATCATTCCATACATCATACATTTAATATTATAGTCCTCACACTTGTCGGGAATTTGGGGTTATACAGAAGTGGGCAAGAGATCGCCAGGCACCGAATGGAATGGTTCAATAATCCTCATTCCGGATCCTTTGCATGGGTACTACGAATGGGGAGAAAAGCACGGCAAATTGGTGATCGGCTGAAAGTAGAGACCAGAGAGCGAAGCTCGTATCTTGAGACTCGATAAGGTCAATTTGTTTGTTTCACCTTTTGTATTTGGGGGCGAAATAAACCTCCGTCAATCAGGGCCAATCAATCGGCCACAGGCACCAGAACGATTCAATGCACAATTAGTGATCGACAGTGCTGACTGTATTGGCCCCATTTCGTCAGTCACTACGACGATCGTTGCCGTTTCATCGGCTCATCGATCTTGCGCAGTAAATTGCTCACAAAAATCCTTGATGACCAGAACCCAACCCACCATAGGGAAATACCAAGAAAATCACTGACATGGATTCGCAAAGCATTTCCAACAAGAACGATTTGCGCTTAGACATTGCAGCCCCGTCAAGCTGGCAATACAGCCCTGGCGACACGATCATCGGGAACGTCGTGCGACAATCGCCCATTGTGTCTCCGGAGGCCACAGTCAATATATGGCTAACGGGGATAATGAGAGTTAGAATCTTGCGAGATCTTGGCACCGGAACCAACGACCGCTGGGGAGAAAAAGATGCCTATGTTGATAAATGGACTCTGATTAACTCAACGGAACAGGCCATTTTCAATGGACCTCTGCATCATCCTGAAAGTACCGAAGAGCCAGTCGCCTGGCCCTTCTCTGCATCTATTCCCAGCAAACCCAAAGCATTTATTACCCAAGGCCATCTGCCGCAGGCGACCTTCCTGCCTTTTGACAAGGATCACGAGGCGTTTCATGTCTTGCCCGGATCGCTACGTACAACATGCGATGGCTACTCATCAAAGTCAGAGGCCCTGGTTGAATATAGGCTTCATGCTGAACTGAATTATGAGCGGGGTGGCTCTAGACGGGTCGAATATGCGACCGTTCCCATCACACTAAGGCATGCCCCAGGGAGCATCGACCAGAAACGCAGCTCGAATGGAGGTCTTTCACCCCCTACGAAGGTGCAAAGCCATCGCCTGATGCCGGGTATGGAGGATACAGAGTTGTCATTTCGACAGAAGACAAAGAAATTATTTGGGTCATCGAAGGCCCCTCAGTTTTGGTTTGAAATTGTTATGAAATCGCCGCCAGTCGTCCAATTCGACAATCCAGCACCGTTGCCAATTATCTTGAGTATCGGAGCTCTCAAGGGGGAGGGACGAACAAGCAGCAGCATTGAAGATATCCCACAGCGAATCCAGATTAATTATGTTAAGATTCGGATCCAGAGTTGGACAACAGTTATCGCTTCGGGCAATCTCACCAGCAGAGCGCATACAGACCGGCAGAGCTTTGACGTGAACTTTCACTCCGAAGATCTGTTTAAGAGTCTTGAAAGTCCTTTGGCGGTTTATTCCTCCGGGAAAGCAAATGAACCTATCGATATTGGCAATATGTTTCAGCTCGTTCTACGGAGGGACGGTCTCTATACAAATGGAAAGAGATGCTCATGGACGCTCACACCCACTCTTTTCCCCGATCTTCTTACTTTTGCTATCAAACATACCCACCAGGTTGAGTATAGGATCAACCTCACAATTGCGGGAGAGACACTTGAGGTGAAAGTGTTTGCACCCTTAAAAATTATAGAAGCCGCTTAAATTATTGTACTTTCTATTTATTCTTTTTCATGATAGGGTTGCTTTAGCTTCATGAATGATTCCCTTCAAGTTGTTTGGATGATTAATATAATGAAAACAATTTCCACTGATGTCTCAAACCCCATACAACGGCAACTACATACGTTTAGAGGTAGAACAACCGGCTTAAGTTTCATATTAGAATCACTGGCTACCATTCGGACCTTGCTGGGTGATAGTAATGTGGCTGCAGTGCTCAAATAGACTTCAAGCAACATTGTGGGCCTCTTCACGTCGTGATACAATCCTGCCAGGGTTCCGGGTCTCCGGGTCTCATGCGACTCTTTGGGGCCAAAAAGGCTTAGTAGTGAAGAAGGAGACATGCCATGGGGCGAAAAATGCTTGACGGCTGATCTAAGGATAATTAAAGAGGGCGTGCCTGAAAATCATGATATGATTGGGTGGGCCCAAAAGTCTCAGATGTACTTAAGGGCCCTATTGGGCGAAAGGCTCAAATGGTGCGACATGGCGTTTGCGGCTGGACGCGTATTTACATACAGCGTCATAGAAAATTCGATGCAAACTTGAAAGGTTGGCACGTGTAGGGTAATCAATTTATAATCCATCGTCCTTCTCCTGCCTCGTGGCTCAGGGATATGAAGCAAAAGAGCAATGGTAACACCCCGGGCCAATATGCAGCACACTCATCGAAAGGAGATGCAAGATAATTTACAGATTCTCGCATTGCTAAAACATGATAAGGCGCTTGCTTTTTGACCGAAACCTTTCTTGTAGATCGACAGGTTCTATTCAAAGCCCGCGAGGCTTTGGCAAATTTCGGAAAGGATCATAGTTCACGATTTGCTGCAGTTCGAGTAACTAGTAGAAGGTCAGCTTGACTCCGTGTGATAATATGGCCCCATATTGAGTTATTGCCGACACCTTTCTACATACTATTTGGCATCGGGTTTAAGCGGCTCAATGTGTATCGGTACTGGATCTCATGGGGAGAGGTAGAATCAACCGAATGAGGCAATTCCATTTGTTTTGCCCGAGAGGCGTTATTGCGGAACCAGGCGCTGCTGTTATTTCTGGACTGAAAAGAGATAAAAATATATCCGGAGCTATCATGTCTTGTCTATTATACACGTGTTGATGGTTAAGGTTCAAGGAAAGATTATACGACTAATCATACCATAGATCTGGACACATGCATGCGTTCGCCAGTTGAAGGATCGAGAAGGCGTTCGAAATTCAGGGGCCGACTTATGAAGGAAGACTTGCGCTAGCTTCGAACACCCTATTACTGGGCAGATGAAGAAAGGTACCGTATTGGTATTGCCAAGCTATCTTACCTTTGTAGGCATATGCACTAAAAACCCCGAACAGGCATGCAGTTCTATGACCCAAAGCTTAAGGCTCAACATCAGAGAAAGAGAAGGAAGGTCACATAACAGTAGTAACTCGACCGTATAACTTGAGAAATATGCCCTTTAGACTGATCAATGGTGTATGTGATCTCTTCAAGGTGTAGAATAATTACGGCACTTTGCTTCGTTAGGTTAGAAGTGCGATATGGGAAACACGGGTATTCGTTATTTGCTCTCGAATGCTGCTTACTGGGGGCAAAGAAGATCAGCTTCCTTCCTGGAAGGGGCCAAATGTTGCATATCAAGTCTCAAACGAAGAGGATCGTCCTTCCAAAGCCACTTTTTTTCCTCGTAGCCTTGCGACGGACAACTGGTATAAATAACGAGTTCGCACACATATAATGGACATTAATAACTAATCTCTTCTTATTCAAGGCCACCTCAATCAACATGGCTCTCATCGGACGGGAATTCCTCGTTGGTAGAACGTTGAGCAGCGTCGTTTCCAGTACGGCAACTCCGACGGTGACAACTGCCCCGGCAATTACTGCATGCAGTCTTGTTAACCAAGACGCGACTACATTCAAGGACCCTCTGGGTTCGGTGATATCTCTCTCGTCAACTATCGCCTGCGCGTAAGTTTGAGGCCCACAAGCCTGCTCAGAAACATCATTTGTTTTGTTTTCAGACGAGGATAGCTTCTGACACTTTGTATGTTGACAGCTGCAATGACGATTGGACGGCCGGTGTGGGAACCACTGTCGGAGACGATAAAAGCATTACATACACATGCCAAGTGGGAACCTCTACCACCATCGCGGTCAGCACCGCAGCGCCCAGTGCTTCGCCAGTTCCCACACAATGTGCAAACGGTGCCAATCCTGATGAGTCCTGTTTCAACGCATTGGACCTCCCTGACTATATCATGAACTGGTAAGCACCCGGATAAATGGCAATGTCAGTAAACAAAGAGGTTTTTCTCATTATATATCAGGTGGAAAGACAACGAATCCAACTGTGGAGATTACGATGGATTCGCTGATTGTTGGTATGCGAAGATGACGCCGTACTCGCCATCTAAATGCGACCAACTGAACACCGACCCTGCCTGCACTCAGCCATTATGGAAGGACTTCACGGGCTTCAATGATGTACAGGACTTCTACGTGACATGGTGTATCTGGAACACGCAGGGCTTCTTCCTTGACATGTATAACGCCGTGGGCAACGCGGCTCAGCCAGTTTCTGATGCCATCGGAAGCATTGTCAGTCACTCCCTTGCGTGGATGTAGACTCTATTATGTATTAGGCCACGGACTGATTATAAGCAGGTTACCACCCTTGACCCTCCAGATGACTCTTCCAGCCCATGGGAATATGTATTCATGGCACTCACATTCGGATTGAGCTTGTATGTTTACACTTCGATACTCCTCGGAATTGATGCTAACTATCGGTCATCGTTTCAGGTATTCCGAAGGCAGCGTTCTCGTGAAGGCATTTCTGAGATCTGTTCCTCAAACATCTACTGTGCTTCATAATACACTGTTCCCTGCGGGTGACGTTAGTGGAGATGTCACTGCTTGGGCAGATGTCGCGGACGAACTCAGCAAGTTCACAACCAAATGGCAGAAATCGATCGGCACCGGTCTTCCTCTTGTTCAGAATAACATTTCTGCTTTCATTCCCCTGTGAGTCAAAATACCCAGGGGTGATCTTCAATATATGCTCTGGGCATATGATGTGGCTAAACATTCCGCTGACACTCGCCCCATTGGTATTGGTTAGGCATCAAAATACTCCCTTGTCCGGCATTCGCCCAGCCCTCGACGACCTAACTTCCACTATCCAGCAGTCAGTTGGTGGTTATGTAGCATCTGCTTGCTTGAATGAGCTGAACTGGGTTGTGACCCGCGCTGAAAAGATTGATGTCCGCAGCCTCCAGAACGCCGGCAATTTACAATGTAAGTTTCAATCATAACATCGCATGGGGCAACGCACAGTGGCTTGATAAATGTACATACAAGGATCATGTACTAACCTTCTAACAGGGGATACTGGCTGCGATTCCGATTATGACGGAAACGGTATTTGTGACAGCTATTTCTACGACGGAACAGATACATACAGTATTACAGACCCCCAAAACATGGCAACCGACCAGGATAAAATCTTGCAGAAACTTATAGGGGGTGAGAGTCCTTTCACGACCGGAAAAATTCTGTTTACTTCTGGGTTGCAATGCACGCAGACGTGTGGCTCAAATGGAGGTTGTGCTCCGTCCCTGGATTCAAGTGACCCTTCTTCCACCAGCTGCATCAGCACTGCTCGTATCTGTACCTGGACTTGGGATGACTACGGACCTTTCCAACCTGGCTGCGCCAACTTGCCAAGCAGTGATGCCGTCCTACCTGCCTTTGGCGTGAATCCATGTGTGGGCAAGGATGATATGAGCCGTTCTGTACCTTGGTCCTACCTTGGAGGCGGTATCGTGGACGAGAACGCCCCTGGGTGGTGGGCAGACCAAGTTGTCTGTCACACGAAGTATTGAGCGAGGCTTTAATACAATTCACAAGATGCACCCTCTGGGATTCTGCAGGGTGGTGACGACTGAATCATTTTTGTCCTTTGTCTTTCCGCTGATTGCAACTCACATGTCTCACTATGAACTTTGATCTTATGCTTTTTTTTCTCATTTGTGAGGCTCCGGCACGAGGAGCCTCATGGATAATTTGTCTACATAATTCAACGTATTCTTTTCCCTTCGTTTATAAAGAATCGATTCATTTCAATGTTGGCTTGGCCTCCGTTCCAGTGGATGTGGCATTTTGGCCCTTTGGAAGATTTACCTGACCATAGACGTCCACTGGCATTGTCCAACCACTGTAGTATCAGTAGATTTGGAATGTATGTTAGTGGTAACTTTAATACCTCCATTTTGGATATTCCATGCGCCACAGAGAGCATGAAACCTTGGAATGCGGGGAAAGACCCAACGCTATTTTTGAATTTTCGAAAGGCACTGGAGCCCCCCTGAGATTCATCGATATAGTACGAGATATTCTACTCTCAGCACCGTCTATCCAACTCGGGAGCCGTTCACGGTCGGATTACTACTAGTAGTTGGCTCTTCGTAAAACTTGGCGTTATTCTCGATGGAAAAATAGAAGGATCTAGATTATTTCGCGTCTCTCCTAGGTCCAACCTGCTTCCAAAGTTAGATTTTCTATTTCTTTCGAACCTTGGAATCTCTTGCTAGGTGCTCTGGAATCCTGCGATCCGTGTCAGGGAACGAAAACGATTGGTGATGCCACCTCTAGATGCTCACAATTTCGAACTTCAAGAAGGAAGAATTAAGCGAGGGAAACTATTAGCAGTATTGAATTAAATCACTCACTTTGAGAGTTGATACCCTCGTGATATCGTATCTCAGGCCCTGCAGAGGGCCTTCGCAAGACCAAGACGGCCATCTCTAGGGCCGCAATGACACTTCGCCCAGAGAAAGATGATAAGCCATCGGCGCCTTCCACTGTTTCGCGGGGCCCTCCGCCTCTATATAAGCGATCCCCTCGTTCGAGAGATAACCCCCCAGATATGCACGATAGCCGATATCGAATGAACCTTGGGAATCTAATCGATCCGCGTGGCGGTAAATGCGGGACCCCCGGTGGAAATCGGGATTATCTGGGGACGAGCGAACCAGAATTGATCTCGTTATTCGAAGGCGTGTTCTGGCCCACGAGTTTGAATAAGCCCCCTGATCCGTATGGTCAATTAGTCGTTGAAATCATGTGTTATGCCATGTGGCGTCTATGTATAAAGTACGGAGTACATGCGACGGGTAGGACATTCCTTATCTTGCCCACTCGGAATCTCAAATGGCACTAAATTCCTTTAGGGTATTTCTCCGTCTTATAATTGGCCCCCAGTTAGGCCCGCTGCCCCGCGCAGATAAGCTGGAGGCTACCAATCCGCTTCGAGCAAAGCTGCGTGACCAGGAGTCACCGCGATTCAACAGGGGGATATCCCAGTATTCACATGGACAAACGGAACAAACATGTCCGGTTATGCGATGCTCTTGCTAATAGCATTTTTCCCCCGGTGCGACATCGATCGAGTAATGTGATCTTATCACGCCGAGCGCGCCCTTCTCCACATTCCAGCTTTAGACTTTGCCAGGTCGGGTGAACTTTCATTTATTTTTTTCCCTCTCTTTCTTTCGGACTTCGTTTCGCTTCGCGACTTCCTAGGATTGTTTGTCTTCATATATAGCGAGGGCAAATCCGCCTGCTCTGGTTTGAATCCAGATCAAGAACTTCCTCGCTTCATTACAATATGGATGGACCTGACCAGATCGGACCGAATCGCTCGCCGAAACGGACTGTCGCCGACAAGGCAAGACGTCTCGTGAAGGCTTTTACCACGAGGTAGCTATACCCTCAAAACTAGCAGTGACCTTCTGGTATCGCTCTGAACTCTACTAATGATACGTTTCGCATAGAGAGGGCCTCCTCGGCGATTATGACTATGCCTACCTTTTTACCCCGCGAATTCCCTTTACCAAGCAAGTGCGCAAATCGGCCCCATTTTTCGGCCTCGACGATCGCGTGCCGGTGGTTCTAGCGTTTATTCTGGGGTTGCAACATGCGCTTGCAATGTTGGCTGGTGGTGAGTTATGCTCAGTGGCGTCGAATTGACCTTGACCCAAGCGAATAAGGCGAACAAAGCTAATTGTCGGTAGTTATTTCGCCCCCGATTATGTTGGGCGGTTCAAGTGGCGTTAATTTCGGAGACGACCTGTACCAATATCTCGTATCAACTTCGTTGGTTGTCTCGGGCCTTCTGTCTGCTGTGCAGATGACTCGCTTCCACGTGTATGGGACAAAATACTACATCGGCACGGGCCTGCTGTCGGTCGTTGGTATGACTCCAAGCGCCGCAATCGAAACTAATGTGCATAAAAAAGGCTAATCATGTATAGGAACCTCCTTCTCCACTATTACCGTCGCTCAGGGCGCTTTTAAGCAAATGTATGCTTCTGGATACTGTCCCACCGACGCGAATGGCAACAAATTGGCCTGTCCTCAAGGCTACGGAGCTCTCCTCGGCACGTCGTGCCTTTGTGCGCTGCTCGAGATTGGCCTCTCTTTCATGAGCAGTCGGATTCTCGCCAAGGTTTTCCCTCCGCTGGTTACTGGGCCTACAGTCCTGTTGATCGGTGCCTCGCTCATCAAATCTGCCATGCAAGATTGGGGCGGTGGCTCTGCGTGTGGCCCTTCGCCGCGATCCATGTGTCCCAGTGCTGATGCACCTCATGCGCTGATGTGGGGAAGTCCCGAGTTCATCGGACTGGGCTTCTTGGTCTTCGCTACTATCATCTTGTGTGAGCGTTTTGGCCCACCCATCCTCAAGAGTTGCTCTGTTGTCGTCGGTCTGCTCGTCGGATCAATTGTCGCAGCTGCTTGCAATTACTTCGAGGACTCGGGAATTACCGCTGCGCCCGTTGCATCCTTCGCATGGGTACACACATTCCCACTTACCATCTACCCACCTCTCATCCTGCCGCTTCTCGCGCTGTATATTGTCATCATGATGGAGTCCATTGGCGATATCACGGCGACTTGTGATGTCTCCCGTCTCGAGGTGGAGGGTGCTACATTTGACTCTCGTATCCAGGGTGGTGTTCTGGGCAACGGAATAACATGTTTACTGGCTGGTCTGATGACAATCAGTCCCATGTCTGTGTTTGCCCAGAACAATGGTGTCATCGCTCTCACAAAGTGCGCGAACCGAACTGCTGGGTTCTGCTGCTGCTTTTTCCTGGTTCTCATGGGAGTCTTCTCTAAATTCGCTGCTGCACTGGTCTCGATCCCCAAAGCTGTCCTTGGTGGAATGACTGCCTTCCTGTTCAGTTCCGTCGCCATCTCGGGTATTAGAATCATTTCAACCATTGACTTCACCCGTCGCAACCGATTCATCATCACTGCCAGTTTCTCCCTTGGAATGGGAATCACGCTTGTGCCTGAATGGTGGACCTACTTCTTCTCTTACGAAGGCAATAACCATGCTCTGGAGGGTCTACTGAACGCCGTCAACCTAGTCATGGAGAATGGATTTGCTGTCACTGCTATTCTGGGCGTTATTCTCAATCTTATCATCCCCGAGGAGCCGGATGATCATGACGCTGAGGTTTTTACCGCAAACGAGTCTGAACATGGTCATGTTGAGCCTGGTCCTTCGCATGGCACTACCAAGACGGAGAGTGGCACTACAAAGACGGAGAGTGGCCCTATAATTTGATACTGATCTTACTTTACTGCTGAATGATCCGGATCGTTCAATGCAGTTATAATTCAACGCGATGATGCGCTCATTTGTCTAATATTTCTACAATTTCTATATACCTGCTTCTCTTCTTCATTCATAGTCATTAGAAACATCCTAGTTCGTGTCCTTAACAGCCTCTTCCAGGGTTGAAACAAAATCACGCTTGTCGCTTGAGCCACATCGGGCATAAGGGTTGCGTCTTGGGATTTGTCGTAAACATCACATTTCCGCGTAGGTCGGAAGAGGGCTGGGGTCGCAACGCGATGTGTGTGCAAATCAAAATCCGAATTCTATGAAATAAATGAAGATTGGTTTGTGAGAGAATAGGATGGGAACTCCTTGCAGCCTTGTTGATGTTTCGTTTTCAGCCTCATCAATCACGGGGCCTGCCGATGACTCAGCTCAAGCATTAGGGGAAAGCTAGAGAATTACTAGGGTTATCGTCATTGCATTGTATTCGAAGAGTATTTTGAAAGGTTTGTTCGGTTGTAAAGTCATGATCAATTGTTCAAAATAATCCCGTCCTATCTATGGCTAACTTCGGAAGTCGGGGTATCAACAAGTTGAAACAAACAAACCCCCCCAGTCGCACGATCTGAATGAACAGTATAGCCTCTAGATAAATCAAACCCTTTATGCAAGAAACCTCCATCCGGATCCAAGTCAATAGTCCGATTCCCTCACATTTGAAGTCAGTATATCTCCGAACCCGATCTAAGAAACCGATCGAACCACATCATCGATCGCCATTGCAACATAACGAACATTACTCTCGTTCACTAGATCATTGTCAGCAAGAATATCCCACAAGAACCTATTTTAAGTATTAGGTAGCCGCGAATGTATACTCACAACCAGAAATAGAAATCCGCCCAGATTTGAGCATATAAACATGATACCGTTCCCGAATAGCAAAGACCTGACTCTCCGACAGACCAACATATGTAAACATGCCAATCTAAAGACATCAGCCAAAGACCCTCAAGATCACACGAGCATGGAGTGAACCTTAGAAGATACTCACCTGATTGACAACATGCCCCCAATCCCCGGGCGTTCCCAAAGCAACCAACTCCTCAAACAAAGCCTTCCTCATCGACAAAATCCTCGTGCTCATCGTATCCAAATCCTCAACCCACCTCGCCCGTAGCTCCTTATTCCCCAAAACCCTCCGCACAATCTCAGCCCCACCCCTCGGAGCCATAGAATACTCCCCGCGAACAAGATGACACAGCGTTGCGAGAATGTCATCCGAAACGCCCTGAGCAGCAGATGAAGAGGAAACAACATGCAAAGCACCAACCCTCTGCCCATAAAGGCCAAAATTCTTCGAAAAGCTCTGCGCAACAACGAATTCAATAGCCCGTTCTTCGAAAAATCGTCGTATAGCCCATCCATCTTTACCCACATCGCCGGAAGCAAAGCCCTGATACGCGAGATCGAAGAATGGAATTAGACCCTTTTCCTTGCAGACATCCAGGATGCCCTCCCATTGTTCGCGACTTGGGTCTGCGCCGGTCGGATTATGAGCGCAGGCATGTAGGACTAGGACGTCATTTTTCACAGAGTGCGTGCGGAGGGTTTGGAGGGTTTCTTCGTAGTTGAATGCTCCTGTCGTCTGGTTGTAGTATGGGTATTCTTTTCGTGGCACGCCGGCTAGGTCCCAGATTGTGTGGTGGTTTGCCCATGTTGGTGCCGGTATCCAGACAGTTCCTGGAGAGATGTTTCGGGTGAGGAATTCCGCACCGAGTCGGTTTGCGCCTGTTCCTGAGACGGTTTGGATTGATGTTACCCTGCCCAGGCTACTTTGCAGTGTATCAGCGCAGGTCTGTGCAGAGTTAAAGTCAAAGACTAGATCCGCTGCTAATCGGAGGAATTCTCGATCGCCTTGTATGCTCAGGTATTCGTGTCGACTGATATCGTTCGCGTTATAGATTGCCTTTTCGGCGTCCTCGACGACGCGCAGGGGCCATGGGTCTCCTTTGTTTGTGCGGTAGACGCCGATTCCCAGGTTTACTTTTTTCGGGTGGGTGTCTTTGATGTAGGAGGCGTTTACGGCGAAAGGTTCGTCCGTTGGGATTTGGGGGGAGGTTGGTGAAGTGGGAGGTCGATTGGGGTGGTTCGGATATTGAGCCCATGTTGATTGACCAGATGGACGGTAGTTTGGTGGTGAAGTGAGGTGTGATGAGCTATTTTTCAGAATTTGATTTGATTTTCTCTTTTACTTTTGTCTCATTTTCTATCTCAAAATTCCTGCCGGCCTTTTTTTATAGATGGCGGCTACTTAGAAATACCCGGTCGCAGCCGTGGTCAGCCGTGGAGTGCCGCTCAAACAAGGAGGAAGGCCTTGCGTTGGCTGTCCCATACTTTAGTCAAAACCCTAGCTCGGGCCACATCAATCAGAGCGTCATGGAACTCTGAGTCCTCCCTCCGATAGAGAAAAACTGACAAGGCAAAGATATTCAGAGCCCCCAGAACAGCACAAAGTCACCGCAGGAGAGGGTCATATAGCTCAATACCATGGTTTGAAGTCCTATATGGGGCAAAGCATTCATCAGCACGTGGATCAGGCATAGTAGCTCCTCTCTGCGACTTCGTCCCACATATGGCAAATATTGTTATTGCTTCAAGTTATTCTCGACAGAATCGGGAGGAGAGACCGGAGTGGGCGAATTGCTATCTCCACGGCGCACAACCGAACTGGCAGGAGATTCAGTAGAGGCTTGGTCGTCGTTTTGATTGCTCTTATCAGGATCAGTGGAAGCTATAGGGGATTCCAGATTGTTCAAAAAGTAGTGCGCCATGGTACCCGTCGAATTGTTGTATACAAACGCGTCACTATATGTAGCGTATGGCTTGGTAAGCTCAGGGGATAGGTGAGTGAGATATGCAAGCCTGGCGAGGGAATTCCTCTGGGTCATTTGCTGTTGTAAAGAGCGGCGATTTTCTGTTGCATCTCATCCCGGCCTGCAGGATCTTGATCAAGTCGGAGCATTTGTACCTCGTTGTCGTGGGCCAACAAGATCTTCTTCACGCGATTATCAGCTTGATATCATAATTGTGATAGTACAAAGTTTCGAAAAAGCGGAGAAATTCTATAATACATTTTGACTTTTATACACCTCCTCGCACCTCCTCGCCCTCCTCACACCCCCTCAACCTTCTCTCCCGGAGCCAACATCTTAATATACCGATGAACCCCCGTCTCCAAAACACCCACCTCATCACCAACCCTAATCACAAACTCCGGCAACGCCGGAACAAGCTGCATACCAAGACAAGCATTCGTTCGATCCCCCTCATCAATCCTCCGATAAGCCTTAAGCGTCTTATCCGGCTCAGACGAATGCCGCAATCCAGTAACCGGATCAACATTCGGCAACCGACACCGCACAGTCCGACAAGCAGCATGAATCTCCACGCCTGCGATGTCGATTCTTTTCCAATGATCCTCGGCAAACGCCTCAGGACCCTGGATGATGATATTAGCGCGGAAGCGCGATATGCTTAGATTTGGGATTGCGTAGGCGCATCGTCTTGCGACGTCATGGTGGCTGGACATGTTTAGTAAATGGATTGGATAGGCGTCTGCGAAGGCGGTGGTTGGTTGGAAGCCAATTTCTTCGGCTCGGGGTGCGTTGCGGTAGATTTGGCGGGTGTGGGTTGTGCTGGAGCGGAAGAGGGTTAGTGGGCTGGCTGCTGGGTCGAAGCCGAGGTATTTGTGTAGTGCTTCCGGGAGATGGATGCCGTAGTCGTGGGCTAGTGGGTTGTCTTTCCAGATTTTGACGGGCGTTAGGGGGGTAGTTGATGCCGCTGCTGCTGTCCTCTGGTGGGTGGAGGGGCACGCGGAATGTATGCCGCGCAGAGAGGATCCCGGTAGACATTGCGATACTCATAAATAGACCGGCTGGACCTGCCGGCGTGATGCGTGGGTAAGAGATGAGCATCACGCCTTGCGATTTCACCTCTGGAAGGGAGGGATCGTAGTCTGGCACCGAGGGGCATGGAATCCAGATCTCCGGATGAATGAGAGCCATTCGCTGGAAGCCCGCGTTGCGGAGAGTGCGAGTGTTCCATCCGTCGGGGCCATTTTCAGCGAGAACGAATTGGCGGTCGAATTTGAGGCCGGTTGGCACGACATCGGATTGGGAGAGTTCGATGCCTCCGCATGATTTGAGCGGATAGGTGAAAAGGGCTTTCACGCGCCAGGATGGTTGACCGCCCTCTCGCTGTGTCCTTGGGATTCCCTGGCTGTATTTAGGGTCGTATTCATCGTGAAGATTGCTTTCGCCTTCTGCTAGACCGAGTCGGCGACATCCTCGAGGAGGACTCGGCCGAGGGCGTAGCAGTAGCCACAGTGGGATGGAGCAGAGCAGGAGGAGCAGCGGTGAAAGGAGAGTGAGGGAGAGCAAATTTTCCTCCATGACTTCCCCCCGACATCTCCTCGATCAGATCAGATCAGATGAGATCAGATCAGATCAGATCACAGCAAAGAGTCCATCTGATGTAAAAAGCTCGGACTTGGTCAGGGCGATCTCTGCAAGGCTTGTGGACCCACAACACCCTTTTTTCCCCGACAACCGCCCTGTGGAAGTGTGGGACTGGACAGGCACAGGACAGGAACAGGAACAGGAAGGAAAATCCATGAATTGAATATGCGAAAGAGACCGGATGGTTGTTGATGTTGAAGATGAGCCTCAATCAGGACCTTCTCGGCTTGGACCAAGACACACGTGAGTTCCTTCCTCACCATCAGTCAAGTCCATCATTCACACACTCACATCCCACAGAGCCAGTCGTCTCGATCTCTGCATCGCAGTCTCTCAATGCATCAGCAACAACTGCTTCTCCAATTTCCACCGGATTGACACGTCTTGATGAGGCTTTGGCCCTGGATGACTCGGTTTGCGGGGGGGATCCTGCGCGGCAAAGTCACCGAGATATTTGGCCCACCGGGCGCGGGCAAGACTTCTCTCGCGTGAGTATTAAATTGCAATGAACAACCTCATTGCATTCCATTCCATTCCATCTCAATTCAACTCAATGAATCTAATCAACATCTCCAGACTAAATGTGGCATCCCACGCCCTCCGCGATGGCGGCAAAGTCGTCTGGATCGGTACACTTCCATCCATCCATCAGAACAACACGGATACTGATACTCACATTGCATGACAGACACGGGCCCACCCCTACCCACCCCCCGTCTAACGTCACTCCCAGAAGCACATCTACAAAAGATAATCTACTTCCGAGCCCCAACACTCCCCCACCTCCTCGCCCTACTAATGCGACCCCCAACCAACTTCCCACCAGAAGGAACAACCCTCATCGTGATAGACTCCGTCTCCTCACATTTCCCTGCTTACTTCCCCAACGCAGCTGATCTAAAAGAACAACTCTCAACGGGGAAATTATCCGATAAAGCACAGCTGCAGTGGCTGCTTAACCGGAAATGGAACGTGTCTGGTGATCTTGCGACGCATTTATCCCGCCTCGCCACGTCAAGGAATAGCACCAATGCCAATTTCAATGCCAATGGCATTGCTATCCTCGCGATTAATCAGGCACATACGAAAATTAAAAATCAGCCTCGTGCAACTCTTCACCCCATTCTTTCGGGCGGTGCGTGGGAAGCGACCATTCATACGAGATTGGTGGTTTATCGCGATTTACCGGACGCCAGGTTCGTGGAGATTACCAAGAAGGCTGGGAGGACTTTGGCGGTTCGGGTGCCGGAGATGATTGTTTCGTTTTGGGTTGGTGTGGTATGTGCGGGTGCGAGTGCGAGTGCGAGTGAGCGAGGGTGTCTTTTGTCGTTTTCTTTACTGACGTTGTTTTGTGACAGGGTGGACTGGATGAGATAAGTCCTGAAGAGGAGGTTTTGCGGCAATCGCAATCGCCTATTCTTCCTCGGGTCGAGATTGATACGCCGAGTCGGAAACGGAAGGCTGAGGATGAGGTTGCTGATAGTCAGGATGAGGATTCTGAGGCGGAGTTTCAGTGGGATGAGTTGTTGGATGAGGGCGAGGGTGAAGCTGGGCATAAGGACCAGGACAAGGACCAGGACCAGGTGCAAGAGAATGAAGATACGGCCTCCCAAGCATGAGCAGAAACACAATACTAGTACTTGATACGAGCCACGCAGCTGAACCTTCAAGATATACTAGTCATTCCATTTATTTTGATTCACATAACTCATGGCACACTATGATGATGTCGTCCCGATTCAACAAACCCTCTCCCCCTTCCCATCCCCCCCAACAACCCTCGCAAGATCCGGCGCAGCAAGAATCTCCTTCGCCTCAGACACGCACTGCGCTTCACCATCCACCTGCCTCTCGCCCCCGCCAACACCACCAGGCTCACTCTCATTCTCATGCTCATGCTCAGTCTGCCTCGTGAACGAACAAAGCGGAAAAGTATCCGCAATAGCAATCGAAACCGGATGTCTAGACCCCTGAATCAAATCGACCAATCTGCCCAAAACTGCAAATTCCAGCTTCAGCTTAAGCGAATAAATAAACCCCTTAAGCGTGATCTGCACCGCGTACAAATTCGCATACTCAAGACTAAGCAGCACCAAATCCATCGCCATGATCGCACAATTGATACCGATGAGTTGGTACATAATCGACCGACTGTCGGACCGAGTTGCCGCGTCGACGCCGAGACGAAGTAATTTCACCGTCTCAATCACGTACAGCGTTGACAGGAGACCCTCCTGCATCGTGAAGCCGGTTAATTGGACCTTCTCCATTATATTGTACCCGTTTACCCAGGACATTTTGTCGACGTGGACTATATTCGCGCCGTAGGTGAGGACTGTCGTGGGAACGTGGAGGAGGAAGAAATTCGCCACGATGAGCCACCATATACGTCGTAGGAGTCGCTCGTCGCGGAGGACGAGGTGGAGGCGTGAATATAACACGACGGATTGTCCTGTTACCATTGTCCACCAGCCGATTGTGAGGACGGTGACGGAGAGTACTGAGTCGGCTCGGGTGAAGAATTTCATCAGGAATCCGATTGAGTATGGGACTACGCCTAATGTCCCTGATACGAGCAGGGACCAGAAGTAGAGACCGCGCCAGCGTCGGAAGGTTGAGGGGACGAGGACGACTAGTTCGGCGATGTTGTACCAGGATAGTCCGATGAAGGTTACTAGGGCCATTTGGAGCATGTCGCCTTCTGAGGCTAGGGCGCCGGATATTCCGTTCATGAGGGTTTTCGCTGTGTCGGTCATGACGGTGGCCGGGGTGGTGGTCGTGGTGGTCTGGGTGTGTGGTGTGGTTCGGGGTAGCTCGTTGAGCTGGTCATCCCGTTTGGTAGAGGTACATTGCTTGTGGGATGTGGTAGTGATGGTATGATGGGAGGAGGAATAGATGAAGAAGAACAAATCAAGTGAAAGGGCGACGGGGCGAAGAGGGCAGTAGAAAAAGAAAAGGGCAGTGGTGTGGTGTGAGGGAGGGAGTTGTGGTACAGACTGGCCACCAGCAAGAAAGATGCAACACAACGCAACGCGGCAGGCCAGCGCAAGGCTTGCCTTGCAATCGAGTCATGGTCTAGGCAATGCGATCACGTTCACTGGGACTGAATTGGACTGGACTGGGCTTGTTTGCTCGGTTCGCTCTGAGTTCAATTTCTTCTTGGCCCCCCATTGGTATGGATTGGGGCCAAAACCCGGGGTAGCGTGTAGATCCGACGCCATTTTAATAGCGTGGGAGTGGTACCATTGGATCAAAATAGCGCGAACTCCAAGGGGGACGAGGTGAAACAGGAAAGTCCCAGCCGAGACGTCTAGCGTTGAGGCTAGGCTGGGTGAACCAGAGAGTCGGGTTGGGTGAGAAGGATGAGTAGGATGAGGTGGGTGCAGCTACAAGATCGTGGAAGATAATGGGGGGTGGTGAAGGTGAAGGTGAAGGGAAGTGGCAGTGGCAGTGGAAGCGGTTGAGCGTGGAAGTAACACGCTGCCACCCGCGGTGGTCGGCCATACAATTAAGTGGTGCAGTGAAGTGGTGCAGTGAATACTAGTAAAGGGGGAAACTTGAGAGGTCGTTTGGTTTGTCTATTTGACTACGGTAAGGTAAGTTGGGCGTTGGGTCTGGGTACTCCGTACACCGTATGTTGGTTGCAGTAGGTCATTCGGTCTAGTCATCTCGTCCTAGTCTTCTCTCATAGATTGGTCAGGTAGTCCTCGATTTGCTCCTTGGTCAACTTTCGGAACCTCGGGCCTTGCGAATCCTCCACTCCTTCGTAGCCGAGCAAGTGATCTGCCGGTGGGCCAACAATACCTATAAACTATTAGTACTCTGTTCCCAGTTGTATCCCAATTGCATCCCAGCCGACTCACCAATCTCTATTGTGTCCCCATTCATCTCCCCCTCGATGGTCTCCTTAAGCGTCAAAAGCGCAATATGGATCGCATCTTCCAGCTCCAGACCCTCCGTGTAGCGCTTCTCCAAAAAGGTCTTGGCACTGGTCGCGTGTTTGCCAATGGCAGTCGCCTTCCACGGGTAATAGCTGCCGCTAGGATCAACCTGGTACAGACTCGGGCCGCCCTTTAAGATACCGCCCGTCTTGCCAGAAGGCTTCTCCTTGTCGTCGGACTCAACTTCAGGCTCGACGCCCTCGTCCCAGCCCGCAACAAGCAGACTGACTCCGTACGGCCGCACACCTCCGGACTGGGTAGCCTCTTGCACGACTCGCGCCACGTCCTGCACCAGTATACGTGTGGGAGGGTACTCGTTGTACACCCGCTTGTAACCCGTGTGCGAGACCTTGCGCGCCTTGTCGACGAGGACCCGATAGTCGGGGCCCATGCCGGCATAGACCATCCCGATGTCTGGGGTGATCAGGGAGATCTTGGAGAGGGAAGGCGGGTCGATGAGGGGGGAGGATGATTTCTTTTCGGTGGCGAGGACGATGCCGTTGGTTGCTGGGTAAGTTGGTTAGTGGGTGATGGGTGATGGGGCGAGGGAGTGGTGTAGATAGATTGATACCTTTGATGCCCAGGGCTGTGACACCCTGGTTAACGGCGTTCAAGGCATATTCTGATGAGGTTAGCGATGGCGATCTCCTGGCGCGAGGTTCAGGATGACAATGGAGATGGATGGGTTGGATGTCGGTGGTCGGTGGTTGGGAGCTGTCTTACCGATTTGCACCAGCTTTCCGCTGTTGATGGGTTAGCGGGCGGAGATAGGAATGGATGGGGGTGGGGATGGTGCAAGGGCCATACCTGGGGGAGAAGGTTGTCAGGGAGAATGAATATCGGTCCGCCATGATGTGCAATTGAAGTCAAGACGATACCACGGAGAGGAGGGAAGAGGGAGATGGGGGAGAAGGGAGCTGTAGGCGTAGGCAGAATGGGTGACGTTAGCTCGCGGAGCTCAGTGCTGTCCAGGTAACGTGACCACTGTCTATACTACTAGTCCGCTGGCGGGTACAATTAATGGTGCACTCTACCAGTATTCTGATTCTGGGATTATTTAGTATGTCACATTGATGGATTTTTGAATAGATGGTTAATATTCCGAAGGCCGGGGTTTGATTACTAGAGTTTTTAAGAATCACACTGGTGGTAATTGGATATATAAACAGAAACCGCCATACTACTATTAGTTAAGAGGGTAAAAGCTGTCACCAGTTGTGTTTACTTCCACCTCACAGCTAGGGCTTATACATGCTACTAGTACTACTAGTAATTAATCTAAAATCTCTATCAAATGACTCAGATTAAACTGAAAATAATGCTAGCTTTCTGGTTTCTGTAAACACTTATTGTTCGTTTATCCATTATGCTGGAGCTCACCACCTCACGTGACTAGGCGGTCAAGCTCGGCTGTCCACTTGTCTTTTCTCTTTCTTTCCACTTCTTCTCTCTTTGTCTCCAGGGCTAACATTGTCACTATGCTCGCTGCCCTCCATGCAGTCCAGCTATGAGTCGGAGATGCCGGATGCTGCTGGTCAGCATCACCCACAGCACCACCCTCAACCAGAGCCAGAGCCGAAGACAGAGCCTGAGCCAGATCACCAACACAGCTATCCTGCCCGCGTCTGCCGCATCTGCCTAGAGACCGTTTTGCCAACCTTGCAACCGTCTGAGTTTTTACAAAAGCCTCGCGTCGTATATCTCTCTGAAGACCCGGAACTAGGTCGCCTGCTTCGCCCATGCAAATGCAAAGGCTCCTCGCGTTATGTCCACGAGGGCTGTCTGCAAACATGGCGTCACGCTGACCCCCGGTATGGTCGTCGCAATTTCTGGCAGTGTCCCACCTGCGGCTTCCAGTACCGCTTGGAACGGTTGACCTGGGCTCGGTGGATCAGTAGTACGAGCACGCAGATCTTCCTGACCATAATCATCTTGTTTTTGACCGTTTTCATCCTTGGTTTTGTTGCTGACCCCATCATTGATTTCTACCTCGGTCCCCTGGATGATATTCCCCTGGACGTTGACATTGACTTTGACGACGAGAATGCCTCCTGGCTGGAACATATTCTCAAAGGGATGGCCTCTTTGGGTCTACTCTCGTTCATTCGGGTCGCTTTCACCATGTCGCCTTGGTGGGGTGCCCGCAGTATTGCCGGCGGTCGTTCCACCAATGGTCGAGATCGGGTGCGCTCGTTGAACTGGCTTTTTGTTGTGATGGGAATCGTCAGCTTCTTATGGGTATGCAGTGATGCTTGCTAGCTCTGCCCTGGAGTCATTCTTGCTAACATTTTGCAGGCTGTGTACAAAGGTGTTCGATCATGGACCAAGCGGTCTCTTGAACGCGCTGGCGAACGTGTCATGGATGTGCCTCTCCCCGATGACGAGGAAGAAGAACCTGGGCCAATGCCCAATGTAAAGCTCGATCCAAATCCAAATCCAGGACCAGAACCAGAAACAGAACCAGAAACAGAACCTCCCCCCCTCGCCATTCCACGCCGCAATGGCGCATGAGGCTACTGCCACCTCTTCATTTGTATCAGATCGCACTACTTTAAGTTGCCGTGCTCCTTTTCAATGACACGTCGATTAGTCACTGTGCGAAGATCGACCCTGAACTTCTTTAACTCGTGATGCTGTCTGAGAAACATTGGGTTGACGCCGGGGACGTCTTGTTCCTTGTCGACCCCTGTTTTATACACCAGACTGACATCGCGGGGAAGGCGGGCCCCATTCCTCGATTCATCAGCTACGTTGGGCCTTAATCGGCTTTTAATATTTTTATATTCTTCACGCAGCTGAGATGTGTTGGAGTGGCACATATCTATTATTCACTATTATTCGATTTAGCATGTTCACCGCTGCGGTGCTTTCCAATTCATTAATTTTATACATGTTCCTTTTTCCACTTCTTCTCTACTCCTTTGCTCTGTCCCAGCGATATTCTTCACACGCTTTTCTGTTCCACACGATTTTCAGTTTCTATATTTCCTAGCTTCAGCACCGCCGACCTTGCCCGCGGCCCATTCTAGACTGTCGTCAAGCGAAGGAGCCCTTCTCCATTTTCAAGGAGGAAGACAGCGCCGCGCATGCCGCCATGGAACAATCATCTCAGGCAGCTTTTGCGGTGGCTGCCTGAGTAGAAACTCGACGAAGCATCGTGCCGACTGTCCTGGATGATACCAAGGGCGAGGTTCTGGATGGCATGAAAGACCTCCTCGCGAACCCGCATCTTAGCGACCAAACTCGGAAGCGCTTTATGGCGCTGACCAACATGGTCGTCTGCGTCGACCACGCTCTCTTCCCCCTAGACAGGACCGCGACCATCGAGCTGGACGCCGTTGAGATCATGTACGTCATGTTCCTGTACCTGGAGAGGATGGCCGTCCGAGTTCAAGACCTGGTCGAAGTCACAGACCGGGTCGATGCCATTCTCACCACCATTGTCGAGGTGGCGGAGATGGATCGTTTCCTCGCTTCCATTGACCAAGAGGAGCCGTTCGACCTCATGAAATACCAGATGATGGCGCACATTGTAGAGATGTATGCTCCTTACTTACCAACCTTCTGTCAGTGATCCTGGGTCATTTGCTAATCCGTAACAGCAAAATTGGCAAGCCGTGCCGCGTCGAACAATACCTCATGGCCGAGTTTACGGAATTGTTCGACATGTTCATCTGGGAGCCGTTCTCTCGCGCCGACGAGCTCGCCAGACCCATTATGGCCAGGGAGGTTCATGCACTTGTCTTCGACCACGTCGATTCCACCCGGGAAACGCTGTCGGGCACCAACTTCACCTACGCCCTTTATCACGAGGGGCTGGTGACTCTCAAGGAGATGCACTTCCCCTCTATTGATATGCCGACTGGCATAGAACTCGATGATATTGTTGTGGAGTTTACCCATTTCGATGACTGGCTCTGAGTGCTCAGCCAGGCATAGGCATGCTGGCGAGATGGTATGGCGTAGAATCTTCTGCAAGATAGTGGATCGATGTTTGCATGTTATGACTTACGATAAGATACCCTAATGCAGAGTAGTTTGTTTCATTTCTGAGGCTTCTTGTATCTGGACACACTAAAGTGCATGAACCTTCGCTACGCCCTCTACCGCGAAGAGCTGATATATATAAACGCGAGTTATTTTATTTTCGTTGCGATGCTAAATGGGCCAGATGTCGACAATACCGATGTGTAGTTCAAGCACTTCCAATTTGAGGACTGGATCTGAGGACCAAGGGATTCTGGTATGAATTACAAGAGATAGAGGAGACAGGGCTAATTATGATATAAAAATCCGCAAGCCTAGCCGGGCCGAGCAGTACCTGCTGGCTGGGTTCGTGCATCCGTCACCGGCCAGGTAGATACCCTCTGAGACAATCTCAAGTGCACAAACCTCCACTACGAAATCTACGGACAGGAGCTTATGTACTTGAAGGCGAAGTATTTCCAATTCGTGGAAATTTCAAATGGGCCAGATGTTGACAGCAATCCCGACTTCGAACACTTCAATGACTGGTTGTGACGGCGCAGGGACTCTCGTGAAAGGGGGGGGGGGGGGTGGGGGTTGATGATAACATGAAATTAAGACTTACGAAGACACCCCCCCAATGTGAATTAGTTTCTGTCACTTCAGAGGTCACTTGTAGTCTGTAGCTTGATGTAGATATATTTGGCTAGACCCCTTGTGATTAGTGATTATAAAAAATCTATGATTTACAAAAAGATAGCTTTTTGATGTGAAGTGAATTCGTTTCACTTCTGAGGTTGATTGCAATCAGGAGCTCACTGTAGATATCATTGCTTAAGTCCTTGTTATAAGTTGCTCCGTATACTAATGCAAAGCAGCCCGAGATCTTGAAAATATCAAGGTTCAAGTTGCGTCCTAACTTGGGTAGGGTATCCACCTCGCGACATCCTTGAGTAAATGCTGAGCCCATATCTGATAATAATCTAATAGAAGGTGCAGTACACGCCAGTCATCCGGATACTGACGGGCGCGCACTAAAAGAGCCTCGTAACCCTGCCCATCCATTCTTTTAATCTTCGTATCGGCTCCTCGCCCACGGAGTATTTTGATTGCATCCATTTGGGTACTCCGAACGCCTTGTGCAATGTAGTCTCGCGGGTGCATGCATCAAGAGAGTTAATTGAAGCCCAGGAATGTAGAAGAGCATTAATACCCTCCCTCCACCCCGCGGCAGCAGCTGAAAGTAGGCATAGCTTTCACGTCTTCAATTATTATAGTAATGGTCTGCACCCAATCCATGCATAGCACAATGTCTAGAAGAGTCCTAAAACCTTTATGATAACTTAGACGCACAATTCTATACTTCGTTCAACCAAGAATCCCCGAAACAGACTATTCTACTGTATAAGACACCCTGCTTGTCCCCTTGGAACGCGATATTTTCTTCACCACAATCTTCCCCACTTGACTGCAATCCCGAACATGCGTTCCACCACAGGGATAACTTCCCAGACCCTCCATCTCAACAACTCGACCCATAACCTCTCCCTCCGGCAACTCGAACGCTTCTGTAACACCGTAGCACTTCTCTCGCAAATCTTCCATCGACCACCAATGAATTATGACAGGGCTGGCCGATCGGACAAATTCGTCCGTCTTTGCCTGAATGGCATCTTTATGCTTTCCATCAATTGTTCCTTCGAACACGACACTGGCAGAATCGGGGTAGTGTGATGCCTTCGACTCCTTCAGCGGAGGCAGAATGCCCTCTCGGCACAGGGCGTGGATTGCCAGACTCATGACATGGCCTGCAGTATGAAGACGAGAATGCAGGCTGCGAATTTCAGAATCGACTCTCTGTTGAATTTCCTCACCCGCATCAAACCCGGTGGCCCCCGGAGGAATGAAACGGCCTAAGTGGAGGATTTGACTACCCTGTGCTGGCTGACGAACCGACTTGACTTCGAAAACAGAGCCTGCTTTCGTAGCTGCATCGGACTTCATGGTTCCGATGTCTGCGGGCTGGCCACCTCCTTGGACGTAGAAGATGGTGGAATCTGTGATAACGGCATGCTCTATTTCAGATGAGTCTTTTGCAAGGGCTTGGTCCAGTGCCGGGAGTTCTGGCAATGGGACAATTGAAAGAATCTTGGAGGGATGAAGAAGCTTTTCTCCATCATGTTGATAGATGAGTTTTGTTGGCTCAGTCATCTAATCGTTGGTCAGATATGGGTATGAAAATGTCGGAGATGGGGCAAGGGTAACTGAAGAATTCTCGACGTACTGTGTCGGGATGGGGTGACCTTTTGCGAGATAACGCTGATGACTGTTGAATGCTTGAGAGAAGGCGAGTCGGAGCCGAGATTGTCAAATGTGCAATTGAGGGACTCGGTGTATTTTATTTTGAGATAGAGGTAGGAAATCCCAATCTTAAATTGTGGGCATGGCAAGGCTATGTACCTCCGAGTCATGGTCCGAGCTTTAGGCTAAAGTAATGCGCCCTTTGCTCGACATTTATACAACCCCACTGGAGGCTCGCCGGGGTGTTTAAATTTCGATATTTGCGAAGAGCAACATGAGAATGTGTTACCAATTGACCAAGAAAAGCCGTTTATTGAACAATTTCGATTTATTCTGGAGGCTATGTAATCGAGAGAATATCAAGGTAAAACAAAAAACATGAAGAGGAGATTTCGGAAATAGCATTCCCGCTCTGTTCCCGTTGTGCCATCGTACTCTAAAATACGCCGAGACCAGATGATACTGAGGGAGCTACGTGTAGAAATGGAGTAAATAATAACAGCTCCGATTTCCAATCTTGAAATAATTACGATTTGAGGATATTTCAAATTTTACTCTTCCTCCTAGCTCGCTATATACGTCGGTGAATTTTCGAATCGATTCCCTGATGGGGCTTTATATGCCTGGGCATTCTATATCTCCATAGTATCCAGTCCCGTTCCTTTGACAGCAAGTTGATTCTGCATATAGTTAGAACGGCCTTTTAAAAGCGATACCTCGATGATTCTTACCATCAGCCATGTGGGTATAATAGCTAAAGCAACCTTCACAATTGTTGACTGCGCACCACGCCATATAGTTCCTTCTGTACCGCCGAGGACATCACCCACAACTTTCCTTGCATATATGTTGGCTTCCATTTGCGGGTGGCCCTGATCTCCCCTTGCAAATACACCAATCCTCTCCGAGATGGACGAGAAGTAAGACTCCTCTGGTAACTCGAAGTTCGGATAATTGGAAAACCACTGCGTTCGGATGTTACCCGTAATCACGATGACTACCCTGACACCGAGTGGCTTCATTTCCAACGCCAATGTTTCGCTCATAAGCCGCGTAGCAGCTTTGGATCCGCAGTACATGCCTGCCTCAAGTTACTACAAAGTCCCCTGCTTTAGTTTGGGAATGCCCAGGTGGCTACATACCTTGATATGGTAACCCCAGGCAAGAAGCTGTTGATATATTGTTCACAATTGTCCCTTTGGCATGAACTAGCAGCGGCGCAAAAGTCTGCGTGACACGTACAACACCCCAGACATTGACATCAAACATGCGTTGGCCCATTTCGATATTGGAGTCCAAGAGCGGCATCACGAACCCTGCACCGGAATTGTTGACCAGATAGTGTAGCTTGCCACCCGTTTCATTCTCCACTGTCTTGTATGCTGAAGAAATGCTTTCGGTAGAAGTTACGTCCAGTTCCAGAAAAGTCATGTTTGCAAGGTCTCGTAAATTTTGCATTTTAGAGGTATGTCGCGCCGTGGCAAAGACATGGAGACCCCTGTTATGGAATGCTTGAGCCAAAGCTGACCCGATCCCGCCGTCACTGCATCCTGTTATTAGGACAAATTTGGCCTGCGGCTCCATCCTAGTACTTAGAACTTTTGCTACCTTAATCTATTTAGCACAAACAAACAAGATAGGCCTCAATTATACGTTTCCTGGCAGGGAGTCTTCACTAATATCTTTTATCGGATAAATTCATGTTGCCGACTCATTTGGCCCCCGAATCTGCGGGCCATAATCGTTCCGGTCCCCATAGTATTAAATATATGCGAATATGCGACCGCGAACAAAGTAGAATATGTACCTGGGAAAACCCGTCAGTTCTCAGGCTTTCGATATATTTTAACTGGTTTAAGAACGGGATGCATAACCATTCAGATACACTGTTCAGTCTTTGATGTGACGTTCCGCGGGTATATCCCTTCCGGTTTGGGAGTGTCCACCTACCATAATACAAACTAATAGTTCTGTAAGCTGCAATACATTCCCGTACCTCCTGTATTTACTGCCTATCCCGCTGATCATTCCTTCATACTCGAAACTATAAACACACTGGACTCCCGTTGAAATTTCTTCTTGCACTCCCAGCATGGCGGCGCCAGTAGTTTACTGGCATCAGCGGCATGGAGCTCTGCCATGTCAGGGACGCCTTCTTTCTCTGGATTGCGCGCATGCTCGGGAAAGGTCAAGGAAGAGGCTAGATGAAATATGGACGATAAATATGGACGATACTGCTGGAATCGTGTTCATTTTGACAATATTTTGTACTTTACTCTTCCTTCTAGCTCACTATATACGCCGGTGAATTTCCCAATCGATTTCAACTTTGGGAACTTGTGCATCTTGATAGTTTACCCTGAAATTCACTGGTGACGCGCGCTTAGCACCCTGATGATAAAAGAAAAGGAAAATCTGTACGAGAAGTTAAATTCATATTGAGTTACGTGACTGGAATTCAAATTGTAAGTGAGCACTGACCAATAAGGAGGCAGAAAGTACCCAACTAATAACAGTAACATCTTAGAAATGAGGAAAACCAATAATCTGTTAATCAACTATCGCCTTTTATTGTGCAAGTAAATCGGCATACATGTACAGTAAACGGCCAATTAAGCCTGACAGTCTCGACACATCTAATTGTGATTGCGTAGAGTGCCAAGACAGATTAATATGAATACAGCTAGCCTTCGGAAGAACATTCGGTTGTATCATCAGCCGTCTGTTACCTACGTTACCAAACGGTCACCGACCTGAAATCAAGTACTGTACTTTATCCTCGGACACTTTGAGTTCGGGTTCGGGTGAATTTGTAAGCTTTCCGATGCAAACCTACACCGTAGTCCACAGATGCCGAAGAGCGAGAATGTCACCGAATGCTTAATTCAGTTATCTGTATTTTAGAGACGCCTTGCTAGTTTATTTTAAGCAAGAACTTTCGCTACGTGGCTCGTTACTGCATAATCGACAAATTCAATACACTAGCACAAGCCCTATTCCTTACCAATATCTCATTCCAAGAATCACCATGGCATCCAATGGCAAATACACAGCCCGCCAAATCTTAAATGGGTTCTACTCAGCAGAGCGTGAATACATGTCATCCACACCAGACACGCGTGATTTCGCCGGCATCGCAGCCACCATAGCCCCCGAATTCCGATTGGAGCAAACACCTGCTCTACCATATGCCGGCGTCTACATCGGACCAGATGGAATGCAGGATTGGGCCTCCCGTATGGCCGATTACTTCGAAGTTGTCGATGTGCAAAATCCAGAAGTTTTCGAGAACCCCGGATCGGACCGGATTGTGGTACTGTCAAACGTACATTTTAAGGTACGGGAAACTGGCCAGGAACTGAATTTTCCATTCTGTCAGGCTATTACTGTTGACCTTGAGCGTGGTGTTATGATTGAAATGAGGCCGTTCTACTGGGATGTTGCGGCTGTAAATAAGGCCCTAGGGCATGCCGAGTGAGAGTGATCCTGTGAAGATGTTTGCAGGTTGATATCATTGAACGGACAAGACCCGGATATTTAGTTGAGAGAGAAGCCAGTTAAAGTACCGAATCCCGGGTAATGAATGGGACATCTCGAGAACAATATATGATGATTACCATTTTAGAAAGTATCACGCAAGAACACACCCATGGACTCAGGTAGGATTTACTTCTATCAGGTAGGGATATGGACCGACGTATAGACAAAACTTTCGTATAAGCCTGAGATAGACGCCATTTGCTTGTGTGTGCGGTGTCAAACTATATTCAATCATGCAATTCATCCAGGTTATGTCTTTCTCCAGACGGACACACGATTCTCCATTAACTTTGATAACGACTGTCGTCACTAGCAACAAGAGACATCAGAGGTCAATAAACGAATGCCACCGGTCGCACTTGACGGCCTTATTATGCCAAATGTTGTCGATGGGCCTTATCAGTTTGTTCTCGATATTATTTCTTCATGGCACGGCTATCCGATTCTATCAGCCCGACGAAACTTTGCGACTCTGAGTAGCCGACGGTTTGACTTTCTTGATTCGCCGACAAGTCGACAAACCCATAATTTACGTGACTTGTACTTGAGTGAGGAATTAGAGAGCCTACCTAGGGCTATCTCTCCTAGCGAGCTCTTCCAGCAAGAGATGACGTCCAGGCGACCCGCCGATGAGCAACTCGAACTGGAGACACCAAAGAAGCAAATGAACGAAAAAAATATTCAAGAAGGTGCCACAAAACCATCCAACAATCTTCTCCGGCATCAGTCTTTGCTTGCTCATTGCTTGTATCAATAATTTAAGTTTCACTACACCCCATAGGGCCCATGCTACAATAGTTTGTTGGTCTGGCACTGATCCCATGGCTGTATTCTTTGCCTCCTTAGGCTTTAAAAGACAGTGGTCTCTTTGAATCAGCCTTCTCAGCCGCAGGGATGTTCTGTCGGCTGTCGAGATGAGTTCGTGACGGTGGGTACTATACGAACTAAAGCCACGCAGGGTGACCTCATGACTGACATCTGACTCTTGGCACGGACTCGACCAGGGGCATGTTTTCCCAAAACAATGAGAATATAATTTTATTGGGGCCTTCTGACGGAAAGAGAGAGCCAAGAGTCCGGCGGGGCACTGGTACATCATTCTTCATCACCTTCAAGCGCGGTACCTATGCATCGATGTCTTGGACGGCACTGTGAGCCAAGTCCGGAGCGGGGAAATCGGCTGAACCCTCTATCCTGAACTGACGAATTCCCTGATTGTGGCAGATTATCCACACCGCTGAAGTCATGCTTACCCCATAAGGAGAATCATCAACAAAAGCTCCCGCAGTTGTTCAGAAATTGGTGTGATTGTGGGGTGAATGTAACGCTACCCGATGCGATCGATGCCTTTGATGCGGAGAACCTGCAGTGGCGTTAATGCGCATGTCTCACCTACTAGTCGAGTTGATTGGCCGCGGGAGGGAGCTCCAGGCGGTGGCCTGACAATTCAAGACAGAATAGGTGCCATGTCTTAGATCAAAGGCCTCGTGTATGTACTCCATTAGCATGGACTGAGTAATTGGTAATAGTTGTGGCCCGAGCATGAGGACTATTTGAAGTCCGCCGAACCCTCACTTTTTGGGGAGGGAAGCAGATAATCTAAACCATCTATTGCAACGCAAAAAGCAAAATATCAGCTATGAAGACCTCTTTAATCGCATTAGGCGCCCTCCTCGGCCTAGCCTCGGCCCAGAATGCCGTTGTGCACAACCACTGTGCTACCACGGTATACATTCAGTCGTTCCCTTATGATGGCAGCGCCCCCGGTCCTCTTACCACCGTCGCCAAGGGTGGAACCTTCTCCGAGAAGTTTAGAAAGTCTGGTTCGGTAAGTTATTCCGCTCTATGTTCTCTACAAAATAATTCATATATGGTAAACTCACTGGAAATGAAATATACAGACCGTCAAGATCGCCAAGACAAAGACACTGACTAGCCCCCTCTTCTTTGGGTATTCGTTCTCATCCAACCCGGACTATGCCTACTGTAAGTAGACCAAATATATATGACAGCCAGGAATCTTTCGTTAACTGTATCGTTCCTAAAGATGAACTGAGCACGGAGTGGGGTAATCCCTTCGCGGCGAATCCTAACTCGCTCAGCCCCGGAGACGGCTGTGAACTCTTCGACTGTGCGGCGAATGATCCCGGCTGCTACAGTACCCCTGCCCATAAGAAGGTCTATGGGTGCCCCCAGCCAGTCACTCTGACTGCGGACCTGTGTCAGTAAAATTTCACCTTTACCTGCCAGTAGGCATCCATCTGGAACGTGGAAGGACAATGGTGTATATATTTTTGTTTTCCTGACGTTATTTCGACTTGTCGCTGTTTGTCTTAAGGATAGCTACTTTTGAAAACGACACAGATACTTTCTGCGGAGCTACAACTAGTAATCAAAGAATTTATTTCAGAATTTGATCTAGGCTTTGTACGTTCTTGTCTGGTTAGTTATGTGCCTCAATACTAGCATGTTATTGATCCATGCAGCAGCGCTCGTAGCACTGGATCGTTGCAAATTTGCATCACTGGGGGAAGGGGGGCGATTGAAGACTTTGGAAATTGAATTTACGTCGGAATTGGCTTCAACCAACATTAATGGAATATGCATATATTACTATGCTCACCATATGAATATTTTGACTTCGACTATTAATTGCTTCTCGATATTCAATTGACCCACCTGCCAGCCGATTGGATCATGGCTCATGATGAGTCATGGTGTGTTACTTGTCTTGATTCGTTGAATTATGTTGTGTGTTTAACACTTGGCATGGTTTATAAACTAGATCAAGTGCTCCTTTTCGTTATTGACTATATTCACGTATCCTAGGACACCACCAGAATGACTGAGCAGTCGAATCACGCTATCGTCTATGGTGCATCGGGATTAGTGGGTTGGTCTATGGTTGATCAACTCCTGAAACAGTATCCCGAACCTGGTACATTTTCCAAGATCACAGCGATCACAAACCGACCGCTTGATATATCGAGATCATGCTGGCCCGAGCCCAACGCGAAGGGTCCAAAATTGGAACTTGTATCAGGTGTCGATCTACGCCACGTCGATGGACCGACATTCGCCGAGTCGCTGAAAGATAAATTGGAAGATATTGCTAGTGTTACGCATGTGTACTATTTAGGTCAGTCCTCCTACATGAAGCTGACTTGCTATGCATTGACTCACAGATCTTAGTGTTCACGGCAATCGCCGACGACATCGAAGAAGTCGATACCAATCTACGCATGATGCAAAATGTCATCCACGCCCATGAAAGATTCAGTCCAAACCTTCGGTTTGTGGCTTTCCCGGGCGGGACACGGATACGAGTGCAGAAATTGACACCCAATTTCTGCTCCATTTGCTGATTTGGCTCTCTAGGGGTATGGAATTTATGCGCCCGGTGGAACGTTCACCCCGCCTCTTCAAGAACACATGGTTTCAAACCTTCCACCCGACTATGCCGCGACAGTTGTCTATCCAGCATACAGAAAACTTCTCGATAAAGCTAGTAAAGGGACAAGCTGGACCTGGTGCGAAGTTTGCCCAGATGCAATTGTATGTGTCCTCCAAGCCAACCCCTCGACACCGCTAACTCACTCCTGAAGATCGGATTCACCCCAAACGGGTCTCAATTCAGCCTAGCACTTCATTGGGCCCAGTATCTGTCTCTGTATGCTTATAATCATGGCAAGGGGGCAAATACGCCACCAGCAGAAGATACCATCGTGAAGGTCCCTTTCCCCGGCAATGCTGCTGGCGCGAACTCCCTTTTCACGCCTGCCTCCAGCCAAACAATCGCGCGATTTATGGTTTACGCATCATTGAACCCGGGCACGTGTGGCCAGGGTAATTTGTTCAACATAGCCGACCATCAGAAGCCATGCACGTATGGCGAGCTGTGGCCAAAAGTCGCGGAATGGTTTGGATTGGAAGGTGTCGGACCTGCCGATGAATCGGAATCGAACTTGAATACTCTCAAGGTCGGCGAGCTTCCTGATTCAACCGCGTCGCTTCCGCCCGGAGAATACATTTCAAAACACAAGGAAATATTCTTGCGGCATGATTGCGAGAATGCGGTGACCGCTGGAGTGGGAGCCGGCCACCGCCAGCTGGATAGCGTGGGCTACTGGCTGACCTTTGATCGACAAATGAGTGTAGAGAAGATTCGGAAGACTGGCTTCGAAGGGGACAAGGACCCCGTTATTGGCTGGATTGAGAGTTTTGAGATGTTCCGGAAAGCGGGATTAATTCTCTAGTTCTCAAGATGAATAAATTTCAATTACATTGAAGTATCGTGCATTGATATCTACATTACCGCTAATTCAATAGTTGTAGCTCTTCGTGATGCAGCAGAGCGGAGTAAAGAGTCACTCCATCATGCATTATATCCAACATCCTGTGTTGGTGCAGCATCCTCTCGCTCATATAGAATCTCCGGGCGCACATCTTTCCGAAGCAAATACCTCTTAAAAAAGTAAGGAATCTGACGGAGTCCATACTGTGCATGGAAACGCGTCGGTACACTAAAAACTTGATCCAGCTCTTCCAGTGTCTTGTTCTTAGTTTCCGGCATGAAGAGCAGAACTAGCCACCATCCGACAATGCACCAGCCAGCATACCACGCGAAGCCACCCTGAGCCGTGAAGGCATTTCGCAGGGATGGCCATGTCACTCCCAACACGAAGTTGAAGAACCATGTCGTTGCAGTTGCCAGAGCCATTCCGTACGAACGCACGTACAGTGGGTAAGCCTCTGCGGAATATGTGAATGGGACTGGGCCCTCTCCGGGTGAATATACAACACCGAAGAGGTATGTGCCTAGGGCGATGCATCCTGTCCGAGCAGCGTGGCTAGTTTCTGGTATCCAAAAACTGAAACCGGTGAAGAACATTGCTAGTGCCATGAGGGGGAATGTTGTGAGTAGGAGATTTCGTCGACCGAAAGTGTCGATTGAGTAGACTGCTGGTATAGCAAAGAGCCAGTTGATCACGCCCCATCCGAAAGATGCTGCAAGCGCGGCAGCAGGGGAAAAATTTGCTTCCTAAATGCTGTTAGTTAACAATTTCGCCGAAGATTCCGAATAAAGTATTTGCGGTCGGGGGGATGCTCACCAAAAATATTTCGGATGAGTAGTACGCGATAACATTGACACCGCAAAACTGGGAAAGTTAGTATATGCATTCAGTTTATGAGAGAGCGGAGCTCTTGCCTGTTGCATGAACATGACGATTTCGGATGCAAGCATAGCCCTACGATTTCGTGGAACAGTGATGAGCTCCAGCAGTTTATGTTGTCCAAGCTTCATACTGTTCTCGGCTTCCAGGAGGGTATGCATGTAGTACAGATCACGAGCCGCTTGGATTTTATGGTGACGCAGGGTGCATATCGACTCATATGCGCGGTAGTATTGCTTTTTGGTCATATACCAACGCGGTGACTCGGGACAAGCGAAGACGAAACAGCACACGACCAGCGCCGGGAACATCGCCGACGCCATCATGAGACGCCAATTCATTCCCACAATGCCGACGGGGTCCGCGACCTTGTAGAAGATTAGATCCGCGGCATATCCGAGCATGATACCGAACGCTGTCCACATCTGCCACTGCATCACCAATGCACCACGGATAGCGGGAGGCGCAGTCTCTGCAGCATAGATGGGAACTGTCGCCGACTTTGGGCCTATACCAAAGCCAAGTGCGAAGCGAGCAACAAACATGGACCACCAAGTATTCACGAATCCTTGCCAGAGGCACGCTATCGCGCTGAAACAACATGTGATGAATATTGTACCCCGTCGACCGAACCAGTGGTTGAATGGAACTGTGAGCCAGCATCCAACGAATGCGCAGCAAAGGTAAGGCGCCGCATTTACCAACCCCACCAACCAGGTGTCTCTGCGAGCTTCAGTGGCGATACCGAACTGGTGCTTATACCAGATTTGTGCTCCGTTGACGACCGTTTCGTCTATACACACTGTCGGTTAGCATATATTCATGGAAATCATGCTGGGCCTCGACAAAGGAACGCAATGCTTACCCATTCCCTGAACAGCTGCGGAAAGCGAGCAGAGGGCAATAACAGCATACATCTTCCATGGTTGCGACCATCGATGTGTGAACTCATGTCGCAAAACCTCCTTTTCTTGCGGTGTCAGCCCGGCGACATTTTCAAATCGTTCGGGCGATTGAGCGAGTACAGCGCCCAGCTCAAAGGCCCTGATATCGGTCTCATCGCCCATCTCGTGCATCATCGCAAAAGCGCGACCCTGCTTGCGGAGCTCTGAATGACTATATCCAGCAAGGGGATTCGAGAGCTTAGCGTTAAGATTGCGTCGCGCGCGCTCGGCTGCTGTTCCGAGGGTCCGCTGGGGCACGAACTTCTCGCGGGGCATTTCGTCGATATTCTCGTCTTGCTCGACCATACCGCCGCCTTGCTTGAACATGATGAAAGGTCACGGTGAGTTTCAACGGGGCGATATTGAGTGAACATGGATCCGAAGGATACACGCAGACGTCAAAGGGAAAAGCGAAGGAGTGAGCAATGGGAAAACATCTGACTGCCTTGGCATATTGGGGAGGTGCCATAGCCTTGATGGGTCGAGATTGTCAAAGAAGCGGGCATTTCGGGCATGATGCTTGGGTGTCCGGGTTTAAACTGGGGCCAAATTGGAGGTCCAGGGTGATTGGCAGACTAGTGGTCGTGGGGCGAAAGGACCGGGATGCGCAGCTGAATAAGAGGTCACTGAATGATCGACTGCTCGTATTGCTGGATGGGGCGAGGGATGATGGGCTGGCAGTGGCTGGATGTGCAGGATGATGCGTCAGATGTGTAAGACGCAGGGCGCAGAAAGAAAATGCTGACCGACTTGGCCGAGTACTAGTAAATTGGGTGCTTTTTCTTGACCATTTGTGATGGATACCATCAAGATAAATGTGGAGTCCGGGGTCCTGTGGGGTAGCAATTACCAGACCGAGTTAATGTGCAATGGAACTAGTCAACGTTAGCTGGTGTTAAAAGTCTTCCGTGAGGGAAGATCTAACCAGGGAGATACTGATTGTAGAAATGAGTTGCCTGAGCCAAGAGCGTGAGATGGGGGCCAAAGTCAGACTTGTGTTGAATAAATGAAAGACTCGGAGTTACCAACAGCGCGTCATGATCTTCATTCTCCGGGATGTTTGGATGTCGCCCTGCTATGCGCTATGCTCGCAAATTCCGTGACTTGCGCCTTGGGTTGTAATCATTTTTCCTTCAAGTTTTCGATCGCGTTCAATGAAATGTATCATTCGACTGATTTTTTGGCTGGAGGTGGATAAGCTTGCTGTTAGCAAATCCAAAGGGTCGGAAAGCACATAGTGAGCGGCCGTCCATTGGTCAGTGCGGTTAAATGAACAGTTTAACACTATGGCGAGCCACTCCTAGCCTTATTTGGGAGGAAAGTCGAGCGAATGAATCCAGCGAGATGATTCAAACTTGGATCAAAAACAGCTTGCCTTGTCGAATTACCGGACAACTTTGACCAACTCGGCTATGAAGAACAGGAGAATGTTCAAGAGATGATGCGGGAATGGATTGCCCATTTCTATTATGCCGCGCCGGCCATGAAATGATGACCGGATTAATTTGACTCCATAATTAATAACACAAACTCAGAATCATGATAATGTTGATTGACCGCGCGCGATGGCTAGATAACTGGGAGAATGGGCCGTACGGATGAGGCGAACTTTGGTGCCTCAGGCACCGAAGGCTGAACAAGAATCAAAAGTCTATACTTCGAGCGAAGCTTTTTCGTTATTTACAGATCATTCAAAATTGGCCTATATCCCGGGGAACTATGAAAAAAATCGTTGGGTCCATGTTGCCTTCCTAAAGATGACGGGAGATACAGGAATATTGGGAGATTATCACCAAGACCAGGAGAAACTAAAGGAACTGCACGAGAAGAGGGATTTCATCGGGGTAGATCCCTCTGGCTGGGTTTCAAATGAGGATTAGTTTGAACGGCGGAAGACTGTCATCCAGAGCATTAAGTATGGTTTGATGGAACCTTTGAACATCCCAAGGTTCAAGCACTGAGATGGAAAAGACTGCGGTCCTTTCTCAGTTTGCTTTCGATGCCAGTGGTCATCTAGAACTTGAAACTGCATGAAATTTTTTCAACTTCAGACTAAGAAGGCAACTCCAAACTTTGGAAATTAACGATGCCCGGATGTGGCAATGTTGGTTTTGTTCCAAGGTTGGGGATGGGAAGCATGTTAATTCTGAACGCCACCCGCGTACCGTCCAAGGTTGGCATCAGACGTTGTTTTACTTTGATCAATACTAAATATACTTGAGGAAAAACTTTGTCTTAGGCTGGAAATAGGACTTTATTACTAACATACTAGATGAATAGATTTACAGAGCCACCCAAATTGACAAAGGGAGACCTCTTGAGCTTGAACGCCTTCCCACGGATCGTAGAGCGTTAATATTCGGTAGAGGAGGTGTTATGATACTTGAAGACAGGGGTTCTGAACGCACGGGGTATACGGGAATGGCTTGATTAGCTTCTACATATTGATTTCTAGCATGTTCAGCTTCAGTGAACCTTAGAAGTCCAACCGTCATTGATAAAATCAAAGTCAATCCCTATAGGACGGGTACGATCCGATGGCAGAATTCCTAACGGAGAAAGGCCGCTGTTAGTATATCCAGCCAATTGCTGAGGGCCTCGGGACTTGCGCCCGGGCGGAGGCCAACCTAACTCAAAATACATCGTATCCTTAACTCTAAGTAGCCTCAAACGCCCAAAGTTACTTCAATAAACTTGGCTTTTATTCTTCACACATGAATCGTGGACCAGAGAATGATAACAAACATCCAAGTTCAATGGCAAAGATCAAAGTCAAGAGACCGTGCACAAATTCGGCCAACCTGGGCCCGCCAAAACGAAGTATGGTTGAACCATCCCAACTCTCACAGATGAAATTGAGTTTCAACTCATCGGGTTCTTCCTCAGAATTGAATCGCGGAGGCAGGAACTCCGCGGGGAGTTCGAAGTCTACTCGCGGTTGCGCCCGCCGACCTAGATCTATTGAAATCTAGGAAGCCGTTTGCAGGAAAAGCGGGATTTCCTTCCAAGGGTCAACCACGTCATTCTATCAGGAGACCTCAACTCAACTCTGTTGGGTCTAGAAGTCTTCGAACAACAAAGGTCAAAATGAGTTTCTTTGTCAAATCGATTCGAAAGGAATTTCTGTCTTGAAATGAATATTTAAAGCAGTCGTAGTTGCATCCAAGACCAAGGACAGAAATACACACTGCTGGCTCACTTCTGGCTAGCTGAGACCTCCAGTTATCACATTTCTCTTAGGATTATTTTTCCCTTCAATTACCATGAAGCTTTACTTCACCTCATTGGCTGCCTTGGCAGCTCTCGTCACTGCTGCTGCTGCTAAAAGCACTACTTGCGAGAGCAACCAGATTGTTGTTTGCAGTGGCAATGGCAACGCTGGTCTTTTGTCCTTGGGAAATATTGCTCCGGGACTTCTCGGCGAGAATTGCTCAGGGGGAGAAGTTTACTGCTGCTCCGAAGAGGATGTCGAACAGGTAAAGTGCCATTGAACTCATATACGACGTATCCCAAGATACTGATGAGAATTATACAGATTGGTTTGATCAACCTCAATCTGAACGCGCAGTGCAGTCTCAATAGACTCCTTTAAGAGCTCTAATCTAGTATCCAAGTTTCCTCATGCCAATAACACTGGAAAGATCTGGCTCCACTCCTTGAACCTTTGTTCTTAATTACTTTCTGAAACAATATTATTCACTCCGAGTAAACAGCTGAAGATCATTGATGCAGATATATAGTGCACTACTAGAAGCGGACGTTGGCTATTCGAGAAAGATGACAGAAGAACTAGTGGCAGTGGTTGTTCGTCGTCTAGGACCGCCTAGCCGCGATCCCATGGCTCGCTATCTCCTGGGAGCATAGAGACGAGCCAAGCTAGATATATCGACGGGTGTTTGAACCACTCGATCGCATGCTAGAGAGCAGAATTCTTCATAATGCTTGGATTGAAGTAGTAGTTTACGGTGTCACTCTACCGTAAGACAATTGCTGGCTCTTCGCTGCGCGTAAGGCGCGTGGTATTCACTAGTGGGCTGCTTCGCGGTCGGCAGGGGGATCAGGGGCCGATTAGGCCAGTGAATGGAATTTCGCCGGACTTTGTAACAGAGGACAATGTGCTCGGGGAACTCGAGAGAGAGAAGAGACCCATGGATGGCTTCTGAGGCGCACATTTCATTCGCGAACCTGTCACGGGTCAGACCCGTTTCTCACTATATGGCCCTGCCATATAGCCTCAGCCCCGCACGCTTCTGTTCTGCCACCGCCTTACACGTTACTTCTATTGTTGTTCTGCTTGTTCCGCTCTTTCTTCTTTTCAAGCTTTTTGTAAACAGCATGTTGGCCTAGCTCTTATTGAATCAATATTGTTACAGCCCTTCACAAGTTTCGACCATAAGTTATCAGTAATAGTAGATAGTTGTCGGTAGTTGTGGTAATCCGATATTATAACATGAAAATATATAATCCGTCCAACTGCAGTCCTACTATATCTCTGCCATAAACACCAAAATTTTATTACGTTAAAATATTAGGATTTTACGGTCGGACTGATTGTACCTAGATTTCTATATTATTCTTTATATCAGTACCTAATTTACTTAGGATATACTATATAATACACTTCGATACACTCTTAGAACATATATAATTCTTGGAACTTTATGTTCGCACTGTTTGAGGAACCTGAGGTTCGACTCTAAGAGCCGTGGGGTCGGATCGCCGTTCCAAAACCTTAGAATTGGAATCTGAGTCTTGGCGGTTCCGAGTAGTCGAATCGAACCGGGAGAGTCGCGACTCCTGCCGAGATCTACCCTTTACATTATAGTGCTGACTTCTCCTTGTGTTCTGCTTATTATGGGTTGTGTTGCAGACTGAGCCTTCTAATACACGAGTAAGCACGGAGTAGAGATTGGATATACAAGCGCCGGGATGTTGACATCTGATCTGATCAGCCGCAGGATCACTCAGTAAGGTTAGCCCGTTTTCTGCATCGGTCGATGCGTTGGAATCTTTCGCTTACATCTCGCTGAGCCATGTGGCCACATGCGATTCGATGACGCTACAGCCTTGTCGATGGAATTAGTATTATATCCTTTGTCGTCTGCGACCCTCTGCACCATCATTTGAGAATTTCTAGCCAGAGCCAAATCGAATGGTCCAACCATGGAGTCTGATCGGCAACCCGAGAATGTGAACCTGCCAGGTCTAGAGAGGTTAGGGCTTCGCTCCTTTCTTCATCTTGCGCAGGATACAGATGCAGACGCCCCAACACCCAGTGAGACCACAGGATCTGGTTCCACCCTTCCACCCCCGACTTCTACCAGCCCCCCGCTATCGAGCCAACAACACCAGCTCAATAAGAGGCAGAGGCAGCGTCGCATACAGTCAAGCGTCGGGCCATCTAGTGGTCCTCGAAGGGGAAGGGGCTATCTGAAATCCCAAAGGTATATGGAGTATAGGGCCCGGCCGTGGCGGGGAATTGGGAAAGATGGGGAGATAGTGTGGTCAGACGAGCTGGAAGATGCATTTCAGCAAGGTAAGTCGCATTTTTTGTTCATACTAGCAAGCCGCTAATGGATGATGCAGCCCTTGGGGCATACCCACCGATGGGGAAAAGAAAGTTGACCGAAAATGGGAAATCGTATGGCCGAAATGAACTGATTGCAGTGTTTATATATCGGAAGACTGGCCAGCAGAGGACGAGAAAACAGGTGTCGGCTCACTTGCAATTACTTGATTCCTTTCTCAAGGGTGACCCGGACTGTAAGTGCAACAACATCAGGATATAGTTATCGGCGTGATCTAACAAGAAATACAGGGGAAAGGCTCGTTCGAGAGCAACCAACCAACCATTCAGATGACCCGGCTCAGCCTCTTGGTTCTATATGGAGCTCGAAGGAAAATGATCCTTCTAACCACTACAGTAACCATATCCATGCCGTCCAGTGCCTTCGCTTTGACATGTGGGTGAATACTCCAAACACGCCAGACCGAATCGAGGATGCTTTACATGTGTATACCCGTCTCCAGGGGGACCAGGGTTCACCACCAATGCCATTGGGGTACATAGAGGGCTGGCGGACTCACTTTCCGCATCTGGCTGCATTACTCTCAAGCATCAGAGGCCCTGTGGGGTGTGATATTATACTATTCGAAGCCAACCTTGGGTTGATAGATTACTTTCCTCCTGTGGGGTCGAGGCTAGAAATTTCCCTGGAGCTGGACAGAGTCAATTCCATACCTGGTATCCCACCGATAAGTAGCATGATGAAAGATTGGACGTGCAGCAATTACATATATGAAAACGGGCAGGCGACGATACAAACAGAGCATGATCTCCCCCAGCCGCATACCACCACAACCATCAAGCCGCCGTTTGAGTCATCATGGTGGGCAAAGATATTCACACAACTTACCCATCAGAAAAAGGAGACTGAAAAAACCGGACAATATGAGATCAGTGATGATCCTACTCGGCAATACTTTCGCTCCTTAAGCGCCGTTCAGGAGATCCGGGCCCGTGACCCTTTGGGTCACGAAAGCAAGAGAATGGCCATCCTTCTCTGGAAGTTTCGACAGACGCGACCAGTAGAGATTGGCACCACCACATGGCGTTGGCTGACCACTTCACCTGATGCAGTTGACCTTCCTCCACTTTCTTTGGATTCGGTCCTACTACATCAAGCTCCTCCCAGTCCCGTATACCCTCACCAGGTCCTTAAAACTCATGATTCTCTGCAACACCCTGGTGCTGATCACCATGACTCTCATCAACCCCGGCAACACCAACAACAGAGCCATACGCACACCAACTTCACACCCCGACCACCCCCCACGCCACCCCCAGCCCTCGGCCAAACCAAACCGTTCACCTCCTTCTACGCAACGCCTCATCTCCGCGAAATAGCCTTATCCGCAAATCGCAAGGGCCGGGCGCGCTTTGCCTTTGGTCATCCCATCCCCGATCTGGAAAAGCGGGACTTTGAGCTTCCGTCTGAGATCATCGAGATCGCTGCGGATCTGCGGAAACAAAGGCGGGTAAAGCAGGACGATCAGATGGGGATAGCCTGCTTGTCTGGTGATGGTGATATGGATAAGACACGCCTCCAATCACCTCTGAAGAAGGAGCTCAGAATGGAACCCAGTATCCCAGACGTATATTTACAGGAGTGGGATTCAGATGAGTCAATGGGTCTGAGCATGGAGAACTCTGGAGCAGCCGATATCGTACAACCCCTTGGGTTAACCCAAATTGGAGCATTCACTGATTCTGGCTATGCATCTACAAATCTTGACAAACATGGATATGCTCAAAGTACTTCGGATGCTAGGCTCGGACTTCCTACAGTTCCTGAACACGACTTACTAGAGGATATCGAAACTCCACCGACACATGACTCCCTGGAGATGACTGCAGGCCGAACTGTGTATTCTGATACATCGAGCATTGCTCCTTTGCGAAAGGAAAGCTACATATCTCTATTTGGCGAAGATTTGTTTATGAAACTTGTCTCCTGGCAACCTGATGCGCAGGCAATGGAGAGAATTTCCGAGGCTCTTCCTGAATTGCTGAGAGCTTTCGCTCTCAAAATTGGCCACAACGCACCCAGTCAGATTCATCGTGATGTTATGGTTTTTATTCACAAGAACAGAGAGTGAGTTCAATGTTCCAAAGATATAAAGTCTCACTTTGCCCTAACTTTGTCCTAACTTTGACTATTTCTCAGCAATATTGTGAGCAATTTCAAAGAGAGGTGTTCCCATGAGGAAGAAATTCTTTCTGAGGATGGGACTTCCGACTCTATAGGAATGCCTCTGGATGAGAAATGGGACCTATGGAACAAGCACCTAGAAGAGCAGCAAGACCCCATTACGCCTTCTCCTTGTATTAGTGAGCCAACAACCGGCAATACACACACACAGGAGGAACAAGAAGAACAGGCAGAACAGGACGAAGAATCCGATATGCCTGAGTTCTCTGCCTATAAAAATTTCATTTCCAATGTCGCATCATACGAATGGCTTCTTTCCAGCTTACGCAGAGAGCTCTTCCTGGCCCCAGCGAAGCCAAATATCATGGAAGCTATCAGGAAAAAGATTATTACCTCCCTGCCATCTTCTCACAGACTCAGCAGAAGGTTATCTGCAGAAGCCTACACCGTGACCTATGTTGTCCAATGGAATCCGCTGGATTTTCTCGATGAACAAGGGTATCAGGAGGAGCCAGGCGAGGCACTCAAGGGAGTCATTACCCTTACGGGATCATCCGAGGATGCGCAAGCCCTGTCTTGTGCACAATACCTGTGCCAGACATGGCCCTCAACAGGTGGACATATTCTTCAGCTAATTATGGATATCGCTCGCGCTGGACCTGGCAGTCGACAAACTTGTAAGTCCCCGACGCTGTATAGCTATAATTTGATACAAATCGTGGTCCTCTAGGTGATTTACCCGACAATACCAAGGTCGCAGCCTGGCTTAATGCGTCAGGTTTCAACGTCGAGGCGTTCGGTACGGGAGACTCAGTGGCCGAGATCGGTGAACAGTTTGCATGGCTGGGTGCTGCTCTACGCTCTTCGCCATATGAACTTGGTATTGCGTACTGCACGCCGATTATTAGTGACGTCCATATATCTAGCGCCCCGCAGCAAGCGTCTCGGAGTCAGTCTTGCCCCCATATCCTTGGCAAGATTGATTTCGTCTTTCAGGAGAGAGAGAAGCAATCCACAACGTCGAATGCGCAATGCTGGCACAACTTATTCCGGAATCCTGTTGTCGTCACAGGCTACCCAATTTCATGGAGATCGGAGACCGGTACAGGCCTGGAGATCCCACTTAACATAATGGCAGGATTGGCCCGAACCAAGCGTGTCAACAGCTTCAACAAAAAGCTCTTTGTTAAGGGCTTTTCGACAATGTTAATTCCAACAAGACAGAATGGACCCACGATCCTCTGGCATTTGATGTATAACATAGATCGAAGCCGCATATCCTACATTCAACATACTGTGCCTCATTTAGAGGATATCAGCATCTTTGACTTGGAAAAGGCTCGGCACGTGCTTGGGTGGTGTTCCGAAGCCAGATACAACGCTGGTAAGAATACGTCGGAAAAAAACTCGGTCTTTTGCTAACACCTCGGTTTGTCAGGGGCTGCGGAGGCCAACTATCTAATCACGCCGTCACGGCTCCCAAGACCGCCGGAGGGTTGCATATACAATGATGTCCGGTTATTCAAGGGACAAATCATTCTTGGCAGCGCGTTCAGCATGGGTCACAAAGACACCGCGATCCATATATCACGAAATGGGTACATAGAAAAGCTCAAGTCAATCCGTCGGAGATTCTTTGTGCTTTGGGACGAAGAAGACAAACGAGGATGGTTAATCAATGGGGGCAGTGTTCTTTTACACTTACTTCGTGCCTCCCTGAAACACGACAGTATGGATGAACTTAGCACTGAATTTCTCTTCAATCCTGAGGATCTGCAAGAAGCATCTGAAAATCGCAAGACTTTTTCTGCCATAAAAGTACTCGCGAATCAAAGCAACAGGAGGCTCCCAATATATCTAGAAAAAGGAAACTATCTTCGCCTGGAAGATCGAGTCGTGGAGCTCTACGACACGTTGGAGAAAATCATGGACTACGAGGTCGGCATCGCCACACCAAGCAGCGCGAAATCATCCAGAGCCCGAAAATACCTGGAAGGTTGGGACTTCAATGACTTGGCTACCTGTCGCGATATATTCTATCCTCGTGTTGCCAAGCTCGAAACAATTGGCAAGGGCTGGGTTGATTTCACCAGAGCTATCCACGCAGTTACCCTGTTCGGTCGATGCTTTGGCGAAGTCATTGAACCTACCAGTACTGGCTCCTGTAATAAATGGACTGAATTGCCAAAAGCCATGTACTATCTCGCCGCCTCTATCCATGACCTTAAAGAGATCATGGACATGGATGGAGATTCAGAAGCAAGCCCGATGGTATTAGCACATAACGTCATTTGGCACAATCCAGTTGCCTTTGGATCGTGTCAGTGCGAATTGGACGGACAGGATGAGCACTCGGATCTTGTTCAAGTTCTTCTGCCTTCAGCCTTTAGGAAGAGGCTGCCCATCAATCATGAGTTTCCACTAGATGCTCGTGGTGCGGCTATTTTCGGCCACAGTGAGTACTCCAAATGGTCCTGGAAAGATACTGGATATCCTGAAGAAGGAGAATCATCGCCGCCATCCGAGACATCCGATGCTCCTGAGACCGAGTTTCATGACAGTGGGATTGCGTCTGACACGAACTCATCAGCTCAGAAGGGAAGCCATAGTTCAGTAGCTTCCAGCTCTCAACATCCATCAAATGAAGATGGAGAGACTCTTACTCGGGAGAGTTACACGGTAGGGATTATATGTGCCTTGCAAAAAGAGCTCCGGGCGGTTCGCATCCTCTTTGACGACAGACATGAAGATTTAGAGAGGGCCGTGCGAGACACCAATCATTATGCACTGGGTCGTATTGCGCGTCATAACGTTGTTGCTGCATGCCTTCCATCTGGTGAATACGGCACAAACGCCGCTGCGGATGTTGTGTCCCATTTGACCAGGAGCTTTCCCGAGGTGAAGTTTTGTCTTTTAGTCGGGATCGGGGGCGGAGTGCCTTCAAGAGATAATGATATCCGACTCGGTGATGTTGTCGTCAGTCATCCAACCGACATCCATCCCGGGGTCATTCAATACGACCTTGGCAAGAACATGGAGGAAAACAAGTTCGAACGAACGGGTTCGCTTCAGCGTCCTCCGCGTTTCTTGATGACCGCTATCAGCACGTTAATGTCGGATCCTGAGCTTCCATCCACACGATTTCAAGGGTATATCAAGGACATTACAGAGTGCAACCCCGTATACAAGCATCCCGGTGCCCGGAATGACAAGCTTTTCGCCCAGTGCAGTGGTCGCCCTGTCCGAAGAGCGCGCCGCCCCGAAATTCATCCGCTGATCCATTATGGCCTGATTGCCTCGGGAAACAAAGTTGTGAAGGATGCCGAGACGCGGGATCATCTGGGTGCAAAGTACAACATTCTTTGCTTTGAAATGGAAGCTGCTGGGATCATGAACGCCGTTCCTAGCCTTGTCATTCGAGGAATATGCGACTACGCGGACTCCCATAAGAACAAGCTGTGGCAGGAGTATGCATGCGCGACCGCTGCGGCATACGCTAAAATGCTTCTGTCGGTCGCATGAGACCGTACAAATTTGTGAAACTTAAGTAAAGCTCCTAAGGTCTGAAAAGTCTGCACCTAATGGACGAACTGTAAACCTAAACAACATGTAGATACGGGCCAGTGAGATGAATGACATCATACTATCTTATCGTTAGTTAAGTTACCGGTGAAGTGAAGGATGAGTCAGCCCCCATGTGAGTCGGGGTTTGTTCGCTTTTCTCTCCGCGATCTCCTCCAGGGTCCAACTGCTGCCTGCCCAGCATCCTTTTCCCGTATTCTGTGTTGTATGCATGCTTCAGAGCCTCTCCTTAGTTATGGAGACCTATGCCCATCCTGATCTGCTTTTCCTCTTAATGCCAGCTTCGTGACAGGCCTTCCCCCGAGCAGCCGTAGTTCTGCACAATTACATAAGAATCTCTACCGTAAGACAATTGCTGGCTCTTCGCTGCGCGTAAGGCGCGTGGTATTCAGTAGTGGGCAGCTTCGCGGTCGGCAGGGGGGATCAGGGGCCGATTAGGCCAGTGAATGGAATTTCGCCGGACTTTGTAACAGAGGACAATGTGCTCGGGGAACTCGAGAGAGAGAAGCGACCCGTGGACGGCTTCTGAGGCGCACATTTCATTCGCGAACCTGTCACGGGTCAGACCCGTATCTCACCATATGGCAGGATGAGCCACTGCAAGATACTTCCTTATCATGTTGACTGCACAACCTATATAGTGACATTCTCAACAGAGCAACGGTAGCCGCGGTAGACCAGCAATTCAGGGATTGGTCAAGAATCAGGGGTCGGTGGGATAAAGGGCTCTATATCCGGGTTCCATAGAACAACCTTGATAGATTCATCATGAATCGCTGCCTGTTATACTACTAGATCGGCAGAAGGGTGTTGTCAGTGTTTTGAAGCTAGATGGGAGATTATACTTCTAGCATATTCACTACATATTGACAGGTCTTGCCCAGAACCGATAGGTAGTGTTATAGCTAAAGAGTTCACCAATCAAGTCCATAGTGATAGCCCTAGCAAAGGAAGCAGTGGGACATTAATAAACCGAGAAGTTGAAAGAGATCATGTTAGTAATATCAAGGAGATTTAGTAAAAAGGGGTTAGTGTTACACACTTTGTGATTCGTCGTCTAGGGCGAAGCCTCAACACGACGCGACACATAGAACCTATAGATATAGGATCTATTTTCGCTATAGAGCTCAATATCTAGTAAACACAATAGATATATCTTAGAATTCTATTAGGCTCTAATCATCGTAGACCAGAAAACATCAGAAGCTGTCATCATCCGAGAATATATAGTCTAAACTGTCTTGCCAGGAGGTTATTTAAAGCTTGACCTAACCCTATACATACTCCTACCTCCTACCAAGACTCTGCTCTTACTGACTTACAGGATTATCTGATGAGTCTTCTCTCACTCACTCATTCTAACTCTACTAACTTAGACTTAGACCCTGTAGGATACCTCTCTTGATCAGGGGTCGGTCGGTCGGTCGGTAGAGTTGACAGGTCTATCTATGGACACGCACCACGGGCGACAGGAGCACGCGGCATGGACGAATCAGCGGCCGAAGAAAGGGAATGGGCCCCCATTCCTTTTGGGACTAGGGTATAGAGTATAAGGGTGCCCAGGCGGTAAAGCTTCGTACGGACACTCAATGCCGTTTGATATCCTCAGAATTGCGACAGATTCATTGACTCTCAGACTCTGGCCGGTGAAATTTGTTTCAAAAGAACCTCATCCAAAGCCAGTCAGGATAATTCATGTAACGTATTCCTCGGGGGATCGCGTAGACCCTGGGCTCTACGTGACCAATGGCTCACATCAAGACAGAATGCGGGGTTCCACCAAAACGATCGTTTAACTGAGATTTTGTCAAACGCTCCTGGTGAAAATGCCAAATCGTGAAATTTGCCCGCTTTATTTTCTAACTTAAAACGCGGTTAACGGTCAAAAGCTGTGTTTTCTTTTTTGTCATGATCGCTGTTGCTTTATAAGTGATGCTTCAGTGTTCCTGTTATTGAGGGGAGTCGATTGTATGTTGTATTGCCTGTATGTCCAAGATACATGCTAGGCATTGCCAGGCCGGAATAACTGTTGTTCCCCCACCACTGAATGCTGATGACGTGGCATGTTCAACACGCCATGGCCTCCACGACGTAGACCTCAGTAGATACAACCCAAATCAATAAAACATGGATGGGCTATCATCAGCAGCCAACGTCTTCGGGGCCATTGCACTGACGGGCAGTATTGTTAAAATCTGTGGTAGTTATATTACTGAGGCCAAAAACGCTCGAGATGACATCTTCACTCTGCAGAGAAGTGCAGCAGGACTTGAGAACATTCTTCTGAGCCTAGCAAAGATTCTCCAAGGCCGTGGGGCTATGGAGCTATCAGTTTCCTCAAATATTTCGGATGATATTGATAACTGCATCTCGGATCTTGAGGCCCTAGAAACGAAGATCAATCCAAGGCAAAAGAAGGGAGTGATGAGAAGGTTTGGCCTGCGATCCTTGAAATGGCCTATTCAGCGTCCAGAGATAGACAGATTGGTCGAAAACCTCGAGAGATATAAATCATTATTCATATTATCTATGCAAGTTGACCAAACGTAAGTCAACTCAAAATTGCCTTCTAATCAATTACGCTCATCGCTTATTAACGGTCTAGTGTTCTTCTGACCGAAGTCGCTCAAAGCTTGGAGACCTCCAAGGACACTATCAATCTTGACAAGCTTTCGGTCGCGCGTGGGGCCGAATTTGACTCCTTCTTGGATCAGCACGAGCAAGTGTGTCTGCCAGGTACTAGAACAGAGATAATCGATAATGTCATTGCATGGGCAACATCGCCTGAAGAAAGATGTATGTTCTGGCTGAATGGTAAGGCAGGGACAGGAAAATCAACTATCTCCCGAACACTTGCCAAATTTCTCAAGGAAAAAAAGGTTCTAGGAGCTAGTTTCTTTTTCAAAAGAGGAGAGGCCGATCGAGGAAATGCGATGAAATTGTTCTCGACAATTACGAGGCAGCTACTCATTCACATACCTCAATTGGCTCCAGGGATTCAAAAGAGTCTTGAGGCTGATCCCGAGGTCGCATGCAAATCTTTGACGGAACAATTTGACAAATTGATACTACAGCCTCTGAAAAGCGTTAAACAAGCTCAGCTATCACTCTCGAAAGCTTGTACCTATCACAATATGGTAATTATCATTGATGCATTGGATGAGTGTGCAAGAGACGAAGATATAAGAGCGATTCTTCGATTACTACCAGCTCTACAGGAGTCAGAAATCATTCGCCTCGGAGTGTTTATTACAAGTAGGCCCGAGCTACCAACTCGCCTAGGATTCTCCCAGATGCAAAAGCTTGGTTATCGATCTGTTGTTCTCGATGAGGTCCCGTGGTCAGTGATACAGCACGACATATCTCTATTTTTGAGACATCGACTTTCGGAGATAGGAAGTGACCGGAACTTACCATGCAACTGGCCCATGGAAAGCGACATTCAATCGCTTGTAAAAATGTCAACCCCCCCTGTTTATTTTTGCTGCTACCGCTTGCCGTGTCTTGGAGGACCCCCAATGGGACCCAGAAGAGAGCTTGAGGAAGCTGCTCATATACCAGAATGAGGATACCAAGTCCAGCCCCTCGTGTCATTTTGGCGACATGGCACAATTTGACAGAACTTACCTACCTGTGTTGAATCGGCTACTTGAGGGTCAAAGCAAGAAACAGGAGAGACAGCTGGTGCAAGAATTTCATGACATAGTTGGCACTATAGTGGCACTCGAGGCCCCACTTTCAGCTGAAACGTTATCTAAACTAATTGGATATTCGGAGAAGCAAGTACACCAAAGACTTAGCTCCCTACATTCTGTTCTAAATTTACCTACCGATAACAATCAACCTGTGCGACTATTTCATCTCTCATTTCGGGACTTTCTTCTCGACTCAGAGACAAGGGATAAAACACCACTGTGGGTTGATGAGGCGAGGGTACACCGGAGTCTCACTACACGATGCCTTGAAATCTGTGGTGGTCTCCAGAAGAACGTTTGTGGCTTGGAATGGGACACAAGGCGTGCAGAACTGGACACAGGAATTATCAGTTCTTGCTTGTCATCAGAGATGCAATATGCCTGTTGCTATTGGGCCTATCATCTGAGTCAAAGCCAGAATTCTCTCGTTGAGATCGGGAAGTCCTCCCCGTCTACATTGCGATTTCTGCAGCAACATTGTCTTCACTGGATGGAGGCAATGGGAATCTTGGGTCGTATATCCCAAGTCATCGGGATTATAGATCTACTGCAAGCTTCACTGACTGTACGTACCAACCGTCTTGCCAAAAATAGGTAGAATACTAAGAATCTAATACAGGAGAACGACGGTGTCGAATTGGCGGGCTTTTTGCAAGATGCCAGATTATTTGTTTTGAAATTTGGATCATTAATTGACGAAGTACCCCTTCAGATATACTCCTCTGGGCTCATTCTTTCGCCCAAAGAGTCAATCCTACGAAAGACTTTCGAAAATGAAAAACCTGTTTGGATAAAGAGCTCCCCCCAATGTCAACAAAGCATGGGATGCAGAAATTCTGTCTCTCGAAGGGCATTCCGGCTCGGTACATTCTGTAGCGTTTGGACCTGACGGGTGTCTTGCATCTGCGTCGAGTGATGAGGTCGTTAGGCTCTGGGACTCAGGCACAGGGTCTCTTCTGCAAAGCCTAGAAGGACATAACGACAGGGTTCATTCTGTCGCTTTCTCGGTAGATGGAAATCTCGCGACTGGATCTGCGGACGGCACCCTGAAAGTCTGGGACCGGTCATCAGGCCACTTGCTGCAGACCCTCAAAGGTCATTCAGATTGGGTGAACTCTGTGGCATTTTCTTTTGATGGCCTTTTACTGGCGTCGGGCTCTGATGATGAATACGTGAAGCTTTGGGATACCTCTACAGGGCAATTAAGACAAACCATCGAAGGGCATTGTGGACGAGTTCAGACAGTAGCGTTCTCTCAACATGGCCTGCTTGCATCGGGCTCCAGTGACGAGAAAATAATGCTCTGGGACTCTCATACCGGTGCATTGAAGCATACTCTGAAGGGCCATTCTGACTGGGTTAGATCCGTCACTTTTTCGTCAGATGGTCGGCTACTGGCATCGGGCTCATACGACAAGACTGTCAGGATCTGGAGCTCTTCTACTGGTGTCTTGCTGCGGACTCTTCAGGGTCACTCGGGCTGGGTCAACTCTGTAGCGTTTTCATCTGACGACCAAAGGCTGGCCTCCGCTTCTAAAGATCAGACAGTCATAATTTGGGATTCGGCTTCAGGTGATCTGCTTCGAGAACTTAAGGGCCACGGAGGATCAGTGTTGTCTGTTGGGTTTTCGTCCTGTGGTCAGATACTAGCGACCGCATCTTATGACAAGAAAGTCAGACTATGGGATTCTGCAATGGCACTATCACAGCAGCAGGATGTGGTAGGCCATTCAGATTGGGTTTACTCAGTCTCCTTCTCTCCAGATGGTCGTCAACTAGCGTCAGGCTCACGCGACGCGACTGTCAGGCTCTGGGACTCCTCGCAAGGCGTTGTTGTGCGAACTCTTCATGGCCATTCAATGTCAGTCAGAGCGGTCTTGTTTTCTCCTGATGGAAGATATCTAGCATCCGGCTCCTCCGATAAAACGATTAGGATCTGGGATCCAAATACAGGACTTGAAAAGCAAGTTCTTGGGGGTCATGCAAGCCGTATTCGATCGATTGCAGTCTCCCCCAACTCACGCTTACTGGCGTCCATGTCTAACGACGAAATGCTTATACTCTGGGACCCTGTAATGGGTATGGCATTACAGCAGATATCAAGGGTGGTAGTATAAAATTTTCCCTTGAGCCTTTCCAAAATAGCTCCTACCAGGGTGTTGATTTGAGTGACAGCAACATTCGGCTTTGGTTCAAGACTCACAGTTCTATCTGGCCTCGCAGGAAAGACCCGATATGGATAGAAAATGATCAATGGGTGACGAGCGGAGGTAATAGGAAGCTCTGGCTCTCTCCAGAATATCGAAGAAGCTGCTCAACGGTGCAGGGCCATACGATTGCCCTGGGACATGCCTCAGGACGGGTTTTATTCATAAAATTCGAGGATTCTAGCCACTGCCTTAGAAAGTAAATATTGTAGTGGGGGATTCGCTCTGGCGATGTCAGGTGACGTTGTAGGCCTTAGGCCTTACATGCAGTATATAAGCCCTCGATGATAGTTAACTTACACATCACCTTTCGGGTCACCAATGTTATTTGCGTTATTTCGGATTGCTAGCATTCGAGCAAGGGCTCGAATGCTCTGAATGCTGTTTTCTCAGTAGGGCACCGCTTTGTCTACTACTACTCTCTCCTGCACTCTACGAGTGTGGTGGTTTTATCCTCTTGTGATCGACCCGTCTGCTTGACAGACTGCCAGCGAGCTTTCCCATCTTATAATATCTATTAATTATTCTGATGAATCAGAGAAGCATTCTTGCCTTACTGATGACGCCTAGAATGATTAGGATTTTGATAAAGAAAAGTTCGCTGAGCAAATTACGTCCAGAAATGTTCATATGACATAGGCTTAGACGATGTGCATGGGAAATGTGAAGAGGCTGCATGATTATAGACCTTAATCTACAACAGTAAGTGCAAAGGAACCAGATTTGCAGATATAATATCTATAATAGGTGATTTCCCCTGTAATACTGTATACACCTATAGAAGGACTTCTACTAGATTTTATTTGCATAAAGCATGCTATCTCCTACTCTCGAGTAAGGTTTCAGGGCGGCTCTCCTGTATAGCAACAGTAGTCCTTCTTATACATTAAATTATATTTATGTTTTCTTCCCGTGTATTCGCTTTATTGGTACCTTTGTTTTATATACCTTTCTTCTGCTGCCAAGAATTCCACCAAAATTGGTATATTCAAAGGTCACGTCAATATGACAAGATAAAATTCTAATGTATGTAATTAGTTAGACATAATAATATGAGGCTGTTTCTCTCTATTTCAGACGTTTTCGTGGTCGATCTTGGCGTGATAGTAGTAAACGGCGGATTGTCTAGTAATGGTTGTCGATCTGTAATTGGCCACTTTACAGCTTGTAATCTTTCATTGAAAACAGGCATCGAGCAAGGAATCGAATGATTATTGTTTCTGCTGCTCTTAGGTAATACTCGGCATTTTAATTGGGAGTGATGGGGCTCGAATGTGCAGGTACCTAGTGGGCGTTTCATCACACAGGGCATTTCATCTTACCAGGATGGAGGTTATATGACACCCTCGAACCTCTTAAGCAAGATCAAGGAGGTGGATGGATGGCCCCACGTACTGGAATGTCCGGGAGCACATACGATAAGCCAATCATTAGGCGAAAAACCACATTGAGCCCCTGGGTGCACATGGACTAGAGTATAGACCTGTTGTTGCCGCGCACTTCCATCGGCTTGAGCCGATAGTCCCCCTAAAAAACCTGCCGCAAATGCAGACCGGGCTATTTAAGGGCCGAGGTCTCGTTCGTTATCGCAATTAAGCAGACAAATCACTCCACCAACTAAGAACTGCCATGCAACAACATCCAAAAGATCAAGAAGGAGCTCTCAATCTGTCAATCCTTATTTTGTCTGGACCTGGTGAGTTCCCCCGTGTTGAGTCAAATTAAGCCGCAGGCTCCACGCCTTGTGGTGCTTCCGTCAATTTCTTTAAGTTTCAGCCTTGCGACAATACTCCTCCCAGAACCCAAAAACTTTGATCTCTCGTAAGGTGCCGAACGGGTCATCATAGAATCCCGTCCGATCCCTAGTCGGCATAGTTTATGGTTAAGACTACGACGGTATCTGATCGTCTTCGATTCCCCTAACTTTCCTTCCCTGATTAATGAAAACATCCTTGGCGAATGCGTTCGCAGTAGTTAGTCTTCCGCAAATCCAAGAATTTCACCTCGGACATCGGAATCTCTACCGTAAGACAATTGCTGGCTCTTCGCTGCGCGTAAGGCGCATGGTATTCACCGGTGGGCAGCCTCGCGGTCGCAGGGGGGATCAGGACCGATTAGGCCAGTGAATGGAACTTCGCCGGACTTTGTAACAGAGGACAATGTGCTCGGAGAATTCGAGAGAGAGAAGAGACCCGTGGACGGCTTCTGAGGCGCACATTTCATTCGCGAACACCCTTGAGCAATGTGTTCCAATCCTTCCAATCTTTGCTCTGGGCTGACTGTCAGGTTTTGTAGACCTTGCATGACTCTTGGTTTCAAGTTCCAAGGACAATTACAGATACATTAAATTTGACGAATGATCAAGCGACTTTGAACAATCAGTAAGCAAAACCAAGTGAAGCTGAATCGGACAGATAGCATCCTATAAAAAAACCTGATGATTGTCGAAACCAATACAAACCAATACCACGAATGACTTAGCGTATTGCCTGAGACCTGAGGCCCCCACATTTTCGGGTTGCGAGTTAAGGTAGACCTAGTTGTGAATTTGATTGGACACTTCATTCGTAGTTGATGGCATCAGTATATATTAAATACTCTAAATAACCCATCCCAACGCATGATTGCAGCGAGACGACAGTGTATTATGCTTCGCGAGCCATCATGAGTCATGGTGATTGTTACCTTGCGCTAATCCCAAAGCGGGTCCTTTTTAGCATACATCACCAAGCGTACTCCCTTTGTTTTCTTGAGTATATAATACTGCTACATCTATTTCTTCTTGCGAGTTTAATCCTATTGTCATCCAAAAGAACAAAAAATGACCGAGAAAAGTCCTATCGTGGACACACAGGCCCCAGGGGTGACCAGCGTGTTGACTGGCGACAGCCACTCTCAAGCAGACGATACGAAGAACTATGAGTTGACTGGAATTCCCCTAATCGTGGTCATCTCCGGGCTTGGTCTTTCTATATTCCTCCTCTCACTGGACTCCTCCATCATCGCCACGGCCATTCCCAGGATCACCTCCCAATTCAACAGCACCGGTGATATCGGCTGGTATGGAAGTGCATACTCCTTCGCGATGTGCGCTTGCCAGCCCATCGCAGGTAAATTATTTGCGAGCTTCGCAATGAAGGTGAGATTTTCAGGAGCTTGCATTCCGAGAGAAAATCCTTGTTGACAATTTTAGGGCATGTTCCTTGGATGTTTTGCCGTGTTCGAGTTTGGCTCATTGCTGTGCGCCCTTGCTGCTAATAGCCCCATGCTCATCGTCGGACGCGCAATTGCAGGAGTCGGGGCAGCAGGATGCTTCACAGGGGCCTTCTGTATTGTCGCGGTTTCAATCCCGCTAGTCAAGCGGCCATTCTATATTGGGATTCTTCAGTCAACATTTGGCATCGCCACTATCATTGGACCCGTACTGGGTGGTGCATTCACAGAGCATGTGACATGGCGATGGTGTTTTTGGATTAACCTCCCAGTTGGAGCTGTTACAATTGTTGCACTGGTCTTCTTTTTCAGACCACCTCCGCGCGACACGACGGACTCCCCCTCTGTTCGGGATAGATTAGAAAACCTCGACTGGCTGGGCGCTTTTCTCTTCGCCCCGGCGACAATTATGATATTTTTGGCTCTCCAATGGGGAGGCACCGAGCACGCTTGGAAGAGTGCTACCATCATTGGACTCTTCATTGGAGGTGCCGGCCTTGGTCTCATCTTCGCTCTATGGCAAATACGACGGGCTGACAATGCCATGATCCCACCTCGTCTGATCACCGAGCGAACCATGTTCTTCTCGTGCCTCAGCGAGTTCTTCGCCATGGGTGCCGTGTATACTTCAATATACTACCTCCCAGAATGGTTCCAGGTCATCAAAAATGCCTCACCCACGAAATCCGGACTGATGTACCTCCCCTTGGCGCTGTCAGATGTCCTCTCCGCAACACTGACAGGCGCCTCGCTTAAATATCTGGGATACCCAAATCCCTACATGCTTCTCGGAACAGCGCTGATGAGCATAGCAACTGGGCTGTTTTCTACCTTCTCCGAAAGCACCCCACACCAGCAGTGGATCCCATTCCAAGTCCTCCAAGGTCTCGGTGTCGGAATGACACTCTCAATGCCTTATGTTGCGACGCAAACGGTTCTCAAGCCTGAAGATATTCCTGTCGGTACCTCGTTGCTCCAATGCTTTCAGTTCTTTGGGGCTTCTGTGAACCTCGCTATCGCGGAGGCTATCTTCGAGAACAAACTTGTCTCACGACTTGACAGTTCGGGATTTGAAGGGCACGAGATAGAGAATATTCTCAATGCCGGCTCGGCGGAAGCGAGGAGCGTGGTTTCTGCGGCGCATCTCCCAGGCGTGTTAGATGCGTACAACTATGCGATCACCAGCACGTTTTACCTCGCGACCAGTGTTGCCGCTGTTGCATTCCTCCTTTCGCTTGGGATTCGCTGGAGGAGTGTCAAGCCAAAGCCCCAGGCTGTTTCTGATGCGGAGGTTGGGCCATGAGATCAGTAGGATACAGTTGTGACTGGTTGGTTCGAGTAGAAGGAATTGAGAAAGGTGGTGTTAGAATTCGAGCTGTGAAGGTCTTGAAGGTTTCGCAGATAATGATGCTTAGTAGCAAGAATTAGAATCTAGAGTATTTGGAAAGGTCATGCATTGCTAGCGAATTTCTGATGGAAAATATTAAAGCGTTTCTCATCGTACACTAGTGTTGGGATCCTTGTATCCTTGAAGGAGATACCGACTGATCGGGCGTGATATCGCGTGTTCCGCTTGCTTCTTCGCCGAAAACTCAACGGGCCGTTTCGGTTTTCCAAAGCAAACGCTTAAAGTTTTCCTGCAGTTCTGTCGGTGATCCGAATCCATTTTTTGCCTTTCCGCTCGTAGCCAGATGCACGAAGGGTTCGGAGAAAAACTTTGTCAGACACGGATTTGCCGCTCTCAAGGCGCATATCGTCGTAGGACATAAAAGGATTACGCCGAATACACTTCAGGATAGCGCACATGTTCAGTGCTGATAATTTCGGAGATCTGCACACCTGTAAGGCTGCCTGATCGACCCCTCGAGGGCTTTGCATTTTAATGGTGTATCGCACGGTTGATTCTGAATTTCCATGGCGGCGGGCAATAACAGCGGGTGGCCGCCCTCTCATGTACTCGTCGAAAATTAGACGACGTAGATAAGGAGTCAACTCCTTACTACGAGTGAGCCTGCCATTTGGTGATTGTGACGGCGTTGGTGGTGGCATTGTCGTGTAGTTGAAAAGGGGGAACTCCGCGGCACGCGTAGACGCGATGTAAAGACCCGCAAATACGTCAGTGCAGGAACTGTAACTGAGGCGCGAGACGGCTGCGCAAGGCATGGTCGAATTTGGTTGGGGCTTTGCGGGCTGCTTTTTTCAGCGTCACTTCACAGATCTCTTTGTAATGAGTTCATTCATACCCCCAACTAACTGGTCGTGGCGACATTGGTGGCCGGTCTTGATGCGTGCAACTAATTCCAGCAGGGACACTGTTCGGCCCTCCACATGGGCCGGATTGACCTCCATGTATGGAGTCAGCTTGAGCTGATGGGTTGTGATTCGTCATCATAGAATCTGCCGACCGTCATCAACGGATGATTGTATGCCCTCGAGTGCCCAGGTGAGCGGTGCGTACAGCACTGCAGGTTCGGGAATTCGCTGGGGGTTTGAGGAGCAGGAGAGCGCCGACGGGGCTTCTTTGGGAACAAAGTTTCATCTATGTCGATGTAGCGAGGCTGGGCTGGCTCCTTCTAATCCTACTGCAATATCTCATTGAGCCTTAGGAGAATTCAATGATAACTTGAAGGGGATCATATTTGCGGATTCAAGGTAACTCACTGCGACCCAAGCTCCATATTCCGCTCCAGTTCCACCATCTTTATAAGATGGAATCCCAAGACAGTCTTCATATTCTGAGTGAAAGTTTGTGACCTGGATCGTGGAGGTGTTGTATCGAAATACGTAGAAAGTGAAAGAGAAAATCAGTGTTGTGGCAAGGTTCTAGCGAGTTTCATTCGCTATCGGACTTGACGATATATATCCTTCCCGGGAAGATGAATGCAAGCAAGAGGAGAAATGCAAAATTCCGAAATGGAAGACCCTTCAAGAGTTGTCACCGCTGGAAACCCACGACTTCCACGAGGTCGACCTATTTCTGTTGTTCGTCATCGAATATTCCGTCTGCCGTGGGGTCCAAAGACCATGCCCTCGAGGCCCTCCTGCCAGGATCCAGCCGATCGGTCCAGCAACGTTCGCTCAGTATGCAACTCCGGAGCACCGGCCGGCTCAGCAATAGGAACATTCGACGATCACGCCGCGCGTCCTCTTGAAACTTGCTCTTGTTTCGTAATTTGTTCCTTTGCAACTGGTTGGAACGGGCGTAATCTTGGTCGCTTCCTCCTGGAGGCTGACTTTGGCATTAGAAGGGGGCTTTTCCCGTAGTTGACTTGGACCATCAAGGTGTCGATGCATACCCTGGGGCCAAATCCCGGGGCCGGTTCGATTGGTAGCTCTATGCACAGAGGAACTGCCCTTGCCCATCTCCGTGTGTCCTGTTTCCGGGTCGTTCAAGGGAAGAGCTGGGGCGCCACCGGGAATTGGGAAGCGGCATTGGTGGTTATGACCGTCCATAAATAGAAACCATGTAAACAAGAGAAGCTAGCAGCGCTTTTAATGTAGAGTCGTTAGCCTATTCCTCCGAGTAGTATATTTTCCAGATGGATTGTTGGGAATGGAAATGTATACCAAACCATGAGGCCACAGGCGCCAATGGGTTTCGATAGTTGGATTCCGCAATTAGATGATTTTATTCCAGGCATATGTGTTTTAGTAGGATGTTTAAGAGGTTGAGGAGATTGAGAAGAGAGAAGTGAATGTCAAAATGGGATCTCGTGACACCGTTTGTTGTTGTTAAGGAAGGCACCCGTCCGTGGTATTCGGAATACAACAAATACACAGAATCCCGGTGGAGCATAGCACAGAACCGGTATTCTGGATACCGTTTTCTTTTCCATCATGCCCTACTTGCTCCTCCTCTCCGCTTCTCTCTTCCTTCTCTCTCCCCATAACAGTTCTACCCACCATGCCCGCGCGATTCATTTTGCAGTCCTCCAGAATACGGTATCAACCTCTGCCCAGTCAGAGGGCTCGGGACCTCAGAACTGCAGACTGCAGACTGCGTCAGCTCGCGATGAAAGGAAGTCCGCCTCGTGGTGGCTCTCCAGGTCCCCCTCAGGGCTATCATGGCAACAGCAGACTTACAGTGAGTTGTATCGTCCCTCTAGCATGATAAATCACTGACCGTGTCCATTTAGAGTGATGTTCACTGCCTTGCTCCAACTGCGACAGACACACTGGACTTCGAGAAAAAGTCCTTGGGATCCAAGAAGAACATCAAACACGCGCCCCAGCGAGATCTTCGAGACAAAAAGACCAAGGCAGAGAGGGGCCAGGAAAATAAGCCGTTTCAATTTTGCTTATGTGATTTTGCCTGTGGCTTCCATGGAGGACAATGAGCTTGAATGATACGGGAATAATCCAAACAGTTCTTTTACCATGTTCCTCCTCTCCACTGTCGAGTTAACTGTTTATGATTGCTCTGCGGATCAATGCAAAGGCCAGACCGGGGCTGGCACTACGATTTCCATATCTCGCTGCTGTTGGTTATTGCTGTAAATGAAATACACAATCCGCTGGTCGATGGTGTTGAGTTTCAATACCGACCGCATAATCCAAATACCTCACCTTTCCAATTCAGTAGGTCCTCCCACTTATCATCTCTCACTCCATTCTTCTCCTCATCCTCTCCTCTCATCGTCACCACATTATTGGCAAGATTATATCGGTCCAGTCTTCGAATTCGCTCTAACAGTGGCCATGCAACTCCAAACAAGATCAACAACAGACTCAAGCGGTTGATGCAAACCCTTCAGATTCCAGCAGGCTTCAGTTCCTGCTTCAATGAATTCCGTGCCTGCTGCTGTGGGTATTTTGGCGTTTGTCCACAGTGATCATTCGTCCATGAAATGCCGGTGGAAAGGTTAGGCAATTCACAAGATTACTCTACCCGATGGTAACTCTTTGCTAGGAACCACGCAGCTCTCCCTTCTTGAGAAATTCTCGAGCAGACTTTGTGCTTTGCTCTACAATCTCGAAAGTGAATATTGTGGCGTAATAGTGGGGAAACTCACGCCGAGATAAACGTAGGTCAATTCCGCAGCATTGCAACTTTCCTCCAGGCCAATTTATGTCTCTTCTAAGTCTAAATATCCGGGATTTTGCGACAAATCAAGATCATTCGTTCCACGAAGCAACGTCGACAGCGCCTTGGCCAACCACGTCCGTCGTTTCGAGAAGGTACATCTTGGCACTTGGTCCACTATCCTGGGCTTCATACATGTTTCTACTGGCTCAATATTGCGGCTTCAACTCATTCTCGAACGAGACATTGCGGTGTGATCCTGGAGAAGCGACATCAATTCCCCATCGAAGTAAGTCGATACCACATTTGTAAGTTTATTCCTGGGATTGACATCTATCATTCAGGAGTGAAGGCGTCCTGAGACTCGATGCCACTTCGGCTTGGATTCGATTTGGCGTTGCGAACAGAGATGTTGATGCAGGGGGCTTCGAAGACCTGTGCTGTGTTCATTTTCGGTTCTCGAAAAGTACATTGCGATGGAATGGGGTCACCACTTTCTCGGGTGACATGGTGCAGAACACCGCAGCTGAATATAAATAAGGTCTACATCAGGGGTTCATTTCCACAGTTTGACAGTTCAAGAAGAAACCACCCTCCAAGTTTAACGAGCAGATTGACCGCGAGCGATGGCACCGAATGATCCTTTTTCAACCCAGAACGCCTTCCCGACTCCCCTTGCGGCACAACTGAGGATCCCGCCCATGTCATTCAAGCGCCGATTTGCACCCGCGTCTTTGCCGAATAGTCAAGAACCACGGCAAGACCAAAGCAAAGCTCAAGACAGAAACCACAAAGTGACCCTCAAATCCCATGGCACAATTATCAGGTCTTCCCGATTCATATTCCCTCCACGTGCCACTTTGTCACTGAACTTCCGCTCCCATTGCGCGTATGGCGGCTGATGGCCTGCATCAACTCATTTACGAATATTCTCTATACGGCTTTCCGCAATTCTCGAGGTAAAGCTTCCTGAATTTGCTCCCGTTAAGATTTTCCCTCTCCAGATCCCGGCAATCTTAATCACCAGTTGCTACCCTCTAGGGCCACGGGAGTCATTGTTCGACGTCTGTGAGTTCAACAGCTCGGCAGGGAGAAAAGGCCATCGAGCTCTCCGCAGTCTGGATTTCGATATTGTTGCAGTTCATTCGGGATCGGCCCAGTAAATTGTTGTCTCAATTTTTTCAACCTACGAGTTGATGTGACAATAGACAAAGCCGTGGAGCCTTATTTCTGAATTCAGCCTCGCAGGCTACCGAATGCTCTGAATCCAGCATTGTTGTCATTCAGGATGAGCCGTGGTACAGTCAGTTAGGTTCAGGCAAATATCCAATCACACCGGCTTCAGACTGAACTGGTGTAGATCCCGCACCGCACGCATAGTTGTCAATATGCTTCAGTTATCCTCTTGTTGTTGTTGTATTTGAAGGCTTAATGATACAGTTAATCTGAATTCTTTCTCCTCTGCTGATCCTTGTATTCCGGTCATTCTTCTGCATGGCTCGCACCGATCTAAAGCTCAAGCTGAAGGCTGCCATTCCCATGCCTATGTATTGTAGGCCATTTTTGTATTTCGAATGGAAAGCCTGCTGGTCAACAACCGGCCGACCCGAATAGGAAAGCCGCAGAGTGCAGTGAACGACACTGTCACCTTCCATCTCGACCCTCCTCACCTTTTAAAACCCCCAACTCCCCCAATCTCCAACTTCCACTACCTCTGGCATTTCACTTCCAATAGACTTCGTCCTGGGTACATGCCAGTGAGGGGATCCTACAACTGCCACAATCGAGAGCTTCCTCTACCACGGGAGGATCTTTCTTGTCGTCACGCCTCTGGCAACCCGAGCAGTGTCAACTCGGCCTGGGCCCAACATATTTCCTACCACTATCATCCAAAATTCGGTATTCGCGGGCTGTTCCTTGACAGGACAGTACCCGAACCATGGAGGAGTAAGATCCTTCCATCTCCTCCTTACCACTCATGCGATCCTGAGCGCGGCAACTGACCATCTTCACAGCCTTGAAATAGATCTTCCCTTTCCGATTCCTACCATCATTTCAGGCGAAGAAGCCTATATTCCAACTGAGAATGGCTGGGCTCGGCTGGTAGAACTCTTGCCTTGGCCAGTTGCAAGAGTCCAGCTTCAGCTCCCAGGCAGCCTCCTTCGGTATCTCAACCCTTTGCCTGTTCTCCGCGAGTTAGTCTGGCGAAATTACCAGGACATCGAACCCGGACGCATGTTCCAAGATTTTTGGAACTCCATCCGGAGTATCGAGGCTGCCCGGATGCAGATATCGGGCGTTCTGGCAGATAGCCCATGTGGCAGCTGTGCACGGGGCAATGGGATGTTCAGTCAATGTGTGAGTATTGCTGGGTACAATGGATTAAAGCATTGCGCGAACTGTCATCTCAACGGACATTGGCGCCACTGCAAATTCCCAAAACGACCACCCGATCCTTGAAAGGAATCCATCTCAAACGAACATGCGCCGGTCGATCAAGCAGGTCCCAGCCCGCCTCCGAATACTCCTGGTCCCACGACACCTTCACCAACGAATCGGGTTGCTTTCCATCCCTTGCCAGATAGGCCTAGCCCTAACGCACTCCCACTACCGCTTCGGGGATGCAGCGACTCATCGTCTTATGCTTCAAGTCTTAGCTCTCGAGCTGGCTCCGCAGTACCGGGCAGGTATCCTCCCCGATACGCACCTACTGATCCTGGTTCTCAACACGGTAGTCTTCACGAGATCCATGTCAGCGAATCTGCTGGTATTCAAGATAATGTGCGAGGCCGGGGTTCTCTACCCCCTCGCCCTCCTTCCTCGATAGCAGCGGCGAACACTACGATACAAAGGATGAGCACATCGCTCCCGACTCGCCCTGTCCGGCATGGCTCGCCTCGGGGCAATGAGAAAAATTCGAGCAATAATTGAAGAAATGATGGTGCGCCTCGACCTCCGTCTCGCGGCTTTCAATCGAACCAGAATGTCGAAAGGCACCGACCTTCTCCTCTGGACATTCATTTCACTTCTCTTTCGGAAATGCACCGTCGCATAACTCAGATTGAAATCCGACCTCATGAAATGGGCTCGTCTTATCTCAATCTGCACGAAGGAGTGAACACCCTGCGGCTCAATCAAAAGATGGCATTGAACCAGGAACTTGCTCTCCTTTGTACCCCTTCGCATCAGCGATCTCAAGGTCAACAGCGCAACTGAGCTTACTCAATTCAGGTATCGTGATTTCCTTTCCTGTAAATGTTGCCTTTCACAGTCCCCTTTTGAATTTCCGGCACCTTCAAGTTGTCAAGGAGGAGGATGGTTTCGGGCTTTCTTCTTCTTGTTGAAGCCGGCCATTTCTGGTCATCTTCATGGAACTGAAAGGGCGGCCCTTCTGCAAGATCATACAATCTACAAACATGTAGTATTTACAATGGAACTCAATTTTCTTTTCCTATTCTTTGTTTAGTGAGGTTTCCCAGTACAATATATGACCCCATTGATTAATGCATCACGGAGAAACCTTTCTACAGCCGTCTTCTTTCTACCATAAGTAGTAGCTGCCCCCACTCGATTAGTAGTATGATGGATCCATTTGATGCAGTACTATATATACTTCAAGGCTACTAGTGGAACCAGTACAGTTTTATATACTCATGAAGAAAAAGGAAATCGAAAATACTAGTAGTAGTAATAATATTGATCCGTGCAAATCGTACCGTTGCGAGTACAATATTACAAGGTTTACTTGAGCCTGGGGCAGGCATGGCCTTCGCAAGTTCCACCTGAGTAATCTCCACAACCTCCACCATCCACAACGCGAGATTGCAAACTGCGCAGCCATCATGGATAAGTAAGATTCTTTCCATATGTATTCTATCATTGCATTATGGTTATTGCGGTTACTGACGATATTAATAGTCCCTACAGTGATGGATATATTCGCATCCCGCCAATAATTTGGGGGGAGCAATCTCATCTCCCCCGGCTCTCGACGGCTGGGCCCGGCTAGTAGCCCGCTTGCCATGGCCCAGAGCAACAGATAGGCACTCGAACGGCTATCTGACGCAGCTTGCCAACCTACCTGTTGTCCGCGAGCTGGTCTGACAGAATTACCCGGATGGTGTTACTCCTCACACCATGTTCGAAAGAATCGGTGAATCTATCCAGGTCATGGAAAGCGTACGCATGCGAATCTCAGGTGCTGTTGTCGTCAACCCGTGTGGTGAATGCGCACAAGGCCGTGGAGCCTTTGGTCAATGCGTGGTGATCGTCGGTTATAACGGAGTTAGCCAGTGCGCAAGCTGCCACCTTGGTGGCCAGCGATGCAATTTCGAGATTCTCGCACCCGCTCTACCGTATGCGCCCACTTTTCGGGAATATTCCCAGGTCCCTTATGAGGATGAGGTATCCCGTTTCGAAGAGGATTTGTTTGGCCAGGGTTTTCAATTCACGTTGCGATCAGACATGGAACAACGGGCAACGCAGGTCCAAAGCCTGCTTGAAGTCTTCCGCCCTGTTTCGGATTATAGCTTTGACACCCGCGATCAAGAGGAAAGATTCAAGGTGCGGCATGAACTTGCCTTCATCCGGGAGCAACTGGGAGAGGGCTCACCTCATCACCGTCGCTAAGGATTCATATGCTGCTTCTTCCTCCGCCTCCTCCGTGTGTATGACCATTACTCTCTAATCATTCCCGGGTTGTTCCTCTTCTTGTCTTGTTTTATTGCTTCTTTGATCGAGATGGGATCAACTCCGGCACTGTCTGCATCTCGCTGCTTCCGTATCTTCTTCTTCTTCGCTCGTCAGGCCTATTGATTTTGTTAAATTTGCTTCGAGCTCTTTGTATTCGTTGCAACCGAAGTCTTCTCAGAGTGTAGTCAGATGCTACTCTGAGTCGCCCGATAACCGCATCTCGACTTTTGTCCTACCTTAACGCCTTGCACGTAGTTGCGAATCCTTCAAGTTTCCATTACCCATTTTTGAACCTCGGTGACTTTCATCAGGTCCAGATAATTCCGAGGCTTCTTGGTAAATCGTTCGGTAAAGAAGGCTTTTACAGCGGTCCCCAAGTATGCAGTTACTCCGTCTTGTAACAGTACCGCTGTGGGAAGGCTATAAAGTAGTAGTAGTCATGTATATATGTTAGGTAAGTATGGCAAATAGAGTTCGACTTGGAAATAAATTGTTCGTGGATCCCCATATAGGACCCATCTGCTCCAACACCCTCTCTTAACAATGAGAAAAAGCATGAACCCTCTTCCAGGAGGTAATTCATGGCACAGTTACAGCGCTTGCTGATCATCAGTGGGTGCATTTAGCACGCGTCGCCTTTAAGTTTCTGCTGTGTTTATTGAAAGTTCTTGAGAAAGGGAGTTTCCTGCGTTGAAATTCGCTCTTGGCAGGTTTTTTGAATGAATTATATATCCCTGTTTTTCTTATCCTCCCAGTTCGACAAGCTAATATTCTTGGCTAGATAAACTTTCGGAGCTGCCTCGTGGTGGGGCGAAAATAAGCGCCTGCATATTCAACACCTCCACATAGAGTAATCTCACCGGGGAATTCCTACAGCATTGTTACATGGTGAGAACCTAGTTCCTCGTGATTCCATCCACTAAGATTCAACTTTACACCACAACAAATTAGACGTATGCAGTCAGATCTCGGAATGGGAAGAACGAGGGGGACTGGAAACGAGAATGAACTACTAGCCTGATGCGGAACGAGACTGAAAAAGTACCAGCGCTTCAACGCAACATAAATCAAGCATCAGCGGGAGGAATCAATATATTTGACTTTGGTTTAACCTTCACGATTTGAAATTATCTCATGCAGCTTATTCTTATTACCAGGACCCCGTTCTGAATCGGGACTACAATTTGTCATGCTGCAGCCTGAGCTTTGTTGGTATTCTTGGCGACTCTTAGGATAAGCAGAAGTCATAGTATTTATATTTTGCTGTCTTCCTTCAATGCTTCCCAGTGTCAAACTTCCAAGCTTACAGTTCCCAATTTTGAAATTTGTCAATATGTCTAAGCCTATCATCGTCGTTTTCGGGGCAACTGGAAAGCAAGGTGGCTCTGTCGTCAGCAGTCTCTTGGCGGATAACGCAACTAGCAAATTCCACGTTAGAGCTATTACGCGCGACGTCACAAAGACTAGTGCTAAAGCCCTGGCTTTGAAGGGCGCGGAAGTTGTTGCGGTTTGTCTCCTTTAGAATATTCGGTTCAGAAACCAACTGATTCTGAGATTTCCATGAAAGGCGGATTTGAGTGATAATGAATCCGTCAAAAAGGCATTGAAGGGTGCGTATGGAGTATATGCTGTTACCAATTATTGGGACCACCACAGCGCCGATCTTGAATTCGCTCAAGGTAAAGGCATCGCCGATGCTTGCAAGGTGAGAGACTTTTTTCAGAAACGGACTTTTTCTTTTATTTTCTTCAAATTATGCATGGCTGATCTGACAACGAAAATTTAGGAAGAGGGTATCCAACACTTGGTATGGAGCAGCCTACTAAATGTGACGAAACGTACGTACCATGTGTCTTGTAAATACCGTGTACTGAACCTTTATTTGTACTAGTATCCGGCGGTGTTCTCTCCCAAGTACATCACTTCGACAGCAAAGCAAAGGTCGAAGAATACATCCGCAGCGAAGGTATTCCTGCCACATTCATGCTTCCAGGCTTCTACATGTCAAATATCGCCGGCGGTAATTTGCGGAAAACGCCAGAAGGTATATGGAAACTTGCTCTTCCGATTCCTGGCGATAGTCCGATACCTCTATTTGCGTCTGAGTATGATACAGGAAAGTTCGTTAAGAGCATACTTCTCAAGAGATATGAGACCCTGGGCAAGCGGATCTATGCTGCTACGAAGTATTATACGCCGGTCGAGATTCTGGCCTCTTTTAAAAATGAGTATCCGAACGCTGGCAAGGATGCTGTTTTTGCAGAGCTGCCACATCCAGTATTCAAGAGCATTCTCGCCGGTGCGGGGATGCCTGAGATTGCTCAGGAGGAATTGCTGGAAAATATGCGGCTGATGCCAGAGTTTGGATACTACGGCGGGGAGGCACTTGATTCAAGTGTTGAGGTAGGTCTCCATTTTCCACATAACCCTTTTTCATACATATTGACGAGTACGCTGACAACGCTTGCAGATTGTTGATGAGCCCCTCACTACATGGAGTGCCTATATGCGTAAGGCACAAGTTTTTGCTGATCTGGATTAAGGAACATAGTGAAGGTTCTCCCTGTTGCAGATCACAGAATCCACCGATTAAATATTCCATGCCGTATGACCTCGTAGACCCAAAGCCAAATCTCCATTAGATGGGCAGAGTATAAGAGTGACTCCAATAATGAAATCACCGAGCCCTCGCTCTAAACCGAAAACAGACATCTCCACCCTCAAGCATCGTCTATATTCCTCAGATTAACTCGTTTCGGAGTATTGAAACAACTCCTGCTCGTTGCGATTACCAGTAACCATGGCGCTCTAGAATCTGCATGATCGGCATAGTTCGTCAAATCTACAGGTCTTATCAAGATTCCAGTCAATCATTCAACCTGTTCCATTTTTGGATTGGCACCAGAGCCATGGAAGATCTACGTTATACCAGGGACCCAATATGAAGCGCCAATACGGGTCACCACTCGGCCACCTCCCGAAGCGAATCCAATCCAATCCCCACAAAACAAGCTAGCAGGCACCACGCAGGGACGAGCTTCCAAATCAACGATCCAGGGAAATCGGACAGTAGGCTGGGGTAATTTCCAGTACCATTCCCCCGCAAAGCCTAATTCCTGGATGTGGCCATGGCGATTGGACGGGCGCCGCAGTGACGTGGAATACTCGGGCGGTGGCGGGCCATCTTGCCTCCACCGAGACCAACTGTCGCAACAGACGACTCCAAATCCTTCCAATTAGCCTTTCTATAACTACTTTAGGCTTGACGCGAAAACGATCTGACGCGAAAACGATCTAGCGCTAACGTATTCCTATTTCCCCCGCCTCGGCCTCCCCTATATACCGAAGGGAATGTCGCCCCCAACGCCTCTGTGAGCGAACGAGACGACAACGCCATGCCCCCAGCTCTTGTCCTTCTCACCGGCCTCACCTGTGCACCTCGGATGCCTCGCTCATCATGGAAGCATCCGAGGAAGATGCGCCGTCGTTCTTCACGCCTGGCAGCGGGAATATCGCGCTCGGAATTGCTATAGTAGTCTTCATGACTATCGCCCTGTACAACGCGCTCGAGTTATCCATCCTCATCCCTCTAAGCTTCCGCCGCTATCGCAGCCTCTATTTCTGGTCCCTCATAACCTCTGCTACGATCGGTGTAATACCCGCTACTATCGGGCCGATGCTTCAGTTCTTCAGCCTCGCGCCGCTATGGCTGTCTATGTTTTTGTCGAATTTAGGGTTTGTGATGATGGTTCCAAATCAGTCGGTGGTTCTCTACTCACGGCTTCACCTCGTCTCGCAAAATACACGCGTACTCAGCGCCGTGCGCTGGCTTATATTTGCAAGCATTTTCGTTGTTATTCCGACCATCACATTGAATGTCGGCGACGCTTACCTCCCAACAAACAAACACTGGGCACGTGGATTCGAAGTCATCGAGCGACTCCAGGTGACGTGGTTTGCTGTTCAAGAAACGACAATATCCAGTATTTACATCTATGACACTATCCGAATCATGAAGCTCAGTCCCGAAACCGATAAACGGCGCAACAAGATCCTATACGAACTATTGGCGGTTAACGTGACGGCGATCCTGATGGATGTGACATTTGTTGTCCTTGAGTACGTTGGATTTTATTTCACGCAGGTGATTTTCAAGGCTGCTGTGTATAGCATCAAGCTGAAGCTTGAGTTTGCCGTGTTGGGCATGCTGGTATCCATTGTACATTCACGTGGATCGTGGCAGGCAGAAGGTGACACTTCGAATTTTTCATGATGAACAGAAAAAGAAGAATAAAAACAGAGATAAATCGATGTAGATATAAATTAACAATATTAATCATTCTAATCAAAACATTTAATTACTCAGCCCTCAGCAATACAATGGTTTTCTTCATCTTCCGCCGCCGTCGGATCGGGCACGCGGCTCGGCACTTTTCACCCGCCCCGCATTCCTCGCTTTTTTGCGGGGAATAGCGGACCGCGCGTCGGAAGTGAACCGAATATTCGGAAGGGCTGTCATCGTAACACAGTAGCTGCAAGTGAATACCAGCAGTAAGAGCCCGATCTTACTTCATTCCTAGCACTACTCGTACTATCGGTGTTGGTAAACAGTGCCGTGTTCCGAACGTGCGGGGCTACCCCGCGAGACCTGGTTAAGTAGCTAAGGTTATATATATCCGACTGACCATCACCCCAGTTCACGATTTTCACAATCCCCCCTCTCTCACGATAACAAAAAGTCACGATGTTAGGAAAGATCGCACTCGAAGAAGCTTTCGCGCTGCCGCGCTTCAAGGAGAAGACAAGATGGTGGGCGGGCATGTTCGCCACTGACGTCGACAAGCACGTCGCAGAGATCAACGACGTCGACTCCATTCGACTGAACTTCGGCGAGAAGCACGGTGTCGGTTTGCAAATTCTCTCATACACTGCGCCGGGCGTGCAGGATATCTGGGACCCCAAGGACGCACAGGCTCTGGCTGTCGAGATTAACGACTATATTGCCGAGCGTGTCAAGGCGCACCCAGATCGTTTCGCCGCATTCGCGTAAGAACCCTTCTTTCTAAAAGTCCGATCTGCGAAAAGTGAATCAACTAACAACATCAAAGGACACTTTCCATGCACGACCCCGAAGAAGCTGCCGCAGAGCTCCGCCGCTGTGTGACAAAGTACGGGTTCCTCGGTGCCTTGGTGAACGATACACAAAGAGCTGGGGCCGACGGCGATGACATGATCTTCTATGATAACGAGAAATGGGATGTCTTCTGGTCAACATGCGAGGAGCTTGATGTCCCCCTATACCTGCACCCGCGAAACCCGACCGGTACGATTTACGATAAGCTCTGGGCCGACCGCAAGTGGCTCGTTGGACCTCCTCTTCTTTCTTCGCACAGGGTGTTTCGTTGCATGCGCTGGGCATGGTGACGAACGGTGTCTTCGATCGTCACCCCAAGCTTCAGATTATTCTCGGCCACTTGGGCGAGCACATCCCGTTCGATATGTGGCGGATCAATCACTGGTTTGAGGATCGGAAGAAGCTGCTTGGTCTGGCGGAGACTTGCAAGAAGACTATTCGCGAGTACTTTGCTCAGAATTTGTGGATTACTACCTCAGGTCATTTCTCGACTACTACGCTTAACTTCTGTATGGCGGAGGTTGGATCTGATCGTATTCTGTTCAGTATTGATTATCCCTTTGAGACGTTTGAAGATGGCTGTGATTGGTTCGATAATGCGGAGTTGAATGAGACCGATCGGTATAAGATTGGGCGGGAGAATGCGAAGAAGCTGTTCAAGCTGGGTGCTTATAAGGATAGCACTGCTTAAATGTATTGATAGTACGAATTAGAAACTTCGATTGAATCGATTTGAGCAAGTATTTGATTATATTTTGTGCAATAAACTACTATCCGGCTTGGCTTGGACCTTCATGAAGAAATAGTACCAAGAACGGCAAGATAATCGCCGAGGGGAAAACTAACAATACCTCCTCGCTTCCTGTTGATTGAAAAGTTAAACATGGTATAATTGGGGGTTTGATCTAGTGATGATATCAACCTCGGTGAGGAAACAAGGGTAATTAATGTCCATCTACCAACCTGTTGTATTTTCATCAACGCCGTAGGTGAATCCCACCACTTTTCCTCGCCACGATGTCAGTTAGCTAGACTTTCATGGATGAACTGAGGCTTATTTTCTTTCCAGTGCGTGCCGAAGACCGCGGAAAAAGGACATCATGCACTCGCCACCCCTCCCTTCCCTTGACTGCCCCATGCTTATTCCAAAACTCCTCCTCCAGGTCTGTAACAAGAACATTCAGTCTTGCGTCTAGATGACGAAGTCGCCTTGCAAAGTCATTCAAGGCGGGCACAAACTTCTTTAGAACAGTCTGTTCGTCATCCTCCGTTGGAGTCCGAAATCCCACCTGAAGATCCCGCAGTAATTTATACAAAGCATTCACACTGGCTACCTCCTTCACATATGCCTCAACCAGTTCAATCACTGATTCTAGCGATGCGACAGACAGTCCCTCGAACAGCTTTAGACTCGATAGGCCTTCCTTAGACAGAGCTGTCCACAGAGGGTCTAGCACGCGGGTTTCCGCTTTCCACCTTCCTCGCGTATTCCTGTGAAGGTCGCTGGGCTCTTGCTCGTCCTTGTCGACATAGGAGGACATCCCTGCGCCGTAAAAGAGCTCAGCTAGTCGAGAGGCGTGACTTCGTCCGACTTTGTCATGGGCTTGATAGATGCCAAGCCAGGCCGCTTGATAAAGGGAGAGTATTTTATCTACTAACTTCTTCTCCTCTGTAATTGCTTCTTTAGAATCCAATGGGACGTTTTTCAGACTCGCCGGGGAGTCAATACTATCCCTAGGCCGCGTGTTGAGCTCCTGCTTGCTGGTGCGAAAGCTAAACATTTCCACGATCTTGAAGAGGGATTAAGGATTCAAGGTAAGAGAATTTTCGGAAGTTGAAATAAAATCGTAAGCAGGATGAAAAACAAGACGGTCAACTTGTCAATTAATAGGCAGCCAGGCGGCATAGTCAGATTTCACCTCTAGAAGTGGCCTTGCTGTTCTTGGCATAAGCCGCAAAACTTCCCACTAGGCAACCTATTAACGACCAAGCTTTCAGTTTTAATGGTCATCAATCTGGGGAACCGACTGAGCGGCGTAACTCCAGGCCCTCGTTTACCTGGGGTTTACCGTATTTTACTATGCCTCAATTGTAACAATCGGGGCAAGGCACTGTTGCCTAGTCTGCCCATTCGGGACTAGTGCGGCTATCGTGGCTGTCCTGCGAGACCACACCTCCCTTGTTTCCCTTTTTGCCCTTCTTCATACCTCCTATATGCTGCTTTGTGGGAGGGTCATGTGGAGATTGCACAGCCGCTGTCGAAGAAAGGTTGGAGAAATTCGCCGATGGCAGCATTCTGGCCCCAATTTGACAGACATATTGCCCGCATATCTGAGCAAGTGTGTCTATCTCTCGGCAATTGAAATAAACGTGGATGTGTATACTTACCGCAAGGCATCACGTGATTGAAAATACAGTAGCAGCAACATTTCGTGGGCAGTCTTATGTCTATGCTCAAGTACGGCAACTTCAATCAGCCCCAGAGCGGTAGTAAATCATAGCGTGTGTATTACGCAGAGTACAGTACCGCCCGATATTGCCTTCCCTATCCGGAAACAAGAGTTGCTATTTGAAACCCTAGTCACTTGATACGCTAAACATAATATGGATTAAGCGTAAATTACCAGTTTTAAATATACATAGTAACGATACCGGTTTTCGTACCTAATCTTATAGATACAGACTCTAGAACCTGGACGACTAGAGGGCTTCACCCAAACCAAGCAAATTCAGCGATCATTAGCAATCTGCCAACGTCCCTCCTCCATCCCTCAGTTGCTTCACAGCAGAGGGTTTGAGGCTATCCTGGGTCTCCATTTACGGTCAAGTCGATAGGAAAGGCTTGACAGTAAGATTTGTTCCGTGATTACCATTACGTATTGCCATGTGGCCGCTTCGGGTGTTCACTAGGTATCAGGGATTCCTGGCTAAACCCTTACAGAGTACTCCGTACAGCTCTACGTTACCATTTCCCTTAGACTTTTGGTGATGATGCAGATCAGCCTCTGATAGTCAACTCAGAAAATTGGCAGTATGCCCCTACTCCTGGATACTTCGGTAGCACACCGGCGACCTTGTACCGCTGTGCTCCTCTAACTATCGAAGACCCGGGGAGCTATCTTTTTACAGGGACAATACCTTCTCGGAGTTCGTGTTGAACATCTGCATAATATAGCAACGAGACAACTCTCCTCAGAGCTATCTAGCGTCTGTGTCGGGAACAAAGAGACGCTATTTCAAACACTAGTAAAATGAAGCGCTGATCCTGATATAGGGTTCCTATATTAGAAGCGCTAGTTGAGTGGTCGTCTTGTAAGTGGTCAGTGTTTGCTTCAAGACCCACACAACCCCAGTAAGACAACTTGGACTAGTCCGTATTTAGTTAACTATTGAATTGACTATTTAATCATTGATAATATTATTGCCCCTTACGTGCCAAGTCTTCCCTAAAGCAATCATTGTGTGCCTTTGCATAGGTTCATCAAGTGACGAAACTAGCTTTGTCTTGCTTTGATAAAGGAGTTTTCTCCACTCTGAACGCTTGCCTAGTCTTACAGAAAAGTATAAAAGCTCAGATCTAACACCATTGGAAGCCGTAGAGGTCACAGTTGGTGGTAAAGAACCTTATTCATCTAATATGCATTTCCCTCTAACCACTCTCTTTTCGTCCGTGCTCTTCGCCATTCTGGCTTCATCCAAGGTTGTCTCTCTCGACAAAGATGTCAGAATGTGTGACGACAGTTTTGGTATCCCGTCGGAGTTGCCCGGTGGTTTCTCCAATGTCGATTGTGACGAAGAGAACGTAAAGGAAGCCGAAAACCTCATACAAGTTCCCGGGGCAGAGATTTTGGGGGCCACTATGCAGGCGGTAGCCGGTGAGAAGTATGTCTTCTTCGTGGTGAGTGATGATTTCTATTACGCGGCAGTTATGACCAACAAGACACCAGTGTTGCTGATATTGAATATAAAGGTTCAGGATGGAGTGGTTTATAGAATTCCTATCTTGAGACAGCTGGATGGTTATATAGAGGTACTGGAAGAGGAAATCTGCCATGTGAGTGATAATATTCAATTTTGACCCTGCTTAGAATGATGTTCCTTCTACGATCTAGTGCTAACAGAGGTGTTCACTATAGGATGTAAGTCATCACCGTTTTTGAGGGTTATATTCGTCTGTGCTAATGAAGAGGAAAGCCTACTCCGCCATCGCAAACTGTGCGAAACTGTGTCCATTAAAGTCCGCCCTTAACTATGCGAGACATGGCGCCATACCATCCACTTGAGGCCAATTATCAAGCTCTCATACTCAGGTGACAGGGAGCCACCGATTCATTGCCCTCTTTCCGTGATGTCGTTTTGTCCGCCTTGATATTGGGTACCCCTTCTGTCGTAAGGGTTTCTGTCCTCGAAGAGGAGGTAAGGCCGATAAGCTGAGCTGGGCCAGGACGCTTTCCGCGAGAAGATATTTCCCGGGTGTAGGTACCACGATTTTGAATAAATCTATCCCTGGAGGAGGAAAGCTGGCAGGTTGGCGACAGTCGCTTGATTTGCTAGTTTGCTATGTATTCTTCTGGTCGTCCAGGCTTCCAGAGACTTGTATCCATACAGATAGGTACAAACCGCGGTATCGTTGCTATGTATGTTCAAAACTGGTAATGTAGCAACTCTGTGTTTCCGGATAGGGACGGCAATATCGGGCGGTACTGTATCTGACAGGGATATTCAAACATCAAAGTGAGGCATTCCTGTATTGAGAAAGCAAATCAAACAGATATGATAAAGGGTCTTGGCCGAAGTCAAGGCCTTCCTCAAGCAGGAGGACGCCGAACAGGTCGCGAGGGAAATAAATGGACAGCTGAACAGCATGGCCAAAGATATGGCGGATAGAATGACCGAAAGCATGGCGTATAGCGTTGGGGCGCTCGCAGGTGACCCTCCCGGCCTAACTGGTACGAGCGAGGGCGAACTAGCCCGCGATTCTTTTCTAAGAATCCTTATAGATCTGGAGACCCTCAAGGAACGCGTTGAATCACTGGAACCCCCCAGTCAAGCTATCTCTGCCCCTGTCAGCCCTGAATGTTCTGTTACTGCAATAGTGGCAATAAAAGCGTCTTTGATTTCTCACCTCAACTCTCGCTGGGACGACCATGAATTCCGGATGTACATTGACATGGGAACTCTTAGCACTCGCATGCATGCTCAAATACACGACACGCAACGATCAAACGCAATGCCTATGCCTTTCCCGAAGGAAGAGATGCCTTTTAAACAGCAATGGTATTTTCAAAATCTGGATCAGCAGGACATGGATTCCGCCTGTCAGGATTTGTACGACGGGGGCAAAGCACACGCGCGAGGTACTCTTATATAGTTGTCTTTCATCGTACCCAGTCCGTGACTGTCGAAGAAGGAACTTATTTGATACTATACCAGTATTATATTATACTGCTAGTAGCAAGGAAACATGGAGGAGATGGTCTAACGAAGAACCTGACATTTGTTGCAAGAATTTGGGAAGGAGCGTTTTCCACTGCCGGTGACATTTTTCCAAGTCAATGTTTCTTTCTCCTTTCTCCTTTCTCCGCATCCTTAACTCATATCGCGGCGACTGTAACAATAAGTATCTGAATTACTGACTATCCGATCTTTCTCAAACTGACACGATCCCAATTACTTTGCAAGCGATCGCAATGCATGCTCATTCCGAAGGAATGAAGGCGAAAAGTCCTGCCCTTGGCAGGCGTACTCGCGCATTTTCTGCACCCACGCCAATGATATCGGCGAGTGGGATTTGTCGCCTCATTACAGCCCTGCGGTTCATCTCAAGCTAACTACTCTCAAGGTTACCAGCGGGCAGTGATTTCAAGAATGAACTCGCCTCGCAATACCTAGATGGAACCTCTGGGACTCAACCTGCTCACGGCAAGCGACCAAATCAACATCGATGACAATTTTCAGGCTGATTTGGAGGTCGCGGTGAAAGCGGAAGTTGCGAAACAAATGGAAATCATGACAACCCAACTAGCCACCAGAATCATGGCGAGATCGGGAGGTCTACCCTATGTTTATACCCCAGAAATTCAGATCAGTGACATTGCGGATCGAGTCTCTCGAGCTGCGGACAGAGCATCTGAAATCTCGCCTTTCCATTGTGGGCCAAAACTTTCTCAACGTGGGCCAGGATATCTGGAACTTGGTGTGGTCCACATTGTGGAACTACCTGGGCATGAGCAATCCCGGGTTGTGACCCAGCCCCGGCGACCGAACGAGGATCGGGACATCCAAGGCTTCGTGGGCGCGTCAAGCGTAATCAATCCAGGAACCTGCCCAGAAGCGTTCTAAGTCTCCAGAGCACCGCCACGAAGACATATTTCATCATTACCTGGTTAGGTTACGGTACCTGTGTCTCCTCTTTCCTCGCTCTTCGCCTTTCTCTCCTCTCTCCTCTCTTTTCTATCCCCTAGCTTTTCCATAGCACTCTGATGGAATCAGTATTTCCCCATCTATTTGCTCTTGACAGATAGCTTCAGTTCTAGCCAGCCTGTCATCAATTACGATCCCTCTCCCATCCTTCCAACCTAAATCCGTTAACTTGCCCTCTTCTACCCTCCAACTTTAGCGTCCCCTACTGGGACAGACAGAAGTATGTCCCATTACCAATGGAGCGTGACTAGTTTTGGATCTCGAGGATGGTGAGATGGTGTATGGAGCATTGGTGTTATTATGGTCGTTGATATCGTTGTTCTTGTCGTGCTCGTTGCTGCTGTTGTCTTTCCTTGCTCTTTCCTTCCTATGAATCCCTTGTTTTTCCCAAGCCTGATTGTTAATTCCTTTATGGTATGGTGGTTTATGATAGTAGGAGTACTTACCCACCTTACCTTAGGGACCCACTAGAATGAGACCGTTATCTCTGATCATATATTGGGGATATTGACACCCTGGGCGTTTCTGTTTAGCCACTGATTGATCTCAAGGGCTGTTGCGATTCTGTAACACAGTCTCGTCTTTATAATAGAAACGCCCGAATTTTGTCCCGCGTAGCTTTCGAATTGGGACACGACGCGATCAATTAGGAATTTGTGAGTCGGTAACGGAGCAACGGTAGGCGCGGGAGGACGCTTTCGGTCGGATCGCCCGGTCGGCCGGGAATTACATCAAGATTGATTCCTAGCAAACTAAACTAAATTGGAACTAGCAAGGCCTTAGGGTACCCTTATCCCTTCTAGAATACCTTACACATCAACTTTATTCTCTGAGCTTAGTGCTTACGCTCAAATAATCCAACCTCCCTCCCGCGCGCTCACACGAAAACTTCTAGCTCTCTCCAACTTGTGCAGGGGACAGTCCTGCTCGCCAGAAAATAACCCAATACCCACGATGTCGCCATCCTTCGCCCCGGAACAGAATGGCACCTGTTCCATGAATGTTGACGATAACATTGAGCGGTCGGGACTGAAGCCAACAATTCGGCCCTTTGCCGGCCGGATCGGTGGCAATCAGGGATTAGTGCTGGACCCCAGCGATGCGAGCAATGCGGAGTTACTGAAGCGCATGCCTGACGCGGCGCCGCTGATGAGCTTAAAGCAATCATTCAACCTGACAGCATTCTCCGATATCGATCTTTGGAGGTTCGGTGCAGTTGAATGTGTAGGTGAGCTTTTTTGGGCAGCCTCGCGCTTATGCCACTCTGTTTCCGAATTCCAGAAGAAAAGCTCGCTCATCCAGAACCTAGGGACGATGATGCTCGTTTTTATGACTTCATGGCTATCTGCACACTCGCCTATCCCGACAACCACTCTCCCTGCATCCAGCGACTCCGGTGGTATTTATTCCACAGCGACTTTCCTAGGACCTTTAGTTGGGGGTATTACCAACTGGCTATTTCTGACTCTTTTTATCTTCTCCTTTTCTTCAGTCAGTGGCGCTCATCTCAACCCGCTAATCACAATGGCCACCTTTTTTGCGCGACTTATCTCGATTCCTCGAATGGTGCTTTATCTTGCGGGGCAGATTATTGGTGGCACATTGGCTGGTCTCATGCTTCGAACCTCGTTCGGCTCGCGCAACTTTGTGGTTGGTGGGTGCGATATCGATACCTCGCTCGTCCCGACGGGAGAGGCTTTTGTATTGGAATTTATTTGCTGCTTGACGCTTTTGTTTCTTTCTTTTGGTGTAGGATTGGACCCCCGGCAGTCCAAGGTTTATGGCACTGCCCTCTCACCGTGGCTAGTAGGACTGTCTTTGGGTGTTGTCAGCTGGGCATCGGCATTCACACGACTGGGGTATGGAGGAGCTTGTAAGATCTTTCTTTGATACTGATTTACCGTCGCTTGTTCTTAGCTTTTGCTGATGAATCTTAGCGTTAAACCCTGCAAGATGTTTCGGTGTCTATGTTGGCTCGCATTTTCCCGGATACCATTGGATTCATTGGGTAAGCTTTCCAGAAAGCTTCTGCCGGTTTCTTTAATGATTCAGAAATTCTGACATGGTTGTTGATCTAGGTTGGTCCGATTGCTGCATCAATAGGCCATGGATTAATGTACTATCTTGTTCCTCCATGGGCAGTAGTGACCAATGAGTAATCAAATATCAATGTTGCCTAGAATACTGTGTATGTCTAAATAGAGAACTTGTGTCAGACCTTGACCTGCCTTAAGAAGGCGAAACAGCTTTCAGTCTTGATCATTATCACCCCTATCACCTCCATCTCTGGAACATCTCAATCATCTCCCTCCCCTTATTCCAGCAGGGCCCAAATATATAGTAACATAAGCGTCTTCGAACCTTGAAGGTTTCGAAAAAGAAACTGATCCTGGAACTCCGGCCTGTGCGGCTTTAAGGCTTTCGGGATTTGCATATATCTCTGCAGAATATATTCTAACTTCAAGGTTTGAGTATTAGTACGAGCCTTGGAAGCTAGCCGAAACATGGTTCAAAGTCACTTCAAGTTCCCAACCTGATGCGGTTTTCAGATCTCATAGTGCGTAGTACGTACACAACAACCTACTCGTACGGTTTCGATTCAAAAGAACTGTATAGCTCTAGGCCCAAGTCAGTGTACTTTGAAAACTGAAAATAGTAAATGCGACAAACATCGAGTCCAAATCGCACTCTCGAAGTACGACCGATACTTTTGCATGATGTAGTTATCCTGGACTGCGCAATACAGCCTATTGACTAGAGATACGCGAAATATATTCTAAGTATAATACTCTACTACCAGGGCCACTCCTAGCAACTTCCGAGTGGCTGGTATAGGTATTGGGGAAGGACCCGCTCTCAGGGAGACGCTCTCCAAAGTGAATACCTCCTCTTTCTCTTGCTCTTTCAACCACACCACAGACATATTTTATCTCTAACTCTCGACGGATCCATTTATCATAGTTAGAAATACCGAACAGCAGGATTCCCACTCTCAACCAGTTCGGATTACACACATTCTTCCAGGGCCGCAAGTGCGACGCGCCGCTTTTGGCGGCCGTCCTCGGAGCAAGTCCGCTCCAGCGGCGGTGCCACGGGTGAGTGGCACTAAACCCGATTAACCTCAGGCTAAGTATTTCTAAAGTCGCTGAGCAATCTGCGTTACAAAAACGAGTCCGAATCCCAACACATGAGATGTAATCAAGCCAAATCTTACTCCCAAACCACGTACTAATGTATTGAAAGCACGCTGTGACGACAAACTTGACAATATCCGGAGGGGGAATGGACTGGATATCTCGTTTTAGCCGCCGATTGGCAATGGATACTATCCAGCTGAGGGAGCTGCCGATATCCCCGGAGAAGTTCCATTCTGGCCACGAGGATATCAGTTCTCTTCAAGCCCGTGTCGCAGTCCTCGAATATCAAGTGGAGTCCCCTAGAGCTCATTCGACCTAATATCGGACGGGGCGTTTAGATCACATTATACCACTCTTGAGTCCCGGGTCCGTATGACAAGGCATTCCACCTTGCTGATTTTGCAAGTCTGCTCCCGCGCGCATGGAATCGGTAAGTGGCATCTGCCGACTGAGAATAGATATCATGCTAATTATGTGTCAAGTCCTCAGAAAAGAACTCCGATAGTAAAGCAAATGCCGAGTATAGTATTGAGTCCCAGGTGCTCAGTGGTAGGCAACTTGAATCCTCACTCGAAGACTATGGGATGTACTAATTGTTTTTATCGAACAGGCTCGGTCGGCCATGCCCGTGACAACCAGCACGAACTCAGTGATCCTTTTGTGACCCCGGGCCGCTCTCTGCGCCAGACCTATGAGCAAGCGCCATATGGTGTCTTTGGAGCCGTCCATCAGGACGAGAGCAACACCGAGGCCCGTCTTCTGGCCCTTGAGACCCGTTTAGCTGCCCTTGAACGCCTGGTACAATTAATGGATAACTCTGGAGCTTCCCCACTCCATCGAGAGCTGACCACTGCCTCCGAAGAGGCAGTGAAGAAATCTGTCCTAGCCTACGTCAACTCCCGCATCGAGCGGGTTACTGCGCATATATCTTCCCGAATGGATCGGCGGGATTCCCTTGTCGATGCCCAGCTGGGCCAACTGGCATACCACATCGGGAACATCGTACAGGGGCTGAACAATCTGGCCCAGTACGTGGCCAACTTCGTCCGGGGACTGTCGCGTCCTAGCTCAGAAGGCGTATGAATACTCCGAAGAGTTACGAGGCTTTTAGGAATGCCCATCTTCCATGCTCAACAACATTCTGCTTTAGCGATCCTTGATTTCTGTGTTCACAAGCTGTCTCCTTTCCTCTGTGCCTTTTTCCTCTGTACTTCCTCACTACACTCTGTTTCTATCTGTGTTTTATCTTTGTATCTCTTACAGAGGATATGCCGCAGTAATCTATGATAGCCCATTAGTAGGGTCTTTCCATCATTTCTGTCCTGACTCTAAACAGATTAGCATAGCTTTATACTCAGTAGTTCCCATTGATATACACAGTAGGTATTCATGGACAATGGTGCTCCCAAAATGAGGTACTCTGATAATAGTTAGTAGCCAATGAACTCATTATTTGCTAAATGTAAACTTCATCGCTCTCCATTCAAATGTATTGGTGGGGGCGAATATGCTTACTACGTTTAGATTCTAGCTTCGCTTTGTCTTCTTTTTCTCCTTCATGAAAATTCACAACGAATATTTCATGGTTTTTAATCTCCAGATTGCAAGCACGGTGTATATGCTAGTAATAAGTACCTTTTGCTTTTGGAAAGAACCTTGAGATCTTGAAAACTTTGCAAGGATTTCCAAGCTCTGCGAGACACTTGTGTACTATCACCTAGTACGAACATGGCCAAAACATGGATGCCTCCCAATCCGTGGGCAAATGGATATGATGAGGTCTAGAATTAGTACTAGTTGGCGACAAAGTACTATGGGTCAGGGCTGCTCCGAGGTTCTAAATTGCCCAACCGACAGCCAATAACGTTCGATGAACCATGGAAAACTTCATTTCTTTTGCGCGTATGAGGTTTTGTTGAGGTATTAGCTGGATATTTAATTTTTTACAACCTGCAATGGATGGAAGCGAACAACACTCACGACATACTAGTTACTTCATTGTACTTACTGCAGCCGTGGAGGACATAATTACCATGCAGCATACGAGATCAGCCCATCGATCGGGTATACAGGATACTAGTATGGTTCGAAGATAGACTGTACTACTATCATACTACTATTATTACTACTAAATAGCACGCAGTATCAGGGAAGGTGTGGTCCCCGAAGTCTCACTGGCAGGTGCCATCTTCGACGAGTAAATGTCTACTGCAAGCTAATTTTCTTTCTTTCTCAATCTTGCCAACCGAACCATTTCTACTCCAAATCGATCGATCGATCTTCAGGAGAATAACGCAAAGAAACATACTCAACAACACTCACTCACCATGGCCAGCGGTATTGGAGACCCTCCACCGGCAAGCGCCACCCATCAAGGCACCGGGAGCATCTCTGCTTCAGGCAAAATGCAATTAGTTAGTGGGATCCGGCGACTCATATCTCCAGGTGTGGGATTTGTATCAAGCTAACTCGTCCTAAACTCCCAGGTACATAATAAGGTGGATGGTGAAATTCAATGCCAACCCGGTGCCAGTACTCAAACTGCTGGAGTTATTGGCGGTACAATACCCAAACCCCGATGTAAAGTCATATACTAATTAGGTGAATGCAATAGGCCCCGACAATCCGTTTTTCTCTCCCCAGGGTATCTTCGAGATGCCCGTGAACGCCCGTGAGCAGCCCCCCCCCCCCCACCTGCAATCACATCGAGCTAACTCATTTGAAGTCCCCGAATGACGCCCATTCGAATGCTGGAGCGGGATGCTCCAATCCAGAAATCGATTTATCCGGCGGCCCTCAGCGTATGCCGGGTAGCCCATTTGTGACACCAGTCGGAATTCCGTATCGGAACGTCCAAAAACTGGTTTAGACTCTGTTCGGCGAGGCCGAGAGCACTTGCGAGGCACGCATTCGGGTCCTTGAGGCGCACATCCTTGATGTTCAAGCTCAAAACCTAGTTCTTGCAAGCAATGGGTCGAATGTCAATTCAGATTCCCAGCACCGAAGCGCAATGACCCTTCAAACACAGACCGTGGACCTCCACCGCCTGGTGAATTTCATGGAGAGCATGTCAAGCCGATCTGGATCTTCCTCCGTCCCTAGGGACCGCAATTCTGCCTCCGAGGAGACAGTGATGAACTATGTGGCTACTCACTTCAATAACCCCATCGAAAGCGCGACCTTGGGGCTTGATTCGCAAATGTAGCGGCATGAAGCTCGTGTGGAATGAAATCAAGAAAACAGAAGAAGTGAGATTAGGGTGCTGGTACACGTTAAATCGATTCTAAAGTTGATTTATAGTGACTGAGCACAGTGCGCGATAGAACTTCCTATACACCCTATGGATTCTGTGAGCCTGCTTCTACCGGAACTTCAGGGCCGCACGTTGCAAACGAGGATTGTGGCCGAAGTATGTCCTATGAAATTTCTATGTACCTATCTGTCTAACATCAAATTATGATGTGGAAGCCACTACCTACCTGTTGAATTGTCTTGATATCGTGCCTGGAGACCAATGCGGTATCCCTGGACAAGGTGTCACTACGATATCAGCATCCAAATCTGTGCAAGTAATCAATATAGACCAACATGATAACTGAGTTTGATTTTTTGCTCCACGAATATTTCCCTAACATATTATAGCACTGCCTTGGTCTCCTGCGAGATCACAGGGACTACCTCCGCATTTTGCCATGCAAAGGAGACCATATCTGTCCAAGGAACTCTTGCGCCAAAAGACCTGAACTGGATGAAAATTCCACTTACAGAGACCTCGCCATTACCTAGCTCAATTCCGATAACGAAGCCGGTAACAACGCATCTGGCTAATCTATCAACTCTTTCTTCGAAATCGTACGAGCAATATACTCCATCGCAAAACCCTTTGATGTGCTCACTGAAGGCTTTTGGATACTCCACTATATTATTCTTCATCTGCTATAACCGCCTCCGACAATAGAAAATTGATTGAACAAGGCGCGGCAGTATAGTAGCTCCATTCGACCTGTTATTATTTCCAATTCCCGCAAAACAAGGTTCACGGCGTATATCTGCGAGGATTATTGGGATTTATGGAATGGGAGATGTGATGGGGGAGATATGATGCAACTGAAGCTCTTGCAAATGCATATGGACCGGTCAACAACTGGAATCTTACCGATCAGGCGTAACTACAATCACGAACGTACGCCTTTCAGAGTATTATGCTCGTTAGTTTCCAGAGAATTGCACTTGTTATTAACCAAATATAACACTCTCAAGGAATAATAACACCAGTCGACAGCATAGAGTTGACAGCGTCAACAACACTAGTCTTCAAATCAATATAATTCCAATTTCCACTTTCAGTTCCTTTCGCCAAGATATCCAAACTGATTTTCATATCCCACCCTGTCGGGTGAACACCCGGAGGTAGAATCTGAGAGGGGCTTCCTTCAGGCACCCTACTTGCCAGCGATGGGAAGTTCTCACGGATCGTGTTGGCCACAAGCTGTGGCGAAATCAGACCCGATATCAGCAGAATACGTTGGTTAGCAGCCGCAGGATTAGTGAGAGCATCGACATGACTCCGAGCCACGTCGCGGACGTCAACCTAGGATTTAGATTAGTATTTGACATAAACAAAACACATCCGAGGCTGGATTCACCTACAAAGTGGTAGAAAGGGAATTTGACTCCTTCAATTTGCTTGTGAGTTCCGTCAATGAAACTCGCGATAGCAAAGTGATTCGTCTCGTTGATTGAACTTGGCCCAGAGATAGGATGAATCATGGGCCCAGTGATGATGTCGGGGTTGATGACGCTCAAAACAAAGGATGGCTTATCCTTCTTCATGAATTCCCATGCCACGGCCTCGGCGCGAGTTTTGGAAACATTGTAACCGAGAACAGGGTCGCTCTGCTCAATTGCTTGCTCAGCTGTGACCTGAAGTTTTGTCAGAATACCTTTTCGCGCGTATTTTGGGATATACGTACAGGATTCCAGTCTTTTTCTGTGTAGGGCTTCCCCTCTTTGGTGATGTCTTCGAAAGAGTTGAGTACAGACACAGCACTGCCAAGCAGGATAAAGCGCTTCAGAGACGAGCCACCGTAAGCTTTTGCAGCTTTTAAGATCTCCGTAGTTCTGAACATGTTAAGTTTTGATTTCCACAAATATAGGTGTGTACTTACCCCATTTCGGCGGGCTCGATCATCTCTTTCCGAATATCACTAACCTGGAATCGGAGCGGAGAAGCCGTGTGGATAACATAGTCAAATGGCTTCTTGGCACCCTGGATTATTTTGTCGAAAGGTCCTTTCGATGTGAAATCTGAGACTATCGCAAACTCCACATGACTCTTCCATGATGGATGTGTTTTGATGATACCGTCGGCCTTGGCTTGGGATCGCACCGTCGCCGTAATGGTATATCCACGCTGTGAAGGAATTAGCACTTTTTTTTTGACTTTAAAGCAGAACTTTAAACCACGTTTATCAAAATATCCAGTATATGAGAAGCGACAAATCCATTTGCACCCGTCAATAAGACGTGTTGGCCTGCACCTAGCTGCGACATTGTGTTGCTTGAAGTAAAAGACAAAGAAGTGAATTTGTATCTCAATCGTTTAATATGAATTGAGATTCATTCAGGATAGGCTCGTCGTATTTTAAGTAGTTCCCTTTTTCTAAATCACCGACGTCTCACTGCACGCAGTCTTGACGTCAGGAAGTCAGCAGAAGCAGCAACACACCACAGTGACGGCGTGACAGGCTTTTGAGTTCAGACAGTAAACCCAGATGAATCCGGTTTTGCATTTAACTAAGCTAAGTGAGCGAAGAAACAACCAGATACATGGCACCCAATCGTAGATTAAATTAATGGCTCCGGAAGGGCGTAGCGTGTTCTCGGAGAGATCTATCAGATCCCGTACCCCAGACCCCGATAAGGTTTATTGCGCCGGTCAGGTATGCCCCCATACCGAGAAATACATGCCAAGAGCGAGATAAGTGAGTACTGCAAGTAATTTTACACAGCCGTGCAATGCGGTGTGGCGCATGGAAATTGTCAGATTTCAGGCATTCACAGTGATCGGATAGTTCATCAAGCAATTTTGGAAAGAATTGTAGCAGATTCTTTAACATTATCAAATATGAAGCGACTAAAAATCACCCTTCAGTTGATCCAAAGGTGGCAGAACACCCTCTTTCTCCAGTATCTCCAGAGTGTCCTCCAACTCTCCCCAAGTATCTGCATATCCTGTCCACCCCAGCTTCCTCGCCTTGCTCATGCTTGCCACACAATGCCAATCCCGACCCAGTGTCATGACCAAGAAATCCCATGTGGCCTTCTCCCAGGCCTTCTGATCAAGGCCGTATTTATCGCGAAGTTGTGCCCAGGCCTGATTAACATCAACTCGCTTCGCCCACTTCTCGGGATCAACTTGGAGGAAAAAGGTCGGTAAAGTTTCAGCGAGTGGATCACCAGAGATACCTAGACTGGAAGCCGCCACCTTCATGGGTGGCTTATTCTCCAGTTTTATGGTAGATGATTCATAATTCTTGAAGCCCTTCGAGCCCGGGGTTCCGCCATTGGGGAACATGGGATCAGGAAGACGACAGCCAAATCTGGCTGCGAGACGGGGCCAAAGATTCTGGAAGGACTCTGTATCGCCATTTATCACGTTGAAAATCTCATTGCCTGCTCCAGGAGCCTTCGCGGCCCAAAGACAGAAGATCGCATGTAGGTTGGCCGATGTCCAGCAGTTTAAGGTGAAGTAATTGGCCTTGCTCCCGGGGTAAGGCAACTCTGAGCCGGGCATTGCCTTGCTCACTGCGCAGTATAGCCCAAGCGACGTGGCTTCATTCATGAAGTTTCCTCTGGCGTATCCGAGGACATCCTGGGGAAGAGTAACAACCCATTCCCATGCGCCCTTCTTAGCGGCTTCAATCAGTATGCGCTGTTGGTCATAATAAAAGATTGGAGGCCACTGGGCTCCGCCTGCCCCATTTTCAAGGAGAGGATCATCTTCCAGCAGGGGCTGCTTGCCCCGTCCAATATGCACGCCGTACTGCTTAAATCCGCAGGTCAAAATGAATCGTTTAATATTTCCAGTGGCCCCGGTCAACGCGAGACCCTGTAGGAAATTGGACAGCATCGCTGAATTCACTTTTGACAACTCGTCGGGGTTTTGAGGTACTAGATAGGCGCAAAAATAGATATATTCAGCAGATACTCCCTTGAGAGATTTTGCCATATCCTCTGCGGGCCCTTGGAGATCCAACGTGACATGTTGGATTTTTGGGTCCTTGTATCCCGGATTACTGCGGGAAAATGAATAGATCTTATCATAAGAAGGATCTTTCAACAGGTGGTGAACAATGGCGCTACCAGTGATTCCTGTTCAATATTAGTTTTGGTTTATTTGCCATATTACAATGACGTGAGCACACTGGTAGAGGAACCTACCGGTAGCACCCGTCACAATAGCAGAAGGCATGTTTGCAGTGCGATTTTCAAGTTGGACGTTGAATTCGAGGGTGGTCACAAATCGCGGATGGCTCACTGTGTAGAGGGGCCGGAATATATACCATCAGAGGTCAAAGGCAGATGATATAAGCTCTAGGAGCAGACTGAGCAAATGACCTCACCTGTCATTTTGCCATGTACCATTGTTCAGTTTTCCAGCTTGTTACAGAGCGTAGTTGGGATTACTACTGGATTCCAACTGCGCCAGCTAAAATTATGGAACACAACCTTTGGGACGCCCGCACTGATGTCATCATTCCAGCAGCGCGCCTAGCGCATTTTAAATTCTGTTACCGCGAAGTACCATTACAAATACGCTTTGGTCAAGATCAAAGCAGACCCTGTATTTTATCCTATCTCTCCTCCATCTGCTGCTCATATCTCGACTTGGGCGAATCCCAAGTCTGCAGACATCTTGGTAGCGTCTGGCTCCCCAATCTTACCGTCCCTTTCTTTCTTCTGCAATCGTCTCTCTCGCCGGCAAAAGGCAGGATGGAGCTGCAAGACCCCTTTCCCCGCCCTTTCAGCTCCGTGTTGACGATGAGGCTGAAGAGGCACCACGGACAGAGCTCTCAGTGGGTGATGCTCTTCGCTCCTGTCAGGTTGTAAACTAGTTTCGTATAGCTATTCACCTCCAGACGCAGTACAGCCAGAACCAGTTGTCGACGCCACCCTCCAAGCATCCCACCACGGTCGTATCGATGCTTTGCCCTACGCCCAAGTGGGTGAGAAAGTATGGCCGGAGTGGAGTTTTTCCGAGTTTCAAATTCCGAGAAGAGCAAAAAGACGCATATGCCAGTGAACCGCTGGACGAGGAAGTGACGAGCGGTACCCAGGACGACCATGCATATAGTGAGCCACCAAGCACAAATCAGCATTTCAGACATCGTCGAGCGAACCGAATCGAGAAACCCAGAGACAACAAGCGTCGTATATTTGTTTGCACCTTCTGCGGTGACACTTTCAAGACAAAGTACGACTGGGTTCGTCACGAGAAATCCATTTTATCTAGACCTAAATCTCTGGGTCTGCACTCCAGGGGATGGGAGTGTGGTCTCCCCATCTGGACACAATCATTGCACATATTGTGATATATTAGAACCCAGCTCTGAACATTTTGACACTCACAATCACAGAGCGTGCGCTTGTGCATCGCGAACCTTCAGTCGCAAGGATCACCTGGTACAACATCTCCGCTTTACGCATCGACTGAAGACAATCCCCGACCTTACCAATTGGCGAACAGATAGCCCTCTTTTCTCGTGTCGCTGTGGGTTTTGGGGGTCTATAATGAATAGCTGACAGGAGCGAGTAAATCATCTGGCGCGGCATTTTCGCAAAGGCGCTATGATACGCGATTGGGATGGAGATCATGGTTTCCCGTCAGAGATTAATGACCAAGTACGCAACTCAGTTCCGTAATATTATACTAGTACGAGGCTATAGATGTAAAATACGAGTGGACTTGAGATACCCTGACCGAAAATGTCAGTTTCTTACAACTCTCGAAATCGACACGTTGAACACCTTAGCAGAACAATCTAGACCACGAAAGCTTTGATTGAAATTTTACGGTTTGGGTATGATCCATGGTCGTGCCGTAAATGCCGCCGGGGATTAGACGAAATCTGTGGAGAATGAAGATCTGTTCGGACAACTCAACCTGACATCGGAGACTTTGACGTCTTGACTGACTAGCATGGCAAGGTGGCGTACGCATTACAGAACATGCTGCAGCAAATAACTCTCCGAATACGTTGAACCTTATCCCGAGATCTCATTTAAATAACCTTCCAGGAATTCATTTGTTTTCATATTCCCATAGCGAACAGTAAGCACAACCAAGAGCAATGTCGTCGTGAGTCTACCCGACACCAAACACCTCATATATACTAACAGTCTCAAGCCACAAGAAAAGTACATTGCCCTCGTCGAGGCCGGGGGCAAACCCGATCCAGCTACAATAGAGTCCATCTTTACACAACTTTCTCCTATCAAACCCGACCAGATGCTCGGCGACTGGAATCATGGCGGATTCTTTGAGAACGGACACCCAGTGAGTCCGCAGCTGCTGGAGATCAAGTGGACCGGAAAGTCTTTCAAATCTGTCGAGGATGTCGACTCTGTCATTATCATTGAGGATGGAAAGAGAACCAGCTGGGGGCAATGGGTATATTCCAGCGTGAGCGCACCCGCAGTTCATCTCAATTCTCTTTATAAAAGAATTAAATATTTTAGAAGAAAGAAGTTTAATAGATAAGATAATAGAACAAAGAATCTTCATATAATAATAAATACTAAAACTATACTCTATAAACCTAGACTAATATCTACTTAAACTTATAATCTAAATCAATATTGATTATAGTCAATATATACTTGAAGATTTCTACTAATCTACAGAATTATATTAATTCTGATACTTTAATTATAGAACAACTTATAAATACCTTGTATAACCCTACTCTAGTTTTACCTAGAAGTATTAAACTTTTTGAGTATATCTTTTATAGTAGGGCTAAGAGAATATATAATAGGGTAATTAAGGAGTATACCCTGATCTAGCTAATAGCAGCTAGTAATAAGGTATTACAGATATTTTATTATATACTAGCTATATAGCAGATCTAGGTATAGTAGCTGAAGCGTTTTTAGATACTGATTAGATATACCTAGTATCAGAGGTTCTACTAAACTAGCTCCTGCTGTAGATTCTCCTTGTTAGTAGTATAGGCCTGCTGATCCTAGTAGATCTAGTTAGTAAGTCTTATACGGATAATATCTTCCCACAGGCAGACGCACAAGCCAACCGCACGCAAATATATCATCGTCTTGATCGTCTTGCAGTTTCTACCCATTGTGGAGGTAGGGATGCTCACGATAAAACGATATGCGATACGATAACGATAACGATATAGCAAAAGTCCGACGATAATTTATCGTGAAAGATTCGATGATGTATACAGATGCCAAGAGACCCCAGTTCCAGCCAAACCACGGGGACCCAACAACGCTGTGTCTGAGCCCAGCTCCGAGAGGGTCAGTGCGGTGGTCGCGCGACGCACGATGAGAACCACCCACTCTCGCCCGGCTTCTCACCCTGTCCATTGCGTACTCGCCCTTTATCATCCCGTTCGCGCGACCCTAAAGCGGCCCCAACGCATTTTTCACCCGGGCGGCAACCACCCGACTATCTGCCACAGATAAGCCAAACGCCAACAAGACAATACTGTAGTGCTGCAGAACTCTGTGAGAGATTATGCCATTCACTCCATTCCAATTATGTTCAGCTGTTGTTAAGTGGTTCTTTATAGTTGAGAGTAACGTGAACTAGTTGATGCGCAACAGCCTCATTCGAGAAAAGGCTTACCGTAACCGGCCCCTTCGCGAAGCGAGGGTCCGTAATGGATAGTATTCGGCTGTGGCGAATCCCGTAGATTTGTAGGTAGGCGGCAGGCAGGGGGTGTAGGATAGCGGTAGGGGTCGGAAGTATCAACCGTAGAGTCAGGATCCAAAAGCTTGACCCGGATTCGCCGTGTTTCGAGGTGTATTCATATACACGCTTCGCAGCCAAGTCCCAAGTAATAGATTCACCACCGCTTCATATCCATACTTCGCAGCCAGTGACAATGGCATATAACATGTAGAGTCCTTCGGGTCCACGCCAATCTGACCCGTCTCCAGTAATAATTTCACCACTGCCTCATGGCCATATCTTGCAGCCCAAGAAAATGATATATCCCTCGAATTCGCGGCTACCCGGTCTGTCTCAAGGAGTAGCTTCATGATCACTTCACATGCATCGAGGGTGACTAGGGATGACAGTGTCCATCCTTCGGAGTCGCCAAGATTCAAATCCACCCGCCCAGTCTGAAGCAATAGCTTCTTAACCGCTTTGTATCCTTCTTGTGCTGCCGAGCGTAGAGGCATACTACGATCATCGTAGACCTCTGAGCGCACATCCGCCTGTCCTATTTCAAGCAATAGCTTCACTATCGCTTTATGTCCCTTATGTGCAGCCCAAGACAAGGGTGTCTCGCGGCAGTAGTCTCTTGAGTCCACATTCGCTTGGCCTGTCTTGAGCAGTAACTTCACCGCCCTCTCACTTCCAGAGTTCGCAGCCCAGCGCAATGGTGTCCATAGGTCAGCGTCCTTTGTGTCCACATGTACCCTGCCTGTCTCAAGTAATAGCTTAATCACTTCCTCGCGGTCGTGCTCCGCAGCAAAAGATAGAGGTGTGCGATCATCAAATCGTTTTGAATCGGGATCCACCCTCTCTGTCTCAAGCAATAGCTTCACTACCGCCTCGTGCCCGTGCTCTGCAGACCAGGATAATGGAGTCCGGCCTCGTTCCATCACATCAACCTTGGCCCCCATTTTCAAACACTGTCGGACTGTATCCTCGTTTCCCCATTTAGCGCCCCAAAGCAAAGCGGCATTTGACGCTCGGGCATCCAGCGCGTAGAGGAATGGATTGAGAAGAGAATGAAGGTTTTTATTTGCTTGAGACAAAGAGTTGATATCTCTTGTTGTTTCCAAGATCCTCGCAATCTGTAGAAATAATTCTGGCGGTAATTGCAGCAGAGGCATTGTCATCAAATGTTCGAAAATGCGGTAGGGACATATGTTCACTCGAGAAGATGTGCGAGGGGTAATGGGAAGAAGTCTAGTTGTTGTCTTGGATGGGGGAGAGTAGATGGATATAGCACTTTGGTGTAAAATACGCTACTCGAGGTCTCGTAGTCGTATTATAAACAATTGTGACTATTATGGGCGGTCTAGAAAACGGGCTTCAACTATCCCGTCCAATTAAAACTCGCATTCTTCGGATTTATTTTCCGGGATCAAGTCTCAAGAGTGTTGAGGCATACAATGCGTCCCGAAACTGACGCAACAACTACACAGTGATTATCTAGCCCCACTCCCATGACACATTAGTCCATTTCTTCCAAATCATGGAGATGAGCGCATTATAAAATTGGAGTATTTGGCAGGGGTTCTCGATGCCATGGTGAGGGCCGGTCACAGGACCAGTGGGATCAGGATCGCTAGTTCTCTCGCGGGGGATCTCATGGTCAGGTCAAGGGTAAACCCGCATCCGGGTTTCCAGGGTGATTTTGGAGAAGCTCAAGTCCCGTATCATCGAAAGGTCCAACCATCATAGAATATCGACTCACCGACGTGCTACCAACGGAGCGACCAAAAGAGCGACGGGCAGGGACTTTCTTGATCTATCAGTAAGATGAATCTGGTGCAGTTATCATAATTGAGAAACATTCCTGCCCCGACCCACTACTACCACTGATAGTTCTAGTTGATTTGCGATTGATGTTTACAAAAAGGAGAAGAAGGATATTATAGATGGGATGAGAGACTCAAGCACGAAATATTTATCATCATTATCATTATCATTATGCGTATATAGTGTATGCAGCAGCAGTGTCAAAGAAGAAACCTGTAAATCTTGTATATGTTAGCACGATGCTATCACTTGGCATGGATGAAACAAAAGAAGTAATGAAGCTCAATCAGATAACATTTAGACAAATTTTATCAACAAAAAAGTTCAGAACAGGTCTGTGTAAAATTGCTTTCTCATCATAAGAGCGGGTGTGTTGTGGTGTGGTGTGGTGGAAAAAGAAAATGCAAAGGAAATGGAAAAAAAAGGAGAAAGGATTGCGACATACCGAGTTAGTAGGAGCAGCTGGGAAAATTGGAGAAATTCGTCTCGTCAAAGCCCAGCTGCAAATGGATGTTTTGGACAACAATGCGAAACGCATTAAGTTTGCATTGTGCCGGTGCTGGGATGGGAGCTTGGCTGGGATAGCCATTGATGATGGAGACCTGGTTGGAACAAATCCGGGACCAGGGAGCTTCCGACCGTCGAAAAGCTTGTCATTGGCAAAATCCCGAGGAAATTGTGTTGCAGAGATGAAGAAGAAAAAAAAGAGAAAATTGCGGCGGAGCAACAGAAAATAAATAGGCGGTGGTGGATCCGGTTTGCAGTGTTTGCACACAAAAAAAAAGATGGACGAGCGAGACTGGTTGCGTTGGCGGGGGGTCAAGTCGATTCTCGTGGGTTTTTTGCTAGAAACAAAGTGAAAACTGAAAAACACGTCAATAATATTCCCATAATATTTCCAGTGAGTCAATGTCGTGGTGTGTATGTCTTGTCCACGAATTAACATTAACCATTGCAGATGGCCGAGACCGAGATCCCCAACCCGAGCGAGCAATGTGCGTACCTCCACGGTCAAAACAAGTTGTGCTGCCCAGCAGATAGGATCAAGGCTGACCTGATTGATTCACAGCGCCTAGCTCGCCCTTCCAGAATGTTCGTACGAATGGTCGTGCCTTTGACTCGGCCAACTGGCGCATGAAGAGTGAAGGTGGTGCCAGCAGCAACCCCGCGTCGCCCTCCCCTCGCGCCAGCACTTCTCGCCCATCATTCGGTCAACGAGGACAAACCCCTCAGGCGGTCACCGATGGTCGCCGTTTATATGTGGGAAATATGCCGTACACGGCGAAGGCGGAGGATGTGGAGGCGTTGTTCACGGTGGCCGAGTTTTCCATGTATGTTTGTATGCGGGGGCCGTATCGCCTCCGGGTTAGGTTGAATGTCGCTGACCAAGGTTGATATCTAGTGAGCGTGTCGACATCGCCGTTGACCCTTTCACCGGCCGGAACCCCTCGTACTGCTTTGTCGATTTGGGGAGTAAAGAGGAGGCGGCCCGCGCGATGACGGAGTTGGATGGCAAGGAGTTGCTGGGACGGATGGTGAGGATTAAGCCTGGTGTGCAACGGTCTGCGGCAAACCCGGGGTCACCTTCCCCTTCGCCTTCACCTTCGACTTCCAGTGGAATGGGAATGAGAATGTCTGGGGTATCATCTCCCAGTATGGACCGTTGGCGCCGCCCAGATCAGAGCGCCACCACTGCGAGCTCCAGCTCCAGCCCCAGCCCCGGCACTTCTAAGACACAAGGTGATTCCAGCCGGAGGGTATATGTGGGTGGGTTACCACGAGTGGCGGACCAGGAGGAGTTGCAGAGCAAAGTGACGGCCTTCTTCCAGGGATACGAGGTGTAAGTGATGCCAGCCAGCCGAGTGCAGTGGGAGACAAAAACAAAGGAAAATACTGACATTGGATTGTAGGCAAGAAGTGAGCAAGCTGTTCGCACCACACCTGGCCAAGCGATTCGAGCCCGGTGAGCACAACTATCTCTTTGTGGAGCTGGCGAGTGTGGAGGAGGCGCAGAGGGCGATGGATTCTCTTAATGGGGGGGGGATGGACCGTGGGGAGGGCCATTGCGAGTGCAGCGGGCTCGGGGGGGAGCAGACGAAGGCATAGTATAGACAGTGTATAGACTGGATAGATGTATAGAATCGACAGAGTATCAAGTTCCACTTCGCCAGGGTGTATATGTAGAGTATCAAGTAAACTTGTGATGAAGTCAAGTGATGACGTTGTGGATCCGCTCACCGCATTCTTCCAACATCAACTTCAACTTCAACTTCATTTTTACTTCTTCTTGTATTTTCCAAGACTTCCTCTATTCGCTCTCTCTTTGTCTTTGTCATTTATTTCCTATTTCTATTTTCCTTCCTTCCGGACTTGGCTGAGTGCTGACTGCTGATTTGCCTCGACTCCCCCACTGGACTGACTTGTACATCGGTTGTCTTCCTATTCTTCCCGACTCTCCCATTTCCTCCACTTCCAACTTCACCACCCTCGCCATGTCCACAGGCAGTGTTATTCGGAGTCAGGAGCAGCACAAGGTGTTTGTCGCAAGTGTGAGTTCTGTTCTCTCCTCTCCTCCAATTCCATTCCACAACTCCCTCTCCCCCCCCCCAATGAGGGGTATCGCGGGGTTGCCCTCTCACCTCGGTCCGTTCCCCGCGGGGGAGAAGAGTGTGAATGGCCAGCTTGATGAGCCAAATTGCTAGCTGCAATCACTTCCGTCGATCCGACCTTAGTTTCAACATCCTTGTTCCGCCTGCAGGTGTGATCCTTCACTTGCACTCCGCTGCACATCAACATCATTCGATCCCACCTTTATTCCCACCGTCATTGTCATTCCCACCTTTGTTCCCACTTCACCATGCCCTCCACTACTGCAAATCATACCATCACCCCCAATCACTCCTCTTCATTTAACTTACGATCTATCCAGTCCGATGAATCTAGAATATGCGTTGTTATGGTCGGCTTGCCGGCCCGAGGCAAGAGTCTGATCGCTGGCAAAGGTATGTTCAGTCCGGAATGGCCAATCAGGCCATTTATCACTGTGAATGACGGTGAATCACTGCTAATTCCCATCCCTTCTAGCCATGCGATATCTCGCCTGGGTCGGAATCCCCGCAAAGGTCTTCAACGTCGGTACCTATCGTCGCAGCAACACCCCGCAACCCCAGGCCACCTTCTTTGACCCCCACAATGAAGAAGGCGAGCGCATGCGCCGGGCCGCCGCCGAAATGGCTGTCTCCGATATGATCAACTGGTTCCACGACGACACGCAAAAGGGCGTCGTCGCCATCCTTGACGCAACCAACTCAACCAGGGAGCGCCGCAAGTGGATCTACGAAAGGTGTCGCGATGCCGATATCGAAACTCTCTTCGTGGAGTCTATCTGTGACGACGAAGATCTCATCATGAACAATATCCTCGAAGTCAAGACCGATTCTCCCGATTATAAGGGGCAGGACCCTGAGCTGGCGGCGCTGGACTTCCGCAAACGCATTCGCAATTATGAGAAGGCTTATGAGACTATCGATGATAATGAGAAGCAGTACACTTATGTTAAGCTGATCAATGTTGGTTCTACCGTTATCATTAACCAGATCAAGGATTATTTGTCCAGTCGTCTTGTCTACTATATTCAGAACCTCCACATCAAGCCTCGATCTATCTGGCTATCACGAGTGAGTTGACCCGGCACTATTCCCATCAAAATATATCAAAAGCTAAGCTAACCACCCACCTCACCCAGCACGGCGAATCCGAATACAACCTCACCGGTAAAATCGGCGGCGACTCCAACATCTCCGAACGAGGCGAAGCCTACGCGCGCGCCTTACCCTCCCTCCTCCGCAAATCCGGCGTACCCCCAAACACAAAGATCGTAATCTGGACCTCGACGCTCAAGCGCACAATCCAAACAGCCCGCCACCTGAAAGCGGAAACGGGGTTCGAAAAGCTAGAATGGAAAGCCTTGGACGAACTCGACTCCGGAGTCTGCGACGGTCTGACTTACGAAGAGATCGCCGACGAGTACCCGGAAGATTTCAAGGCCCGCGATGACGATAAATACAATTACCGCTACCGTGGCGGCGAATCGTATCGTGATGTCGTTATTCGTCTTGAACCTATTATCATGGAACTGGAGCGCAGTGAGAATGTCATTATCGTTACTCATCAGGCTGTGCTCAGGTGCATTTATTCTTATTTCTTGAATGTTCCCCAAGAGCAGAGTCCATGGATGGAGGTGCCGCTGCATACGTTGATCAAGTTGACGCCCCGCGCCTATGGCACGGAGGAGAAGCGCTTCAAGGCGGATATTCCGGCCGTTTCGACTTGGAGGGGGAAAGGGACTTCTGCGAAGCATCAGGAGTTTCCGGCCGAGGTTAAGGAGGTTGAGAAGAGTGCTTGATGGGTTGGTTGCATTTGTTGGCGTCGGTGTTGGTGTTGTTGGGTTGAATGGGTTTGGTTGATTGTTGATTATGGTGATTCGTCGATACCAAAATATTGTAATTTTGAGCTGTGAGCTGGAGCTGCGAGGCTTGAATGTACATTTGCAGCAATGATCCGTGCATATCAGCATCCTAGTAGATATAGATGTAGTATTATTCTTTGTATACTACTTATTACTGTTTCTGTAGAGTGTAGTTGGCTGCCTCAGGCATGCTGACTAACAAGACGTCACCCTCTCCAACCACCGCAACAGCTCCAACTCCCCAGCCAACCAAGCTCAAACAGCTCCCAACAGCTCTCAGCGCGGCGCGATGTTATCCGCCTTCACCGCGCGAGCCCTGGTAGACCTCAAACCCCGCGATCGCTCCCGAATAGACTCAGTCCTCGCCTACGGCGATAGAATCCTCGCCGGTCTAAACAACGGCACCCTCCGCATCTACCGCGTCACAGATACCCTGAACGAGGAAAACCCAGACGACAATGAACATGATGGCGGCAGTGATGGCGGCAGTGCTGGCAGCAAGACCGAACTTCTGCGTGAACTGGACAAATTCGCCCGGTACAAGATCGAACAATTAGCCCTGGTCAAGGAAGCGAAGGTCCTAGTCAGTTTGAGCGGTGGTGTGGTCAGTCTACACGATTCGCAGGATTATGGACTTCTTCACACGCTGGTTCAGGCGAAGGGGGCTTCTGTTTTTGCTATCACTTCCAACGTCGTGAATGATCCCGATACGAATGTTCCGGCCATTGTGTCGAGATTGGTCGTTGCTGTTAAGAGGAAGATTCTTATGTGGGTTTGGAGGGATATGGAGCTTGAAGAGGAGGGTCCTGTTAGTGAGTTGAGTCTTGCCGCGGCTGTTAAGACTTTGGAATGGGTTTCTGCGACGAAGATTGTTGTTGGGCTTTCCTCGGGTTTTGTTATGGTTGATGTTGTGCAAGGTGTTGTGGAGGAGTTATCTGGTGGTCCGGGGAGTATGGAGGAGTCTTCGTCGACGACGGGCAGGTTTACTGGTGTTGGTGCGGCGAGTATGAGTTATATTGGTATGGGTGGGATGGTACCGAGACCTTTGGCGACAAGGTTGAGGGAGGGCCAGATTCTCCTGGCTAAGGATATCAATACGCATTTTATTGATTTGCAGGGTCACTCGCTTGGGAGGAGGCAGATTCCTTGGTCTCATGCGCCTGTTGAAGTCGGGTATTCTTATCCGTTTCTGCTTGCTTTGCATGATTCTTCGAAGGGTGTGCTTGAGGTGCGCAATCCGGAAACTCTTTCGCTGCTTCAGTCCATTCCGCTGCCTGCGGCTAGTATTTTGCATATACCGCAGCCGAATATTAGTCTCGCGCATGCTGGGAAGGGGTTTTTGGTCGCGAGTGATCGCACTATTTGGCGTATGGAGGCGCTGAGTTATGATACCCAGATTGATGCCCTGGTTGAAAAGGGGTATCTTGATGAGGCTATTAGCCTCCTTGTTATGCTTGAGGATGCCCTGGTCAAGGATAAGGCTAGGAGACTTCGCTCGGCTCAGTTGGAAAAGGCTCAGAGTCTCTTCGCTTTGCATAAGTTCCGCCATTCGTTGGATCTGTTCACGGAGGTTGCTGCTCCGCCGGAGACTGTCATTCGCCTCTATCCGAAGCTGATTGCTGGTGACCTCTCCGCAGTTCCAGCCCAAGAGCCCGAGGAGGCTGCCGCCAATGCCAATGCCGATGGGTCAGATACAAAGCCCACTGGCTCGGATGGTTCGTCTGAGCTTCCGGCTGGACAGTCCATGTATACAACCTCGGTACTATCTCTTCTTCGCAGGACCGAAGAAGGCAGTGATACGAGTAGCATTCGGGCAGGGGGTGAAGACAAGGATAAAGAGAAGGACAAAGATAAGGAGCTTAAGATGGCCGTCCGCGAGCTGCAGGGATACCTGGCAGATGTCCGACGACGCTTCCAGCGTTTCCTCGGACCCGATGGGGCTCTTAAGCTCCCTGCCCCTACGGAGGGTACCGACGAGGCCAGCGCGTCTGTTCTCAAATTGCTCGATTTTCCCTCACAAGAGGAGTTTCTGGATACCATCCGTGACAAGGCTCGGCTCGTCGACACCACACTGTTTCGCGCTCATATGTACGCTACGCCATCACTGGCTGGGTCTCTCTTCCGGATTGCCAATTTCTGCGATCCGGAGGTCGTGATGGAGCGATTGGAAGAAACGGGCCGGTATAACGACTTGATTGATTTTCTCTACGGGAAGAAGCTGCATCGGCAGGCTTTGGAGTTGCTGCATCGATTCGGACAGGAAGAGTCCGGCCTGCTCAGTGGTCCGATGCGGACTGTTGGATATCTACAAAATCTACCGCCCGATCAAATAGACTTGGTCCTCGAGTTTGCCGATTGGCCTGTTCGCACCCAGCCTGAGCTGGGGATGGAGATTTTCCTGGCTGAAACTGAGAATGCTGAGACGCTGCCCCGACAGCGTGTACTCTCGTTCCTCGAGGGTATCGATGCGCAGCTTGCCATTCGGTATCTCGAGCATGTCATTCAGGAATGGAATGACCTGACACCGGACCTGCATCAGCGCCTGGTTGTCTTGTACCTTGATCAGATCACAGCGCACAAGGACGGGGGCGGGGACGAAGACGCGGACACGGAATATAGCTCCAAATTCCTGGCCATGCTCAAAGACAGTGAACAGTATTCTCCCGCAAAGACCTTGAACCGACTGGACCGTGACGACCCCAACTTCTACGAGGCCCGGGCTATCCTGTTCAGCAAGATGGGACAGCATCGCCAGGTACTGGAGATTTACGTGTTCAAGCTGAAAGACCACGAAAAAGCGGAAGAGTGAGTATTTGATCATAATCCCATCGTCCTAACTATTCGGCCATTCCCCCAACTAACTCCACCTTCTAGATACTGCAACCACGTCCACCTCTCAGAAGAACAAGACCAAGAAGACACCATCTACCTCACCCTCCTATCTCTCTACCTCACCCCACCCCACAAGCACGAAGTCCAGAATGGCCCCGCCCTCGCCATCCTCGCCAAACACGGTTCCCGACTCCCCGCCGACGCCGCACTAGGCCTGATCCCGGCGGAGCTGGAAGTGCGCGAACTGGAATTCTACTTCAAGGGTCGCATGCGCGCGGCCAATTCGGTGTTCAATGAGGCTCGCATCGTGGCTCAGCTCCGTAAGACGCGGGACATGCAGATTCAGGCACAGCTTGCTCTTGGTGATGGAGTTCGTGGTGGTGGGACGCGGGCTCGGCATGTCACGGTCACGGAGGAACGGATTTGTGGGGTTTGTCATAAGCGGTTGGGTGGGAGTGTGATTAATGTGTTTCCTGAGTATGTTCCCTTCTCTTCTCTGGTGCAGTGCAGTACAGTGCAGTACAGTGCAGTACAATGCTAACCAATCTCCCCTCCCAGCAACACCGTCGTGCACCTCGGCTGTGCGAATCGAGTTTCCAGCGTTCGGGGGTAGGTGATCCTTGTGGTTTGTGATTTGGTTGATTTCGTTCCGTCCCTTCTTTTTGATACCCAGTAGTCTAGCATATGTCCAATTCACGTTCAAGCATCTTCTTCAACCAGCTCTTCTCCGTAGTAGTCCTCCTCCTTGGCTTCCTTCTCGGAGACGGTGCCTTGGGCCTTCTTGTCTTCTTCCATTCGTGTTGTCAGGTAGACATTGATTTCGTCTTGGAGTTTGGGGACTAGCGATTGCAAGGTTGTGAGGTGGGTGGTTTTGCTGGCGAGGGAACCGTCGGTGGAGGGGAATTCGTGGGAGATGGTTTTTGGTTGTGTGTCTGGGGATGTGTAGACTGCGTGGAGGGTTGAGAATGTCATTTTGTGAGTATATCAAATATGTAGATATGGAGAGAAGCGTAGAAGTAAAGGGTGAAGAGTGAAGTTGAAGAGAAGAAAAGTTGAACATTGGCGGGGAAGGCAGATCGGCCTGACTAAACCCGAAGGAGGCAGCGTGTTTTCCTCAACTTCCACTCATCTACACCTACACATTACACAACCAACACTACTTTGCATCTACACTCTATATTGTTCTACTTACGAATCCCAGGGGCCTACGGTATCCACCGTCTCACAGGTCCCTGGCCCACCCCGACACCATGAATCGTCCTCCACATCACCACCAATACTCTCATCACCGCCCTCCCTCCGATGAAGATGACGACTCCGAAGACGAATTGCGGCGTCCCGGCTCCTCCGGCAGTGATGCCTCGTCCAATGTAACCACCGTCTCCGCCACTCCCATCACTCCCATAGATCGTCAACCGGCCGCCGGCTACTTCTCCCCAAACCCGCGAACGAGCTCAGCCACTTCATCGCCTCAACGCACCACACGCCCAATGCCAGACGCCTCACGTCGGCCGTCTGGCCGGGGCCCCTCCTTGGAAATGCAGCGACATCGTTCAAGACATCATTCTCAGGGCTTCTTTGAACCTTCCCTCCCAACTGCCTCCTCCGAGCAGATCCCGCAAGTCTCGGCGTCTCGGATCGCTGCCCAGGCAGCCATGCAACAACAGATGTTACAGCAGCAGCAGCAGCAGTTACAAATATCACAACAGCAATCAAGGCGCCAACAACATCCGGTCTCCCCAATGGAAGACAGTGGCTCACGACGGAGTGTTAGTGCCTCTCCGCCGCTTATCCCTCCTCCACTGCGAATCAACCAGCCCTCGCCGTCTCTTCCGCCGCCGACAGCAGGCAACGTCGCAACAGCCGCCGCCAACGTCGTCTTCCCTCGCGCGGGCTCCCAACCCCCCGAACCCCAACCTGAGAAACAGAAGAAAAAGAAGCTCTTCTCCAAACCAAAACATATTGGCATCAGCAGAGATAAAGATGTCTTTAAGGATCGCGGTCTGCCTTCACCGAGCAAGCTGCCCAGCTTGTCGCGCATGGTCAGCTCCTCCAACACCAGTATGGCCGATCTCCCTTCCAACAACTCCTCCATGTACAATCTCTCCAATGCTTCAGTCAGCACGGTTGTCCCTGCCGATCGCCCGCCCGCCCCGCCAGAGAAGGATAAGGACAGGGAAAAGGAAAAGGACAAGCATAAGCACCATTTCTTGTCGCGGCAGAAGCTCAAGTTGAAGGAACGTGGTGATGATCACTTTAACCTGCCTCTCTCTTCTGCATCGAGTAATTCTAGACCGACCGACCCCAATGCTCCCCAATCACTCTACTCGTTTACCAACCCGGCCTCGCCGGCGCTGGGGGCCACATTTGGCAAGTCAGTCAGCGGCTTAGATTTGCTGCACGGTGGCCGAGCGAAAAAGAAGGAGAAGGAAGCTATCTTCGAAAACGAACAGATGGAATGGCTGGCCAATTCCAATAGTGCGACGGGGCCCGTCGCAGGTCCTTCTTCCCTCAATAGCACCACCGGGCCCCTTGGGGAAGCCATGCTGCGCGAGACACTGCAGGGCTTTGGCCTGAACAACATGTCCCCCGAAGACGCATGGGAGTTTCTCAAGGCAAAACTCATGGTCATCTTTGATGGCGAGGATGTGCGCATCGCCATTGAAGACCTCAACAAGCTGGTCATCGTGCACCTGCAACGCTGCGTGCACAAACGCACACCCACAATCATCATCGCCGACCTCCAAGATCTTCTCGAAACCGGCTTCGCCAATCTCAATGCCAGCTCGCTCATTGGCATTCCCGACGAAAAGGTCGTTCCGCACCTCGTGCAAATCTGGCTCCTCTTCTTCGGCACCATCCTCCCATTCATCCAGGCCGCTTTCCTCCCCTGGACCATGAATTCAAGGGCATCGGCTCCCTCATGTCCGGTCGCGAGGCTCGCGAGTTCTGGGGCGACCTCCCCGCAGGCGGGAGTCTTGATGTACGCAATCTCGTCCTCATCGCCTTCCGCGATCGCATCATTCTCAACCGCTACGATGCTCTCAAAGCTACATTCTCCCGCCTCAGTCTCGACAGTATCAATGCGGGCTTTCCAACACTCAGTGTCACGGCCAAGACGACTGGTACCGGACATGGTGGCCGGCCCGGAACTGCCGCTTCCCTAGACGCAGGATTTGGAAGTTACAATTCTCAATCTTCGACGCTGCTCAGCACCGTCGCGGATAGTTATTCTTCCGACTCAGTGAGTGCACTGGCGGCGGCGAATCTCCCCCGTCCATCAAGCAGTGATTCCCGCAGTCGCGCTGCTTCAAATACATCGTCCAACCCGGACCCGGGTGCTTTCTCGGCTATTTCCCCGCCTTCGGTCAGGCCTACGGTTATACATCGCGCTAACTCGGCGGATTCTTCACACGTCATTACGGAGACTGTTGGTCGGATGCTCCAATGTGTTAGTGTGCTGGCCAGTGTCCAGACCGACGACGCGGCGCAGGAGAAGATCGAAATCCTCGGCAAAACTCTCAAGCATAACTGGCTTGGTCGTGGACGGACAGGGAGGGATCGACGAGGTTTTGTCGGGGCCAAGATTCGGCCTGTTATGGTTGGGGTTGGAGCTGGGACGCCGGTGCTGGATGATAATGAGTCCCTTACGACGGCGGGGATTAGTGTTGGTGCTAGTACTAGTACGACGAGTGTGAGTGGTTCCAGGGCGAGGGGGGGATTCGTCTTCTTCGGATTGGAGTCAAGGGCTTGGGGGGAGTATGAGGAGTGCTGGGAGGAGGGAGTTGAGTGTTCTTTAGGGTAGTTGGTCTGCTATGGTATGGTATGCCATGCTATGTTTCGGGTTAGATTTTTATGATTTATGATGGAGTTGGTTGGATTGGATGGATGGGTCTCTATGGATTGGATTTAGTGAATCAAATGATATCTTGTTTTTCGTGTCTCTGTTTATGTTAGTGTTGTCCTGGTTGTCCTGATGTAGTGACTGCCAGTGAATGCTATGGTAGTAGGCAGCCACCTCGTACCTCAATACTTGCTCCTTCTCTTCCTTCTCTCCCTCTTTCTCCCTCTTTCTCCCTCTTTCTCCCTCTTTCTCCTTCTTTCTCCCTCTTTCTCCCTCTTTCTCCCTCTCCCTCCATATCTATCACCTCTCCATCTCCAACTTTAACAACACCCACCATACTCATCACTCGCTCAAACCGCTGGAATCACAACTTCACAGAGCCAAACTAACAATCTGCAATAGAGACCGCTATCCTCCTTCTCCCCTCTCCGCCTCCATTCTCCCTGAGATTCGGATATCTTACTCCCCCCGCCTCCGTTCTCTCAGATTCGGAATCTGATATGGTGTCGGGTTCTTTGAGTTAAGTTGAGCAACTCCCTATCTATACCACAATCACACTTCTGCCCAGGTATACTAGTTATATACTAGTATACCTACTTCCCAATCACATCCCATCTACACCCCGGGTCATGCATGGTAACTGGGAGAATTGAGAATTGGAGGGTTAGTTTCTAATTTCAAGATCCTTCTCTCATGATTGCGCGGGGACAAGAATACTTCCTCTGTTCATATTGCAGATTTGCTTCTGTGCCTTTTCTCTACGCTACACAGAGGACATTTCCTTTTTCTTCTATTTCTTTGCTTTTCCATTTGTCCTTTCTCTTTTGTGTTGGCTAGCTAGTTAGTCTTGTGTGCTGTGTTGTGCATGAGGGTTCAAGTCCGTTTGTCCAAGGTCTTCCTGCTGGTGCAATCCGCATTTGATGCCGTTATGGATGCTGGCCTCGCTGTTATGATACCCCTTGGGGAAAGTTGTACTCGCAATCCGAAAATCACAAGTAATAATCTTCCTCCGTTGCCATTGTATCTGTGGATGCATTTGGTTTGATATCCATGCCATTCTCAGTTCCCTCGAGAATTGGGTGTCTGGCTACCCTAGAAGCATAAGCTATTTTCTCTTGTGATTATCAGTGGCTGAATGAGCAATGAGTAAAACCAGAATGGACGTCCCTCGCACTTTCCCATCCAATCCCAACAAGCACGCAGTTGGGCAATTCAGATTTCGCGAGTGCAGTCTACAGCAACTTAACCTTCTTCCCGCTCAACTCCCTCGTCAATCACCGTCACCACTTCACTTCACTCCCCAATCATGGATGCCTTCGAGAGAGCCATCGCTGCCCTGCAGCTACTGGGTCTCAGGCAGGTGGCCTCGGCTGATTTCCGAATATCTGCTAACGCCCCGGTCAAAAGAGCCCTCGCGCCTGTCCGCTGCCTCTCGCGATGAGTCCATTGCTGCTCTACAATCAGCCATACCAGGCAAGTATCCCAGAGCTTCCCTCCTCCCATCTCATCTCATATCTGGCCCTGTCCCTGGCTGACTCTCCCGGTTCCAGATCTTGAACCTGGTCCATCCGCTGTGGATAGCTCCAACGATTCCTCCCCCGCTCACGGTGCTGGCAACCCCGAAGATATTCACAGTGGTGGTGGCCGAAAGCTCGGTGGCTTCATTTGGGACTCGCAGTCATGCATTCTAAATCGATCCCAAGATGTCGAGTCAACCGATTCGCTAACACCCACAGGTACGACCATCCCAAATAGCCCTCAGTGGTTATGCCGCTGGGATACGGTATGTTCTACTGTCAGTGGTGGCTGACTCGATTATTCAACACAGCACGATCCCACAACTTCATACCCCCTCATTTCTCGACCATAGACCATATTGTCGTCGTCCTTCGAGATGATGTCGACGCCCGCCGTTTGCCCCGAGTCCCTCCCCCGGAATTTCGCGTCATGTACGTCCCAGACCCCCGTGTCTCGTTTGTTATGATCTTCTCGGAGGCGGAGTTCCAGTTGTGGAAGTTGACGGCTGAATTCCCCACGCTCTATCCGTATGAATCCTCTGGGTCTGACTTTAGCGGAGAGAGGGAGGACGTGAAGAAGGCGGAGAATGAAAAGAAGAAGCAGGATGTTCCGAAAGCTTCTAGTGTTAAGGATACATCTGCCACCCTTGCAGAGTCCGACATACCTGTGATTATTCCCCTTCAAACTGCGACTCAGCGCGCGTTTGAGATTTTTCGACGAATTGCTTTGCAGCAAGCTTTGCGGCAAACAGGATTCGAAGACGGAAGTGGAGGTGGAAATGAGAACGGACTTGGTCAAGATCATGCGGGCGACAAGATCACTACAGCGGGCGATACGATCACAAACAATACTGTCGTTGATGAGAGTGCGAGTGCTGCTGATCCTCCCCCTTCGCCGAAGACAGATCTGAACCCTGGGGGGAAAGCCTGCATTCAAGCCACCTGCTTGTCCGAAGAGCAAGGTTGTGCGACGGTTCATTTTCAAGCGGCTTATGAACGAGACTCGTCGGGGTCGCCGAGTGGAAAGAGAAATGCACTAGGGATCGCTGGTGGAATATTTCTCTTCGGAGATGGTTTTGATCTTTTTGTATCTACTGCAATGTTCGCACGTCATTTATGTCCAAGTTAGCTAGGCCGTTTTTCTCGCTGGTCTGTTAGCAGGTACCGCGGTCATCTATTAGTAATGTTGTCTCATGTTTTTCGGTTCTGTCGTGGTGGAACTTGGGTTAACATTAGCATTTAATTGTCTTTGTCAAGCATCCAGTCTATTTCAATGTTTTATTCGACATAGTTGTAATTCGAGTTCCCAAGGTCTGGGCATCTTGACTCGTGACCTTGGTATCACCTGATTCCCGAAACCCTGGAAAGTACAGAAAAACATGCTTCACTTAGCGCTGGTCGTATAATTCTTTCATTTTTCCTAGAACTGCATGACTTACTAGTAGTTTGTCTCGTTATGCAAATGATCCCCTACTTATCCGCCGACGATCGGGTAGAATTCATTTCTTGTGGGTGGATTCCAAGGTTGATTATTTGGCAATTGGAACCCTCTGCAACTTCAAGTTGGAAGCTAGAAGAGTTCCAAGGTTAATTGAAGATGAATCAGGTTTCAGGTCCCATAAGAGTTATGTTCAAGTTCAACATAGTAAACTTCCAAGCTTGAATTTGACTAAATCCGAGTCCGATTGCACTTGAAGTCATTCAAGTTTGAAAATATATATCGTGGTATAACCGGAGGATAGCACCTGCGCATTCTTCCCGATCAATTTCAGCGCCTGTCGGGCTCGGACTAGGAGCTAACTCACCAGCCATATACCACCACTACCACTACTACATCATGATTAGCATGATTTACCACCACCTACTTGCTATATCTTCAAATCTGCCATCTATACTCCGCTCTCGATTTCATCCAAGCTCACCAAGCCTCGCCCGTTCGACCCTCACGATTCACTTCGGCCCCACATTCCGACCCACCGAGAAAAGCAACACCATCGCGCAAGGAAGAAATTTCAAGTGATCGACGACGGAATATTCTACGAAATACAATCTGTTGGGGATAACCCTACGGAGCAGTGTACAGATCTGTCGATAATTGAAAAATAGCGGGACCTTAGCTAGGGTTATTCTGGTGCAAGGCCGATACGATGTGGTTCTTGCAGCACAGTCGGGACCACCTGAGCTGGGCTGGGCAGCAGATCGCGGCATTGGCCAAGACTCCGATTCCCCTGCAGCTTGATAAGCCATGTTTTGTTTTTCTTCGCGTTGCACAAGGGGAGAATCGCGCGACTTGCAATGCGCCATTGTTTGCTATTGCTATTGATATTGATATTGTCCACCTCTTTTCTAAATAATTGCCTCGCGCAAGGAGAGCCACGCATTTGAGGTGGAAAATTATCGCGCCTCGTTTTACGCCCCCACCGGACTGGGTTGGGCTGTTGAGCACAGGCAATTTAGCTCCGGAGTAGCCAAACAAAAACATTGGTAGTGGCTGAAAAAAGGGTGCAACAATATGAGACGAACTGGTTCGAGTTGGGTTTTAGGGGCTTGCTTGGCTGAGACTTTTGCAGAGCCTCTGTGTCGCACATGAGCGCCTGGTACGACCAGAGAACAATCGGATTCGCATCGTTTGTACTACAAACGCCGTACTCCGGACTTCGCACCTGGATCTTGTTATCTTGTTTGGGACAAGCAATGGGTCGACCTGGCCTGGATGTTCCCCCCTTTTTTGTTTGTTTGTATTTGAGCCTACCAATGGCCCAGCTAGGCATGTGGAGACCGCCTTGGTGGATGCGAGACTGAGAGAAATCAGCCGTCATGCACCTCATCTGGGTCTGTCGGTGACAGGCCTCAGGTCGGACGATAGCTTATGCCGGGCGATAGCTCATGTTGAACATCGGATTGATTTGGCGGGAAGCTGCGGTCTGGGCACGCAGGCCAAGAGGGATCTTGGGGGCGAAAATTCGATCGTTTAGATCTTAGTGCTACCTTCGGCTACGGGTGGGCTATGAGGTACTATGCGATGCGACATATGACGAGCCTTGAAAGACAAAAGGCCAAGGATCACGAGCATATTCGATCATATTGCCGGTACGGAGTATGTGCTATACCCATGGCGAAATGAACAGGGCGATTATGGGGCCTTTCTTCAATTTAAGGTCGTTTCAACGATCGACGAGAACGTTGGTCTGGACGAAGCAGCTAGAGCAGCTCGGGAGAAGGAAAAAGGAGATGCACGATGGAGCGATGGCTCGTGCACGCTGAAAATCCTGTCGGCGTCACTTGACAAGATCGTTAGTTCCGCACCTCGCCTAGCTCGAGAAGATGTCAGCGGCGGTTGATTTTTCTCGTTTACAATTTACACTTTAGCCTCGTGGTAGGTAAGACATCGCGAGCGACAATAGCGAAATGATGACTCGGAGTGGCTTGGTTTTCCGTCATGACGCCATTTCATCGAGGTGGCAGAGCGAAGGGAAATAAGGATGGACATGTCTTGTTAAGCCTGCACGGCCGGGGAATATCAAGAGCCAATGAGATTCATCGCACTTCACGGAAACAATCACTGATTCGGCATTGTAAAGAGAAAAAAGGTCTTCAAACGGCTCAGTTTAGCAGCGCCACTCGCGGAGGCGGAGTCTAAGCTGTCGCCGATCAATTTGGGCTCCATTCCATGGACTCCGGGGATTTTCGAAAATTAAATTAAATAATCATGTGGAAGAGGAGAAGAGCGAGGCTCAATTTCCCGAGCCACTGTCTACAGAGTGTATTGCATCAGGGACTGTTCCTGGCTTCCAAGCTCTCAGTCAGCTCGTTCCTCTGGAACTCAGGCAGTGTCCCCAGTCATCAAGTGTTCCTGGGGAAAGGATCAGCACGAGTTACATTAGCTCGTATACTGGGCGTATTCATTTGCCAATCATTGCGCGGAATTATCAATTATTCCCCACATATCTTGGTGGTCCGGGGTAGGACACCTTTCCTATTTGAGCTCTTTGACCGAACCCCTCATTTTGATCCATTTTGATTGCCAGGTTCTGCTCAAGTTTTGGTGGAGTCAATCCCCGCCTTTGTTGGTGATTTGAGCTCGTTTAGGGTTAGGGGAAAGCCCACATCGCGGTCGGAACCCCATGGGCAGCCGGCTTGGAAGGCCAATTTAATCAATTCTCGACCGAACCAAGAGCATGTGAACGGTTCTTGCTGAGGGCGTTCGCCGTAGTTGACGGCCCTGACCCTGCAGACAAGCCTCGGGTCCCATCGTCAAGGGTCTCAATGCGCCTCCAAGCCCCTCTCCCTCCCTAGTGAGGCGAAAAAAAAAACAAAGAAGGAAAAGAAAAGCACAGGTCTGCGATGGGCACGGTCTCAATGGGCACAACAGACGGCGCCGGCCAGCCGTGATGTCAGGCATGGAGTCGGCATCAAGCACTAGCGATGTGATCGGAGCGACCTTTACCCCATCACATGGTAGTATGGAAGCCGGTCTCCTTTCTCTGCCTCGGTGATGATCCACCTGCCCCGGTTCTCCGTCTCCATCTCATCCACCGAGGCCGCCAAAGCCTAGTGCAATGACCCGTGGAAGATTGTTTCCTAAAATGAGGTCCCTCGAGGTCGATCATCGGGGATGTCCAAAAAATAAAGACCAGGCTCGATCCTAATTATATCCCCCCCCCCTTTTCTTGTCTCCAGGCTTTTCCTCCATCTCGCGCGGCTCCTTTTTAATCCCCTGCCGACCCGAGACGAAGGCCCTGTTGAGCGGAATTCACGACAAGTTTACGACAAGCCCGCCCAATCGTCAATATGCGTTTCATTCCCGTCATTGCGACGGCGCTGCTCGCCATCTCCAATGTCACTGGAGCCTCACCTGCAGCATCCAGCGGCGCTGCGGAGACCTCCGTGGCTGTTGCTGCCGATACTGCTAACACGAACAATGCGAATAGCGCTAATAGTAACGACGCTGCTAAGACTGCCGTGGTGAACGCCCCGCAAGCCGCTGCTACTACTCAGGCTGCGACCCAAAACACCAACAATTCTGAGGAGAACGATGATGCCGCCTCGGCTGATACAGCGAAAGCTAACTCAGCTGCCAACACGGCCAATGCAAACACGGCCAACTCAAATGACAGTGGCAACATCGTCGACACCCTCCTGGGCAACACCGCGACGGCCAAGGCTGATACCGCGACGGCTGCCGCGAAGGCCAGCAACACCGCTAAGGAGGACAGCACCGCCTCGGCTCAGGAGACTGCTTCCTCCACTGGTTCCTCTACCAAGTCTGGCTCCTCCAGCAGCACCTCCAGCTCCACCAATGGCCTTGAGTCCCTTCTCAGTGGTCTTACCGGAAACGGTGGTGCCCTCTCTGGTCTCACCTCGCTTGGTGATGATCTCGAGAGCCTCCTGAAGGGCCTTGCTGGTCTGCTCAACCCTAACCTGTTGTCTGAGATTGAAAATACCTTCAAGTATCTCTCCACCTCATTGGCTCCCCCCCGTTGACACCAACATCCGGGTCCTTCTGTCCAATGACAACACCCAGGCCCTGGGCACGCTGATCGGTAACGCCGGCAAGCTGCTGAACGACAAGAACACCGCGACTCTGTCCAGCATTCTTAGCAAGGCCGACAACCTGCTGTCTGATAACAACCTCAACAACCTCCAGAAGCTGCTCAACAACATCGACAAGGTCAACGACCTGGTCGTCAATGCCGACAGCCTGCTCAGCAAGCAGAACGTCAACAACATCGAGAGTCTTCTCAGCAAGGCCACCAAGCTTCTCACCGACAGCACTGTCAATGCCCTGGAGACTCTCCTCAAGGGTGTCGTCGATATTCTGCCTCAGCTCAAGAGCTTCCTGACCCCCGCCACTTTCAGCAAGCTCAACACTCTGCTGACCAACGGTGGAAAGCTGCTTACCGAGGATTTCATCAAGAAGACCAACTCTCTTATCGATTCCGCTTCGGATCTTCTCACTCCGGCTACCAGCAAGGCCCTCAAGGATCTCCTGAACCAGGTTACCCCTCTGCTGCCATCGATCAAGAAGCTCTTGACTACCGAGACCCTGAACGAGATCCAAAACCTGCTGTCCAGCGGCAACAAGCTGCTTACCGATGCTTTCATCAAGAAGACCAACTCTCTTATCGATGCCGCTTCCGATCTGCTCACTCCTGCGACCAGCAAGGCCCTCAAGGATCTTCTCAACCAGGTCACTCCTCTGCTGCCCGAGCTCAAGAAGCTCTTGACCACCGAGACCCTGAACGAGATCACGAACCTTCTGTCTCACGGAAACAAGCTGCTCACCGACGCTTTCATCAAGAAGACCAACTCCCTCATCGATGCTGCTTCGGACCTTCTTACCCCGGCTACCAGCAAGGCTCTCAAGGATCTTCTCAACCAGGTCACTCCTCTGCTGCCCGAGCTGAAGAAGCTGCTTACCCAGCAGACTCTGGACGAGCTGCAGTCGCTGTTGACACATGGCAACAGCCTGCTCACCGACGACTTCGTCAAGGAAACCAAGAGCCTGATTGCTGGTGCCTCTGGCCTCCTGACCAAGAAGACCACCGATGCTCTCACCACTCTGCTCGATGCTATTGTGCCGCTGGTCCCGACCCTGAAGGGCTTCCTGACCAAGGAGACCTTCAACGAGTTGAGCACTCTGCTGAACAACGGCAACGACCTGCTGACTGCCAGCTTCGTCAACGAGACCAAGTCCCTGGTTGGAAACGCCGACGAGCTTCTGACCCCCGACCTGGTCTCCGGCCTCAAGGAGATCCTCGGCGAGGTTACTCCTCTGCTGCCAGAGATCAAGAAGCTTCTCAAGCCTTCTACTATCTCGGCTATCAGCAGTTTGTTGATGAACGCCAACGACCTCCTCGACGCTACCTTCGTCAACGAGACCCGCCACCTGATCGACGGCGCCGACGACTTGCTCTCGCCATACGTCCTGGGCGGTCTCCACGAGCTGCTTAACGGTCTTGTTCCTGTCGTCCCCATTATCAAGAAGGACTTCCTGAACGAGACTACCCTCCACAACTTGACCTACCTCCTGGGCAACGGCACTACCCTCCTGACCCCCACGTTCGTCGCTGGCACTAGCGACCTCATCACCGAGGCCGGAGAGTTGCTGACCCCCGAGATGGTCAAGAGCCTGAAGGGTCTCCTGGGTAACCTTGAGGACTCCATGCCAGAGATCCAGAGCCTGCTGAAGCCCGAGAGCATCAAGAAGATTGAGACTCTCCTGGGTAACGGCGCTGATCTCCTGAGCAAGTCCTTCGTCAAGAATACCACTGACATCATTGCCGATGTTTCAGAATTCCTTCCTCTGATTGAGGGTCTTCTGAACTCGCTGTAGTGGTGTTAGACGTTTCTTTTTTGTTTAAATGACCATCATGTGCATCCCGATGATTGGAAATTCGATATGAACTAATGCGCCTAATGATATCGTTATATTTAACGTCATTACTTATATTTATACAACGTTACTCAATAATTTTCGTTCACGTAGATCGTATTCCGTATCATGATTCTGAAGTCTTGAAAAATCAACACTATGCCTACTCTGCGTCCGTAGTCATGTGGTAGTTAGTAATGGGCTAGACGAATTCAATTGATTTTAGCCTCGGGTATTAACCTTAATCTCACCCCACTGAAGATCTCCAGACGGTTAGTATGAATTTAAAGCAAAGAGAAGGATGATAAGGAATATACAAAGATTTGTTGACGTTCGAAATTTAGAGATATATACTAGTAGTTATTAGTACAATCTTATAAGTTAATTTATATTATTAATATTATAGGCTTCTATTAAGATAGGCTACTAATAATTAGACTAATACTATTTCTTTGTAACTATACCTATTAATACTACTTCAATATAGATGATATCCTGCCTTACAGCCCTATTTATTTTTTATATTTAATTTCTGATTGTTTAAAATATTGATCAGAGCGAAATGATCAGTTACATAGTAGAACTAGCGCGTTAAAAGCTATATCACAGATGAGAGGTTGGACTACGATTAGAAAATGTAAGCTCGAAATATGACGTTATTCCAGGCTTACAGCGCCCTGAAGGACCCGGTTGAAACTAGCGGACCCTCCTCGCACAGAACTAACTAACACCTCCCAGCCCGGTCCCTTTCCACCTCGCCTCAGCCTCCACCAACAGCACCCGGATCGACTCTTTCGTTTGCGCCAACGACCACAATTCCTCGCCACTATAGTTCACTGCCCGGAGTGGATTCGCCCCATAGGCCAGCAACACCCGTAAAACGGCCTCATAGCCGCCCTCCACGGCGTACACCAGCGGCGAACACCCCATCATATCACTCATCTCCGGATTTGCGCCCCGCGCCAGCAGCAGCTCCACTATCGTCTCGTCGGCCGCTTCAACCGCCCAAAATAGCACCCGGTCGAATATCTTGCCCTGCTCGCTGCCGATCTCACGACACGGCACGTTGACATCCGCTCCGGCGTCCAGCAGCAGCTCCACCAGCTTAAGATCCTTCGTATGCACCGCCGCCAGCAGCGGCTGCACCCAGTCCTCGTAGTCGTTACCGGCGTATGTCGCTCGGCGGATATCCTCTGGTCCGAAATGTGGTGGCGCCCCGCCAGCAAGTAGGGTCTGGATGAGGGGTCGGTTCTGCTGCGCGACGGCGAAAGCCAACGCCCGCGTGCGGTGGAACATGGCCGTCCCCGGTATCAGGATCGAAACGAGATCTGTGTGCCCTGCGATGACGGCAGCAGTAAGTGGCGCCGTGGAGCACCGGGGGCGGACTATCAGGTTCGGATCCGCCCCGTATGCCAGCAGCCATGAGACCAGCTCCCTATGGCCACAACGGGCCGCGATATGAAGCGGACTTTCTGAGAAGTCAGGGGCGAAGACATTAACATCCACCCCATGTGTGAACAATACCTGAAGGACAGAGCCCTGGCCCGCCAGGACGGCGGCGGACACCGCCTCGGTCATGAGCTCCTTTATACTGAGCCCATCATCCTCCCACCTTGGAGGCGTAGCCGCAGACAGGAGCACGTTGACGACATCCGCATGTCCCTGAAAAGCCGCCAGCCACACCGGCCGCTGCCCAATAAAGCTGGGGATGCTTTGGCGCGCACCCACGCGCAGCAGATACTCCGACAGCGTGGGGTGCCCGTGAATGGCCGTCAGGGCCAGCAGCGTGTGCCATTCGGGGGTCGTGGTATTCGGGTTGACCCCCCGGTCATCAATCATGAACCTCACCAGCTGGGCATGGCCCTTCTCCACGGCGAGGGAGATTGGATGCGGACGGAAGTCCTGTAAGCGGCGCGGGACGAGGCGGCCGAACTGGGCGATGCGCGGGCCTTGCTGGAGGCTGTGGCGGGTGGAGGCTTCGTGGGGGGGGGGGGCAGCAGAGCCCCTGCGTCTAGGGCCCTTTGAAATGTGGACAGCCGGCCGGTTTGGGCCGCCCAAGAGAGGGCAGAGCTGTGGTTGTGCCGGACATTGTGGTCGTAGAGGACGGGGTTGGTGAGGTGGTGGAGGTACCGGTTGGTGAGGGATAGGCTGGCGAGGGCGGATTCGGGGAGGTAGAGGGTGATTTGGAGCAGGAGTTCGGCGGGCAGGATCTCCATGCTGGGGGTGTGGGCAAAAGGATTTCATATAAGAGTCCTCCGATGTACTCCGTACAGACGGTACTTGCCCAGGAGTAGATCTGCCTAGGTGTGTATCTGGGACCGAGATGATGGCCGCGCCCTCGGTTGCTTTCGACACAAGCCGTACAGAGGACTGGAAGACGGTTAGCATGAATTTGAAGCAAAATGAGGTATGATGAGGAATATAGAGATGTATACCTATTGGCACAACCCAATAAGATGATTCCTGTTGTTAATGCTTCGGCTTCGAACTTCTATCGAGGCAGGCCGCCAATCAGACCAGTACTATTTCCAAGTGACTGCACCTATTGATGCTACTTCGAGATAGATAACATTCCGCCTTGTAGCCCCATTCATCTTTGTATTTGATTTCTGATTATTCAAAACGTAGATCAGAGCGAAATGATCGGTTGTGTAGTGGAACTGGCGCCTCGAAAACTGTTTGCCGGGTGAGAGATTGAATTGCAATTGGAAAATGCGAGCTCGAAATATGACATTATCCCATGCTTACACAAACCGGGGAGTCATGGAAAGTGGTGATGGGGTGAGAGAGGGAGAGGAAGAGGGGGGAGGGAAGCCATCTAGAGCGCGGCATGGTGGCCGTGGTGCCTGAGGCATCTGGGTCTGAACAGCTTTGATGGTGTAACTTAAAAATACCAAATCTCACTAGAATGTTACTGCATGTTAGTAGATACTGCTGTAGAAATAGTAATATTGTTTTCACTAGTAAGTTAAAGTACCCCACAAAGCAAAATAACATGTGCAATAAAGCAGCAAATAAAAGAAAGACTCATGGTGCTGCCCAGGTGGGTTTCATCTTGTTCCCCGTTCGATTCACTTCAAGACATTCTCAGCTCCCTCCAGGACCAAATCAACACCATTTTCCGAGAGAAGGGAGTGATAGCCAATATTATCCAGCAGGCCAATATCGTCGATCATAAAATCAACGTTACTCATCGAGAGCTGCAGTCAAAAGTCAACCTGCTCCAACTCAATATGGACGCCGTTTACCGCAAGCAGAAATCCCTGACTGAACTACTCCAGGAATCCACTCATTCTCTCGCCGAGGCCCAATGCACAAGGCCGTTACTTCCGGATCCCGAGAAGCTCACTGGCACAAGTGTCAAATTTGATAGGTGGGTCGCTGCTATACGGGCCAAACTAGAACTTGATGCTGAGGCAATCGGGGATGCCCAAGCACCGTTCTACTATGTCTATTTGAACCTGGATAGCCGCATCCAAGGGGTAGTGATCCCTTAGGTTGAGTATGATCAAACATCCGGCAACGACGACTACAATGCCATCATCGATCAGCTTGCCGGTGTTTTCGAAACCTCGAACAACGTTCAAGAAGCGGAAAATGGCCTTTCTGATCTCAAGCTAAAGGGAGAGCTCTAGCCTTTACTACGCAAACGCTAAGTTTACTGGCAACGACAATATGTATGGCAATACTGGTGATCGGATGGAGATCGGTGTTATGGGGGATGAAATATGATAGGCACGGAGACATTACCTTTTTGTGTGAAGGGGTGACGTGAAGAACCACGTGCTTTGATACCCAGGAATCTAATCAACCGTTTGTATCAATTCGCCGTATTCCAGATTCTACTTCTTTTCTTCCTTCTCCATGCGTCCGGTTTTAATCGTACCTGGGCGCATGACAGAGCTCCTCCTAGCAGCCAATTTGAATATACGAAAGAAAATTATTAATTCTATTTTGAGCATTCTAATTAGTCCAACAAATAGCAGCCAAAACCTTCTATCCCTATGTCTCCATCGCTCAATCCTTCACTCGACCATTTTGCTGGAGCCGCGGCAAACCGATCTCAATCTTGGGTTTGGCCGCGAAGGGATTTGGATCGGTTTGGTTCAAGTTACCAAGTGCATGGTTGACATCACGATGGTTTGCCTCATCGGCTCGAACATAAAGCAGCAGCGACCGCATGCAACGATCATTCTCCGGCATTTGCCAATACTTGATTGCCATCTCTGGAGCCTCGAGTTTCTCCCACAGAGGAAGATGTCCGTCGTCGAAATCTTTGATGGCCTTCGAGTAAGTTATGACGGCCTCTTCCTCGAGATATCCCACAAATCGGTGACAGATCTGTGGTGAAATCAGGTAGGCGAGGGAGAAACCACTGAAGAATACCCATTGGGCACCGAGGACCATACAACGCATCGTCCACGTAGGCTCGGCTAATTTGAGGAACGTGAGAAGATGCATTCGCTCATTGTAGGCTTCCTCGAGGAGTGTTTCGATCCTGCAGTCTCTTAGAAGAGGGTTTGCTTAGAGAGGGGAGCTTTTCTTACCAGCCATGGTCCCGCCTCATCATCCGGATCGACTTGAGATGGCGGAGCATGCCTGCTACCATCCCCGGAACACCCGCCACGCTCTCCAGGAAAATGAATCTTGTGAGCCACTTTTGTTCTGTCATCGTACGAGACTTCGGGACGGACATGCTGATTGGCGAATATGTTCCATAGCCAGTGACAAAGTCCATGCCCCAGCGAAGGACCTTGACAGTACTCAGGGCAACCCTATCTTGCCAGATAGAGGCCTTGCGATGGGCGGTTTGAACATCGAGGATTTGTTTCTTTGTGTATCTGCGACAAGATGATGAATTAGAATAGGGGATGATCACGGAAATATTGTGGACTAACATTGGATGCGTCCATGAGGACTTCTGAGCGAGATGTGTCGAAGTAGAGTGTTGCCGCATCGCCAGGGCGAGAAATGAAGGTATGACCGGGGTTTTACATCTCAATGGATGATTGCGTTGAGCTCGTACTGAGAGAACTAGCGGTCGCATAGTTTGGCCCATGTTAAAATATTGTAGTATTTGGTGTTTTTTCTGGCAAGGACCCGCGGGCGTGTCAGGGAAATTGATTGAAAATGAAGCCGATCGAGACTTCAGCAGGGCTTTCTTATTTAATTGAGAGATTTCAACAATGCGATCAGAAAGAGTGATTCTTATACCACAAAAGTGCTGCCTCCTACAACGCAGAATGTAGACTGTTCCTCGATGATGTGTCATAGTATTATTGAGAATGGCTGTTCTATGATGTGCACTGTAGTTCCCGTAATCGCCGCAACAAAACAATGGGGTGCGATAATTGCGCGTTTCCTGGAACTTTAATCCCCCGATTTGATCCGAAATATGAGTAAGATGCACAGCAGATATAGACGAAACTTATCTAGAATTCGAGGGCCCAGGTCGGGAGATCGGTGTTGTTCAGAAGTGAAAGCCGAGGTTTAAATGGCGACTTTCGTTGGATTATTTTGCGGGATAGTTGATTGAGTCATACAACCAAAATACTAGAATTCCCCTACCCCGGGAGCAAAATATTCATAAGTCTAACTGAATATTGTAGCACATATAAAATATGTGTACATAGATTGCAAATTTGGACGAGATCAAGTTGTGGGCTATATAAATCTGGAATAATGCCCACCTCTTCTGGTAATTGGCAGGCAGCTTAAATTCGGGCGTCACCTAGGCATATGACTTCCCACACGCCGGTCGGTTCGTTTGCTCACCGAGGGCTCCTGTGGCTGCCAGGTTGAGGCCATTCTGCATCGGGGGATCTCGGAGTACTATGAGAGTAAACCCATCGCGGCCTATTGTCCGTCCCTGTTTTATGATCCGGGTTGACAGACTTGAGAATGGCCTCGCGAAGCCCACGACTAGAAGAATACACCGTGGTAGAACCTTCGCATACAAAATATTGAGAGAGAATAGTGTAGGGTGAGAAACGTGTATCAGTGGCCATTTGGGCCATTGATCTTCGAAGTTGGGAGAGCCGATGCTTTTTCTTCCTGCCCTGTCATCTTGACAATGTCAACGATGTGTTTTCAGGCAAACAGCCACTCGGGAGGCTTCTATCGGAAGACACCGGGAAATTCATCAGATAAAAGAGACAGTCAGCGGCATAGAAAGGTGAAATTGAGCAGGCCAAGGCTTTACCAAAGCATTAGACGAAAGAAGAAGTAAATTAACGGTAGACTTTGAATCAATATACTATTTCTCGGGTATGAAACAAGATATTAAAGTCGCTCCCTTGCAACGATGGGGGTATGAATACCTAGGTATCTCATCCTCCATAATTCGTATACGGTGACTCGGAGTTGTCAGGTAATTCGTACCTGTCGCTAGCTGGCTTCTCTTGAAGGGTATGAGGGGCTTCGAGCTCCCGTGGGGTTTGTGACGCCATCAATACCGGTGAAGATGTCTCTTCCGGTGTGGCTTTATCATTCTTGCGGCCCCGTCGTCGAAGGAAAAATACCAGCAGTCCAGCTATCGCAATAGCACCCACTGAGACCCCAACGCCCACACCTGCTTTGGCCCCAGTTGAAAGGCCCGAAGACGAATCTGACTGAGACAATGATTTCGGTGTTGGGGTTGGGGTTGAGGTTGAAGTTGAAGTTGAAGCTGAGGTTAAAGCCGAGGTTGACAGGGTCGTTGTACTAGCTGTAGAGATGGTTGTAGGAGTGACTGTAGGGGTAGCGGCGTAGATGTTGGTGGTGGGGACAATCACTTCATCTCCTGTCCCGCAGCAACTTGTTGAATTACCGCAGCACCATTTTTCGGCATTCTTCGAGCCACCGCAAGGGGTTATTTGGGAGTTTCCATGGATGTCAACGATGCTCTCACTCTGGGAATAAATTTGGTTGTTATATTTTCCCCCATTATATCCTGACAATTGTCCGAAGATCAATGGCGATCAGAAGAAGGTACTCACATCACAAACTTTTAAACAACCTGATTCAGGCCATGATGGCGTGGAGCACGTATCGCGGAAGTAGATGGAGGCACTTTGATCTACTTGGACTTCGCAAAGGCCATTAGGGAGACACAGGCCGGTCTGGCCACAGCACATACTCGCCGTATTATCCAAAGAAACACATTTTCTTCCATTATCGGGAGACTGAGTGCCGTTGGGTGAGAAGCAGCCATAGCCCGCACCCACTGACGCGAGCGATAATAGATACAAGATTATGAAAAGAGAATGTGGTGGCTGCATCTTGCCGTGACGATGCATTGTCAATTTGTGATACCCAGGCGCAGGCGCAGACGCTGACGCTCATCGAAGGGGTTGAAAGTGGTTGGGGATTCACTGGAGAAGTACTACCCCCTACAGTGCCAGATGGGGGCCAAATTCATTCTTCGCTGATTGGCGCTGTGTTGTGCTTGAGGTTAGGAAGTTTGCAGAAACGGGTCATTTCGACAAACACAGCCGGCACCAATTTCAAAAGACCGAACACCGCGACATCCCCAGACTGTGTATACCCGTGTATGATAGTCAGGGAAGCCAAGAAAGCCGATTCCAATGTGTTCAGAGTCGGAATTCTTCTCATCTGAGACTCACCATCGGGCTTGTTTGAGATTTCAGGCAAGGTACCAGATTGCCTGGGGATGGGGTCGAGTGTTGTGCTCCCCTTTTCTCCGAGGCTAGTTCTAACATCCATTGCAGCGCCAGCGATATGTGTAATGCTATTTCCAGTTAGCTGGTCTCCACTATATAATACATCATTTCACTAGGAAGTACTCCGTACTCCGTGCATACAGGCAATGTTGATAGTACCGGTCTTGGCGCGGGTTCATGCAGGCCATGGTTTGTGTCCAGTTCAGCGTAAAATATGACTCAGGGGAAGTTGCAGTGAGATGCCTCATTCTTGCTATGATCTCGGTCGGCAGAGCAAGCTGCTAGAGTGATGAGCTAGTTAAAGAGGGAGGCGGGCAGAAAGAGAGAGCATCCAGCTTCTCGGGATATGGTGGTAATGACTCCGTACGGTACTTTGGCGATGAGGGTATGTATCGTATGAATAGCCCAATTATGTTATGGCTGATCGCACGTGGTGCCAGAGCGGCAGGAGACTCAGGCTCAAAATGTCGCAGATTGCCCAATAGCCCGGTGGCTATGTACTCCGCAATAAATTGTATGCAAAGGGCAGAAAATCGGAAGACTGGGAATGGGAAGGCTGCTCACGACACATTTGCCAACTTTGAGTGTTGGTGTTAGCTAAAACCTTGATGCCTCAGGCATTAAAATCGCCTTTCTCCATCGCGGCTCTTTCTCCCTCCTAGTCATATACTCATTCGCATGCATCACTGATTTCTCAGTTAGACTTACCATTTCTTTCAGTGGCCGCACAAATACAGCAGCGGCACTCCAAAATGCTTCTTGTACCCCGCAAACAGTAAATAATGGTTGCCTGACCACCGCCCCCAAGCGACGGGGCCAAATCAATCCATAAATGTCCAAGTCAGCCGCAAACCTTCTATGATCATTTCCGCGCTGAAGAATTTCAGCCTCATCCATTTCTGGGAACCTGAGCATATTTCAATCCATAGTTCGTTCATCCAGGTGCTTTGAAAGATCCATGTCTCGGTTTCTGATTATTCCACTCAAGCTTCGAGAGCTTATCATCGAACACGTGCTCTATTCCCCGGCCAGCCCGCGCTCAACTCTTCTCAAATTGAATGGACGTGAGTACTATGATCTCAATTATCCGGCATGTGTTTTCAGAGGGACCAGAGTAGACTATACACAGCATGACGTGTCCAGCTCCCCACGATATCTTTCTCTTTTCCTGATCAACCATCAACTGTCGACAGAGACTCGGGCAATCCTTGAACGCAGAAATCTCGAGTACGTTGTTGACATGCCGTCAAGAACGAGCTGGACCTTTTTTTGACTTGGCAGTCCGTGCCATGTCTTGGGACCCATATCTCGACCCTCCATACAAACGTGCGACTTTTTGGCCCCATAATTGACAGTCGCACGATCCGTGGTCAGCTTTGTTGCGGTGGCCGGACGGGATTTCACTGGTCCTTCCTTGCGGCACTGGAAAGATTTCTTCGTTACGGCGCCGTCAGGGAAAAGCTGCACCAACAGGGGAGGGGACCCTCCGGGATGTGGGATTGTAAAGCCTTGGAGAAATTTGAGGACCGGAGCATGCTCATTGATACGCTCGTGATGGACTTTCGGTCAGCAGACCTGGAACTTACCTTCCCGCCTGATAATGCCACATTTAGATATTGGATGCACCGTCACGTGGGCGTTGATCGATCTTCCAGACACTCGGATGAGATCTCAAAGACATTGTCATCATACAAGCCGTGCCCGGAGTGGCTCTGTGAATACCTTCACTAGTGGATAAATGATCTACTCAGCATGGGCTGTCATTTCTCATCTTTCGGGATGCTTCTATATGACCATATCGGAACTATCAAGATGCTCGTTGATGGACGGCTGCGATTTGAAATCGACCTTACCAGTCACCTAGCTGGCCTCCGTTTCACCGGTGCAGATAGGATGATGGGCCATCTAAAGTCCGAGGACAAGGAAACAGAATTTGGGAAATGGAAAAGGGGAACCTTGCTTAGAAGGGAGACTCGAGATTTCCCTGTGATACGGCCATCAGAGGATGAGTGAATGCTTGAACTCAGCCATTGAGAGCCAGTCTGTCAAAGCCAGGTATGGAATGCTTCCCGGGTGGAGAAAGTACCTTCGACACTCTTTAGTGATATCGGGTCACTGGATAAGACGGTTACTGCTAGTGATGGTGCTGAAGATGGGCTTCGCATTTCTAGATAAAATACACAATGCTTTCCAGTGTATTACTACTAGTTCATTATGACTTACCTGTTTTAAGTTGTTCAGAAGTTTCGCACTCTGAAACCCCCCTGGCCAGCATCCTGGAATCACATGCGCCATA